TATTTATAATTTTCCCCCCTCCCCTCCCCCCCACCCCCCCCCCACCCCCGCACCCTCGATCTCCCGCTCGTCCCGCTGCGCCAGCTGCGGCGCCTCCACCCACGCCAGCACGCAGGGGTCCACCAGCCGCAGCTGGGCGGGGGGCGGGGGGCGCCACCCTAGGGCTAGGGCCTCCTGGGGGGGTGGCGGTGGGCGTCATGTCCGCGAGCAGGTAGGGCCCTTCAGTCCCCACTGCTCCCAGCCCCTCCTGAGTCCTCACAGCACCCTGTCCACTGTTACCCCATGTGGCCCATCCCCCCCCGCCCCCGCCCCCACCCGCAGTATCGCCTTGGCGTTGCAGCACAGCACGGGGCAGCCCCCCGGCCCGCCCGCCAGCACCTCGCCCACCAGCGACAACACGGCGGAGGGGCTGAGGGGGGGCGAGCGGGGGGCGGCCGCATGACCCCCCTGCCCCTCCCTTCCCTGCCTCCCCCCCTGCTGGGCTGCCAGCAGCGAACGCCAGGGGGAGGTGCGGATGACGTACATGGGCACCTCCTGCAGCTGCTGCAGCTGCTGCTGCCAGGGGGCTGCTGCCGTACTTGCCGTACCCCCCGCGGCCCCCCGCCCCAGGCTGCCGTACTGCTCCCCGTCCAAACACACCACCCCCAGCGCCACGCAGCGCTCAATGTGCTCGGAGGCGAGCACGCCGCGGCAGCAGGGGGAGCAGCCGGGGGGGAGGTGGGGGGAGCAGCCGTTGGAGGTGGGGTTGGTGGGGGCGGCCTCATGGGGTGCTGGTAGTGGTGCTGTTAACGGGGTGGTGAGCGCCTCCAGGGCTGAGGCGGCTGCGGGCTCCTTCCCAATCAGCCGCCGGGCCTTGAGCAGCGCCTCGCGCTGGGGCCGGGACAGGGCCTGGGCCCGGGGGGGGGATGGGGATTAATATGGTTGAAGATTCCGCGATGGGATGGGGGGCGCGGAGGGGGAGGGGGCCAGAGGAGGCGTGAGTGAAGGTGAGGCGGAGGGGGGCGTGAGGCGACCTGCTGCCGAAAGGCGGGAGTCCGCTGCTGCGCGCCCTCCTTCCCAGTCGCCCACCCGCCGTCCCCTCACCTGCGCGTTGCTAGTGAACTGACCCACGGGTCCCTCGCACACCGCCACCAGCGCCCCCAGCAGCACCGCCCGGCAGCGGGACAGCGCGGACCGCAGCTCGGCAGCGGACTGGGGCCCAGGGGGGGGAGGGAGGGGGGGAGGGAGGAGGTGGTGGGGAGGGAGACGGGGGTGTCAGGAAGGCAGCAAGCAGGCCCCAGAGACCCAGGGACCCAGGAAACAGCCCCAGAGCTCCACACGCCCCCACCCCTACCCGCCCCCACATCCCAACCCACCTGGCCATCCGACACCTCCCGAATGGCCCCTCCTCCTCCGCCGCCCTCCTCCTCCTCCCCCTCCCCCTCCAGTGCTTCACACAGCGGCAGCAGCTGCCCCGCCAGCGCCCGAGCAGCCGCCTCCGCCGCACCGCCCCGGACCGCCCGCTTGCGAGGCCGCCCGGCAGCAGTGCTGGCAGCAGTGGTACCGGCAGCAGTGGTACCAGCACCCACAGCAGCAGCACCTCCGCCGTCCACCGCAGCACCTCCCCCGCTGCCAGCCCCCATCCCCGCCCCCGCCCCCGCCCCCGGCCCCAGCGCCACCGCCCAGTCCGCCGCCGTAACGTCCGCACGGCCCCGCTTGCGTGCGCCCTCCGGGGCCACCAGCGGGCCCCCCACCCCTGCAGCCCCCTGGGCCGCCCCGCTGCCTCCCCCTCCCCCTGCCGGGCTGGCAGCTGCGGCGAAGGGCAACTGCCCCTGCCGCATCCTGCCGCCCCCCTGCTGCTGCTGCCGTTGCTGTTGGCTGCCCTCCCCGGGGCTGCACTGCTCTCCTCCACCTGCCACGCCACCTGCCCCCCCACCCGCACCAGCAGCCAGGGAGGCGGGTCGCGCCGCCCGCCAGGCTGCCCCCGGGGGCGGTGGGGGCGGCAGGGAGCAGCCCCCACCACCCGTCAGCTTGGACTGCCGGGGGCCCCCTGCCCCGCCTCGCCTGCCCGCTGGAGCCGTCCTCGCCCCTGCCCCCGCTCCTCCTCCTCCTCCTCCTCCTCCCCCTCCGGCCCCCAGCAGGTCGTCCAGGTCCTCCCACCAGCGCCCCCCTCCTCCGCCCTGCTGCTCCCCTCCTCCGCCTGCAGCCCCCCCGCCCGCACCCCCCTCCATGTGCCGCGCCGGGGTGGGGCCCCGGGGGGCAACCTGGCCTGGCTGCATCAGGCCAGCAGCGCCCCCGCCCCCGCCCCCGCCTCCCCCTCCACTCCCACCCCCTCCCCGCGGCGGCGGCAGGTGCAGCTCATCCAGCCCCTCCAGCAGGTCCGGCTCCCACTCGCCCATCAGGGCAGCAGCCGCAGCGGAGGAGGAGGACAACCGCGGCCGGGGGGCAGCAGCAGCAGCAGCAGGAGGGGGAGCGGAGGCCGCCCGCGGGCCCGCGCCCTGAGCGGCCCCGCGCGCTGCCGGTCCGGGGTGCCGCTGCGGGCCTGACTGGGGGCCACTGGGGTTGGGCGCGGCAGCTGAGGGCGGCAGGAGCGGCGCCCCGTGCGGGTGGTGGGCGGCTGCGGGAGCAGGAGGCGCTCGTGATGCGCCGAGGGCTGCATCGCTGGTTGGGTGGTGGTGATGGTAGTTTTGATTGGGAACACAACTTGCACCGGCTGCGCGGAGAGATGGGGCATTTTGGTCCTTCGCGGTTGATAATTCAGGTGCCAAAGGGAAGTTAGCTTGTTCCTGGTTTGGAGCGCTTTCTGCGCAGTCCTCCTCAGTGGACGGTGTTTGCCAGTAGTCGTTAGGATCCTCGACGACATGCCGAGCACCAATTAAAGAATCCCGCAAGTGGGCAAACGAAGTTCCACGGCTTTCATTAACTGGTTTCTCGGCTTTTATGCTGATGTTCCTTATGGCCCAGGAGGCAACAGCCGCAGGTGTTGGGGGCTTGCGTCGCGGACGAATGGCAAGGCGTTCCGACATAGTGACAGCTCAAGACGTTAGCTTCATATCTTTCTGCAAACTAGCCTCAATATGCTTATTAACGTGCAATCCGGAGAGCCTGGAAAGCGCACAGGTTATTCGCGCCATTCCGTACGATCCATTAGTAATGTGCTCATCCTGGCTCAGGCTCATCTGATAAACTTGCATTCATTTTAGGGCCGTTGTATGTTGATATTACAAGTATATAGGTACTACATAATTCGTGGCATGACATTGGCCGTCGGATACTGGTATGCACATCATGGTCCATGTGCATGGACCTCTGTGTGACGCTTGGGTACAACTGGGGTAGCGAATCTGCAACTTAGCACAGCCAGATGCATTCCTAAGGAATAAACTCGAACAAGCTACGACGTCGCCGGAACCCCGTAAAAACGACGGCTTCTACGCATGTGCTATAGCATGGAACACCTCGACATGACGCCTCCAACCAGCCCTCCACCACCAAGGCGCCACGTCAAGGGCATAACGAGCATCATCCGAAGGGCAACGAAGGAATGCAAAGCCTGATCCAAGGGACCACTCAAATCGCCCGCCTTCAACGTCCATACGACAAGTAATGAACACACATTTAGACTCTCCTCTCAACATCTACGTCCATGACAATGGGTTACCACAATCCACATTTATAACTAGCCCTGGAGCTGCTCAAGGGCACCTGCATTGCGCCCCCATATCCTTTGTATTAGTGATACACATGGTCTAGTGTTCGGGATGAAACCCCGCGCGGCGCCCTTCGCATCTATCGCCATGTTTCCGCTTGGTGCAACACATGCTCACACGCACACAATATGACCGCGGCAGTCGAGAGAAACCACCGTCCCGTCTCATCTCATCTCACATGCAAATATGTGTAAATCATATCCCGAAACAAACAAAGCAAGTACGACATCCTGCATGGTTTGGGTAAAGCAGTACAATCCAGGAGCCTGGATCCAGCCGGATCCACACGTCATTATTTAGCCAACCTCTTCCCTGGCACATCGGCAGCAACACCCAACCATCCACCGCCGCTATGGCGCCCCAGGGATGAAAATGTGGTTTCTGTATAACAAGGTATGACGGCAAAGTAAAACATTTTGCACGGTCGCGTGCACTTCAGAAGGTCAAGAAGTAAAGAAGAAAGCGGCATCCTCTTACCGCCAATTTCACTCGGACAAACATCAAAGGTTTCATGGCTTTCACAATTGCATCATCACGTTTGGAATTATCAGCACTTCGCAAAACGCCCTTTCCAGTCATTCAGTCATTCCAATTAGAACTTAACGTTTAGGACAAGTCATTCGAAACCGACCCCAGCACACATCGCTTCCTCAAAAGAATTGTATCAAACCTGACTAATGAGCATCTGGTCATTCCTCCTCGTCGCCCAACACCTATGCCTGACACAGCCTCCTAGGCTTCGTGCGCTCTCTCCGTGCAAGCCAGCAACCCCCCTGCCGGCCCCCCTCACCCGCCCCCCACACAAATAACCCTTGCGCGCCTCGCTTCCCAACCCCTCCCTCCCTCCCTCCGCCTCACATGTTGCAACCCATGTTGACGCCTTATCCCTCAGTCAACAGTCAGTTAGTTGTTTCCTCTTTACTCCCTCCGCCTCCTCCTCCTCACGCCGCCCCTACACCACTCCGTTCGTGAAGTCCCAGCGCCTCTGCCCCATGCGATGAATCCGCCGAGCCCGGTTCCTCCTACACCCCTCCTTCCCGCGCTCCTCTGGCCCCCCTCCGCCCCTCCCCCTCAATGCCCCATGTATCCCCCCGTGTCACACAGTCCTTCCTCCTCTCCCCCCCTCCACCCATGGAGAAGCCCCGTCTTTCAGTTCGTCAGTTTTCCTTATTTTTACCCTCCCCCCACTCCCCCCCTCAGTACATCACCGCCGCCTGCGCCCGCACCAGCGCCATGTAGCAGGCGCTGTGCCGTACACCCCCCGCCCCCCCGCCCGCCCCCGCCGCCGCCGCCTCCGCCGCCCCCAGCCTCGCCGCCAGCTCCTCATTCTCCGCCCGCAGCCGTCTGTTGCGCTCCCTCGCCCCCGCCAGCGCGCGCTTGTAGCGGCCCAGCTGCTCCTGCGCCTCCGCCAGCTGCTGCCTGGTGGCGGCGGCGCGGGCTGCCTGCTGCTTGCAACTGCCCTGCGCCAGCTGGGCGGAGCGGAGGACCCTGAGAGGGGAGGGAGAGGGGGAGGGGGAGGAGAGGGGGGAGGGAGAGGGAACCATGTGTTGAGTGGTAGTGGCACACGAGGTGACATGCTAGGGGGCGGGGAGAGGCGCTGCGGGATGGGTGGGTGCGGAGAGGAGGGTGAGGGTGTGGAAACTGGTTGAGAGCAGTTGTACAGCACGCGGGTGATACCGGACAGAACCCACTTGTAGTACTCCTGCTGCCCTCCCCCCGCCTCTCATGCCCTCCACCCCCCCTCTCATGCCCTCCCCCCCCCGTACTTGTAGTACTCCTGCTGCAGTCCGTTGAGGCTCTCCGCCATGGCCACCTTGAGCCGGATGGCGTCCGCACGCGTGCTGGTCAGCTCGCGCAGCACCCCGCGCAGGTGCTCCACCTCGTCCTCCTGGGGGGGGGAGGGGGGGGGGGGAGGGGGGAGGGGGGGGGGGGGGGGGAGGGGGGGAGGGGGGGGGGGGAGGGGGGAGGGGGGGGGGGGAGGGGGGAGGGGGGAGGGGGGGGGGAGGGGGGGGGGGGAGGGGGGAGGGAAGGCACTCGCGGATTAGGGGATAGCAGCCACTCCCCTGCACGCGCACCCGGGTACAGCAGTGCATGACACACCTCGCAGCCCCCTCCCTCCCAGTCCCTCCCTCCCTCCCTCCCTCCTCTCGCCACCCCACCCCCCTCACCTTGCGCCCCAGTGTGGCGCACAGGTCGTGCAGCTGCAGCAGCCGCTCCGACAGCCCCTGCACCGCCCCCATCTGCGCCTCCACGTGCGGGTGCGAGGACAGCAGCGCGCCCACGTGGCCCACCAGCTCCCCGAACAAACCCTCCAGACCGCTGCCGCCGCCGCCGCTGCTGCTGCCGCCGCCGCTGCTGCTGCCGCCGCCGCTGCTGCTGCCGCCCCCGCCACTGCTGCTGCCGCTGCTCATGCGGCCGAAGCGAGCTGACATGCTGCGAACATAGCCCAGGGTGACCGGGCAGGGGGAGGGGGAGGGGCAGGGGGAGGCGGGGCTGCTGGTGGTACTGCCGGTGGTGGAGGGGTCTTCCGAGGCGGAGAAGGAGGCGGTGGCGGCGGCGGTGGAGAAGGCGGAGACGGGCGCCTTGCTGGCACCAGGCTGCGTGCCGTCCGCAAGTGCTGCCCCCTGCTGCGGCTGCTGCTGGGGTGCCGCCGCCGCTGGTGGAATGCAGCTGGTGGCGCCGCTGGAAGGTAAGGGCTCGCTAGCAGGTTGGAGGGAGGGAGGGGGCTGCGCGTGTCCCTGCTCCTGGTTCCGCTGTTGCTGCTCCTGCTGCGGAGACGGCGGCCGTTGAAGGGGGCAGGTGCTGCTGCCGCTGCTGCTACTGCCACCGCTGCTGAGGTTGCAGCTGCCGCTGCTATTGAGGGTGCAAGTGCTGCCGCTACCACAGCACCCGCTGCCGCTTATACTCCCCCCACTGCTGCCGCAGCGGCTCAGCGGCGCACTCGAGAGCTCCACATTGGCCCCCGGGGGCCGGGGGGCGCAGCAGGGGGAGGAGGGGGTGAGGGCGCAGGGGGCCGCCCCCGCCCGGTGCAGCAGCGCCACCCCTGCTGCCTCCTCGGGCCCCAGCGGCGCCAGGTCCCCACCACCCGGCCCACTGCCGCTGACACCTCCTCCGCCAGCAGCAGCCCTACCGCCCCGGCCTCCACCTCCACCTCCGCCGCAGCCCCCCAGATCGCTCCTGACTCCGCCGCCTACCTCATTCCTTTTACTAACACCCCCGCCCCCGCCGCTGCCGGCTCTGCCACTGGCGCCGCTGCCGGCTAGGGGGTGCTGCGCCAGGGGGTGCAGCGGGTGGGGCGCCAGGGCAGCAGAGGGGCGGGTGGCCCCTCCTGCTCCTCCTCCTCCTCCGGGGGGACTCCGAGGGGGTGCGGGAGGGTGGGGGGCGGCCTGCTGGCCCGGAGGCAGAGGCGGCGAGGAGGCGGAGGAGGTGCGGGAGCAGGAGGAGGAGGAGAGCTGCTCGAAGAAGGAGGCCCGCGAGCGGACTAGCGAGGAGGCGGAGGAGGAGGAGGTGAATGCGGTGGAAGCTGCTGCTGCAGCTGCTGAGGTGGGGGATGAGGGCTGTGAGGATGGTGATGGTGATAGTGAGGGGGAGGGCTGGGTGCTGGAGGAGGGGGAGCAGGAGGCCTCGGAAGGGAGTGCCGCAGGGGGTGTCGGGGCGGCAGGGCAGGTGCTGTCGGAGGCAGTGGCAATGAGATCGGGTACTGGATTGACGCTTGGGGCTGGGGCAGGCTCCGGCCATTGGGCGTCAGCAGTGGAGGCTGGGTGCAGGAGGGGAGCTGCAGCGGAGGGGGGCTGCGGGGGGCGACCCGGCTGGTCCGGAGCTGCATCCAGCTGGTTTGCTGGCAGCGCCGGTTGCGGGGAGGGGCGGCTGGTCTCTTCGGGATCCAGGGGGGCGGCGGGCGGCTCCATGGGGCGGTGGGGTGGCGCCGGCTGGGCAGCCCTGGATGGCTGGAACGGGTATGCGCACGCGCCGGCCTGTAAGCAGGGTAGTCCCCAAAAGCGCCCATCAAGGTTAATGGAGAAACTGTAGCTGGAGTGGTTGCAGAAGGGCATTGGCCCAAGCGGCCCCAGACTGACAGCCGAATTAGGCAAACGGGCAACTAACGATGAAAGGCTTCTGACGAAAATTGGGCGCAAGAGTATGGTGTGTAAACATAGTCATTATTCCAGTTCATTGTGAATCGTGTTTCGCGATATGCGGCGGGGGACTCTAGGCAGTCAAGGAGGGATGACTCGTAGCACATTTTGCCTGTTATGTAGCGGATCGGAGCGTTGAAGCCATATATTCAACACGCCAGTATGATCTGACAACTTCCTTCAAGCAATGAGTGAAATCGCGTTGCCAGAAGGAGCACCTGTGACAATGCCCTCCGTGGCGAGCGTTGCAGTGGCGCAACTCCCTTTTGACCATTTGTAACAACTTATCCACTCCTGACGGATATATGTTGGTTCTTACCTTGGCAGCTATTACAGTGGCCCAGCTGTCCTGAGCTCCTTTTCTGTTTCAGCCAATACGCGCGCAAACTATTGCGACCAGAAACCCATTCCAAACGGAACCCAAACAGGTGAGAACCGTGTAGTCAACGGGCTAAGGCGGCAATGCCCGGTATGAAACTATTCGGTTGGGTAATGCACTCGTCCTGAGACGTGGTGTAGCGCTTAACAAGGCACAGAGAATCAAGTGACAACGGCCTATAGAAAGGCAGGCAACTATGAGTGCTTCTGGTCCAAACAGGGAGCATTCTGCGACATGTTGTCGTGCATTACTGCCGTAATGTTTCCCGTTGATGCATACCCGCCCTTGCGACCCCCACACTAGCTTCAGTAAGAGTTATGGTAGAAGTTACGCTACACTGCGCTATTTGAAGGCTATCTGATAGCGCATGTGACCTGATTTCTCAAGGATTTTTGCGTTGCGGTCATTGTCTGCTAACGTAGCATACCAGTAATTCATTTCACTGTTAAACAGAGGTTCTTAGTTATTTATTAACAATGCAGGCCAGCCCTTCCGGCGGTGAGGCTTGGACTTTGCTTCCCTGAACCTGCTGCGCATGACCCCGAATCTTTTCACGAATACAACATATTTTTCATATGCAACTCCAGGCATGCTGGCCGTTCGCCTAGCCTCGCATGCGATGGCGGCCTGCTCTTTCGCTGCGTCCCTTCGGCCTGGGCTCGCGGAGCTATCTCTTTGGCGCACGGCATCTACTTCAGCATCCCCAGATGCTGCGGAATCCGGGTCTTCAGCAGTCCCCACCCTGGTACGTGTTCGCCCCTCGCAATGCTACCTAGCGGGAGGCTGTGGCTAGGCGCGGAGCGCCACTGGTCAAACCCGCCCCCGCCTTAGGCATGATCCATGACGGCTTCCCGCTGACTAGGCCACTAACCTCCCAGCCTCCTTGTCATCCTCACCCTCTCCCCTTCCCTCGCACCCCTCCCTCCCTCCCTCCCCAGACCGCTGAGCAGCGCCAGCAGCTGCCCCGCCTGCTCTCCCTGCTTGACCGCCCCGGCACCTCCGCGCACCGCCTGGGCGCCCTCACCTCCCTCGCCGCCTCCTACCGCGACCTCTCCGTCTCCCTCTCCGCCCTCCACATGCGCCACATCAGCCTCAACCCCCTCACGGCCTCCGAGGCCGACTACACCGCCACACAGGAAGTCCGGGCCAGACTCAGCGCCCGCACCCCCGCCCCTTCCCCCGACTCCTCCTCCTCCTCCCCCTCCACTGACCCCTCCTCCCCCGCCCCCTCCTCCGCCTCACCCCGCCGCGGCACCTTCCTGCCCCTCCGCGACGTCAGCCTGCTGCCCGAGGACGTGCAGGTGGACGGAGTCACCCCCGCCCCCGCCCAGCCGGCCCTGCACCCCGAGCACATGGACAAGGTGAGCTGCTGGGCGGCCCTGCAGCCGCCCCACCTGGAGATGAGCCACCAGCTGCAGACGGGGGTCAGCCTGTTCCCGCCGAGCGAGGCGGCGCACCCCACCTACGTGGACATGGACGCGGCGCTGCGGCTGCTGGCGCACCACCGGAGCGGCAAGCGGCTGCGGCTGCAGCGGCGGCTGCTGAGGCGGCAGGACAAGTACCAGATGAAGACGTGGGAGCACCACGCTGGGGAGGCGTGAGGGGGGCAACGTGAGGGGGAGTGGGGAGGCATGAGGGGGAATGGGAGTTGGGGGCAGGTGGTGTGGGCTTGGAGGGGCCAGTGGAGTGTTGGGCGAGGCGGTGAGGGTGAGGGTTGGGGGCAGGCGGCGGGAAGTACGTAGCGCCGCGAGTGGTGGTCGGACTGGTTCCCACTGGGATGGCGTGCGGATGGGTTGAGCGGCTGGTTAGGGGGGCCTACGGGCTCGTGAGAGCATTGAATGGCTTGGGGTTAGCGAGGCGACTGCGGTGGATGGAAGGGCGAGCGAGGAAGAGTGCGGTCTGAGGTGCCATTTGCTTTTGCGCACAGGGGGTGCGTTTCAGGCCCTGTGCATTGGGTGCTGCCTTGCTGCTGCTGCTGGGGGGTGTTAGGGGCGCGTCAGGCTGTCTTGTGATGGATTGATGATGTGGGGTCGGCCGCACCAGCTGGTGCTTCTGCTGCTGGGCTCCGCAGCACTGGGGGAAGGCAGCCCGGGGGGTGCCGCATGGTCGGTCTGCTGCTGCGGCTGGTGCTGGTGCTGAGGCCCAACCTGTGTAAAACTTGTTTCAACGCTTCCTTCTTATTACCTCCCTGGCCTGTTCGCCAACTATCTTTGTAAAGACCAGGAGCCCAGGCTGTGCTCAACTGCTTGACAACGGAATCGAGTCTGGCTGCACAGGAGCTGCACCTGGAGGTGGTAGCCAGCCCACCACTGCCGCCTGTGCACCCTTGCTGTCCTGCTTGCAGTGGACAGCACCCCTGCAAGTCTGTGCTCACCCACACTCTCCCCGCCTCCTCACGCTGCTTCCTCCCTCACTCAGCTTCTCCCCGCATTCCCGCTGCCCCCTTCAGCCCAGGAACACCCGGCCACTGCCCCCACCACCGCCCTCTCCCTCCCCCTCGGCCCCCACATCCGCCCCCACCATCCTCGCCCCCCTCGCCCGCGCCTCCGCCCGCTCCCGCGCCCCCTCCTCATCCCCCTGCCCCCTCGCCCTCTCCACCGCCCGCCGGAACACCTCCCCGCTCTGCCACTCCGCCAGACCGTCCCACGGGTCGGCGGGTCGCTCCCGCGCCACCCTCGCGCCCATGCCAGGCCGCCCCAGCGCCACCCTGCCCGGCTCCACCTCCGCCACCTGCACCGCCCCGCACAGCAGGTCTGCGGCCATCTTGGCGAGCAGGGGGGAGAGCTGGTAGCCGTCGTGGTGGAGCAGCAGCGGCGGGGGGGAGGGGGGCGGTGGCAGGGGGCTGGCCGCTGCATCCCCCCTGCCACCCCTGTCGCTGTGCCCCCGTGTGGAGGTGGGGGTGGTGTCCGCCCGCTGGTCCGCAGCTGCGGCCCCCCCGGCCTGCTGCTGCTGCTGCTGCTGCCGGGTGCTCGAGGAGGAAGAAGAGGAGGAGGAAGGGGAGGAGGGGGAGGAGGAGGTGCAGCTGGCGGTGGTGGCGAACACCACCCGGCCGGCCTCGAAGCCGGGCAGGCAGCCCACTGCGGGCCAGCCGTCCGGGGTGGCCAGGTGCAGTGCGACCTCGCCCCACTGGGGGGCAGCGGCTTCCTCCTGTCTCTCCTCCCCCTCCTCCTGCCCTGCCCCCACCAGCGGCCCCACCCCCCGCAGCAGCCGCCCCGCCAGCCGGTGAGCTGCCTGCAGCCGAGCGCTGGGGGGAAAAGGGGGAGGAGGGGGAGGGGGCAGGAGGTGTGAGGGGCCAGCAAGTAGCTGAGCATGACGCTACATAGCTGAAAGCCCTAACAAGCTCCCCATGCGTCTACCGGCCGTGTGCACTGCACATGCGGCCTCCCCCCCCCCCCCCCCCATGTCCCCCACCCGCCCATCAAGCCCCCAACCCCCACTCACCGCTCGCAGCCGCCCAGCCGCCCCCGCCACTCCCAGGGGTCCACCTCCGCAGCTGTCGCCGCCTCCTCAACCGCCCCCACCGCCTCCTCAGCCGCCCCCAGTGTCAGCTTCATGACCGCCCCCCTCGGCCCCGCCCTCCCCCCTCCGCCCCCTCCCGCCGCCTGCGCCGGGAAGCCGCAGTACACCCGCGGCTGCCCCCTCGCAGCAGCTGCAGCAGCAGCCTCCACCTCGGCCGCCTCCACTGCCGCCTGCACCGCCCCCTCCTGTCCGCTGCCCCCTCCACCTCGTCTTCCCCCTCCTCCCCCTGCAGGCCCCCCACCTCCCCCTGCCGCCGCCGCCAGCCCCACCGTCCGCCACAACGGCAGGCCCGCCAGGTCAGGGGAGGCGGCGCAGTGGGCGGCGGAGCTGGGCACCACCTGGGACGGGAGGGAAGGGGGTGGGGTGGGTGTTAGTGCGGGTAAAACACACAGAGAACGCACGCAAGCGTCACCAAGAGCGAGAGCGAACCCATTCCGGCCCTCCGGCTGCTTCCTGCGGCACCGCTGGGCCCCCTGCAGCAGCAGCTCAGCCCAGCCCAGCAGTCCCCCACCTGCACCACATGCAGGGGCCCCTCCCCACCCCCTCACCCCCCTCACCCTCACCCTCCCCACCCCCTCACCCCCCTCACCCTCACCCTCCCCACCCCCTCACCCCCCTCACCCTCACCCTCCCCACCCCCTCACCCCCCTCACCCTCACCCTCACCCCCCTCACCCCCACCCACCTCACCCTCACCCCCACCCACCTGCAGCTGCGCATCCGCCCCGAACAGCCGCAGCGCCGCCCGGCTGCCCCCCACCCCGCCCTCCCCCTCCCCCTCCCCGGGCGCCAGCAGCAGCTGCTCCACCTCAAACACACTGACAGTAGCGGCGCCAGCAGCAGCAGCACCCCTGCCGCCCGCCCCTGCCCTGATGCCGCCCCTCTCCGCCTCCGCCGCCAGCAGCAGCAGGGGGGCGGAGGCGGTGAGGCGCGGGGCGGCTCGCAGCACGAAGTGGCTGCCTGCGTCCCGCCAGCCTGCGGAGGGGAGGAAGGAGAGGGGAGGCGGGGGGGCTAAGGGGCGGGGATCCAGGGAACGGATGACGAGGGCAATCCCAGTCAATTACCTCAGTCACCCCCCCCAACCCCGGACTCGGTATCGGTAGGGACCGCTAACCCATACTTGTTTTTTTGTGGCACCCTGCCGCTCCTATCCCCATTGTCTTGCCCCAACCTGTGGCTTCCTATGGTTCGGTATGGTCTTTGACCCCCCCACCTGCCGGCCCCCCCCCAATCCCACCCCCACCTGCCAGCTGCAGCCCCTCCCTTGTCGCCACCCCCGCCCGCCCGCACAGCTCCACTAGTGCAGCCCGCACCGCACCCGTGTGCAGCACCCCGCCCTCGGGCTGCAGGAGGGGTTTGCGGGAGAGGGGTGATGAGGGGGCAGGAGTTGATGTGAGTGCTGCCGTCGCTGGCCCAGCATACCGGCGCGTAAACCAAAAGCCAAAGCCCGTACACCTCCCCTCGTCATGCATGTCCACACCTCCCCCCCTCCCACCTGCAGCAGCCCCTCCACCCCGCCCCCCAGCCCCGGCCCCAGACCTGGCAGCAGGGCAGCCAGGTCGGTGCCAGGCAGGCAGCCCAGCCGCACGCCCGCAGCCTGGGGGGAGGGGGGGAGGGAGAGGGAGGGGAGGGGGAGGGGAGCGGCGGGGAGTGGAGAGGGAGGGTGTTATCATGCCGGTCCAAATGGAGCCTCGCTGCGATGGGTGCAGTCGTAGCCAACGAGCGCGTGCCTACTCACAAGGCCCCACCCTTTCCAACCACCCCCTGCCCCCATACTCAACCCCATCCTTCCATGCAACATACAGACATACAGACATCGATCCCCTCCCCCCCTCCACTCACCTTGCATGCATCCCGCATGCGCCCCAGCAGCTCCCCCGCCGCCTCCGCCTCCGCCCCGCTCCCTGCCCCCACCCTGCCGCCCCCGCCCCCCACCGGCCCCAGCTCCAGAGAGCGGCTGGGCAGCAGCAGCCCCCGCCACTGCTCCCCGGGCCGGGAGGGGGAGGGGGAGGCGGAGGAGGGGCAGCTCTGCGCCTGCAGGCCTCGCCAGTAGGCGGCGGACTCGGCGGCCAGGCTGCGTGCGGGTGTGTGGGGTGGGAGGGAAGGGTGGAGTTGGGTGGGAAGGTTGCGCGGAGGAGGTGGCAGGACTGATTGACCGGCAGGAGTGCGATGCTCTTCTCGGTGGCGGAGGCAGCACGGTGCAGGCAGCATGGCGGTTAGACCCCAGGTCACACGCATGCCGCACCACCACCCTCCCGTGCATATCAGCACCAACCTCCTCCCTCACCTGACCAGGGCGGGGTCCGGGTGGGGCAGCCGCAGCGGCCGCAGCACCTCTGGTCGGGGCCGGGGGCTGGAGGCCCCTGCTGCTGCCCCCGCCCCTGCTGCCCCCGCCCCTGCTGGTGCCGGTGTTGGGTTGAGTCCCAGGTGCGGCAGCCACACCACCTGGGGGCGGTGGGAGGGGGGAAAACAGTTGGATAAGTGCGGTGCAAGGTGGGCGGTGGTGAGAGTGGCGGCGGGTGAGGGAGCGGGAGGAGGGAGGAGGAGGGGCTAGTAGCTGGCGGGGAAGCAGCGCAGTAATGGTGTTGAGGGATACCGGTACCGCACAAAAGGGGCAGTAAGGTGGGTCGCACCTTCTTGCCGCGGCGGGCCAGCGACAGCGCCGCACAGAGCGCCACGCAGCTGTCCCCCAGCACTGCCACGTCAGCAGCCCGCCGCTCCACCACGGTGGGCTTGGAGGAGGTGGCGATGGTGGGTCCCAGGCCGCTGCCGGGACCCAGGGATTGCAGTGCATATGAGCATCGTCGTGGTAGTGCGGCGACGGTTAAGGGCGCAGCTGGGGAAGATGGATGTAAATCTGGTCTACTATGTCGTCTTATCGCCCAACCGGAACGTCGGAACTGGTGCAAGCGACAGCGTTGGGTTGCAATTGTGCGCTGGGTCGGGGCTCCGACGTCCACGTTGTTAGACATCGCCGGAAGCGTACCAGTTGCTTTCAGCAAATTGATTTTAAGGGCGTCTCCTTGGGAAGCAGGTGCAATACCGGTAACGGCGTCGCGGTTGCTCCTTGCAAGCGACAGGTACGAGGGACCGCAAAGCCGTAATTGCTTCTTGTGGAAAACCGTGGGAGCCTAATAATTATCTCCAATAGGGTTTAAGCACAAATTATGTAAGTTATCGGCGTTTTGCCCGTATCCGCTGTACTCCCGTTGGCATCTAGACGCGCAAGACCGCAAGCCCTACGGGCTTCTATCTGATTTTGAGACGAAATATGACTTGTTGTTAGTTGTCTTACGCATTCTTACTAATCGCTGCAATGCCCTCGATAGCAATGACGGGAGCTGTCGACCAACATCCGCTCGTTGCGAGCCAGTTACCCGCTTGGTATCCGCGGCTTGAGCGTCACTCCTTCAAAAGCATTGTTATACCTTTGCCTCCTGGTTTCCTGGAGTACTTGCAAGAGGACGGCATCTTCTTGGCGGATGACTCGGCGGCGGTCAGTGTCCGCGTCCCATCGCGCGTCTAACAGCCCTATTGCCTTGTAACGCCTACCAACCATATCACACACAAAGTCGCACAATTAGAGTGTCGTCTGAATAAGTGCTTCCTTCCTCGCCGTTCCCGCGTTCGCATCACGACGCAGCACAAGTGCCGCACCACCACACGACCTTCCCATCCCACCGCTTCACCTTTCCCGCCTCATCTCCTCCCCATGGTTTGGTATGGTTTATGATCCCCCTCCCCCCACCCAGGTTCCCGCACTAGACCGCATCGACGCGGCTCTGCTGGTGGAGGGCGACTACCGGCGGGACGACTGGGAGGACGAGTCGGCCCCCGCTGCACCCCCGCCACCCCGCCCTGACCCCCAGCCCAGCCCCAGCGGACCCCTGCACTCCGGCCACCTCAGCCACCCCTCCTCCACCACCACCTCCGCCTCCGCAGAACAGCAACAGCCGCGGCGTGTCAGCAGCACCAGCACCAGCAGCACCGAGGCAACCCCCACCGCTGCTAACGCCGACTGGTCGGCCCGCTTCCCCGCTCTTCGCACCGCCATCGACACCGCCATCTGCCAGCTGGGCGGCCGGGTGGTGCCCAAACTCAACTGGTCGGCCCCCACTGACGCGGTGTGGCTGAGCGCGGGCGGCGGATGGGGTGGCGGTGGGGCGGGTGCGGGGCTGGCCTGTCGGGCTGCTGAGCAGGTGGTGGTGCTGCTCAAGAGCTCCGACCGGCTGGTGCACCACGACGTGGCGCTGCTGGGGCGGCTGGCGGGGGAGGCGGAGGGGTTTGAGGGGGAGGCGAGTGGGGCTGGGGAGGGGGGAGGTGGAGGGGTGGGTGGGGAGCAGGCAGCGGAGGGAGAGGGTGCTAGGGAGGGGGCGGCTGCCGCCTCAGCCAGCAGCAGCAGCGGCAGTGGTAGCTCGGATGGCAGTGGGCGGATGAGCGCGACAGGGGCAGGGGCAGCAGGGGCAGGAGGAGGGGAGGAGTGCGGGTCTGGGGGGTCGGGTGCGGGACCAGGTGGCTGCTGCTCGAGCGGGGGCCGGGGTGGGCTGTGCTCGCTGTTGGTGCCGGTGCTGGTGCTCAAGAAGTGGTACGACCTGCGACCCGAGGGGGAGTTCAGGTGGGCAGGGGGGAGGGGGAGGGGGGGGGCCGGTAGGGGGAGAGGAGAGGAGAACAGGGGGCCGGCATGCCTGTTGCCCGGCATGGGAAGGTGAGTGGGTGAGGGCTAGGGGCACATGCGCCGTCCGGAGTCCATATGTCCGAACCCCCCCCCGCCCCTCTTTTCCTTACTCCCTCTCCCCCCCTCCCGCAGGTGTTTCGTGCGGGGCGGGCGGCTGGTGGCAGCCTGCCAGCGCGACGTGAGCCAGTCCTTCCCCTCGCTGCAGCCCCCCCAGCAGGGGGCAGGCGGGGGCGGGGAGGTGCTGGCGGGGGTGCGGAGGCGGCTGTGGGCCTTCTGGGCCGACCACATGGCGGGCGGGGTGGCGTTGAGGGACTGTAAGTGGGGCGGGGCGCGGCAGGGGGGTGGGTGGGGGGGAGCCGGGGTATGCGCATGAGCAGGGAAGGGACATGGGAAGGGGGTGAAGGTCCTAGACGCCCCATGGACTGGCATCTGGGCCTCACCCTCCGCTGCGTGAGACATGTCGTGCACCAGCCCGACGTGGCCCACCCTGACCCGGCCCCGTAACCCCTCCCCCCTCCCTCTGTTCCCCCCCGCTCTTTCCCCCCCAGACGCCTACGATGTGTACCTCCCGCCCTCCCCCCCCTCCGCCCCCGCCCGCCTGCTGGATGTCAACCCGCTGTGCGACACCACCTCCCCCCTGCTGTACGACTGGGCGGAGCTGGGGCTGGGCGGGCAGGTGGGGGGCCCGCCGCCCCCCGCCAGCGAGCTGCTGGGGGGCCTGTTGGAGCTTGTGAGGGGGGCCGGGCGGAGGGGAGGAGGGAGGGAAGGGGGGCAGGAGGGGCAGGAGGAGGAGGAGGTGGGCCCCGCGGCGCTGCCGCTGCCCACCTGTGCGGAGGAGCTGCAGGTGAGGGGGGTGGGGGGGGAAAAAATAGAATAAGTGATGGATTGCGGGTCTGGGGGCACTGCTGGAACCGCTTGCTGCTTGGCCTTCCTCTTCCCACACTGAAGATGGAAGCATGCTGCTGCTGGCAGCTGTGAGGGGCCGCTGCTGTGTGGGTGTCCACAACTGCATGGGAACACACCCCGCCACCCCACATCCGCCTCTCCCTCTCCCTCCCCACCCCTCCCCTGTCAAAGGTCCGAGTGGTGGAGGGCGGTGCGGCGGCGGGGGCCGCAGCGGGGGTCGGTCTGGGTCCACTGATGCTGGGGTCGCGAGCCGCCCTGGCCATGCCGTACGACATGCTGGGGCTGGCTGACAGCGTGGAGGCGATGATAGCGGTGATGCGGGGGCAGCGGGGGCGGGGGGACAGCAGCAGCAGTAGTGGTGGTGAGGAGGAGGAGTCGGACAGCGAGGAGGAGGAGGGGGGCAGTGGGGATGAGGGACAAGGGGGAGCGGAGGAGGGGTTGCGAGGGGGTGTGAGGGAGGCGGATGGCGGGAGGTGGGCGGTGCGGGAGCCGGACGCAGGGGAGGTGGCGCGGGTGTTTGGAGGGCGGAGTGATGGGGAGGCGGGTGAGGAGGGCGGGGAGCTGGCTGCGATGCTGGCGGGAGGCGGGGAGCTGGCGGGGTTGGAGTAAGGGGGGCCGGGGGAGGTGCTGTGGGTGGGGGAGACAGATGGGGTGGAGGAGGTGCAGCGGTGGTCGCCATGAGCGCCCGGCAGCTGCCGGCAGGGGGCAGCTGGGCCCCGGTGGAGTGCCGGTCCCTGAGGCGCCCTGCCGGCATCAACACACTCCTCCAACACATTCTTGCAACACATTCTTGCAAGTCGCGACCCTAGCCACCACAACCCCCTAGCGCCAGCCCTAGTACGCACTCCGCCTCCAGCTGACTCCAGCGCACTGGCTCCGGGCCATCAACCGCACCAAGTGGGGGCCCCTGGGGCCACCTTCCATTACTTACAGCGCCTGACTGCCTGCCGCAAAACAAAGCGTGTAAGAGCAGCACTTGTCCACACACACCGCCCCGACCCAGCCGCTCGTCCGTCCTCCACATCCCACCGCAGCTACCCCTGCAGACCACCTCGACACCGCTCGGACCAACCCCCTCCTCCTAGTGCCCAGACACACGTCCCCCCTCCCCTCTGTCAGCAGCACCCTGCCACTCGACATTACCGCCCCACCGCCATCCGCCAGGCCCCGCGGAGGTGTTCCCCCTCCTCCCTCTGCCCCCTTCCCCTCCGCCCCGCTTCCCCATCCTGCTGCTGCTGCTGCTGTCTACCCGGCTCTCCCCCGCGCATGTGCCCGGGGCGGGCCGCCCGCCTGCACCTGCAGCGGAGGTGGGGGGGCCCCGGGACCGGGGGGGCGGCTGCGGGGGTGGGCGGCGGACTGCTGCTGCTGCCCCGTCCGCTGCCCCTGCCTCCCCTCCTGCCCCAGCCCCTGCCTCCCCTCCTGCCCCAGCCCCTGCCTCCCCTCCTCCCCCTCCCCCTCCCCCTCCCCCTCCCTCTCCTGCAGCGGCAGCAGGTGGCTGAGCGGGTGCTTGCCGGTGGTGTCGTGGTACAGCAGCAGCGGAGGCGGGGGAGGGGTGTGGTGCTGCCCCTGCCCCTCCCCCTGCCCCTCCCCCTGCTGCTGCTGCCCCTGCCAGCCGGATATGCAGCCCGCCGCGTCCGGCGCCGCCTCCACCACCCGCCCCTCCCGCTGCAGCTCCTGGGGGGTGGGGGGTGGGGGGTGGGGAAGGGGGGTGGGGGGTGGGGGGTGGGGGGTGGGGGGTGGGGGGTGGGGGGTGGGGGGTGGGGGGGGGGGGGTGGGGGGTGGGGGGGTGGGGGGTGGGGAAGGGGGAGGTCAGGGCAGCTAGCTAGCAAGTGGCCAAGGCTGCGACCCACCCCACCCAGGCCGCAGGGGAGAACGGTGAAGGGGGCAGGAGCCACGAGGGCGTCCTTGTTGCTATTGCTGCCGCTGTTGCAGCCCGGAGGGATAGCGGGACCCCGCCTCTCTCCCCTCCCCTCTCCTCTCCTCTCCTCACCTCACATGCCGCAGCCGCCCATGCAGTCCGCCTCACACGGCTGCATGAGCCCACCCCACCGCACACCTCCGGCACCTTCCCCCACCTCCCCACCCCCCCACGCGCACCTGCAGCAGGTCCAGCAGGAAGGGCGACAGGTGGCGCTGCCGCCGCGCCGCCCCCCGCCGCTCAGCGGGGGCGGCAGTGGCGGCCGCAGCAACCGCCCCCGCCTCGCCGTCCGGGTCCCTAGCCGCTGCCCTCCCCCTCTCCCTCCCCCGCTGCTGCTCCCGCTGCTCCCTGTGCCGCTGCCGGTTGGCGGCACGAGTGGCAGCCCAGGTGAGGTAGAGCTGGTCCATGGCGCGAGTGGCGCCTGGGGGGGGGAGGGGAGGGGGGGAGGCCATTGGGTCTCCGGCAAGGTTTGGAGGTATGGGGCTAGTCCCGGTGCGCCGCCCCTCCCAACTCACCCCCGCCCTATCCCACTCCTCGTACCCCTCCCAGCCCGACCCCGCACCAACATGCCCGTAACCCTACCCGCATCCCATGTCCCCGGCCCCAACCCCCTCCCCACCCACCCACGAACAGCAGCCGCCGCTCCTCCTCCACCTGCAGCGCACTGCCGCCCCACCCCCCGCCCCCTCCCCCCCCTCTCCCCCCTGCCGCCCCCCCTGCCGGCCCGCAGTACGGCAGCAGCCCCTCCTCGCACCCCGCCACGAACACGGCGGGGAACTCCAGCCCCTTGGCGCCGTGCAGCGTCAGCAGCCGCACGCAGTCGGGGGGGAGGGAGGCGGAGGCGGAGGCGGAGGAGGAGGAGGGAGAGGGGTCTGCTTCACTGCGCTTCCGCGCCCCCTCCGCTCCATCCAACAGGGGCCCTATGTAGGCGGCTAGCGCCTGCAACACCCCCTCCCCCGCTTTCACCTCCCCCACCTCCCCCGCCCCCCACCGCGCCCCAAACTGCTCGGCCGCCCACACCAGCTCCCGTAGCTGACCCTGCTCCTCAGCTGGGGGGGGGGGGATACGGTGAAATAGGGAGGAAGGGTGAGAGGGGGGTGGGCTGGGTGCTTGGGGGCTGTCACAGGGGGGACAGGGGGGAAGAAGCGGAGCCGCAGGCGGCAGCTCCCGGACCGGTACCGCCCCCTCAACTCCCACATGCACATGATTTCCCTTCTTCTTTCCCCCTCCCAGGTTGCCTTTATTATAATTTTTTTCACCCACCCAGGTCCTTCCTCGCCCCCAGCTCCAGCTCCATCCAGGCCTCGTAGCCCGTGGAGCGAATGACGGCGGTCACCAGGTCCTTAGGGGGGTGGGAGGGGGAGGGGCGCGGGAGGGAGGGAGAAGGGGGGAGAGTATAGCTGCCGTCAGTAAATGACGTCGTTTTAAGCTGGAGGGAGGACAACACTCGTGGCAGGGACAGGGACCCCACCCCTGGAAACCCGTCCCTCCTCTCTCCCCCCTTAGATTTCTCCCCCCATCCCCTCCCCCCATCCCCTCCCCCCCCACCTCCGCGGTGAACCCCGCGTGTTGCGCCACCTGCAGCAGCACCACCAGGTCCCGCAGGAAGCTGGGGGGGGGGAGGTGAGGGGGCGGGGGGGGGGGGCCAGGGGAGAGGGGCGAGGAGGGGAGGAGGTAAGGCAGGGAGGCAGGAAAGGGGTGACACCAAGGGACCCTCCTGCACCGCGTGTCACACACCTGCCTCACCTGGGCTGCCGGCACCCGTCTGGCACCCCACCCCTCCCCCAGCACCTCCCCCTCCCCTCCCCACCCCTCCCCACCCCACCCCCTCCCCCAGCACCCAGCACCTCTCCCTCGTCTTATCACACGGCTCGTTAGTCGTTTCCTCTTCACCCCTCTCCCCCCCCCTCCCCCCCCCCCCACTCACACCACTGCATCGTACTCCGCCTCCCCCGCCTGCAACCCCAGCTGGGCGCACAGCTCGGGCGGGGGCGGGGGGGCCAGAGGGGCGGGGAAGGACTCGTTGTCTACGATCAGCTGGGGGGGGGGCAGGGGGGCAGGGGGAGGGGAGCGGAAAAGGGGGCAGGAGGAGGGTCGGCAAGGGGCAGTTGAGCAGTGTGTAGTTGAGTAGGACAGGAGCAAGCAATGGGGAGAGGTTCGCATGTGAACCGCGAGTACAGGCAAAACAAAGTTGACCGAACCTGAACCGTAATACAGAAAACTGCTTAAATTGCTGTTGCTGGATGTAAGAAGAGTGGCGAGTGATGAGTGACGACGCATGTCGGTGATGCTGATGGTGTCGGAATAAACTAAAATACTACCGAGAACTAAAGCCCGCTGACCAAAGCTCGACGCCGGGAGCCCCCGCTCTGGACACGCAGACGAGACACCACAATGCTGTGCATGCGTGCGTGCAAACGCGCATTGCGTACCTGCGAGCAAAAACGCCGTAGTCAGCACCAGAACCAGCAGCCGCAGTAATGCGAGTAATGCCATGCGCAGAAGCATGAACCAGAGCGAGGAAAGGGGGACAGAGTTAGAGACAAAATGAACCTATATCTAAGTGCGAAATGTACGGCAAAACAGGATGGCATGGCATGGCAGTTGAGCAGTGTGTATGTGTACGGCGTTAGGGCCAGCCAGCCAACCACCGCCCTCCCCCGCTGCGAGAAATGACGGCATCCATGCGCCCTTTCGGGCCCGGTACCCTCGACCCCTAAACCCTCTCTCCCCCTTACCATCCACGGCTCCTCCCCCTCCGCCAGGTCCGGGAAGGGCAGCCTCCGCCGCACCGCCCCCGCCGGCAGTGGACTCCACCGCCCCCCACCGCCCCCACCGCCACCCCCACCCCCACCGCCCCCACCTCCACTAGGTGGGTACTTCTCCCGGTGCGGGGGCGGGGGCGGCAGCAGCAGGCTCATCGCGTCCGCCACCGCCGCCTCCAGAGCGGGAGGGGGGCGGCAGGGCGGGAAGGGGGCCTCGCCGGGTAGGCGCAGCAGCAGCTGCTGGGGCTGCTGAGGTGGGGTGTCACCTCCCCCTCCCCCCGCCCCTCCTCCCCCTCCCCCTCCCCCCGCCCCTCCTCCCCCTCCCCCTCCTCCCCCTCCCCCCGCCCCTCCTCCCCCTCCCCCTCCTCCCCCTCCCCCTCCCCCCGCCCCTCCTCCCCCTCCTCCCCCTCCCCCTCCTCCCCCTCCCCCTCCCCCCGCCCCTCCTCCCCCTCCTCCCCCTCCCCCTCCCGCCTCCTCCACCATGTCCCCGAACAGCAGGCGACCCGGGGGGGAACCGCGCTGGGCGGCTCGGCGCAGGCGGGACAGCACCGCACTGCCTGTGGGGGGGGGTATAGGGGAGGTAGGGGTCTTAGGTTGCTGGTCGCATGCGGCCAACGAGGCGAACACCCCTGTCTATAACCCGTCTGCTCCTCTGCCTCGGATACCTCTCAAGTCCCCCCCTCCCCCCCCCCTCCCCCCCCCCTCCCCCCCCCCCTCACCCGGCTCCACCCCCCTGCGCGGTCGTGTCAGCGCCCCCACCAGCTCCCCCGCCCTCGCCCCCAGCGGCCCCGCCCCCAGCCGCAGGAACGCCCCCAAGTCCCGCACCGCCCCCCCGCTCCAGAAGGGGCGACTCTTGGGCAGCACGTACGGCAGACCCGCGGCCTGCAGCGCCTCCTCCAGCTGCCGGGCCTGGGGGGGGGAGTGGGGGGGAGAGGGATGGGGAAAGGGGAGGGAGGGCGGTTCCGACGTGTTGCCAACATGGACCCCCACGGGCTATGACCGCCCTTCCTCCCGGAGCAGCCCCCAGCTAGCAGACAGGAGAGCCCTGCATGCAGCTGCACTACCTCCCTCCCCCCCTCCTCCCCTCCCCCCCACCTCCCCCCCCCTCCTCCCCTCCCCCCCACCTCCCCCCCCCCTCCTCCCCTCCCCCCCACCTCCCCCCCCCCTCCTCCCCTCCCCCCCACCTCCCCCCCCCCTCCTCCCCTCCCCCCCACCTCCCCCCCCCCTCCTCCCCTCCCCCCCACCTGGCGGTTGAGGCGGTACAGCAGCGCGATGTCGTGCAGCCGCAGCGGAGGGGGAGGGGAAGGGGGGGAAGGAGGGGGGGAAGCCTCCCCTCCGCCTCCTCCCCCTGTCGCCCCCTCCCCCACCAGCCTCCGTATCTGCGCCGCCACCCACGCCGCCTCCTGCCGCCCGCTGCCCGCCGTCACCAGCGCCACCGCGGCTCCCGGCCGGGGGGGCCGCACCGCCTGCAGCAGCGGCGGCTGCTGCTGCTGCTGAGAGCCCACCTGCTCCTGCTGCCACACACCACAACCTTCTCCACCGCTGCTGCTGTTTCCACCGCCACCTCCTCCCCCTCCCTCCAGCATCCCACCACCGCCACCACTGCTGCTGCCACTGCTGCTTGGGGCCCTCCCTGGTGCTGCTGCGGAGCTGCCCTCCCACCCCCACCCCACCTCCCACCCCCACCCCACCTCCCTCTCCCTCGCCGCCTCCCTCCCCCTCCCCCGCTCCCGCTCCCTGCTGCGGGCGGGGGCGGTGATGAGGCGCTCCGCCACCTCCACGATGTGCGGCAGGGACCTGGCCAGGGAGGGGGGGCGGGGAAGAGGGGATAATTGAAGGGAGCCGAGGAGGTGTGCACGGGAACCCTCACAGCCCCTCCCCACCCCCACTCACCCCCCCGACACTCCCAACCCCCCACTCCCGCCCCCACCCGCCCACCTGTGGTTGCGCCGCAGGGAGAGCCACGTCACCCCGCCACCACCGCCACCCGCGCCAGCACCACCCAGGGGGGGTGCGGGAAACCCGGCGGCAGGAGGCGGCGGTGGCTGGGCAGTCGGCCCCATAGCCCCTGCCGCCGGCGCCGCCGCCGCATTAGGCACGCCAGCTCCCCCCTCCCCCTCCCCCTCCCCCTCCAGCACTGGGGGCGGTGGCGGCCCCTCCCCCTCCTCCCCCTGCCTCCCCCCCTCCGGCAGCGCCCCCCTCCACGTGTAGATGGCCTGCCGCGAGTCCCCCACCGCGAACAGCTGCGCCCCCTCACTGCGCAGCAGGTGAACCAGGGTGTGCTGGGGCAGGTTGGTGTCCTGGGGGAGGGGGGGAGGGGGAGGGGAGGGGAGAGGGGGGAGGGGGGGAGAGGAAGAGGAATGATGAGTGAGAGAGGGCAAGCGGGTGGCGCGGGCTGCCAGCCCGCCTACCCAGCTGACAGTGGCACCTCCGAAACCCCCCTCCCACGTTCCCCCCCTCCTGCACCCCGGGGTCCACCCCCCCCTCCACTAGCCCACCTGGAACTCGTCCACCAGAATGTGTCTGCATGAAGGGGGGAGGGAGGGGAGGGAGGTGAGGGGGGAGGGGGAGGGAGGTGAGGGGGGAGGGGGAGGGAGGTGAGGGGGGAGGGAAGGAGGCGCGGGCAGCAGCTTCAGCCCAGGGGGCGGGATGGTGGAGAACAACACTGGACCCCGGGGTATAACACGTGAACCACCTCGTCCCTTCTTCTCCTCGCTCACCCAACACTCCCCCGCCCCACCTGATCCCCCCCGCCGCCGCCCTCCTCGCCCCCGGCAGCCGCATCAGCGCCACCGCCAGCCCCAGCAGGTCGTCGTAGTCGGCTGCACCCGCGGACTGGGGGGGGGGGAGGGGGGAGGGGCGGGTTGTGTTGCCGGTAGGGGTTACGGCCGAATCCGGACCCAGTTCGGGGAAGGAAGGGAGCAGGGACGCACACGCGGTGCAGGGTTGCAGAAGGAGGGGTGGCTCCTACCCGCTGTGGCCCCTCTCCCCTCTGCTGCGGCCCCCATCCCCCCTCTGCTGTGGCCCCCATCCCCCCTCTGCTGCGGCCCCCATCCCCCCTCTGCTGCGGCCCCCACCCCCCCTCTGCTGCGGCCCCCATCCCCCCTCTGCTGCGGCCCCCATCCCCCCTCTGCTGCGGCCCCCATCCCCCCTCTGCTGCGGCCCCCATCCCCCCTCTGCTGCGGCCCCCATCCCCCCTCTGCTGCGGCCCCCACCCCCCCTCTGCTGCGGCCCCCACCCCCCCTCTGCTGCGGCCCCCATCCCCCCTCTGCTGCGGCCCCCACCCCCCCTCTGCTGCGGCCCCCACCCCCCCTCTGCTGCGGCCCCCATCCCCCCTCTGCTGCGGCCCCCACCCCCCCTCTGCTGCGGCCCCCACCCCCCCTCTGCTGCGGCCCCCACCCCCCCTCTGCTGCGGCCCCCACCCCCCCTCTGCTGCGGCCCCCATCCCCCCTCTGCTGCGGCCCCCATCCCCCCTCTGCTGCGGCCCCCATCCCCCCTCTGCTGCGGCCCCCATCCCCCCTCTGCTGCGGCCCCCATCCCCCCTCTGCTGCGGCCCCCATCCCCCCTCTGCTGCGGCCCCCATCCCCCCTCTGCTGCGGCCCCCATCCCCCCTCTGCTGCGGCCCCCATCCCCCCTCTGCTGCGGCCCCCATCCCCCCTCTGCTGCGGCCCCCACCCCCCCTCTGCTGCGGCCCCCACCCCCCCTCTGCTGCGGCCCCCATCCCCCCTCTGCTGCGGCCCCCATCCCCCCTCTGCTGCGGCCCCCATCCCCCCTCTGCTGCGGCCCCCACCCCCCCTCTGCTGCGGCCCCCACCCCCCCTCTGCTGCGGCCCCCACCCCCCCTCTGCTGCGGCCCCCACCCCCCCTCTGCTGCGGCCCCCACCCCCCCTCTGCTGCGGCCCCCATCCCCCCTCTGCTGCGGCCCCCATCCCCCCTCTGCTGCGGCCCCCACCCCCCCTCTGCTGCGGCCCCCACCCCCCCTCTGCTGCGGCCCCCATCCCCCCTCTGCTGCGGCCCCCATCCCCCCTCTGCTGCGGCCCCCATCCCCCCTCTGCTGCGGCCCCCATCCCCCCTCTGCTGCGGCCCCCATCCCCCCTCTGCTGCGGCCCCCATCCCCCCTCTGCTGCGGCCCCCATCCCCCCTCTGCTGCGGCCCCCATCCCCCCTCTGCTGCGGCCCCCACCCCCCCTCTGCTGCGGCCCCCATCCCCCCTCTGCTGCGGCCCCCACCCCCCCTCTGCTGCGGCCCCCACCCCCCCTCTGCTGCGGCCCCCACCCCCCCTCTGCTGCGGCCCCCATCCCCCCTCTGCTGCGGCCCCCATCCCCCCTCTGCTGCGGCCCCCATCCCCCCTCTGCTGCGGCCCCCATCCCCCCTCTGCTGCGGCCCCCATCCCCCCTCTGCTGCGGCCCCCATCCCCCCTCTGCTGCGGCCCCCATCCCCCCTCTGCTGCGGCCCCCATCCCCCCTCTGCTGCGGCCCCCATCCCCCCTCTGCTGCGGCCCCCACCCCCCCTCTGCTGCGGCCCCCACCCCCCCTCTGCTGCGGCCCCCACCCCCCCTCTGCTGCGGCCCCCATCCCCCCTCTGCTGCGGCCCCCATCCCCCCTCTGCTGCGGCCCCCACCCCCCCTCTGCTGCGGCCCCCATCCCCCCTCTGCTGCGGCCCCCACCCCCCCTCTGCTGCGGCCCCCACCCCCCCTCTGCTGCGGCCCCCACCCCCCCTCTGCTGCGGCCCCCATCCCCCCTCTGCTGCGGCCCCCACCCCCCCTCTGCTGCGGCCCCCACCCCCCCTCTGCTGCGGCCCCCACCCCCCCTCTGCTGCGGCCCCCATCCCCCCTCTGCTGCGGCCCCCATCCCCCCTCTGCTGCGGCCCCCACCCCCCCTCTGCTGCGGCCCCCACCCCCCCTCTGCTGCGGCCCCCATCCCCCCTCTGCTGCGGCCCCCATCCCCCCTCTGCTGCGGCCCCCATCCCCCCTCTGCTGCGGCCCCCATCCCCCCTCTGCTGCGGCCCCCATCCCCCCTCTGCTGCGGCCCCCATCCCCCCTCTGCTGCGGCCCCCACCCCCCCTCTGCTGCGGCCCCCATCCCCCCTCTGCTGCGGCCCCCACCCCCCCTCTGCTGCGGCCCCCATCCCCCCTCTGCTGCGGCCTCCCCTCCTCTCCCCCCCCACGAATTGAGGAAAATGCGTATTCCTAAATCCAGCGTAATGCGGAATCTTCATCCCTATTAGCCCCCCCCTACCTTCAACGCCGCCTCGTAGCGCTCGAAGGCCGCCAGAAACACCTCCAGGGAGGTGGGAGGCCGGGAGGGAGGGGGAGGGAGGGCGGCTCCAGGGGGGGCGTCCAGCGTCAGAAGCCCCTCCTCCCCCTCCTGCCCCCCTGCTGTCACCCCCGTCCCCGCCCCCCTGCCCGCCGCCTCCTCCTGTTCCGCCAGCATTCCCCCCAGCTGCGGATGCTGCCGCCCCAGCTGCCGCAGCAGGGCCAGCAGGGCAGGGCGGCTCAGACCCGCTGTGGTCTCGGAGCGGTTCTTCAGGTAGGACACCAGCTCCTGGGGGGGGAGGGGGGAGGGGAGGGGAGGGAGGGGGAGGAGCGGGTACGTGGCGAGGAGCGTTGAGGGGGGGAGGGTGAAGGGCTGTGGTCGCTTTCCGACGGGCAACATGAGGATTGGGGGAGCCCCTGCGGCCCCCTGCCTTGCATGCCAGTGTACTCCTCTGCCTTCATGCCTTCCCCACCCACCCACCCACCCCCACCCCCACCCCCACCCCCACCCCCACCCACCCGCACTCTCTTGACCCGGGTGTGGTCGTGCGGCAGCCCCCACCCCGCCTCCGCCCACCGCACAGCCTCCAGCAGCAGCCGACTGCGCTCCTCCTCCTGCGGGGGACATGGTGGGTGTGTGGGGGGGGGGAGGGAGATGCAAGGGGGTAGCAGCAGAGGGGGCCGGGCAGCAGGGGGGGCGGGTGACTCTGCGCTCCGCTGCCCTGGGCGGCCATGCAGGGGCACTGCGGGGCCCACCTAAGGTCGCCAGGGCCCCACAGGCAGCCAGCGGCCCCGGCGGGACTGCCAGTGGCCGCCTTCCCCACCCTGCACGGCCGCTCCTCCGCCCCCTCTCCCAGCAACGGAGGTGCTGTTCTTCTCTGCCCCTCTCCCGCAACCCCCCTACCCCCCTGCTATCCCTTCGCCCCCCCCCTCCCGCCCCCACCTCCAGCACTCGGAAGTCCCGAGGCAGGGAGGCCAGTCGGGAGTTGGGTGCGGAGTGGGAGCGGAAGTGGTGGAAGTGGGTCCTGGGGGGGAGGGGGAAGGAAGGGTGAGTGGCGGGGAACAGCGGTGGGGCGGAGAACAGTGGCGACTGGGTACGGTACGGGGGGGTGCGCGAAGGGCCTTGCTCTGGTGACGCATGGAGCTCCCGAGCAGACGCACCCCCCCCTCCCCCCTCCCGTCCCTCCTCCACACCTTAAGAGTCGGGCGCTGAGGGAGTGGAAGGTGCCCGCCGCCACCCGCTCAGCGGCCCGGGGGCCCAGGGCGGTGCGTAGGCGGGACACCAGCTCGTCGGCTGCCTGCGGGGGGCAGGGGAGGGAGGAGGGGAGGGACATCTAGAATCCGCTTCACGGCCCCTGCCCCTGCGGTGTCCCGGCGACCCGGCCCCACCCCCCTCGGCTGCCCCCTCTGCCTCGCCTCCGCAGCAGCCCAGTACGGCAACCTCCCGAGGCGGCAAAGAACCCCCCACCATTACCTCCATAGGCACCACACCACTGTCCTAACCCGCCACACCTCCCCTACCGTCCCTCCCTACCGTCCCTCCCCTCCCACCTTCCTTGTAAACGTCACCACCGTCACGTGCTCCGGCTTCACCCCCCGCCCCTCCACCAGCTCCACCACCCGGGCAACCAGCGTGCGGGTTTTGCCACTCCCCGGACCCGCCTCCACCCGCACCTCACCCGCACCCCCAACCCCGCTGCTGCCACCATCGCCACCGCCATCCCCATCACTCCCGGCTCGCACCGCCGCCAGCTGCTCCTCGTTGAGACCCGCGTAGCGACCCGTGGGTCCGTCGACACTGCTGCCAGGGGGGCTGCTGCTGCCTTTGGGGTCCGGGCTGGTGGTGGTGCTCCTGGTGTGTCTGCTGCTACTGCCCGCAGCGCCAGTGCTAGTGGAGAAGGCGGCAGCAGCTGCAGCACCAGCAGCGGCACCTGCAGCCCTGCCGACAGGAGCCAAGGTGGCAGCAGCCGGGGGGCGGGGGGTGCGCGGCAGGAGGGCGAAGCCTGGGGAAGCTGCTGCTGCTGCTGCTGCTGCTGCTGCCAAGGCATGGGGTGGGGCTGTGTCTGACACTCTGCTGACGGGGGCTGAAACTGCCATAGGTGGTCGAGGAGGGGTTGGAGGGAGGGGGAGGGGGAGGACAGCGGGGCTCGCAGCGCCGGGCTGCCCGCTGGACTGGCCATGTGGACGTGGACTTGTCACCGCGGGGCCGGCAGCTGGGCTGCTACAGCCGCTGCTCCTGCTCCCGGATAGACCGTTGAGCTGGCTGGCAAGGTGTTTAGAATGGTGGTTGGGGCCAGCAGTGCTTTGGGCTGCCTCTTCCTTGCTCGGATGTATGTTGTGGAATGGCGCATCAAGGATGGCCCGAGAGCTACTGCTATTACCGCCGAAAAACTGTGCGACAATTGGGGCTTGCGAGTGGCATAACTGTCCCGACACCAGTTTGCGGCTGCTGTCGACCGCAGCCTTGGCCGCGTGTCTCATGGCGCCACTTGCCTAACGGTTAGGCCGCCGTAAGGGCCGCACTGTATGAACTAATTTTAAAACCGTACCTACATTTTAGTTAAAAAGCAACATACGTTTCAACAGCTTTCAACGACCGTGGTCAGGATAGTCACGACCTTCACGAGACGAAGGTCGTGAAGCAAGCAACACGGACGGACTGTTCTGAGACGAATTAAGAAAATCCAAATCCCTCGCACACATCGCTGTCAGTGCTTGTAGTCGCGTAGCGCAAGGCCGCAAGCAGCGCTGACATCGGTTGCGGCTCCGGAACAGCGCAGTACACATCGTAGTAGAGCGGAACAGCGTAACGAAGCAAGCTTATTAAAGGCGCTACGTTAGCGATGCATAAGGATTTACCAACAGCGACTCCTGGATTGTTTCGGTAGCTATTTCTTTAGTCGTTTACGTCTAGCGAAGCGACATGCTGTGCAGTAATTCGCGCCTCGCCTCCCTGCCGAGTCGCCCGCAGCGTCGACCGGTGTGCGCTCGCTGCTCGGCGCATGTGAGCAGTGGCACTGCACAAGTGGTGGCTGCAAAGCTTGCTGTTCTCTGCGACCGAGGCCCCCGCGCCGTAGCCCTGAAGTCGCCATCCCATACCCCCCATTCAATCGGACTGTGTCCATTTCTTGTCGACCGAGCACGTTGCTTCCGCACCATCTACCGCCCACACGTGCCTTTCGCTGGGCCGCATTTGCCCGACTGCCTCTCCCCTTCCCGCCACGTACCATGGCTACCCTCTCCTCTTTGTCCCCCCCCCTCCCTCCCCTGCCCCCCCTCCCTCCCCGGCCCCCCAGGAGGCGACCCCCCAGAAGTCCCACTATGTGGCCATGAACGTGTTCAAGGTGGGCTGGGGGGACCCAGTGGGGGGGCCGGGGGGGAGGAAGTACTGGGCAGCACTGGGCAGGAGTACGGCAGGGGAGGCCCCAGTAGCAAAGGCGGTCCCCCTATTGCGCCCGCTGCCCGGCTACCCGGCTGCTCTTTTAAACCCCCCTTCCCCCTCTCCCTTACCCAACAAGTTTGACTATACGCTCCTTTAATCCAGCCTAATGCGTAAGATGTATCCTATTACCCACCCACCCCCGCCAGGTGAAGCCCGAGAGCGGCCCCGAGTTCGAGGCGGTGTGGAAGAGCCGCGAGAGCCGGCTGAAGCAGATGCCGGGATTCGTGAGGTTCGCCATGCTCAAATGTATGCGAGGGGGGGACGGGGTGGGGTGGGGCGGTGGGTTTGGGGTGGGGGCGGGGTAAGGTCACTAGGGTGCCCCCTGTGCGTCCACCCGGCCCGTGCGGTGTATGCATGACCCGCCCGCCCGGTGTGGGTAATGTGCGCCCCCCCCTTCCCGCCCCCGCAGGTGAGAACGTGCCGGGCAAGTACATCAGCCAGGTGGGGGGGCGGGGGGGCAGAGAGGCGGGCAGCGCAAGGGGAGGGAGGGCAGGATGGTGGATGGGGCGGCAAGGGGCCCCTCGCTCCCCCCGCTCACACACCTTGGTGAGAGCGGCCAACTCGTTCCTACTCGCGGCCAGTTTTCTTAACACACCTTGGTGCTGACCAGGACCCTGACGCTGGGAGGATGGGGCGGCCTTGAGCAGCACGACTCAGGGTTTATAGCCTTCATGGGTTGGCAGGTCAGGGATATTTCCCCTTGTAGCCCCGCGTACCGGTATTCCTCCTCAGCCATGCTTGGATACCGTAGAAGCCACCTCTTCCCCCCCGCTCCCTTCCCTCCGAATGCGCTCACTGCATGAGTCGGGATATGGGATTGGGATTTGTTGTTTCACTTTTATATAATTTTCCCCCCTCCCTTCCCTCCCCCTGTCCAGTCCACCTGGGAGAGCAAGGAGGCGTTCGAGGGCTGGACCCGCAGCTCCCAGTTCGCAGCCAGCCACGGAAGCAGCAGTGGGGGCAGCGGACACGGGGCCAGCAGCAGCAACCAGCGGCCCAGCACGATGAGCCTGCTGGAGGGGCCGCCCTCGCCCGAGCTCTTCACCACCGTCACCATCACGGAGTAGGGGGTTGATGCGGTGTTAGGGGGCGGAAGCGGCGGTCGATGGGAAGGTGTGGTGGGGAGGGAGTCCTACCACGCGGAAGGGGGACTACATGTTGACTGCCGAGGAGCAGTAGGGAGAGCAGGTGAGGGCTGTGCAGGGCTCGGGAAGGAGGGGGCGGGACACGTGCATGTGCAGCAAGCAGGGGGAGTGCGGCAGGGGGGTCTGGTAAGGGAAGCGGTTGGGGGTGGGGAGAGGGGTTGACATGCGCGTGTGAGGAGCCTCCGGTGCGGTAGCTCTGATGGGTCCAGTGGGGCGCAGGGAGATAAGAGAGGACAGCTGGTGTGGACATGCAGCACTGTTGTGATTGCCAAGTACAGCACAACATGTACACAAGCTGTTGCGACATTCCCATCGCTGGATGCTCCCCCTGCCCCCCACCGCCGGGTGGAGTGGAATTCTTGCCGCCTGTAAGTCCCGTAGGCCTTCTCCGCACCGCCAACCTGACCCCCCGGTCACTCGTCTCACTCGTCCGTTTCCTCACCACCCCCGCGCTGCTGCTGCTACCGCCAGCCAGCCAAGCAGCCCGACACAAAGCCGTTGCACCTGGTGGGCACTACGAGCAAGCAAGTCCGGAACCTGGTCCTGGGCGCCTTACCTACCGGACGTACCGCCATACTAGTAACCCGTCTTTCCTAGCTGCACCTCAATAGCTCTTGGACAGGCAACCGTCATGACACGCGTTCCGTCGTGCATCTGCCCCCACGAGACATCTGCAGCCCTCACCACCTCCCTGCCTGATCTTTTCCTCCCGCTCCGCGCCTCCCCCCCAAATGATCCTTCCCCCGAGGTGAGCTCAAGTATGCGAAAGACGCCGCCCACACACCTAAACACCTTCACCAGCACCCTCCATCCTGCCCTCCCCCACCTCCCCCTCTACCCGCCCCCCCTAGAAGTCCATGCTCATCTGCCCCACCGCCACCGCCACCCTCGTCCTGCCCGCCAGCTCCTCCTTGTTGCTCGCCGCCAGCCCGCTCAGCAGCACCCGCTCGAACAGCCGCACCGCACCGCTCATGCTGGTGGCACGCCAGGGCTCATCGCCCTCCCCCTTCTGCAACCCCTCCTTGCCCGCCTCCTTGCTCCCCTGCACCCCCTCCTTGCCCCCGGCCTCCTCCTCCTCCCGCCTCCGCTTCCCCGCCTCCCCCAGCTCCCGAAGCAGCGAGGCGACCGAGGGCACTCCGTCCGGGTCGAAGCTGTCCACCTCCGCCGGGTCGATGGGGACACACACCTTGCCCGTCTTGGGGTGCACGCAAAAGGGGGCCTGAGGGGGGGGGGGGGGGTAAAGGGTTCGAGAGAGGGGAGGGGGTATCAAGCTGCAAGGCCTGCAAGGCGGTGTACGTGCAGAAGGGCGGCAAACACACGCCTTCCTGCAGGCCCCCCCTGGCGGCGGCGCAGCGCCCCCGAGCCCTGCAAGACACAGCAAGCAGCCCTCCTCCCCCCCTCACTCCCCATCCTCCCCCCCCTACCTTGAGCAGGTGGTTCCTCTTCCGCGACACCTCCATGTCCAGTCGCGGGTAGGCGTGTGCCAGCACGATCTCATCCAGGCACCGCTCCAGGGGGCCCAGCACCTTGTAGTTGGGGGCGGTACCGCGGCCGCTGCGGGACCGCTCCTCGGCAATCTGGGGGGGAGAGGGTAGGGGGAGGTGGTGTTGGTTGGGCTGTGTGGAGATGGAGAGGGGTTTCAGTAAGTCTCTCATACCCGCCACGTCACGCCCCTCGGCTCCCCTCGCCCCTCCACATCCAGTGGCGCCCACCCCACCCATTCCCCTCCCCATCCCCCCCACCCCTCCCCCCCTCTCACCCTGTTCCTGACCTCCTCCTCCAGCAGCCCCCACCGCACCACACTGACGTCCTGGGGGGCCTGATGCGGGTGCTGGCGGGAGGCGCTGCGGGCGGCTGCAGGGAGGGGGGGGATGAGGGGGAGGAGGGACCGGATGTCAGCTGGGCGGCATGCGGAGGAATCATGCAGCGGGGACCAGGACAGCAGCCAGCAGCCAGCTGGCCACACGCCTTCATGAATGCTGACCTCCCCTCCCCTCCCCTCCCCCCACCCACACCCTATCACCTACCTGCCGCCCACCTCTTCCGCACCGCCTCCACCAGCCCCTCCTCCGGCAGGTACCGCAGCAGCGCCTCGCAGGTGGGGCCGTCCTCCAGCAGCCGCTGGGAGGGGAGCAGCGTCTGGGGGGGGAGGAGGAGGGGAGGAGGGGTACTTAGAAGGATTGCATGCATCCACCCCCCCTCAAACGGCTGCAGGGCAGGTTGAATCAAGACAAGAGCACAACAAGCAAGCAAGCAAGCAAGCAGACGACAGACACAGCAGAGAGACATCCCCACCCCTCCCTCTCCCCCCCACCTGCACCCACGCCTCCCGCAGTATCCCCGCCGCCCGCTCCACCGCGGGGTGCAGGTTGCCGCTGAGGATGCCCACCCGCGCCCGCCCCTCCTCCTGCCCCCGGTACACGGCGAACCAGGAGGCGATGGCGGAGCGCTGCTCGTCACTCAGCTGCCGGGCGCTGAGGAGGGGGGTAGGGTGAAAGACCATACCGTAGCATGGTCGGGGAGGTAGGGTTAGGGTTAGGGGGGGTAGGGGGGGACGTGTCGCGCGTGGGTCGCGGGATGCCATCTGGTGATGGGTTGGGGTATACTAGACTTGTGGGGAACAACAGCTCCCTGCTGCCCCCCAGCTCCTTTCCTATACCCTCCTCTCCCTCCCCCCCCACCTGGGGTCGCACACCCAGCAGTGCACTCCTCGCCGCCCCGAGTACACCCACAGGATGTGGCGGAACCCAAACTCCTCCCGCAGACCCGCGTCGATGATCTGAGGGGGGGGCCGGAGGGGGGAGGGGGGAGGGCGGAGGGGAGGCACAGCCGGCATGTTGAGCCACGAGTGAGCCAGGATGACTTGGAGAGCTGGCGGCACCGAGAGCTGCAAACAGGTACCCTCGGGCCCCAACAACAAAGAAGCCTTGGAGCTTACTACACCACTGCACCACAAGGGCTAACCTCTCCTCCTCTCCTCCCCCCCCCCACCTTGACCGCCACCGCCATGAGCGGCCAGCACCTGCCGCAGATGTGTCCCCCCCTGCCGCAGGTGCGCACGTCGTCATAGTCCGTCAGGTCGATGTCGAACACCAACTCGCGCTCCAGGGGCTGGAAGGCGGCTGGGGGGAGGGGGGGGAGGGGGGGTAAGGATTGCTGCTGCTTTCCCTTGCAACCCCTTCCTACCCTCCCGGCGCCGCATGCTTGAGGACCTCCTCCCGACCCCTCCCCTCCCCTCCTCTCCCCTCACCCCCGAACTTGTGCCTGTCCTGCGGGTTTGCGGAGTACACGGGCCCTATGTCGATCTTGGCGGGGCAGCGCCGCTGGATCGCCTCCTGCAGGGCGGCGCCGTCCTGGGGGGAGTGGGAGGGATGGGAAGGAGGAGGGGATGCATCTTGCTTTGCACGAGGCTGGTGGAGACGGCTAGAGGGGTTGGGGGAGGTGTGCCTGCCTCCGGCCGCAGCAAGCGCTCCCTCGCCCCTGCTCCTCCCTCCCTCGCCCCTCTCTCCCTCCCAGCCTGTCCCTCCCCTCCCCTTCCCCCCACCTTGAACGACTGGTAGCGCACAAAGATATCGCCGTCCAACGTGAAGCAGAACTCGCGGCGGCTGAAGAAGTGCGCGTCGGCCTGCGCGTGCTTGCTGTCTGAGGGGGGGGGGAAGGGAGGTGTAGAGGAGAGGGTGCCAAGGTATAGGGGGAGCAGAGTGGGTGGGTGGGTTAGGGGATAATGACCCACCAGGTCGCTGTGACCCACTTACCGTTGCCGTACGCTAGCCACCTGGCCATGTGCTGGTGGGGGAAGAGCTTGGCTGCGGCAGGAGCGGGGGATTGGGTGGGTAAGAGCCCTCTTGCGGGCGCGTCAAACAGCCTGTACCGTACCGTAGTAGGTGGGCATGGCCTCCTGGACATTGATGTTCGGCTCCGGCGCGGCCTCGCCTGCAGCATACAGCGAGTGAAGCGGTAATAAGCTGGTGCCTAGGTAGGGAGACTTCCCTCGGAGATTATGACAGTAACTGTTCCTTCCAAGCCTTCCAAACTGCTGGAAGGGATGGCCCGACACACCTGGCTCATCCTGATCAACCCTTTGACGCTTGTTGGCATCTGTATATGCAACAAAGTGTAGGTAAAGTTGTCTGAGGATAGAGGACCGTCGAGCAGCTAAAGGAGAAGGTTGCCTACCGGCCATTTTAAGAGCGCCCAGGTGTCAAGCTCCTGGCCCGCTTTACAGTTCCTAACAGTTCAATGGCATATGCGTTCTAAGGCGTGGCTGAGTAGCTGTAAGGTGTTTATAGTGCAAGCAAGAAGGACAGACACTTCGCCGGATAACAGACTCCAAGGTGTTGCACAAGCAGCAGGCCTACGTTGTGTTCTGGTCCTTATAATAGCAACATGGAGAAGGACGTTTGGCTAGTTGCGGTGTTTCTGTCGAGTATGTCTTTCGCGCGCTTTACTTGTACGAGAACTGACATGGCATGCGAAGCATGGAACCGCAGTGCTGCTTACTTGTTGCATTCCGTTAGCTAACGCTTTGTTGTGCGTAGCACTTGAATCACAGAGCCATTATTACGTGCAACCCCTTGTTACAGTGAGCGAGAGCATGGGACGTGGCAATGCCGCAAAGGACCAGCAAGGCCTGGGCCTGGAATGGCCGCTATCTTTTGGGTGCATATTCTTGAACTAACTTACACTACCTGAGGCCCAGTTATAGGAGGCAAGAAGCCTCCTTGCGTCCTTGGACAGGGCGATGGCTGTTAGGACCGTAGGGTTGTCCTGGCTCGAGGCCCTCCAGTTCCTAGCTGAACCGCTCGACTGCTCACCAAATTCGACTGCAAACCTTTTAGTCATATCAGCTGGCGGCAGGGGCTCCTCGCCAACTGCTCCCTGGGGCCATCCGCTTCTCGATGACGTCTGGCGACTATCCTGCCGCACGCAAGCGCGCCCAGCCATACTCCTCCTCCTCTTCCTGGCTGCTGCAATCCTCCTAGTCATAACCCTACGCAACGTGTGCATCAACCTGGTGCGGTAAGTCGTCCTCCTCCTTTGCCGACCCCCTACACAGCCCGCCCTGCTGCTCCCACTCACCCCGTCCCTCCCTCCTTCCCCACCTCCTCCTCCTCCACTGTCACGCCAAACACTGGATATCCTCCTCCCCTCCCTCCCAGCTGGTACGCTGCCGCCCGCGGCAGTGCCTTTGTCGCGGTCGCCACCGCCGCCCTGCGCGAGCTGCACGCCAGCGGGGCGCTGTTCGCCGCGGCGGCAGCGGGGGCAGCGGCGGAGGGGCAGGAGCGCGGTGACACCGCTGCCGCCGTCAGCCCTGCTGCTGCTGCCGAGGGGGGGAGCGGTGAAGAAAGTACGACAGCAGCCGCAGCAAGTGATGGCAGTGGCAGTAACAGCGGGCTGAGCCTGTGGGTGGGCCGCCCTCGCCCCCCCAGTGCGCACCGCTGGTACGCGCCGCCCGCCCTCACGGCCCCGGTGGTGTGCTGCGTGTGCTTCCAGCCGGCGGTGGTGGCGCAGGGGGCGGGGGAGGCGGAGGGGCAGGCGCAGGTGGGGGAGCGGAAGGGGGGGAGGGGTCTAGGTAGCATGCCGGGGGCCGGGGACTGAGGACGCCGGGGGTGGAGGGTGTCGCCGCTTCCGGTCCCTTCAGCTTCTCTGCTGTTGTAACCCGCCTCCCACTCCCCCCCTCCCTCCCTTTTTCCCCTCCTCCCTCCCCCTCCCCTCCCCCTCCTCCCTCCCCTCCCCCCCCAGTGTTGCGAGCTGTGCGGGGTGGTGTCGCACGCCAGCTGCTGCCGCGCCGTGCCGCACAGCTGCAGGCTGCTGGCGCTGGCAGCCCCGCTGCCGGCTGCTGGGGCTGAGGCGACAGAGGCAGCAGGGGGGGCGGGAGCAGGCCCCCTGCCGCCCCTGCCCCACGACTGGCGGCCGGCGGGCACCACCTTGGACCTGCTGCTGCCGCCCGCGGTAGGGGGGGGGAAAGGGAGAAGGAGAGAGAAGACGAGGGGGCGGCTCCCACGGCGGCAGGAGTGATCCAGGTAGCTCTCCATGCAGGCATTCCCCTGACTGCCCCCTCCCCTCCCCTCTCCCCCCCCCCCACCCCAGGATGCGGAGATGCTGTTGTCCGGCGGCGCCCCCCCGCCCCACGACCCCACCTCCCCCACCCCCACCCCCACCCCCTCCTCCTCCTCCCCCCCGCACGGCCCCCCCTCGCTGTGCCTCTACTGCGGCGCCCCCTGCGAGGTGGGGCTGCTGGCGGTGGAGCCGGTGTGGAGGTGCGCGGGGTGCAGGTGAGGGGGCTGGGGGGGGAGGGAAGGGAGGGGGGGAAAATTATATAAGTGAAACAACGAGTCCCAATCCCATCTCAGGGGGGGAGGGAGGGTGAAAGGGAGGAAGGGATTGAGGTTTAGCTCTGGGGCTCATACACATAAGAACATAACCACCCTGGCATGCCGCTCCCCTCCTCCCACCTCCCCCGCCTCTCCTCCGCCGCTCCCCTCCTCCCACCTCCCCGCCTCTCCTCCGCCGCTCCCCTCCTCCCACCTTCCCCGCCTCTCCTCCGCCGCTCCCCTCCTCCCACCTCCCCCGCCTCTCCTCCGCCGCTCCCCTCCTCCCACCTTCCCCGCCTCTCCTCCGCCACTCCCCTCCTCCCACCTCCCCCGCCTCTCCTCCGCCGCTCCCCTCCTCCCACCTCCCCCGCCTCTCCTCCGCCAGGCGTTTCGCGCACGTGATGTGTTGGTGCTCGCTGCACCCCGGAGCGCTGTCGGCGGGCACTCGGGCGCAGCTGGAGGGGCAGGTGGAGGGGGCGGTGGGGGGCGGGCAGGGGAGGGAGGGGCTGGAGGAGGAGGGCGAGGCGGGGCCGGGAGAGGCGGCGCAGCAGGAGGCCAGCCAGGCCGCTGCAGGCAGCCGGGGCGGCAGTGGGGGCAGTGGGGGTGGCGGGGGGCGGGGGTCACGCAAGCAGGGGCGGGGCCGCGGGGCAGCGGGAGGAGGAGGGGCAGGGGGGCACCGCCGCTGCCAGAGCCTGCCCAACATAGTCGGCGCCTCCGCATCCCAGCAGCAGCAGCAGCAGCCCACTCGAACCAACAACAATAACAACAACAACGGAGGTGGTGGTGGTGGCGGCAGCGGGGGCCCTTCCAAGGCTTCCTCGCCACCCCCACCCTCGCGTCCGGCTACCGGCGCCCAGGACTCCGCCGCCCGACCCACGGGTCACCCCCAGCCCCCCCAGCCCGCGGGTCGCCTGGCCCGCCTGGACCGCTGCGACCCGGTGTCCTCGCTGGGTGTGCTGGGGTCGCTGGTGCTGCCACCCACTGCGGTGGCGCCGGTGCTGCCGCCGCCCCCCCTCAGCGCGGCGGCGGGGGCGTGGATCCGCAGGAGCGGCGGGCGCAAGGGGGCAGTGGCGGGGGCGGGGGCTGCTGTGGCGGCTACTGCTGCTGCTGCTGCTGCCGCCTCCGCTACCAGTGCTGGCAGCAGCAGCGGAGCCAGCAGCTCGGGTGATGGAGGGGGAGGGGGAGTTGGAGGAGGTGCAGGAGGAGGAGGTGGTGGTGGTGCAGGTGGGGGAGGTCGCGGCAGCCGCAAGAAGCCGCTGGGTCGCGCGCTGCGTCAGGCGCAGCAGTGGTACCGCTCCCACCTCTCCACCTCCACCTCCACCTCATCCCCCTCCTCCTCCTCTGCTGCCGCCGCCGCCGCCGCCGCCGCTGCCGCCGCCCTGCTGGCGGTGGACCCCACCTCCCCGGAGCGCTGGCGCCACTTCCGACTGGTACCGCAGCTGAGGGGGGGGCCGCCAGCTGCCACCGCGGCTGCTGCTGGGCCCTCCTCCGGCGGCCCCTCAGCCCCTTCCGGCTCCTCCACCTCCCCCTCCGCCCTCTCCTCCTGCCGGCCGCTGCTGGTGTTCATCAACCCCAAGTCGGGGCCGCAGGTGAGGAGATAGGAGCCCTCTCCTCCACATGCACTGCACTGTCCACGTGCCCCCGCGCCAGACCCGTACCTCCCAACATGGCCTGCGCTCACCCTCCCCCCCCTGCCCGCCTCCCCCCCTCCAGGCCGGCGAGCAGTTGCGTCGGCAGCTGCTGCAGCTGCTGCACCCGCTGCAGGTGGTGGATCTGGGTCGGGAGGGGCCGGGGGGGGCGCTGCGGGCGTGGTGGGGGGTGGCGGGGTTGCGGGTGCTGGTGGTGGGGGGGGACGGCAGTGCGGGCTGGGTGCTGGGGGAGATGGAGGCGGTGGCGGAGGAGAGGAGGAGGGGGGCGGAGGAGGAGGCGGCGGCGAGGAGGGCGGCAGAGGAGGAGGAGGAGGCGAGGAGGAGGGCGGCAGAGGAGGGAGAAGGCGCTGGAGGAGAGGCGGCGGGAGGCGTGAGGCCGCCGGCACCCCCACCACCCCCACCTCCTCCCCTTCCCCCGCAGCCCCCTCTGGCGGTGTTGCCGCTGGGCACAGGTGGGTGGGCGGGGCGGGGGAGGGTGGTGGGAGGCAGGGGGACAGGAGCTCCCATGCCTTCCCCCACATCGCCACAAGCTCTCCCTCCTCCCCGCATGCTGTCCCACCTCCCCCCCCTCCCGCCCCCCTCCCGCAGGCAACGACCTGGCGCGTGTGTTGGGTTGGGGCGGCGGTGTTGCCGCTCTGGAGGCGCGGGGCGGGCTGGCTGCTGTGCTGGCGGAGGTGGCGGGGGCGGCGCCCACCCCGCTGGACAGATGGGGGCTGCAGGTGACGGTGCGGCAGCAGGAGGACAAGGTGGGTGGGGGGGGGAGGGGTTGTTAGGATGGGTTGGTGGGGGAAGAAGGGAGGTTCGTGCTTCTATCTATCCACCGCGCTGCTTCCCACGCGCCTGCCATTCCTCGCCTCCTGTCGCCCCTCACGCCGCCCGACTGCCACGCACTCCTCCACCCCTCCTCCATTTCTCCCTCCCGCCCTCCCCCCCACAGCGCCTGGGTCGCTCCTTCCTGCCCCGCCGCCGCCAGCCCCCCGCCACCCCCCCGCTGCCCAGGAGCCCCCCGCTGGTGGTGACACAGGTAAGGGGGGTGGGGGAGAGAGGTGGGGGAGGTGGGGCCGCTGCGGTCCATGGTACCGAGCAAGGTGGGGGGAGGGGAGGTGTGGGAGATCCATGGACTACGTGTCATGCTACCGGGCCACCAGGTCGTGGGACCCGTCCCCTTGCAGGTCTTACCTCTCCCCCACCCAACTACACCCCTCCCCATCCCCATCCCCCCCCCCCGCAGGTCAAGGTGTTCAACAACTACCTGGGGGTGGGGATCGACAGCTGGTGCGCACTGGAGTTCCACAGGGTGGGGGGGCGGGGATGGGGGGGAGGGGGGTGGAGGGGCGGTGGAGGGGGGTGGAGGGGAGGGATGGGAGTTGTGTCTGTCATCGTGCGCAGCGCTGTCCTCCTCTGTCCACACGGCGGGCCCACCTGACTGCACATGTCAGCTCCGCTAGCATACCCCACATGATGGAGAGGTGTGGAGCTCAGGCTGGGAGGGCCCCACCTCCTGCCCAGCCCCCCCTGCTCTGCCCCTTACCTGCAGCCCTCTCCTCACCTCCATCCCCTCCCCCCCCTCCCCCCCAGATGCGCGAGCGCTACCCCGGCTGGTTCCGCTCGCAGCTGGGCAACAAGATGTGGTACACGGGGGTGGGCGCGCGGGACCTGCTGGCCAGGTCGTGTGTGGACCTACCCAGCAGGATGCAGGTGGGGGGGGAGGGGAGGGGGCTGGGGAAGGGGAGGGGGGAAGGTGTATGTCGCTGCGGGCTGCTTGTCTGTCAGCAAGACCTTTCGGTGCTGGGCGCTCCTTCCCCTTCCTTGCCGTCAACCAGCTCCTTGCCACCTCCGCACCCCTCCTCTCTCCCCTCCCTCCCCCCCCCAGCTGGTGTGCGACGGCTCCCCCGTCCCCCTCCCCCCGGGCACGCAGGGGGTGCTGCTGCTCAACATACCCTCCTACATGGGCGGCGTAAACCTGTGGGCGGGAGGGGTGGGGCAGCAGCAGGGGCAGCAGGGGCCGCAGCACACGGCCCTGCACGGCGCTGCATGGGGCGAGGAGGAGGGCGGGGGGCAGCACCCGCACCCGCACCTGCACCGCCATGCACTGGCGCGAGCAGGAGAGGAGCCCCACCCCGCAGGGCCCCCCCTGCACCCCGCCGACCCGCCCGCACCCACACCCACAACCGCAGCCAGCGCCGCCCCTCCCATCGGCACCACCACCACCACCCACCCACAAGGCCCCAGCAGCGTCAGCACCGACCCGCAGCCGCACTCCCTCCAGCCCGCCGCCTCCTCCCCTCCCGGCGCCCTGCCGCCTCCCCCTCCCGCTCCTCCTCCTCCCCGCCCCCGCGTGCCCCAGAGCCTGAGTGACGGCGTGCTTGAGGTGGTGGCGGTGTTCGGCGCGGTGCACCTGGGCAAGCTGCAGGTGGGGCTGGCGCGGGCCACTCGGCTGGGGCAGTGCCGCAGCGCGCGCATCACCACCAGCCAGGAGCTGCCCATGCAGGTGGGGCTGGGGGGGAGGGGGAGGGGGGGCGGGGGTGGGGCTGCATGAGGGGCTGCTTGGCGGGGGCTGGGGGGCAGTGCAGGCGGCTTCGCACCCAAGGGGGCTGTTTTGTGGGCATTCCTTATGATTTGGAACTTGGAGTCTTTGTAGTTCCAGAGCCGGTACCCCTTCCCCCCGCCTCCCCCCCTGGCGCAGGTGGATGGGGAGCCCTGGATGCAGCCGCCCGCGCAGCTGAGCATCAGCCTCAAGGTGGGGGGGAGGGGTACAAGGGGAGGGCCTGGGGAGGGAGGCGGAGGGGGAAGCGGCGGTTGCATGGCGGTGGGCTACGTGGGGCTACGAATCCCGGGTAGGGGTAGTACTGTGGTTCACATATGTTTCGTCCCCCCCCCCACCCCTGCCCCCTGCCCCCCCTGCCCCCTGCCCCCCCCTACTCCCCCCTTCCCCCCAGTGTTCCGCCCCCGTGTTGCGCCGTCTGGACCTGAGTGACGCCGCCTCCCGCCTCACCGCCGCGGTGGGGGAGGTGCTGGAGGCGGCGGTGGCGGCCGGCACCCTGACAGCGGCGCAGCGGCGGCAGCTGGGGGAGCAGCTGGCCAGGAGGCTGGGGGCGCCACATGCGGTGTAGGGGGGGGGGTTGATGGAGTTTCGGGGGCGAGGGAAGAGGGCGGGGTGACAGGGTGGGGCCGGCTGTTGGGGGGGTGGTTGTTAGATGAGGTGTCAGGCTCGTCGCTGCCGCTGCTGGTTGCGCCCTTGTTGTTAGGTCTGCAGGGGGGTGCGATGCGCGGGTGTGCTAGGGGGTGGTGTGCTAGGGGGTGGCGGTGGTGGTGGTGAGGTTCTTTACATGTGTGGAGCTAGGTGGGTGGGTGGGTTGAGTTGGTGTTGCCGATTAGGGCGCTCGGTGCGATGTTGTCGGGTAGCGGGCTGCGGTGCGGGCGGGTGCGGGGTGGCGAGCCGCGGAGAGGAGGGTAAAAGGGGCGGGGGGAGGAGAGCGAAGATACAGGAGCATCGGAAGAAGACGACCTGACAAGGCATATGGCAGAAGAAGTTGCAGATGTGAGGGGGGAAGGCGGGACACGCACACCCGGACGCACACGCAGGTGGGGGGTTTCCGCTTCCCGTGGGAGTGATGGGAGCGGGCCCCCTTCCGCTGTCATGGGCCCCCTTCCCCCTAGGGTGGCCGCCGTGCCGAGAGCTCTGTTGTTGGACCTGTGCAAGGGCGTCCGCAGGGAACCCAACCAAAGGTTGCGCTAGGAGAGAGGGATGCGACGGGACTTGCCAGTGACTGCATGTGCGGTATCGGGCTGTATAATCGCACGAGCGGCGTTTACCATGCAGGTTTATGGCCCATTATCTGGAGCTGCTTAGTTGAATCATTGCGGCGCACGGCTGGCCATCGTGCTATATCATGGAAGGCTACTGTTAGCTCGCGGTTCCATTTGGTTCTTCCTATGGCCGAGGCAGCTGGAGTGTATCTTGGCCGTTGATTTGGGGATGTGATGGACGCATGTGTACGTAGTACCCGACTTTCATTTCTCGAATCGGAGGCAGACACATGCTGTCTGCGACATGTGGACATGTCTTCGCTTGCTGTTACTTCGGTTTCTCTTATGGCGTTGGTGATAACCCGCAGTTGTTTCCCATTAGCTAGAATATGCGTTTGGTATGCTAATCCTGCAGAGGAGAGTTTGGTAACCCTAGCGGATTTAAGCAACTCAGGAGCAGTTACCCACCGGCTCAAGTGGTAAAGTCGGATGGTAGTCACGGGGTTACTTAACGGGTCTTACGGGACAGGCACTCGTTTGCAAGTAAGGGCGCAACAAAAAGATGCACATGTGAACCTATCTGGACCCGTCCAAAAGCACAGCGAACACCGCAGCCTATGTATGAAGCTCTGTATCAATGTTACATTTAACCTCCAAAAGGGGAGCTAGGTTCTCTTCTTCCTTCCACGCCTCAAGGAATTCCTCAGGCCAAAGGACCTACCAGTGCTTCAAGGAAAGCCGGCCACTGTCATACGAGTTGTTTGTGTGGTGCTGAAGTGTTTTATCCCGCCATTTGCGCGTTTGCTTGGCGCGGGTTTCCAACCATGGGTTCCCTGGAGTCCTACCGCTGGCGCCATTCTTGTGTCGAGACTATCCAAAGTTCCCAATCTAATCCTATACTTTACTCGGCAACTGACTTCGCTGTCGCTTTACAGAGCCCTGCCCTTGACACACACCTATTCCTGGCGTTCCTCACCCTTTCTCAATGTATCCCAACAACGCCTGCCTCCATGAAAACGACCAAGGGCTATTACTGTAAGGTTTACTACAGTCTCCTAGCGCTTTGCTACCTAGAGGTAGGTGCCGCGGGTTGTGTAAGCGTTGGCGTCGGGGCGCGGGCTTTATCCAGCTTCTTGTTGTTGCTCCTAACATTTTTTGCTCAAGCCTTCGCACATGCTTTTATCTCGATAAGCTCTTATTGAGCACCCTTGTTTTTTGGCACTGCCATCTCGGAATCACAGAGTGTTGACTCCCGACCCTTCGCTGGCTTGCCCCCCAGGTCGTGCTCTGGACCTTCTGCCTCCTTGCCTCTTGTGCTGCTCCGGTTCACGGACACAATTACCTTATCCGCGAAACTGTGAGTGGGGCTTACAGCTGATCTCGTCTCGGGGTAGGCGGGAAGCGTTTGCGGCGCCTAACGCTTGCGCATTGCCAGGGAATTTATTAAATTGTTTTCTTAATTTGCAGCAAACCCTCAAGCTCGCTACTCGCACTGTCCATCCCGCCGTCGTCGGGTCAACACCTCTTCGGCAACCAAAATTGCTTTGGCGATTTGAGCGCAAAAGCGTTAGCGTCCGCAACGCCGAGCAGACCAAGTGCTACCCTCGAGTTGATCAGGCTGGATTGTTAGCCGCACTGCGCGGCTTTCCAGAGGTGAGACCCGGCCCTGAGCTTGCCGCCGAAATTGTAGCCCCAATCCCTTCATGGCGATGCTGATGTCGTCCCTTTCTTTCATGCTTTGCAGTTCACAACAGGGCTGCCTGCACCCTACACGGGCATCAAAGCTATCTCGTGAAGGAGCTTCCCGCCAGCGGAGAAGCGTGGGGGTCGTACAGCAGCTTTTAACCGAGCTCTATACGGCGTCGCCCACGATCGGGATAGTTCAGTGATAGCTTACGTTAGTAGTATTAGCAGCAGTCAGCGGACCAGCTTAGTCGTCGGCAGTAGCTATTGAGTTTTGCAGGAGCCTCCCTCCAGTGTGCGGAGGAACAGCTTGACATCTTTATTTCCAGAGCAAGAGGTGTATATATTTTGAGCTGCGGCGGCCATACTGCCGGCAGTCAGTGCAGAAGAAATCTGTGTATTTGCATCAAAAGGCACTCTTTATTCTACCTTTGATCAGAGGTCAACAACGAGCGCCATGTCGGAAGCCGAGAAGCGCAGGGGCCTGATCCCCTTCCGCATCCCCCTGCCTAACCCCCTCACCTGGCGTCCCGCCCTGCCGGGCTTTGGTCGCCGCCGCAAGGACCGCGGCCAGCACTTTGCCTCCACCAGCGTCAGCGTGGCGACCATCAGCGACTCGGTGCTGGCCGCCGGCAGCAGCGCAGCCGCCTCCTCGTCCGCCCCCGTGTCCAAGGTCCCGCTGAAGCCAGCCAGTGACGTGTTCGCCGGCGCCCTGGCCCGGGCCGCCTCGCAGAGCACCATCCACCCGCTGGACACCCTGAAGGTCCGCATCCAGACCTCCAGGGCCAACGGCGGCGCAGCTGTCGTGCGTGTTGCCGCGCCTCCGCCGCCTGGGCTGTCGAAGATTGGTCAGCTGGTGCCGCCGCCTGCAGCTGGCAGTGGCGCTGCGAGCCTGGCGCGCTTTGACGGTCGCGCGTTGCTGGCGAACCTGGGTAACCTGTACAAGGGCGTGATTGGCGCCGCCAGCGGTGCGGGTATCGCGATTGGCGCCTACTTTGCCGTCTACGGTGTCGCTTGCAACACCCTGTCGCGCTACACCAACCTGCCTCCCACCAGCGTGGCGTTTGTGGGCGGCGGCATTGCGGCGCTGGGCAGCTCCTTTGTCAAGGTGCCGCTGGCGGTGTGCATCCGCAGCGTGCAGGCGGGCGTTTACCCCAACGTCTTTGCCGCCGCCCGCTCCATCACCGCAGCTGCTGGCCCCCGCGGCCTGTTCACCGGCTACCTGCCCACGGTGCTGGAGGACGTGCCCGACATGGCCATCAAGTTTGCGGCGTACGAGAGCATGCGGCAGGTGCACAAGGCGATGTACGGCGGTCGTGCAGCCAACGTGCAGGAGGACTTTGTGATGGGCGCCATTTCGGGCGCGCTGGCGGCCGCCGCGACCACTCCGTTGGACGTGATCAAGACCAACATGATGTGCAACGCTGCGGTGCGGCCCTCCATGACGTCGGCGGCGGCGATGGTGATGCGGCAGGGCGGTCCCTCGGCGTTCTTCCGTGGCGTGGGAGCTCGTGCGGCCAGCAACGGCATCAACTCGGCTGTATTCTTTTGCTTCTTTGAGGCGATTCGTGGCGCTATTGCGAGCCGTGTGAAGAGCCACCCAGTGCAGATCCGCTACACTGAGGAGTCGTCTGAGGGTGAGCTGGTGCCGCTGAAGAAATAGACTGTGGTAATGACTTCATCTCATAACATGGATATTATGCGCTGCCGTTGCGGTCCGTCTAGCTTGTATACCCGCATGCGTGTTTGCTGGCGGTGTACTTGGTAGCGGTTGCGATGGCTGCTGTTACTTAACAGTGACGTTCCGCGCTTGTTGTTATGTCTGTTACGGTTTTGGTCATCGTGCGTGTCGAAAACAGGAAATGTTGTTGCGGGTTGTGCAAGATGAGCTGCGCTTAGGTTTTTTGGTGTGAGCATAGGTGCGCTAGGGCCCAAGAGATGCTCTAATGTGATGCTGGGACCCCGATGCAATTGCGGCGAAGGTTTCGGATGAAGAGATGTGTTTCGGGAATGTCGCTTTTGCCAGCTCACGTGCTTTGCCGGGGTGGTCGAATTCGCCTAGGCGGGCGCGGTTTTCCATGCTGTCGTGTGTGCCGCCATAGCTTGAATTATGAATGTCGCTTTTACACGTCGCTTGTTTGAAGTCGCGACGTTTGTTCTTGACCTTATCGTATGGGCCACCTACTAACGTTTCAATGTGAGGTAGCGGCCATTGTATTGGGGTGGGTATGGAATACTTTCGCGGGCTGGGACAATTACATTGGGTGTCGTGGCTGTGTGGCTCTAGGTAAGGGTATCATTGTACTGCTGCTGCACGAAGCGCCTGGCTTTCGACCTGTACCTTGCAGTCCGTCTGTAAGGCACGCGCTAGTGTTCATGCTGGTGTTGTTTTCCTTTTTGTGTATTCGGTACGTGGGTGTAAGTCGTGCCGACTGTGTTGCATACTCAGCATAGAAAGTGCGCACAGGGGTTCCGGGAGAAGGGCACGTCGGGGTGCATGGCTGGTGGTATTTTAAGGGGTGTTGTGTGCGTTAGGTGGTTGCTCTTTGCAGTTGCTTACAGGGGGTATTGATTAGCGCCGTCCATGTACCATTACACGCCCTAAAGCGGCGCGGTCTGCGTGTCTCCTCCACCAGTGTGCGCACATCCTCCAGTGCGCAAGAACGTCTTATACCTGGCGCGTGTCGTTGCTCGGATATCGGCCATGTGGGCCCAATAAAAAGCACTGCACCCTGTAACCGAAGCGTGCCTTCTCGACATCCGTGAGTTGACTGACTTCGCGGCAGCGACAACTCTTAGGTATGACGTCTCGTCCAAAGATTGTCACATTAACTATCCATCCAGCATTCGTAGGCGTCCAGCTGCGATACCGTAGGATACCTGACCACCACGACTGAACATCCACTCTTAGATCCGCTTGTTAGCAATCATGCGTTACAATGACTGTTCTCCTTCACGCCTGCCCTGCCACCACCGCCAGTCTCGCCACCTTGCGCTTCTCCACCGTTTGCGTCTCCGGGCACTGCATGGTGACCCAGCTAGCGGGCAGCATGGGGGCGCCTGCGGGGGGGCGGAAGGGGGTGAGTGGGGGGAGGCATCCACATCTCTACATCCATTGCCTTGTATGCGTGGTCCTAGCCCATTAAAGAGACACACGACATCATCTTACGACTATCCAATACATCCTTCTTCTCAACTACACACCGGTAAGCCAGGTTCGTAGCATTAGGCCGGCCATGCTTATGGCGGCCTTTGCCGCCCATGCACAGGATCCCGGTGCCTACCGCCATCCCCACCAGGCCCCCTCCAGCGCCCCACCATCTCCCCCCCCCCCCCCGCACCTGCCGCCGCGCTCCGGGCGTACACCACTCCCAGCTCGTTCTTGGCGGTGCTCAGGTAGTAGGAGCGCGCGTCGCCCAGGCTGACAACCTGGGGGGGAGAGCGAGGAGGGACCCGCGGGTCGGGAAGGGCTGCTGGGCCTAAGCATACATGGCAAGACATGGCTGCAGCTACCACGGAAAGCACCCAAGCCCCACACATGTTCCACAAAACCAGGAGTAGTGTGCGTAGGTGGTTCCTGCCACTCATAATATGCAATGTCCACATCAGCGTGTTAAGTGTTACTCCCAACGAGTTGTCGGACTCCACACCCGCCCGGCACACTGTGTCAACCCACACGCCCTGTACGACCCCGCACCTCCGCTCGTACGATGTCCCCCGGTCGGAAGCAGTCGTACATCACCACCTTGTCGATCTCAGTGGACCGCACATCCTGCTGCCTGCGGGGCCAGGGGCGTGGGGCGTGGGGCATGGAAGAGGGGTGAGAGGCGCACGCACAGGTCGGGCGTCGCGCTGCCAGCCGTCGCCACGATAGGCCCTCCTTCACCACCTCCTCCATTGCCCTAAACGTTAACCCTGCAGCCCTCCTCCGCTGTCAACCGCTTCCAGACACATAACTGACTTGCATGCCCGCCCTCTCCCTCCGCCCCACGCAGGCACCCTAGCCTCCACGAGCCCTCCTAGTCCCCTCCCCTCCCATTGTCCCCTACCGTATGACCCCCTTGAACTCCGTGCTCAGCGCCTGCCGCCCAACACACATGATGAGCGCCTGGCAGGCGGTCTGACCCACTCTGCTGATCTGGGAGGTGGGGGGAGGTGGGGGAGGCGGGGTTAGAAGAGGAATCTGGTGTGGGACAAGAAGTGAAACCGGGAAGGAGGGTCCCACCGAACGGCAGGGTAGGTTGCTGCGCAGACGGGGTTTGTCGCTTCATCAGGAACCGCAAACAGCCTAAGGTGTGCTGGACTGCCGGCCCCTGCACTGCCCCGACACATGAGCCCCCGCGCGCCGCCCCTGCCCCACCTTGACCGTCACCACGTCCCCCGGCTTGGGAACCAGAGGTGCGCCGCCCCGGCCTGCCACATGCAGCACCGGCCTCTGGGGGCCGGAGAGGGAGATGGAGCGGCGGGTGCAGGGGGTCAGAGAGGGAACAAATCAAAGGCAATACCGGTAGGGTGCGTGGGGTTGAGGCAGGCAGGGAGGCGAGCAAAGTGTAGCTGGCGGAGTGGCGGAGGGTTGCGAGAGGTGGTGGGATGCCAGGGGTGCCAGGGATGGCAGGGGTGCGGGTCCATTGCTCACCCCTCCCTGCTCCGCGGGCGCCTCCAGTCGCTGCCGCCCCACCACCGCCGCCAGCAGGAAGCCGTCGCGCACGTACACGCCCTCTCCCGGACAGAAGGCGTCCTGCGGGGTGGGGTGGGGTGGGTGGGGGGGAGCCGCCATGCAGGCAGGCAGGTAGAGGCGGGCGGGCAGGAAAGGGAGGGAGAGGGCGTGCAGGGGGCTTAGGCACAGTCCTGGGATGTAGTAGAGAGGCTGGTGAGAGGCTGGTGTGTACGGCGAGTAGCGTCAGGCAATGAGGCGGTGGCTTGCGGGCGAGTTGAGGGAACGGAAGTCCCCGAGGGCAGTGCACGTACGTACCGTTGTCCCTAGCCGGTCCCCAGGGCACACCAACGCTGTTCCGGGTTCGGCCGCCATGGCTGGCGGATGGTTTGTCGGTTCTTCCGCTCCTAATATGTGGCTCGCTAAACAACTCGCGTGGGACTTGCTGTTTTGGTCGGCGTTCGGATGGATGCAATAGGATTGGCTGCTGCAAGCCGGATGACAGGACTGGTACGGTAGGATGCAGTTCTACACTCTCAAGCTTGCATACCTTAAAGGTTAACAATTGTAAGGTGCAATGCTTACAGTGCGGCACGATGGTGCACAAGCAAGGATTCTGTACAGAAAGTCTAACAATATACGCGTGCAGCTAATGGTGGCAGCAATTATACACTCCGTATTACACTCACATTGATTTGCGCGAGACCATGCCGTACACACAAGCGCACCTTCATTACTATCTCTCCTTATGTTTTTGCAAAAGCGCTAGATTTCATCAACATCCTACAAAGGATTTGGGATATTTGTCAGCTTCACAATGCGCATACAAACTTTACATAACGCTCAAACCCTGGCTCAACCTTAACTTGCAGCAAGCATCTGCTGCGTAGACTTTTGTCCGTCTAGCATCTCTCGTGTGTATATGGTGTAATTGAACCCATGAAGCTTAGGAAGGCTTCAGCGCTCCTGGATCTTGACGACCCACTGGACGCCAGCAGCGACAGCGACTATGAAAGCAGCGCAGAGGGGTCTTCCGACTTTGAGGACGACGAATTGTCTGCTCAGCTGTCGGCTGTCGAGGAAGGTGACGAGTACCAGGAGGACGATGAGGATGATGGCATCCACGGGGACATTAGCGACGACGCCAGCGACACCCAGCCGGCCAGCCTGAGTTCCGATGGTCAAGCGGCGTCACACGCGCACTCTGAAACGCCTGAGCAGCAGGGTAAGCTCCTTGAAAACGTCCCCTTTACCCCGATCCGCAGGGTCTGTCATCCTCTCCTGAGGCCACAGCTTGTGACCACTTCCCACCTTCAAACCCCCCCCAACCAGCAGGCCATGACGTCCCCTCCTCGGACCCGGACGCCACCACCCTGACCCAGCAGCCTGACCTGCGCAGCAGCGAGGAGGAGGGAGACGAGGAGGGAGACGACGAGGAGGAGAGCGACGAAGCAGGCGACCAGGTGCGCGGAGGCTCCCGCGGGGTGGGGCTGCTTGCGGCTGACCCCACCAGGGCCCAACCGGCCGCACCGCAACTCGCACTGCATTGGAGCCGACAGACCCCAGGCGCGCGGCTGCCCGGCGGCTGTTTCCCCATGCACCCTCCTCCTCTTCCCTCCCCCCTCCCCCGCAGGACGCCTCCTGGCCTGCTGCGCCCGCCTTGAACCCCTTCTCCCTGCTGACATCGGAGGACGAGGACGAGGGAGAGGGTGGCAGCGATGAGGAGGAGGCGACGGCTGTGGCAGCAGGGGCCCACCAGCAGGGCGGCGAGGCGGCGGGAGAGGGGCCCGCCGAGGGGGGTAACAGCGGCGACTGCGGCGGGGCAGCAGCGGGTGCCGCCCAGCGGCGGGCGCTTCGGCGGCGGCGGCAGCGGCAGCGGCGGCGGCAGCGGAACCGCACAGCCGTGCCAGCGGCAGCAGCGCCCGCCGCCGCACACGCAGCCGCATCCGGAGAAGCCGCAGCCCCCCCGGCAGCAGCAGCGGCAGGGGGAGCAGGAGGAGGAGGAGGCGGCGCGCTAGGGGGAGGTTCAGCGGTTAGCGGGTATCGTAATGGCCGGGTGCGCGTTCTGCCTTTTCAGTGGGACGAGGAGGACGATGGGGAGCTGGCTGCGCCGCTTCTTTCCGGTTGGCTGGAGGGGGGCAGAGGGGTAGGCGGAGGTGGCAGCGGGTGGGAGGATTGGCTGTCTGGGGCCCTGCTGGGCTCTGCTGCCGCTGATGCGGGTGGGGGCGCTGCTTTCTCCTACCCGCCTGCCCTTTTGGCGGCTTCTGACAGCGACGAGGAGGAGGCTGGGTTGCGTCAGGAGGAGGCCAGGGATCCTGTTGCGCCGAGTGCAGCAGCAGCGGCAGCGGCGGGAGCAACACCCGCTACTGTACGGCAGTCGCTGGCTCCCGTGCACGCGTACATGGGGTTACGTCGCGCTATGGCGGCTACTGCCGGCATAAACCAGCTGGAGGAGGGGCTGCCTGCACTGGAGGGGGACACGGAGGACGAGGAGGAGGAGGGCGGAGGACGGTGGGAGGGGCTACCAGCCTTGACGGATGAGGAAACAGAAGAGGAGGCGGATGAGGATGAGGAGGAGCCGGAGGGGGCTGCATGGCTCCCCGCGGCACTAGTTAGGGAGGAAGCTGCGGCCCGAGGAGGGGGTGCGCATGCGGAGGTGGGGGTGCAGCAGCCCTCCGTTGCGTCAGTACGGCAACCAGAGGTGGCAGTACGGCAACCAGAGGTGGCAGTACGGCAACCAGAGGTGGCAGTACGGCAACCAGAGGTGGCAGTACGGCAGCCGGACAGCGAAGAGGAGGTGGAGGAGGAGGCCGCTGATGCGAGTGAGCCAGCACCCGATGCCGAGTGCTGGCTGTGCTACGGATCTGGACGTGTCGTACATCGCTGTACTGCTGCTGCCACTACCACTGCCACTACCACTGCTGCGGAAAGCGGCAGCAGTAGCGACAGTGCAGCGGAGGGCGGCAGCAGTGGCGGTGGTGGCAATGGCGGCAGTGGCGGTGGTGGCAGTGGCGGCGGCAGTGGTGGGGTGCAGCTGCCGCCCCCGCCAGACGACCACGAGGCGCTGGTGGCCCCCTGCGGCGTGTGCGCGGGGGGGCTGCGACACATCCACCGGGGCTGTCTGCGGCGGTGGCTGGACAGCAGTGGCGCACTGGACTGCCCCAACTGCAAGACACCGTACGACAGGTGCGTGTGTGTGGTGTACTGCAAGTAGTGGGGGTAAAAGGGAGGTGGGCGTGAAGGGAGGGAAGGAAGGGGGTATGTGTGTGCGCTTGCATGGCCTTGCAAGCTTCCCCCGCACCGCCACTTTCAGCCAGGTGCATCCCTGCCTGCTCCTGTACTCCCTCCCACTTCCTCCCCCCTCCTCCTCCCCCTTCTCCCCCCCCTCTCCACACACACACCACACTTTGGAATTTCTTTCCCGCCCCCCCCCCCCCCGCAGCTCCATGCTAGACGCGCTTGTCGGCCCCGACCCTCTCCGCTCGCTGCTGCTGGCCGCCTGCCCACCGGGACACGAGCTGCGCCGGCCCCTGCCGTACGGCAGCCGTGTGTATGTGAGCCACGGAGGGGTGGCGGCGGTGGCGGCCGCTGAGGAGGTGGTCATGCACTGCGGGGGCGCTACGGTGGCGGGTGAGGGGGGGGGAAGTGAAGGGGGAGGCGGGCAGAGGAAAGGGAACTTACTGGCCCTAGGGTTATCCAGTTGGGGACTCCAGCGCTGAAGGGGTGGGAGCCGGTGGGGCCAGACGCTTGCCTTACCTCAAAACCCGCTTCCCTCCACCTTGAACCCCTCCCTGCCCCTCCCCGCCCACCCCCCAACAGATCTCCTCCGCGCCCTCCGCCACCGGGTTCCCCCCGGGGCCCCCGTGCTTGCAGTACGGCTGGAGTCGGGGCCGGAGGGGGGCCTGGCGGGGGAGGCGGGGGCGGGGAACTTCTTTTTTGAGGGCCTGCGGGGAGCAATGTCGGACTTTCAGGCGTTTTACGACTCATACGATTACTATGATGATGATGATGGTGATGAGGGGTATTACGATGAGGGGGCGTATTATGACGAGGAGGAAGACGAGGAGGACGAGGATGACCCGTGGGTCGCGGGTGCGGCTCGGCAGCAGGTGAGTGGTGCAGCCGCTGCTCGTCAGGTGGGGTTGAGAGGATGTCGAGGAAAGACAGGGGAAAGGGGAGGGGGATGTGGGTTCGCGCGGCGGTTGGACCGACCCATGGGTCCCGGGTAAGGAGGAAAGGAGCATTGCCTACATGCTGCATGTGCGGATGCACTTGTGTACTCTAATGCCCTTGTGGCTCCAGGAAGACCCAGCTGGCCGCACCCCCCAACATGCCACCCGACGCACGCAGCGGGACGCGGAGTCGCAGACACTGTTGGAGCGGGATGTCATGGAGGCCTCCAGGGGGCTGGCGGCGCTGCGGAGGGAGCTGCGCGCGGTGATGTGGCCCGGAGCTGACACGGTGGGTGGTGCACCTCCTTGGGGGCGGGGCGGGGCGGGTAAAGAGGAAACAACTAACTGACTGAGGGGGCGGGGCGGGGGGGGTGGGCGCTGCTGCTCTGGGTCTTTTGCATGGCAGGCGGGAGAGGCGGGAGGGAAGGCAGGGAAGTGCAGTCGGTGCACCCTGGGGGGTGGCGGCAGCAGCAGTAGGTCCGGGGTAGCGTACCTGCAGTCGGGGTGGGAGCGAGGGTGCTGCGGTAACGCTGCGCTCGTGTGGTTTGCCGCCTGAGGAGGAAAAGGGAGGCTCGCTGTAAAGGGGGGCGGCACCCGAGGCACCCGGTGGGCGGAAGGGTGCGGTGCGGCCCTGCTGGCAGAACACGTTCGCCCCTTGTTGCACCTTCTGCCGCCTCTTCCAAACTACTCGCGCCATCCCGTGTTTCCCTCCACCGCAGGCGGGAGGGAACCACGTGGGGCCGCCACCGCCGCCACACCCGGGAGCCCACCGGCGCGCCGAGGCGCTGCAGCGAGCTGCTCGGCGGGCGGAGCAGCAGCGGCAGCGGGACAGCGTGCGGCAGCCGCAGCAGCGGGTGCAGCAGCGGTTTGGGGCGGGGCAGGGCAGGGCGGGGGGCAGGCGGAGGTGAGGGGCCCGAGGAGGCTGCTGAGGGGTTAGTGCGGGGCGGGATGTGTGCCCCCCATGCGTGCATCCGGGCTGGGTGTCATGCATGGATGTACTCCTTACGCTCCTGTTCAGCGGTTGTTTGGGTAGATATGATGCTATTTGCTGTTGTGCTGAGCAAGCGCTGCTATGTTGGCAAACACGCCGTTTTTGCATTTGTGTTTTGTAGGATGCATGACAGGCAATCCCGCAGGTGTACTTGGGTGATAGGAGCGGGGCATGTCTTGCTACTTTGCTATTTTTGTTGCACTCGTCGGGGTGCTGTGTGCGGTTCAGGCTAGTCCAGAGGCTGTACACTTGTAGCAGCAGGTTATTAGCTTAGGTGGCTTGCCATATTATGATACCCGTAGCATAGGAGGGTCGGGTCAGTACTGGTATGCAGTGTCTTTGCTCAAATATTGGTTCTGTTCGGGGTTCAGGGCTTGTGACTTACAAATGCATGAAGGCTTTTGTTTCCTCGTCGTCTTCAGGCTTCTGTCGTACCCCCACTCGTGGTTTGGTTCTCCTCGAAGCCCCCACGTGGACGTCGCACGTGGGCAGGAGATGTCATGCCCGCACCGCCCCGCCAGCTGCATGTGTGTTGTGTACTTGTGTTCCGCACCGTGTTGTGAAGGTCCGGCTGTGCGAGACACCGGCTGTGCGAGACACCGGTACACCCTTAGCGCGGTGAGGGCTGCTGGCATGCACAGTGGAACAGCGCACCTACTGCCCCTTTGTTAGGTGGCAGGGCTCATCCCCCAGGTTGCAGCTGTAACATCGGGGTGCGTGGCTGGTGGGCCGTGCAGGCTTCGTGTCCTGTCATCACCTTCGTGCAGCGGACCCGAATGATGGATGCATGACAGCCCTGACACCGGTACCCACCAGGTTACCAGTATCATGAGAGCCTGCAGCCGTTGTTCCATATGCCCCCCCACACTACTACTACTACTACTACTGGGAGGGAGTGCTTGTTACGAAAACGGCAGTATCGTGCTGTCCTAGCGGCGGGTATCCCTTGACTTGGCTGTGTCACACTGTATACAGGAGATCGGGGCAGCTCACACGGAGGCACATGATGGCACAACTTACAAAACTGAGGCATGCCTTCTTCCATGTCGTGGCAATGGTGTGACCTCATCCCGACAAACCCCACAAACAAAGTTTGTTTAAACGGATCCAGAAAACCTAAGCGCTATAGTACCCTCGTTGCTCGCCAAACCGTGTGCAGCTTTGCGCCATTTGTTTGCCACCATCACCCGTGACCTTCCGTCTCCAAGCCTTTGTGGAGTTGCGATCCTTCAGCAGGTACGTCTAGTTAGCCAGTCTTTTTAAATGTGCACTATAAACACAAAAATATACCCACCACCATCGTGGAGTTAACGTAACGTATCTGTACCGGTACACCCCACGCTGGTCGGATCTCGCACAAGTAACCCCAGTACTAGACCTCCATACCGACATTCCTCCAGGGGGGTATTTAGGGTAGGTTCAAACCGCCATGCAAACAACAACACCAGAAGAAAAACTCGAATACTAACGAGCAGGGTCGAGACTTTTCGGGCACGTGGGCGCGCGCGACACACAGTTCAAGGAGGGCCCTGGCCTCCCTTGCAAGTACTTTTCCTCCTCAAGAAACCCGGATCACCTGGGACGAACACGGATCACCTCCCTTTCGCTCCCGTGCGAGGGAGGGGGGCACGTCGGCCGTGCCCAACAGCGCGCACGCACATGCGAAGTCAAAACAAAAGACACCAAGTACGGTAGAACTGTACCATGCTACATACCCCGCTATACTATCCGTGTTTTGTTTGGCCTATAGAGAAGCGGGAGCCATCACATATCATGTACAGTGGCAAAAGCGCTCCCAGCTGGGCTGACAGCCCGGTTCCCCGCTGACCCGCCGGCACCTCACGGCACCTCACGGCACCCGCATGCCATACAGTAGCAGGAACACAACACATCACAAGGTGTCTCACAAGAAACCAAGGCCCCGCAGACCCGACCTCGGCAACTGCTCCCGCCCAATACCACCATCTATAATCATCTCTCGCGTGCGCGAATGTTACCAGCTTCTCCGCTTCCGCCCTTACCACCCTCTTCCTCCTCCGTTGCTTCACCTTTCGTTGATTTCCTCCGCCTCCTCCTCCTCCGCCTGCTCACGGCTCCTGCCGGTACCCACCGCCGTACCCGCCCTCACCCGCCCCGTAATCCGCACTCCTGGCCGCCGGCGCCAGGTTCCGCCCGCTCTGCCGCCCCGGGTGCTGCCGATACTCACTGTGATAGCTCTCCCGCGGCCCCATAGCCATCCCGCCGCGTCCCACGCTCTTGCTGGGGGGCAGACCCACGGGTCCGTCCTGACTCGGACTCTTCATAATGGACGGCGGGGCCCCCCCTCCGCCAGCGGCTCCCTCCCCGCCCGGCGCGCTTTCGTAGTCCTCGTCTCCCTCGGGAATGGTTGGCGGGTAGTCGCCCTGGGAGCCCGCATACATGGGGTTGGTGGACATGGGCCGATCGGAGATGGGGCAGGTCTCCGGTACGTTCTGGAATCCCAACATCTGCCGCGGCGGGCCCAGGCACATGGTGATCAGCCCGATCAGCAGCGCCACGACCACTGGAACGGTGCGTACGATGGCTGCGTCGAACTGCGAGGTGCCGTCCTTGACTCCGGAGGGGAAGATGCACATGCAGACGGGGTTGGTGAAGAGCACGATGAGCACGAATGCGGCGGTTGACAGCAGCGCGTGCACGTAGTCGCGGACCTTGAGGTAGTAGTGGTCGTACATGCGGTCCTTGTCTTCGCCGGTGGGCAGGGAGAAGCACAGCGGGCCGTAGAAGGGCATCATGAGCACCCAGAACTTCTGGCCGTTGAGGGCGGTGTATGTGTCTGTGAAGGAGGCGAAGAAGCAGGCCAGCGCGAAGAGGACGAGCATGGCGATCACCAGCGAGCGTTCCTGGTCCTGGCAGAAGGAGGAGTCGTTGATGACCAGGTTGCTGAGGATTTGGAAGATGGTGAGGGTGTGGGTGGGGAAGTAGTACGACACGCGCGTGATGGCGTCCATGGTGTGGTTGGTTGGGTGGGTGGTTGACGGAGGAAAAGCTGGAAGCTGGGCGGGAGGCGCTTGGGGTGCTACTAGCTGGGTGCTATGTCGGCGAAGGGTGATCTACTACCCTGCTAGGAGGGCGGCGATGAGCACGAGGACCTGCAAGTCAGGGCAGACAGGAAGGGTTGAGTGCATTTGGGTATCCATGTGTGGGACCTATGTGGTGTTTGCGAGGGACCCTGAGTCAACCACTCCGCAGACAGGGCCCTAGAATAGACTACAGGTGTCCATGGGCACACTCACGGACCAGGAACTGTGTTTTCCAGCTTAACCCCATGACCGAGCATACGGTTGGTCTAATACAATCACGGGCGTGCCATTTGCAGCTTTTTCCGCGGCAAGAGTATTGAGGCTACCTAGTCGACGCGTGACCGAGCCCCAGTCAAGGGAATACCCCTTAAATCCCTTAAATTGGGAGTGGCAGGTAACTATGTGATTAATGCCATCATCTTGACATATGCCCTTAACAACACATACGCACATACCTTGCCTCACGCAGTCGAGCCAAGCTGTCGCCTTCTTCGCACTAATTCTGTTCGCACCATTTTCGACAGCCTTTTAGTCACCGGTAAATGATACAAAATACTACGTGTATAATAACAACCTGGCTACGTGGAAGGCGTATATAACGATAAGAGCGAATGCTGCTAGGTTACAGTGTTGACCAGAAGAAGTACACGTCCTCAGCAGTCACTGACAAATGGCAATTGCAATGGAGCGCAACAAAAGTCTAGGAGAGAGTATCGCCCTGTTTGGGGAAAATTGCCTTCCCTTGTGCCGTACATGCAATGAAAGAAACCTCCCCACCGCAACGTTGTCTTCAGATCTTTCTATGCTTTTGCAGACGGCTGTTACTTACGACTGCACACATAACGGCGCTGCCTAGCGTACGCTCCTGAACGGACTCATCCTTATGTCTGTGAGCGTTGCGCCTCGCCCCTTCGGTGAGGTGCGTCATGGAAACTAGGCGCTCCTCCAAGCGGAAGGAACGCGACGAAGCCCCCGCAAACAATACCCAGCCTACCTCACGGAAGCGCGCAGCTAAATCTAGCTCAGCAGCTGCTGGCGAGGGCAACAACGTTGCAACTTCAGCAGGTGCCCAGTTAGCAGTACAACCCCGTGAGACAGAGGGCGGCCCAGCGACTCGTTTGCGCTCGAAGAGGGGAGCCACTGCATCTGCACCCCAGCCTTTGCCTGCCACTGCGACGAAGTCAAGGCGAACTAGGGCAAAAGCGCGTGAGCCTTCTTCAGAAGCGGAGGAACAGCAACCCGCAAAGGAGAAAGCGGAGGACGCATTGCCCCAAGCCGCACCTCCTGCACCGCCTCCTGCCCCTCCATCCGCAACCGGTACAGCCGCGGTTGAAGCCGAGAAAGCAAGCCCTGAGAAGCGTCGGGTGACGCTGTCAGAGTTACGTGAGATGGCCAACCGGCAGGCTCGGGGCCAAGGCATGGACGACGACAAGGTGGGGCCAGTGTAGGAGCTACGCGGATGCGCTGACCTGCTCTTTGTCCGCCCCTTGAGTTGTTCTAAACAAAGGTTCATTTGCAGGACTTGGCCGAGGTTTTCGGACGGAACTTCTCGGGCGCAGGAAGGTGCGCAGTCGGGAGTAGAGCTTTGGCGGTCGCGGTGCTTGCGTTCTGGGCTTTTGGCTGATTCCATATTTATATCCCTCGCAGTGCACTGCAAGGCCTTCTGCGAAAGCTAGGAGCCGGTTTCGAAGACATTATGCCGATGGGCGGCATGTCCGGGAGCAAATTGAAGGTAAGAGGTCTCTCAGCACGCACTGTACTTTCAGAGCTATTGCAGAAGTCACCGGTATTGCTGGCAAGCTTTTGACTCGCGCACTTCTTCGGCAGCCTGTCTTTTTCGCTTCATGGCTCCTCTGCCTTCTTGCAGCCGAACCGACCCTTCCCCCCCTCCCAACCGCAGGCCATCATGCAGGGTCTGCGCCAGATGGACGACGAGGGGTCGCAGCTGTCCGCGCTGTCAGAGCTCAACGAGCTGCTGTCCATCTCCACGGAGGACACCCTGCTGGCGTTCCCCACGGAGAGCATGGTGCCGCTGCTGGTGAGGACTGAGCAGGCGTGAGAGGAGGGGTAGCGGATAGGCTATGGTCTTCTGGACATTCTTGCTCATGTGGGTTGCGCGTCTAGAAGCCGTGACACCCCCTCTAATGCTTGTACCGTCTCCGCCCTTCTTCCCGCCCCCCTCCCCCCCAGATCCAGCTGCTGAACGCGGAGCACAACCCGGACATCATGCTCATGGCCGCCCGCGCGCTGACCTTCCTGGCGGACGTGCTGCCGCAGTCGTGCGGGGCGATTGTACGGCACGGCGCGGTGCCGTGCTTCTGCGCGCGGCTGCTGACCATCGAGTACATTGACCTGGCGGAGCAGTCGCTGCAGGTGGGGGCGGAGGGGGGAGGGGGTAGTGGGGTAGTGGAGGGGGTGCAAAGGGGAGGGCAGGGCTCGGGGGAGCTTTCCTGGTGATCTGCGCATGTCTATGCGCATGTTCATTAAGATGTCTTGGGCCGTGGAAGGTACTCAAAAGCACTTGTTAGCATCAGCTTGGGGTTGTATGATTTGTAGTTGGCTGGCAATCCTTCCCTGTCCTGTCCGCCACTCCCTCGCCCCCCAGGCCCTGGAGAAGCTATCGCACGAGCACTCGCCGTCGCTGCTGCAAAACGGCGGCCTGCTGGCGGTGAGTGATGGAAGGGCGGGGGGTGGGGACTCGCGGAGCCCAAAAACACCCTCCGGCTGCGGGACAGGGGGTCGTTGGGTTTCTTCCGGTACCTCAAATTGGTCCTGCCCATCCTCCTGCCGCTGCTCTGTTGCATTACCCCTGCCCCGCCCCCCTGCCCCGGCCCCCTCCCCCGCCCCTCCCCGCGCTGCCCCCCCAGGTCCTCTCCTACCTGGACTTCTTCCCCACCGGTGTGCAGCGCACCGCCACCGCCACCGCCGCCAACATCTGCCGCTCGCTGACGGCCTCGCCCTCCGCGGCCGCCAGCAGCGGGGCGCAGGCGGCCGTGAAGGAGGCGATTCCCATGCTCACGGGCCTGCTGTGCTACTCGGTGGGTGGGGTGTGAGGGGCGGGTGGAGGACTGGAGGAGGGGGTGCAATACGGAAGTACCACAGTTTAGATTATGTCTAATTGAACGTCGCGTGGCGCACCTATCTAGGGTAGTATGTAGCAGTAAAGGAGAGCGCGAGCCATCTGTTACCTTACACCCCCCCCCCATGCTTCCCCCTGGAACCCCCCCTGCAGGACGCCAAGGTGGTGGACAACGCGTGCGTGTCGCTGTCGTACATCGCGGAGGCCTCCGCGGGGCAGCCGGCACTGCTGGAGGCGCTCACGGCGGGGGGGTTGGTCAGCCAGGCACTCAAACTGGTGGGCGAGGGGGTGGGGGGAGGGGGTGGTAAAGAGGAAACATCTAACTGACCGTGTGATAAGGCAACATCATGGTTTGCAACATGTGAGCCAGCCCGACCCGCCCAGCCCGAGGGAGTGGGGTGGACTGCTGGGTAGTACCGGCGAGTGGGCGACTTACGCGTACTAGTCGGGTATTGGGACTGTTGGAAAAGGCTGTACTGTTTAACATGATCGCTCGCTCGCCCCACCCCACCCAATCCTCCCCAGATCGCCCTCAGCGACTCTGGCGCCATGACCAGCCAGCTCAGCCTCTCCACCTACTACGGCCTGCTCAAGCTTCTCTCCACCGCCGCCGCCAGCTCCGCCTCCGTCGCCACCACGCTGCTCGGCTCCGGCGCCCTGGGCACCGCCCGCACGCTGCTGGCCACCTCCCCGCTCCTCATGACGGGCCAGGCGGCGGGCGGCGGCGGCTCCGTGCTGCTGCGCACCCCGGACCAGCTGCATGAGGTGCTGGCGCTGGTTTCGGAGCTGCTGCCGCCCGTGCAGGACTCGCAGGCGCTCCTGGCGGCGGGAGCGGCGGTGGAGCTGCCCTCACAGCAGCAGCAGGGAGGTGGAGGTGGAGGGAGGGCTGAGCTGCAGTCGTACCTGGGTGCCAACCCCGAGCTGACGGCCCAGCTGTGCAGGGAGGTGCTGCCGCTGTTGCTCAGCAGCTACAGCGCTACCGTCATTTCCGAGGTACGACTGCTGCTGCTGCTTGCTTGCTTGCTTGCTGCGGCCTTTTTGCGGCCTGTTGCTATTGCTACCTCTCCGTTGCCCGCCCGCATATCCTAGTTGCACACATCGCCCCCACGTTGCCCCGCCCTACCCACGCCCAGGTCCGCGCCCGCGCTCTCCGCGTGCTGCTGCAGCTGCTGACCGCCTGCCCCGCCGCTCAGCTGCGTGAAGCCCTGCGCGATCTGCCGCTCGCCTCCTTCCTGGGCTCGCTGCTGAGCGGCCGCGACACCGCCTCCGCCGCTGCCGCGCTGCACTGCTGCGAGGTGCTCATGGCTCAGCTGCCCGAGCTCTTCAAACACGTGTTCCTGAAGGAGGGAGTCGCGTTCGCGATCGAGCAGCTGGCGGCCACGGCGGCGCCGGCGGGGGGCGCAGCAGCGGCTGCGGGGGCGGGTAGTCCGCCGCCGGCGCTGCAGCCGCCGCCGCAGACGCGTGCTGCAGCAGCGGAGGAGCCGCGCCGAGGTGAGTTTCCGAATGTTTCTTCGACCTATAGGGAGGATGATCGGTCCCAAGCGGCAAGGCGGCTGTCTGATCACGTCTGACAATTGAGGCCCACCTCTTATTAGACTCCCAACTGCCCACCGCAGCAACGCGCGGATCCCTGGCCGCCGCAGCCGCCGCCAAGGACGACAAGTCCGCAGCGACGGCAGCGCCCAGCGCCCCCGGCGGCTCCACCGCCGCTGCAGCAGCTGGTGCGGATGCCTTCCGGCGACCCGCCAGCAGCCCTAGCGGCGCCTCGCTGCGTGCCGCACTGGCCGCCCGGGCGCTGCGCTTCAAACGGAGCCACTACGACAGCGGCTGTGGCACCCCGGAGACGGAGGGGCTGCTGCAGGTGCGCGCGCTGCTGGCCCGGCTGCCCTCCGCCCCCTCCGCCGCCCTCACGGAATTGCTGGAGGTGATGGGAGCTAGCAGCAGCAGCGGCAGCGCAGCAGCAGATGGCGGCTCGGAGGCGGCAGCAGGGGCGGGGCCGGCCGGTGTGTCGGTGTTTGAGCTGCTGAACAGCGGTGAGAGGAGAGGGGGAGCATGGCCTGCATGGGGGACGTAAAGGGGTTGTCTTTTCCAATCCACGTGTTCCCCTCTTCCGCGTCCTTGCTTTCCTTGCACATTTCGTGTTGCATGTCTCCTCATGCCACCCCATGCATGTCTCCTCATGCCACCCCATGCATGTCTCCTCATGCCACCCCATGCATGTCTCCTCATGCCACCCCATGCATGTCTCCTCATGCCACCCCATGCATGCCTCCTCATGCCACCCCATGCATGCCTCCTCATGCCACCCCATGCATGTCTCCTCATGCCACCCCATGCAGGTGCGGTGAAGGCGCTGTACGACTTCCTCACCGGCGCCGACCTCTCCGCCGCCTCCACCCCGGCAGAGGCGGACGAGCGCGCAGACGCAGTACTCCGCCGCATTGCCGCACTCACCCGCGCCGGCCTGACGCCCCGGGACGGCTCCCCCTTCAACCCCCCGCTGGTCGGCCTGGTTCGGAAGCTGCAGGCGGCGCTCTCCACTGTGGAGAGCTTTCCCGTGCACTACGGCCGTGCCGTACCGCCGTCAGGCCCCGGGAGCTTCCGCCTGGGTGGCGGAGGCGGCGGGTATGGCAGCCGCGGCGGCAGCGCGGGCAGCGGTGCCAGCGCTCTGAACCCGGGCAGTCTGAGCTCTGGGCTGACCATGTTGACGCACCCGTTCAAGCTGCGGCTGTGTCGGCACGGCTCCGACGCCAGCCTGCGGGACTACTCCTCCAACATTGTGCTCATCGAGCCGCTGGCAACCATGTCCGCCATTGAGGACTTCCTGTGGCCGCGAGTGTATCGGGGGCCGGCAGCGGCCGCGGCGGCAGCAGCAGCGGCGGCGGCAGCGGCTTCAGCGCAGCAGCAGAAGGAGGCGCAGGCAGCGGCGGCTGCAGCAGCTGCTCCTCCGGGTCCTGGGGCAGCGGCTGGAAAGGGCGGCAGTTCCGGCGCCACGGCACCCGCAGCTACGGCAGCGGGTACCAAGTCGCATCCCATTCCAGTGGACGACAGCCCCAACTCCAACCGCCGAGTCACGCGGTCGCAGGCGGCTCGGGAGCGCGCGGAGGCGGAGGAGGCTGCGCGCCGCCGGGGCGCCCTGCCCGTGCCAACCCGGGGTGCGGCCAACCGCCGCGGCGCCGCAGCTGGCGCCGCCGCCGCCGCTCCAGCGGCTGCTGAGCCCAGCGCTGCTGCTGCTGCTGCCGGTGGCGACCCTAGCGTGGCTGACGAGAGCGATGAGGAGGAGGACGGGCAGGGCACGGGGGCGGGGGCGGGTGGCCGAGGCGCAGCAGCGGGCGGGTTGGAGCACGAGGGCGAGGAGGATGAGGAGGAGGAGTCTCATGATGGGGACATGGAGATGGAGGAGGCGGGAGCCGCCGGGGATGCCATGTTTGACGATGATGACGAGGACTTTGACGAGGACGGCATGGATGGAGACGAGGGTGGGTTGGGGGCTTGGGACGGAGGGTAGCTGGACTCGCGATGGGCTCGCTGCATACCTGCGTACCTATTGGGCACCCGGGCACATGTAGATCCCCTTGCGCTGCCCCCCGTGTTGCACGTCTCTTCTCCCTTTATCCCCTTCTCATTTCTCCCTTCTCCCTTGTCCCCCACGCCAGGTGACATGGACATCGGCCACATGCACGTCCACGACCTGGATGTGGACCAGGAGCCCCCCGCGGGCCGCAGCGCCGCACCTGCCCCCGCCTCCGCCCCCGCACCTCCCCTGCAGCCCCCGTCTCAGCCAGGCACCACCGCCACCACCGCCCCCACCCCTGGCGGCCCGGGTGGCGCCTGGGCGAGGCGTGCAGCTGCGGCGGCGGCGGCAGCATCCGGGGCTGCTACCGCGGGTGCGGCAGGGGCCGGCAGCGGCGCTGCTGCTGCTGCTGCTGCCGGCGGCGGTCGCTCCGCTGCCCACGAGGCCGCCCCCCCCAAGATGGTGTTTAGTCTGCTGGGAGACGAGCAGCCGCCGCTGGCCTCCAGCGCCACCGTGTTTCAGGCTATCCAGCAGCTGCAGAACCAGCAGCACCCGGCGGGGGAGGGAGACGAGGAGGGCGAGGAGGATGGCGGCGCGCCGCGGCGCGGGCGGCGGCTGTGGGACGAGATCCACACCCTCTACTACCGACCTGCTGATGCCCCCGCCCCGGCCGGCAGGAACTCCTCCGCTGCAGCGGGAGCCTCCCAGCGGTCAACCACAGGTGGAGCAGCAGCAGCAGATGCTGCCAGTGGGAAGCCTGGAGCAGCAGCGACCGGGTCGGACGCCGCGGGTAGCAACACCAGTCTTGGCCGCTGGGGCGCCACCCCGCTCCGTGAGCTGCTGGTCCCGCGGCTGCCTGCCGAGCTCTCCTGCTCGCCCACTTGCCGCGAGGTGCTCGCCCTGCTGGCGCTGCTGGAGGCGGTGAACAGGCTGGGGCCGCGCGCGTGTGCGGAGCTGGACGCAGCGGGGGCGGGCGGCGCGGAGGAGGCGAGTGCGGGGCCGCTGGAGTCGGTGCGGCATGCCGCCCGGGATGAGTTTGTGTCGGGGAAGCTGTCGTCGAAGCTGGGGCAGCAGCTGAAGGACGTGTTGTCCATCTGCGGCGGCGGGATGCCGGTCTGGTGCTCCTCGCTCACCGCCTCCTGCCGCTTCCTGTTCCCATTCGAAATCCGCAAGCGCTACTTCTACTGCACCGCGTTCGGTCTGGGTCGCGCGCTGCAGCACATGCAGCAGCAACACACCGCGGAGGCGGGCGGCGGGCCGGGCGGCGGCCTGGGCGGCGCGGACCGAGACGGCCGCGAGCTGCGTGTGGGTCGGCTGCAGCGGCAGAAGGTGCGGGTGTCCCGAAAACGCATTCTGGATTCCGCTGCCAAGGTGATGGAGCTGTACGCGCGCAGCCGGGCGGTTCTGGAGCTGGAGTACTTCAACGAGGTGGGCACCGGTCTGGGCCCCACCCTGGAGTTCTACACGCTGCTGTCGCACGAGCTGCAGCGTAAGGACCTGGGCATGTGGCGGCACGAGGAGCGCGATGACACACAGCAACAGCAGGAGAAGGAGAAGGAGGCGGCTGCGGAGGAGGTACTGCAAGGGGGCGGGGACGATGAGGCGGCGTTGCGGGAGCGCGCGCCGGCATCGCCGGATAAGATGCTGGTGGACGAAGCCGGTGCGGAGGGCGGCGCGCAACGCCCCCGTGTTGTCACCGCCACCACCGCCACCACCGCCACCACGGCCCCCACCACCGCATCAACCCTGGTCAGCGTCCCCTCGCGGCGCCTGGAGGCAGCATCACACGAGGAGGTGGAGTACGTGAATGCGCCCTGGGGGCTGTTCCCCCGGCCGCTGCCGCCCGACGCGCGGAGCAGCGGTGCGGGGTCGCGGGTGGTAGAGCAGTTCCGGCTGCTGGGCCGCACGCTGGCGAAGGCGCTGCAGGACAATCGGCTGCTGGACCTGCCGCTGAGCCACGTGTTCTATGGCGCAGGTGAGGGGGGGGGAGGTGGTGGGTGGTGGTTGCAGAGGGAGAGGGTGGCAAGTGAGGGTGTGCCGCGCGGTGTGGTGCTTTGCCGGTTAGGTGTGGGCTACTGGTAGTAGCGCTGCTGGTGCACATCGGGAGAGGGGAAGGGTTCGGGGGCAGTGACAGCCTGTGCTCGGTCTTTAAGTAGGAAAACCCGCCCTCCTGATGTCCTCCGCCCCTCCCCCCATGTCCCCCCCCGCAGCGCTGGGCAGCCGACTGGACCTGTGGGACATCGCCCGCTTCGACCCGGGGCTGGGCGCCACGCTGGCCAAGCTGCACGCGGCGCTGGTGGCGCACCGGGCAGCGGTGGCAGCGGCAGCAGCGGGGGGGCAGGGGGAGGCGGGTGCGGGTCCGCTGCTGGTGGATGGGGTGCCGGTGGAGGACCTGTGCATCACATTTGTGCTGCCAGGTGCGCGAAGGGGTGGGTGGGTGGAGTGAGGAGCAGCTCCGCGCCTGGAGTCAACGGATCAAGGTTGCGTGAAGTACACCTGAATCACACAGTGGAACTTCGCCATGCAAGCGCTGCTGCCGCTGCTGCAGCTGTCCTCCTCTTCTGACACGCTGCCTGACGCCCCCTCTTGGTGCCCTCCTCTGTGGCCCCCCGGCCCCGCAGGCCAGCCCGACTACCCGCTCCGCCCCGGCGGCAGCGAGCAGGTGGTGGGCAGCGCGGAGGAGCTGGGCGAGTACATTGCGGCGGTGGTGGACGCGACGCTGGGGTCGGGCATTGCGGCGCAGATGGCGGCCTTCAGGGAGGGATTCAACGAGGTGTTCAGCCTCAGGTGGGCGGGTGGGGGCGGGGAGGGGGCTAGCGGGGCCGATGTTTGCCCTGGGGCAGGCTGACTTGACTGCCGCTGTGAGGAGTGGAAAACATAACAGGGGCCTTGGGGAGGCGTACTGGTAAACCCTGCACGGTGGGGACATGTGTGTCCTCCTTATCCTATGCAACATCCTCCGACCTTTCAACCCCCCCACGCCCCTGCCCCTCCTGCCCCCCCCCCGCAGCTCTCTGTCACTGTTCCACGAGGACGAGGTGGAGGTGCTGCTGTGCGGCAGCGGGGAGCGCTGGACGCTGCAGGTGCTGGCGGAGGCCATCAAGTTCGATCACGGCTACACGGCCAGCTCGCAACCCGTCAAGTAAGCAAGGAAGGAGGAGGAGGAGGTGGAGGGTAGGGGGGCATACGTGATGCCAGCACGCGGCCTCATGTCGCTGCCTTGCTTCGGTTTGAACGTTGCGCCCCGGCGGCCAGCGCACTAACCCCTTACCATGCCTCTCCCCCGCCCCCGGCCCCCCGCAGGTTCTTGTTGGAGATCCTTTCAGAGCTGGAGGCGGCCGACCAGCGCGCCTTCCTGCGCTTCGTGACGGGCTGTCCGCGCCTGCCGCCGGGGGGCCTCACGGCGCTGCAGCCGCGACTGACGGTGGTGCGCAAACACCCCAGGTGGGTGCGACGCGGCGACCTCGGGGCGGAGGGGGGCCTTCATTTGCTGACCCACATCCCTCACTGGGACCTTGGATTATGGTTGTAACCCCTCCGCTCCTCTTGACCGCATTCCTCTTAAGTCCCTCCTCTCCTCTCCTCTCCTCTCCTCTTCTCCACCCGCGTACCCCAACGCAGTGGCGGCGAGGGTCCCAGCAACGGCCCCACGCCGGTGGGCAGCTTCCAAGAGGCCGGTCTGGCGGGTGCGGGGCTGAGTGCCGCTGACGCCGACCTGCCCAGCGTCATGACGTGCGCCAACTACATCAAGCTGCCGCCGTACAGCAGCAAGGCGGTCATGGCGGCGCGACTCATGTACGCAATCCGGGAGGGGCAGGGCTCCTTCGACCTGTCGTGAGCGGGGCGGACGGGGTGCCGCCGCCGCGGCTGCTGCTTAGGATGGCATCGGTGTATTTAGCTGTGTATGGTGCACTATGCGGGATGTAGTGTGCATCGGTTTGTTGAGTCTGGTAGGCTTGGCTATGGCTAGTGGCTACAGTTGTTGCAGTGTTTGTTTTTGGGGCCGAGTGCCGTGTACTATTTCCCGTTTGTGGAGTACAGCTGTGTGCAGGAGGTTGCATGCCTGGGATGGCGGCCGCTGCAGTCCTGCTGGGTGTTTCCGTGCGTAGCTTTGCACGGGGACGCTGCATCGGAGCCTGCCGACCGTGGCCTGTGAGGAACGACGACGGCCTGACTTTGTAGCGTCGTTTACTTCGCATTCCGTTGTTTTGTGCATGTCAGGAGGTCTGTTCCAAGGCTGTTGTTGTGCTGCATATCGGTCTGCGCCTGCAGGGTACGACCGCGCATTGGTTCGTGGCGGGTTTCCTCGTGTAACGATGAGCGCTGGATGCCCCTGTTGTCACGGTGTGGGGAGTGGTAGGGCGTTGACAGCCGAGGCTGAAGACCGAGGACAGGGTAAGCCACTGCAGCCCTCCAGCGAAATGCAAGGAATACTGTGATTGCGACAACCGTTACAGAGTTGTCAACGTAATTTCAGCCTTCTGCAGCACTATTGCACTGGCCTAGCTGGGAGAAACAGGGAGAAACTGCCGAGCTAGAAGGGCCCTAGGTGGCCCTAGCCGGGAGGGGTGAGCTACAGGACACCGGATGATGGGAAAAGGAACCCACAGCGCAGGCCGAAAGTGCTACAAATACGCGTGGGGGGTTCAAGGGATGGCCATGTTCTTGCACTTGGGGGTTGTGATAGGCCACTGAGCTCGAAATGGAAGTTCAGCAGTCGCGTGAGAGCAAAGCCACGTCTCCTTCTGGGTCTGAGCCCCACTGCATTAGGTTTTCACCACAAGCAGTAAAGCGATTAATTTTTCGGTATCGGAATCGGTAAGCAGTTTGCATGTGCCGTACTCCGTATGCGACAGGCGGGCTACCCCTCTAAGCGCGAGGCAGCAACTAAGTGCGCTTAGATTACCCTCTCTGAAGAATAATTACTTGACATACTACTGGACACCAGTCTTACAGGACTGCGAAGAACTCTCCGTGTCCCGACAATGACTTCCTCGACTGCAACTGACTCCAACCCTCCTTGCGTCCTTTGTGGGGCCCAGGCCTCTATGGAATGCATAGCTTGCCTACGGTTAGGCCACACGGTTACCGTGTGCTCATCCTCGTGTATGCGAGGCCATTTTCACATCCATAGACTTGAAACCACCTCGAACGTCAACGCTAGCTTCAGCTGGCAAGGCCAAGAGGTACCCCCGTGCACTACAAAGCCTATGACGCCATCGCGCATTGGAAGCAGGTAAACTTGTCATAAGCAAGGGCCCTTACTTCTGGCGCCCTTTTGGCCAAGCTGGGGGTTACTGAGGTTTGTTGACACCGACTTCTTGCAGGCCATTTTACGGACTATCACCACACCATCCCAGCCCGCTGCGAGAGGCACCGCACCCGCGGCCAACGAACGGCCACCCAGTTCCACATTGCAGTTTAGCGCACGCAGCCGTGCAGCCCAGCACACGCCATGCACCATCGACGACCATGGTAAAGCAGCGGTGAGCGGAGCTCTACAATTACACAATACTACTCCCCTCGCTCGCCTGGGAGAGAACCCTTGCCATGGCTGTTAAGGAACAGCTCGTCGCCTTACGTGCGCGGAGCAATTTCGACAGTCAGCTGCTAGGATGGCGTTCTTGTATGATTTAGCCAATGCGGTTTTGCCCTTTCCCTTACGTTCCAGGTCGCATACCTGGTTGTTTACTTGCTCGACTGCATTTGGGTTGTACTCCTATGGCATATGTGTTCTGATGCATAAGAAGGACTGCTTAGACAGTAGACTGGTTTGCTAACAGGCGAAGTGTAGATGTTACAAGTTTGCGCTGCGATTGGGGAAGCCTCTATAGGGGCGGAATGCGCATAGCCTCTCGTCTGCTCAGTACTCGGAAAGACATGTTGACGTTGGTAGCACGGATGGGACGCAGAACTGAGACTGGCAAAATGGACGCAGTGGCACTTGTGTATTACTCGTCTTGTGATGGCTCATCCAGCTTGAACTTCTTTCGGACCGCTGGATCATTTTGAAGATTCCTCATGTCCACCTGCGCGTATACAGTTTGCGGTACTGAGGTGCGCCTCGGCATTGCGGTCCACTACAAAGCAGGTTGCCATACCACAAGCAATGATGCCCAGACAACTAGGATACCGCTCATTACGAGGTTGCGCCTCTGCCAGGGTTGCGCGTTCCGCCATATATCTGATAGCTTTTTCATTATTGGGCCTAGGCACAAGTTCAAATGTGTAACACCTCACAGGCTTGCTATCAAGTGCAGCATGCAAGTATGCTATGTTGGATCGTCTGAAAGTGGTTAAAGACCAAATGATCAGCGGGTCAACGTAGGCTGTACAAATCAAACAGAGGAACGTTATACGGCAACCCCCATCCCGTACAGTGAATCCATGCCGTACGTTGGAACTTCCTAATCCTTCATCGCAACTGCCCCACGGGGCTCAGACATCTACGGCACGCAAGCACACCAGCTTACATGACTTACCCAATTACCATTCACCCGCTAAGCAACCCACAATACCACCAACGTTCGGCACTGTCCGGTGACCCAGCTTCAACCAACTCCCAAACGCTTCATCTGTCGACGCTGCGCCCCTGCATGACTCATGCCTGCCGGAGCGCCACCTGCTCTGCATGATAGGCCCGCATGTTCTCCTCCTGCATCAGGCTGCGTGCGTGGTGGCGCACGTCCAGCGTGCCGTCCTGCAGCAGCGGGGGGAGGTCACAAACCAGGGATGACTTTAGGACCATGTATGTAGGTATGGCTGCGGTGGCCCGGCTTCCTTGCTTTCTGCGCCTGCGCTGCTGTTGGGACTTACGCGTACGGTGGTTTACAGGTAACGGTACGTAGTGGCTGGTCGACGGCGCGCCCCACCACCCATGCAAGGCAGAACCCGCAACGGCACCCCCCCCCGCCCACCTCCCCGCCCAACGCCCACCCGCCCCTCCGCCCACCTGCAGGATGTTTACGAACTCGGAGGCCCGCGGCACCCGCGCCCGCCCCCTGCTCTGCAGCAGCTGGATGCCGGTGGCCGCCGCGTTGTAGCGCACCACGAACTCGCAGGTTGGCACGTCAAGCCCCTCCTCGGCGGCCGAGGTGGCGACCAGCAGCTTGCAGGGGCTCCCGGCATCCGCCTCCTGCGTGCACCGGAGCGAGCCGGGGTGGGGGAGGGGGAGAGGTGTATGGGTACGGCAGCGAGCTGCAAAATTTCTTACCACCAAGTCCTAAGACACCAGGTGCCGCTGCCGTACCGCAACCGCCCTGCCGTACCGCAAACCCCCTGCCGTACCACAACCCCCCTGCCGTCGTACCTTGAACCTCCGCACCACCAGCTGCTGCTCCCTGTCGTTCATGCCGCGGCCGTGTCGCTCGTGCTCTGCGGGCAGCCGCGAGCGGCGCTTGGAAGCGGCGTTCTGTCCGATCAGCTCCAACACCTGAGGAGCGGGGTGGGGGGTGGGGTGGCGTGGGGTGGGGTGGGGCAGCAGCAGACGATGGCAGCAAGGCCAGCATGGCAAGGGCATGGGCGCGATGCGGCCCCACCGGTGTCCCCCTCCGGCACCCGTGTTCCCTCCTGGGGAACCATTGTAACGGTCAGTCATCCAGACCCCGATGCACCTCGATGAACGCCAGCTGCTTGGAGCGGCGAACCATGTCGGCCACGTAGGACACGGACTGGGGGGGTAGGGGTGGGAGAGAAGGGAGGGGCAGGGGGAGTAGATTCGGTTCGGCGCGGTTGATGGGTTCCTGCTCTCGTCTCCCTGCAGGCTACGCGCACCAGAGCAGTGGAGGCTGAGCTGGGCCGCAGGGGCGCGGGCGGGGTACCCCGGTGAGGCTGCCCCCGCCCCACCGCCCCGCCCCCCCCCGCCCCGCCCCACCTGCCGTGTCTTGACGAACACGATACCTCGGAAGGAGGCCCGCCCCTCGTACCCCTGGGGCGGTAGCAGGTGGGAGGCGGTGGGGCGTGGGTTTGCATGTTAAGCACGCACCACACCGGCATGGCACCCGGCGGGTGTGTGCTAGGGTGGGGGTGCGGCAGCAGTAAAGGCGTCCAACATAGACAGGGCCGCCTGAACGGGTACTGTTGACAGTGGAAGCAGCCGGCCCGCGTCGCAACGCATGCAGCGGTGGAGCGGCAGCAACCAGCAGGCTGCTGGCTGCCCCGTAGCACCCCACCCCACCCGCCCCCACCCGCAGGTATTTGAGCAGCGCCCAGAACTTGGGGAAGGTGGTGTGCTCCTGGGGGCGTGCGGGGGGTGAGGGGGCGGGTGTAGACAGGGGGGCCGGGGTACGCAAACAAAAGGTAAGCTCCCAACTAGGCTCCGGCTTTGACATCAAGAGGCAACCCAGGGTCGTGGTCCCGGCGGGCAGACACAGCAGGATGGGAAGGTCGGCTACCTGCATGCGTCCCCACCTGGCCTGGATGGTCTTTGACCCACCTGCAGCTCCCCCGACAGGAAGCAATCGCGGACCAGCGCCGCTGCCGAGTCGCCCGCTGCGGGCAGGATGCGGCTGCCCCCCTCCACCTGCACAGCGGGACACGCCAGGGCAGGGCAGGGCAAGCAATCACACACCGACAAACGCCACACCAACAGCAGAGGGAGATGGGTCACTAAACGTCGCCATGCAAGGGGGTCAACATGCGGCTGGGCAGCGGGGATGCTAGCAGCGCATGCACGGCGGTGTCGCGGGGTGTGGTTGCAGCGGGCCCCGCAGCAGGGCCCGCTACAGCCACCCAGCCACCCACCCAGGCCCCTCAGCTGTTTCTTGTTTACCCACCAGCAGTCGCCGCACCAGCGCAGAGAGGCGCAGCGGCAGATCGCCACCGCCTCCCGGCCTGCAAGGAGTGAGTCAAGGAGCATCAGCACTACGAAACGAGCTACGAAAGGGGCAGCAAGCAAGCAAGGCACCGCTGCCTCCTCCCCCTACCCTCTCCTTCCGGGAGGGGAGGCAGGCCGAGCGGGCCGGCACGCAGCGGCACGCACACCAGCCCCCAGCTCACCCCAGCTGCAGCTCAGCCTGACACAGCGCCGCCGCCTTGCGCGCCAGCAGGGGCAGCGCGCCCTCGTAGCCCGCGTCCTCTACATGCTCCTCCGTCTGAGGATGTCGGGGGTGGGGTGGGGTGGGGCAGGGGGGACACGCAGCGCAGTGTACCGTAAGTGGTGGGTGGCCTCAAAGGTAGCAGTAGCCACCCCCCTGTTGCTGCGGAACACGACCTCTGCCACCACCCCCCCCCGACTGCGCTCCCCCGACTGCCCCACCTTCCTCAGCAGGTCCAGCAGCTTGCAGTGCAGCTCCAACAGCGGGTAGCGGTGGGCCGCTGCGAACTCCGCGGCTTGTGCGATGAACTGTACGGCCGGCAGGGAAAGGGGGAAGGGAGGGCGTGGCGCTCCTAGCCTCCTACCGATATGATTTACGGTACCCTTCCAAGGGTTCCAGCTTGTCAACTGCTGCTGCTCCCTGCGTCAGAGTGCGAAGCGGAGTGCAAGGCTACCTAGGAGGTGCCTAGGGAGGTGCCTAGAGGGGGTTCTCACCTCTCCAAGAAGGGACTTTTGGCTGTTGGGCTCGGACGCCTCCGCCGCCTCCTCAAGCTTCTTCAGCAGGGCGCTCCGTCCGGCAGCTGCCTTCGCCGCCGCCGCTCCCGAGTCCAGCACCAGCTGCTGAAGGGCCAGCCCTGCAGCGGGAGCAGCGGCAGAGACAGGGACAGGGACAGGGACAGCGGCAGAGCGTGAAGCAGGTGTGAACAGCACAGCAGCATGATGGGAGGGACACCACCACTGATACTACGGGGCATGCTAGGGGAGGAGTAGCCTCCGGCTAGGACGCCCCAATCCCGACACCCCTTCACACAGGCCCACCCCCCGAGGGCCCCCACCCACCAACATCCAGCGCCGCCTCCACCGTACAGTCCTGCGATGAGAACACACCAGCAGCCAGTTATTTTAACACACCGGCAGGCGGCGAGTCAGGCCATACTTGATGAGTCTAGGCACTGCAGTGTAGGACTGGGTTCGCCACCCGTGGTGTTCCCCCTCTTCCAAGACACCAACGGCGCGGCCATTCACTCGATCCCTTACATACGACGAGTCACAACCTTCGCACCCTCACAAGCGATATACCCCGTCCTTCAAAGTCCGGCAATGAACCCTCATGACCCCCACCCCCCACAACACCTCTCCTCCCCTCCACGCACCCCCACCCGCAGTGTCTGCGCCAGCCGCAGGTCCTCCGCCCGCCTCCGCACATGCAGCTCCCGGCAGGCGGGGGCCGCCAGCACCCGCGCCACCCCCGCCTCCCGCTCGTCCACCACATGCTGGCTGGCGGCCAGTCGGCACAGCAGCGCCCGCATCTTGCGACGCAACTCGTCCTGCGGGCGGGAAAAAGGAATTCCAATGTGTGCGGGCGGAGGGGGTCAAAGACCATACCAACCCATAGGAGACCACAGGTTAGGGCGGGGGTGGAGGCCAAGAGGGTGATGAGGGCAGGGTGGCGGTGGACAGCGAGGAAATAGCCACATGGTCTTAGCAGCTGAGGCTTCAGCCCCCTACGTAAGCCAAGTGCCCGACCCGGCCCGAACCCCCTCCACCCTCGCGTACCATGTTCTCGTCTCCCGCGGGTGAGGCCGTCACCGCTAGCACCCGCGGCTCGGCAGCAGCCGCAGCAACAGCAGAGGAGGAGGAGGAGGGAAGGTAGGGGGACATGGCGTCGTCATCATCCTCGTCGTCATCATCCTCGTCGTCATCATCCTCGTCATCCTCATCCTCGTCTTCGTCTTCATCCATGCCCCCGAGCGATGGCGCGGGTGTGATGAGCCCTGCCACGATCTTGGCGTAGGCGTGGTCGTCGTGGCAGTGGTGGGCCTCGTCGATGATCTGTGGGGGAGGGGAGGAGAAGCCAGAAACAATGAATACCGCATGTTAGGACAAAGCAACAAGAGGAATAGGAGGCGGCGAGGAAGGGCGGCCGGACGGGTAACGGTAACGGGAAAGCGCCCGAGCGTCACAGTCAGCAGGGTCGGGAGGGTCGGGACACGGGAGGGCTTTTCCTCCCACTCACTACACAGCGCCCGCCAGGACACCCCCCCCAGCCCCCACCAGCAGGTCCACATGCTCCCGCTGCACTGCTCGCCCCAACAGGTTGCGGAAGGAGTCCGCTGTCGCCACAACCACCGTAGACCGGCCGCCACCTCCTGCTCCTCCTGCTCCCCCCAGTCCCGCTGCCGCCACGTAGGCGCCCCACACCGCCGCAGTCAGCTGGTTGTCGGAGCTGTGGCACCGCACAGCCGTGTCACCCACCCCCGCCCCCAGCCCCGCCCCCGCCCCCACCCCCAGCCCGGCTGCCCGGAATGCCTCCGCATGCTGCTGTGTGAGCAGTACGGTGGGCACCAGCACCACCACCAGCGCACCACGACCCGCATGCAGCCGAGTGTGGCAGATGAGCGACCTGCGGCAGCGAGGCAGGGGGGCAGCGGCAGGGGCAGGGGCAGGGGCAGCAGCAAGTCATGCAGCAGCAGGGGCAGCAGCAAGTCAACCAAGTAGCTAGCTAGGGCGACCACGCAAGCAAGCACCCACCACGCTCCACCTCGCGGCCAGTTTTCTTACCCCACACCGCCCCACCCTCCCTCACCCCCCCCCACCCCCCGGCTGGGCTGGGCTGGGATGGGCCAATTAGCAACCCATGGTGGAGCCTCGTCATTCAGTTTGTCAGTGTTTCTTTATTTTTACCCACCCCCCGGCACCCACTTGGCCACCTCCACGAACACACGCGTCTTGCCCGATCCCGTGGGAGCCGCCACCAGCCAGTTGCGGCGCCCCGCATCTCCCCCTGCTCCTGCTCCCCCTGCTCCTGCACCACAACCGCCTCCTGCCCCTCCTCCTGCCGCCTCATCCTGCAGCTCAGGCGGCAGCGGCAGCCCCCAGCTGCCCAGCACCCGTGCCACCGCCTGCCGCTGGTAGGGCCGCAGCGGCTGGGGGGGCTGTGGCAGGGGCTGCAGCGGGGGCAGGGGCTGGGCAGCTGCCTCGCGCCTCTCGTGCATGTAGCGCTTGCTCTCCACGCTGAACACACCGCCGGGCGTGCGGGGCTCGCCGGTGTCCGTCCTCGTCGTCTCGGTGGACCTGTAAGTGGGGGTGGTGGTAAGCCGGCAGGTAAAATAGATTCCCAGCGTCGCACGGCTTATCCCAACAGCCCACCCACGCCCCCACCGGCAGCCCACCTGTCGCACCGCTCCAGCACCTCAACCACCCCCTGCGGCCCCAGCTCCCCGGCTCGCATGGTCAGCCAATTGCGCTGGTGGGCGGGTTCATCCAGGATGCCCAGCAGAGAGGTGCCTATGGCCTCCGGGGACCACTGCAGCAGGTACGCATACCTGGAGCTGGTGGGAGCAGGAGAAGAAGGAGAAGAGGGTGGGGCCCGAGGAGCTGAAGCGCTGGTGCTCGTGCCGTTGAAGCCGTTGATGGTGGTGCTGCTGCTGATGGAGTTGAGGAATCCATTGAGAATTAAGCTACCGGTGGCAGCAGCAGCAGCGGACCTCCATTCCGGCAGGCGTTCACGGGTGCTGAGAGCGCGGCACTGCTGCTCCACCACTACGCTTGCCGCGAAGAGCGTTGCCGGAGCAGCGACTGGACGCAAGCGTGCATCGGATGTTGCGTAAACCGCAGCGACGTTATGCAGTTGTAGGGTAGGACTGGGGGGCCGGACCTTGTTCGTAAAATCCATATTACGCTGTGAAGGTCCTAGAGGTGAAACGGGCAGGACGCCGGTTGCTCCAAGCGCGTCAAGCGCTTCCTGCCAGGTAGCCATGCTGCGACGAGGAGAAGAAGCCTCCTAAGACACAACGCCCTCGTTCAATTCGATAAGCGCTTTACTGCGTGAAGTCACTATAACTGCCTTGGAGAAACAGTTACTTCCGCTGCGCTTGCGTCGGGGAGTCGCGACAGGAGTTTCGCTCCCCTGTTTTAGGCAAAAATATTACTGTCAAAAGAATGAAATTCAGAGTTCAACAACGATCGGAACCATATGACTGCTCGACTCGGTTGCGAATGCTTGGCAGACAGTCCTTCCTACTTTGCTTAGTTACGAACTGGGCCATACATTGTGCATTAAATGTGTATACCAGCGCAACGGCAATGCGACCTGTGATAAGATCCACCACGATCCAAAGCATCCAGCCAAACCGTTCACGGCGGGTTGCGACACATGCGACACGGGTCAACTTCAAAGCGCAAAGGCTAGGCTACTGCCAGCATCGAAATATAGCTCTTATGACCATATTAGAGCCCCTTGAATGACCATCATTCGCCAGCTTTGCTAGGCAATCCATGTACGCTGAAAACGGCCTGATCAGGCGCCGGATCCGGACGCGCTGCTCTATTAGCTGTAGTCTTCAGGCGTTCAGAGTGTTTAGGAGAGGGTCCACACGCTTCAAACTACCACTTCCTGGACCCAAAGGGGCCGCTCACATCCTCCGTTACGTTCGGAACGCGTCAGGCCGTCTGCCGTGCAGCTCGAACCCCCCGGGGCGCCGCACCTCCCGTGCCTCTCCTTTCAACAATCCCACTGCGCATGCTCTCCCTTCGACTCCTCCTCTCCAACACTAAGCATGGTGTTGTCAAGTATGGTCGCACTTGGGGCATGCAGGGCCGCCCCGCGCACCACCCGCCCCGCAGACCACCATGCCGCCAACATGACGCACCAAGCCCGCGGTTACAACACTGGAATTGAAAATAGGCGATCATGGCGCGGGGGTGATGCCGGCATGCACTTTGGGTTGCAGCCACGCAGCACCCAATTGCATGTGTCACCAGCGGCTGGGGGCCTGCCGACCAGTCGAGACAGGCTTACTTAGTTGGGTGCTATTGTGGAAGGCACTACATACTGGGAGCTCGCACAGCGACGGGAAACGGAGGCGATCGGGTTACAATAGTGCTGGAGGTTACCGGTACAGTAGGGCAAGGACGACGGACATGACGTCGTTAGCCTGGAACGGGACAAGCAGTACGATGTACTCAATGTGCATATAATGAAAAGCTGGAGGTGGCAAATGTAGGGTAGGGGCACGGCTGCACGACGCATGACTGGTGCGTCGAGGTGGTCCAGGGGACATTTCCAAGCGGCTTAACTCCCACTCGACTGCGACCCCCTACCAACGTTATTGTTTGTCACAAAACATGATTTGCTGCGTACTGTCGCTATTTGTTTCATTGTAGACCCTACATTGTCAAGCGATTGAACATTTTGACGTTGACAGTTTGTCGTCTGCCACCGTCAATGTAAGGAAAGGTCGATAATAGACGATCTTTTTCTCTAAATTTGCCGCTTTTAGTCTTTGAGGAGTAGGTGCAGCAAGGGCAGCGGCAGGGCCTGTTTTCACTTATCCTGCAAAGATGGCGCTGCCAAAGTCGGAGATGGAGCATGTGGATGCAAAAGGTTGGCAGGCAACGTCCAAAGCCTTCGTCGCGCTCAAAGGCGCGGTCGCATTCCGTACCTAACCACGATGGCCCCTCTCGCGCTCAGTATTCGAGAACGCGGCGGTCATCAGCAACTCCGAAGTAGCAACCATTCTCAGCGAATACATGCGGCAGCGGAGAGAGGAGAAACCCACCTTCCAGCCAGAGCCCCTGGTGCAGAAGACGCTAGAGTACGTTCAGAAGTTCAACTGCGGCACAAACCCGGAGGCAGTGCAAGCCATGCGCAAGTAAGAAGCGCTCCGGGCGGTTGCCTCTCCCGGCGGGGGGCTCTGGTCAAGGGAGGGGGCCCCTCACCAGCTGGGCTGGGTCGGGTGCAGGATGCGGAGCCGGGCAGGAGTGGGCTCCAGCCCCTTCCCTCGCCGTTCGTGTCCTGTGTTTGCCTCTTCTCCATAAGGCCCCGCCAACCTAGGACACTCCAGCCACTCTCGCACCCGTGGAGTCTGGGATCGCCGGCGGAAAGTGTCGTCGGTTCCCTCACCTCCTTGCCCCCCTTATCCCGTTACCGGTAGTGAGTGCCTTTCCTTGTTCCCCCCCTTCACCCGTCACCCCCCTCCCGCCCCTCCCGCCCCCCAGCTACATGGAGACCTTCGGGCTGAAGCCGTTCGAGTGGGGCCTCATCGCCAACCTGCTGCCCGAGGACACCGACGAGGCCACCAAGCTCATACCCAGCCTGGTGGTGGGTGCAGGGTGGGGGGGGTGAGGGGTGGTGGGAGGGCTGCGAATGGGAGGGGGCTAACGGGCAGCAGGGGCTGCCGGGGGAGGGATGAAGAAGACAGAATGTGGCATGTGGCCTCCAGCATGGGGTTTGCGTCATGCCCCCCCCCGCCCCCCCCAGGATCACCCGGACGACCCGCCCGAGGAGCACCGCTCCATCCTGCCCGAGGAGCTGGACCGCATCCTGGCGGAGCTGCAGAACCTGAGGCACGCGTAGGGGGCGGGGCTGGAGGGGTGGGGGAGAGCAGCGGAGGTAGAGAAGGAAAAGAAGAATACCCAATGGGTTGGATGGTATGGGGGAGGTGGAGGGGGCAGGTGGGACCCCAGGCACGTGTAGAGAGCCAGGGGGAGAATAGGGCCTGCGGGGCACGTGTTGTAGAGCAAGGGGTGGAGAGGAGCTGGGCAGGAAAAAGGGAGAGGAGGAGGAGAGGAGGAGGAGAGGAGGAGAGGAGGAGGAGAGGAGGAGGAGAGGGAGGTGTGCTTGCGAGAGGAGGATGGCAGCGTAGGCTCCGCATGAGAGGGGCGCAAGCAGCTGTTTATGGAGGCTGTGCTTGGGTGCACATACACGGGTGGGCTCCGGGACGTGACGTGGCAAAGGGCGAGAAGCGAATGGCAGGTGGTTAAGAGCTGTGTCGGTGGGGGTGGGGGTGGGGTGCAGCTGAAGGGAAGGTGCGTGCGGCGCTAGGGTAACGAGCGTGACGAGGGCGGCTGCCGGGGTGGTGCCGTTGGGCCCGAACCTGTCCTCGGCGGCGACCCAAGTGAAGGACGCTGGGTTGCGGGGAGCCTAACCGCCGGTCTGCCAGTCTGTAACACACCTGTGTTGCTGTAAGCATGCGTTGGCCCCATGTCTTGGCGCGCGGCGGGCACATCCTTCAGCACGCCATCCTGCCCCCAACAGGTGCAGCGCAGCGGCGCCGGTTATCACAGTGGCAGCCGCCTTTTATTCGCCAATACAGAGTGATCTCAAATCACCTTGGCAGCCGCTATGGAGCTTACAATACGGTTTGTTATTGGTTATTGCTACTAACTACAATAAATTGCTATCCCTAAAATCCAGCCTAAGGCGGATTACGTCTCCAAATTAACCCCCAACACTCCCAGCGCTGCGCCGCCGCCACGCCAGCTGTCCTGGCTATTACGCGAGGTGCAGGGACAGAAGGGTACTGAAGTGAAGCATGCCGCCTCGCACCAGTGCAAGCACGCAGGTGTGTGCGAGGCGGCCCCATGCCGCCCCCTTGCCGTGAGGGTGGGGGGCACCACGAGAGGCAAGGAAGCCAGCAGGGCAGTCAGAGGCTGTCGGCGATGCTAAGTTGGGGGTGGTGGGATGAGCCCGCCCGCGCGGAGCCCAGGTGCCATGCTGTTAAGAGCTGGGAGCTGCAGGGCAGGGATTGTGTGGCGTTTGATGCCCTGCCGGGGCGCCTTGCGTGGGGGAGCGACAGCGCTACACGACGTGTAGTGAGACCCGCAGCTAGGGCAGCTAAGGGGCGCACAACTGCAACGGCCTTACAGAGGCAGGCAACGCAACAATGCCCGGCTGCTCCAGGCACTTGAGGGGGAAAGAGGGTTGGGTGTTCGCAACCCATCGGGGGGGGGTCAACAACTCAACACAGGGGCACACGGCGCTGTGTACCGTTACCCGCTCAACTTGCTGCTACCGGTACCTTTCCAACGCCCCCCGCTGTCCAACTGGTGGTGCTCAACCGGGGCAGGACTGCCCACACATCCCACCATGCGAACGTAATGCGGCTGCCTTGTTCCAACATCCGTCCAGCACATGAATACCGGCCATGAAGGCTTCCTCTCGGTCCTAGCCTGGCCCCTGCTGTACATGCAGGGAGCAGAGGCATACGCCCTGCCAGCGCTAAATCCCTCAGACAAACCCTAAAACCCTCCAAACGCTCAACACAGGAAAGCACAAGAATAACCGCACACACACGCACATCGCACACACCGGCTATGGCTTGCACCACGGCATATACAATACGAAACCCGGGACATGAAGACGCGAACACAGCGCTTATGTATGGTGCGTCCGAAGAGCTACCTACCTACCTACGTACCTACATGCCATCATGCGTGCTAGCTAGGCAGCTTAACTTGGTTCATGCGACCTAACCCAGACTTCTTCCTTCTCCTCCTCCTCCTCCAAACAATAGGCCTCCGCTGCACGATATACCATACCGCATAACTCCACATACACCGTTGAGGTCTGACCCAACCTGCGTCAATCTGCACTGCACGCACACAATGGCACATGCACACGCCCGCACTTCCAGCACATAACCCACCTCCCAAATAACGCACCCCAATCCCCAAGCGCTCTCTCCACGACGCACTCCACACTCACTCACAGCCGAGACCGCCTCCTCGCCACATAAAACCGGCGTGACCTGCCGTACAGCCACATAGAATACCGTGCCTGCCGTACTGCTGCCGTATCTCCCCCCCCTCACAGCTCCTTGTCGTACAGGAAGGCTCCCAGCAGGTGCAGCGCCTGCGCGGGCCTGCTCTGCGGCACCATGTGTCCCGCGCCCTTCACGCTGGCGAACCGCAGTCGGGAGCCGCTGCGGAAGCGGGCAGTGAAGCCCATGATCTGGGGGTGGGAGGGGGTGGGTGGGTGGGGGTTGGGAAAAGGGTTTGGGAAGCGCTGCCATGTACCAATGCACGCCGTTGGGTTTGGCAGGGGGAGGAGTGTGGCCCTAGGTGTGTCCCTGGCTGGTCTCCGCGGCGGGCTGGGGACCGTCACGGCACATGCGGTGCCACCTGGAAACTACCCGGCTGGCGCGCATGGACACTCTTGCCCCCCCCACCTGTCCTCCCATCATCCAGGGCCTGAGCGGCCCCTCCGGCCCCCCCAGCCCGCCCGCCTCGCCGTACAGCCAGGCTGCGGTGCCCGTGTGCGGCACCACCATGTCGTGGTCGCCGCTGTACACCAGCGCACGGATGCCTGGAAGGAAGGGGAGAGGGGGGAGAGGGGGAGGGGGGGGGGAGGGTAGGATGTAAGGCGGGGCACGTCAGCAGGAGGCAGCGGCGTGGAGGGACCGGCAAACGAGCATCCTTACCTAGCCACTGGTTTCCTGTTCACACCCCCTCCCCCTCACCTTCGTTGGTCGTTTCCCCTCCCCCCCCCTCACCTGCCCCCACCAGCTCCTCATGCACCGGCACCAGCTGAGCGGTGTCCAGCGCGTACCGCAGCACGTCGCTGCAGGGCTGCCAGCCGCCGATGAGGGAGGCGGGCGCGGCGTGCAGCGCGGTCCGCACGTCGGCGCGGTTCAGCCAGTCCAGCGCGATACTGGGGGGGGGCGGGGGAATGGAATGGAGTATGGAACGGGAGCAGATGGTGATTGGGGGATGAAGCCCGAGAGGAAAAGCCGAGCAATGATCCCTCGATCCCTCCCAACCAGCACCTAGCACCCAGCACTAGTCCAGTTCCCCCTCCCCCTCCCGCCCCCCTCCCCCTACCTGCGGTCCATGCAGGGTGCCGTGTGCCGCAGCCAGGGACCCCACAGCTGCCGCCCCCGCCGCCTCCCTCCCGCTGCCTGCAGCCCCTCCTCCTCCTGCTGCTGCTGTTGCTTCTCCCCCTCCACCTTCTCCTCCGCCTCCTCTCCAGCCCCCTTCATGCGCACGGTGAAGGGCCAGTAGAAGCGCCGAGCCAGGTCCGCCGCAATGCGCCCGCCCCTGCCCGCTGCCCGCCCCTCCACCTGCTCCTCCCCCTCCCCTGCATGTCCCCCCCTGGTGCAGGGGTCCAGCACGTCGTACCAGTTGAGGTCCCACAGGTCGTCCTTCACCACACCCTGCGCGTCCCAACACGCGGTACCTGGGGGCAGCAGCAGCAGGGGGGGAGGAGAGGGGAAGTGGGAGGCGGGGCAGAAGGGGGGCGGAGGAAGCGGAGGAGAAGGAGTGCGGGTGCACTTGGGGCGGAGGAAGCATAACCCCCACCTACTGGCTCTTCCTCCAAAACCTCCCTCCCATACCCTCCCATCCAACCCCTTCTATCCTCCTCCCCCCCCCCCTTGTGGCACCCTGCCGCTCCTATCCCCATTGTCTTGCCCCAACCTGTGGTTTCCTATGGTTCGGTATGGTCTTTGACCCCCCCTTCTCCCCCCCCCTCCCCCACTGCCCCCCCTACCCGGCGTTGCGTTCCAGAACATGTCCCCGCACGCCTCCCGCATGTCGCGCCAGGAGGGCGGGTCCACGTACCCCATGTGCGCCGCGAACACCAGCTGCGCGTTGCCGTCCACCACATCGTCGGTAACCGGGTTGCCCACCGCGTAGCCCTGGGGGGGGGGAGGGAGGGGAGATACGGGGGGGAGAGGGAGGGGAAGAAAGAATACCCAGTGTGTTGGATGAGAATGTCAAACAAGCCGACAGAGAAGGGGAGGGGGCGGTGCCGTGACTCGTGAGGGTTGGTGGTCCAGGCGAGGCGAAACACACAGGCGCCGGGCGCACCAGGCGCCGACCCGCATGCGCTAGTGGAGGCAGTAGCGGAGTAGGTCCCCCCGGGGCGCAGCTCCACTCCCCCTCCCTCCCCTCTGGGATGGACCGGCTACCATGCTTGGACCCCGTGATGAAGCCGTGTCATACAGCTCCTTAGTTGCCTGGTCAGTCTTTCCTTCCCCTCTCCCTCCCCCTCCCCCACCCCACCTCCAGGTTCACCAGCGCTCGCCGCCCCTGCCGCTCCCTCCGCCGGTTGACTCGCAGCAGCTCGCGTGCCAGCAGCGGCACGAACACACCGCCGTAGCTCTCGCCGCTGATGAAGAAGGGCGCGGAGGAGAGCTCGGGGTAGCGGTGCGTCAGGCCCTGGGGGGATGAGGGGGGGGAAGGGATAGCGTGGGGGGGAGGGGGGGAGCGTAAGGTGGAAGGGGTGGTGGTGAGGGAGCTCAAAGTAGGGGAGGAGAGGTCGTCGGCCGGTTAAGGAAAGCAATAGCCTCTGCGACACCGGTGCCAATTTTAAGCGGGGGCGGCTTGCTTCCTACCCCACCTGCAGCTAATCAAGCCCGGGGATTCGACGCTCCCTCCCCAACCGCCCCCTTGTCTAGGCATTACGAACCCATTCCCCCCTCCCGTCCCCTCACCCCCCCTCCCTTGCCCCCCCCCGAACCTCCAGGAAGGTGACCAGGTCGGCGATGGTGTACGCATCATCGGTGTGGTAGTCCACCTCGGGGCGCCCGCTGTACGACATGCCGGCACCCGCGGGGGAGTCCACGTAGATGACGGTGGCCAGCTGGGGGGGGGAGCGGGGTGTGTGTGTGTTTGGGTGGGGCAGAGGTAGCAGGGGAAGCAGAGCAACGGCGGGGATGCGGTTGCCACCCCGGTTTGCAGGCTGGCCTGCACCACTGCACCACATGACTCATCCGTGTCACCACGGCTACGAAACCCACACAAGCTCCGCATGTCCTATAGTGGCTGTATGCGGCTGTGCGGCTATCATCATCAGCGGGTGTAAGGCCCGGCACCAGCACCCCCCTCCCGCCCCACCTTGGTCCAGGAGTAGGGGTTGGGCCGCAGTTCCACCTCACGCCGCCGCCGCTTGTTGCCGCCCTCACCACCGCCACCCCCGGTGCTGCTGCTGCCCGCATCACCACCCGCCTCCTCCTCCTCCTGGCGCTCCACATAACTGAAGGTGAAGGGTCCGTGCTCGTACACGAATGCGTCCAGCGAGCTGCAGCCGGGGCCGCCAGTCAGCCACAGCAGCACCGGGGCGGCATCCGAGTGACGGCCGACCTGCTGCTGCCCCTCCTGTCCCTCCATCTCCCCCTCCCCCTGCCACTCCCCCTCCGGTGCTGCCGCCTCGCGGTCTGCCAGCAGGTACCACAGCCGGCGCCCGCTGGCCTCACTCACGGTGATGTAGCTGGGGGGGGAGGGGGAGGGGAAGGGGAGGGAAGGAATGACGACGCATGCAGATCCGTGCGGGAGGGAGGGTGAGGGGAAGGGGGCGAGGAGATTGCGAGGATAGGGGTGGTGTGGACGGGTGGGTGGGTGGGAGCGCGGGGCCATGCGGCGGGTGAACATTGGGGGGGCAAGCGTGAGGACAAGGGTCGCAGGGGGGATGTGTTTATGCGGGCTTTGTATGGGATCAGGTAAGGGCAGTCCTAGAATGTAGAGGCTTTTGCAGTTACGTCAGTGCTGTGGGAGCAGATGACCCGGGGTGCCTGGGATATGCGTGTGGTGCTCGCCCATGCGGGAAACGTTGGCTGTGCGGCATGCGCACTTCGACCCAGTTGGATTCCTGCCGGGTGTCTGCCGCGCCACATTGCTTACCCTGAGCGCATGCGCACGTGGGGGTTTCCTGCTAGCCCTGGCAGGGAGCAGACCTGCGTGGGTCGTTGCAGCAACGCTTATAAAGACTAGAGCACAGAAGGGAAGCTTGGATGCGGCCAGAAGGATAGCGCAAAGAGAGACAAAGTACTGCGGACTAGCGCACAAGAAGCCCATCCGCCGCGAAAGATCACTGCTGCAGACCCGCGCGAACCTCATCATCTTGGTTGTCGCATGGCCTAACTCCACGAGTCGCGTTACGGGAGGGACTCAGGGCCGCAACTTGGTGGTGTGATGGTTGTTCAACTGTTGCCCCTGGCAGAACGCGCATGCGCGCGCCGCCTGAACGTAAAGAGGCAATTACAATGGCGTTTCACTACCGGTAGATGACACGTTAAGTGCGCGGACGGCGCTGTCCATTTTGTGGCAGTTATATGACGGCAGAGGAAAGGTGCTTAAGAAGTTCCTATTCAGTTGAAGCTAACAACCATATCGCAGGTACCTGCCGAGCATGTAATGGCCAGTAGGGCCACAGCGACCAGGGCAAGCTGGCCACTTGCCATCGGGACCAAAGCGCGCAAACAACGCCCAATATATGCTAGTCGTGTACAGTGTATACAAATTGGAACTAGTAGGAACGGGGGCGTGTGCGAATTCAGGGCCAAAGGCAGTGACTCAAAGATGCGAAGGAATAAACGTTCCCAGTAGCTTGCAGTGCCCAGATCCTTGGGATGCTGCCAAGGCTATACACTTCCAGGCCGTTCTTGCATGCATACATATTCCATAGCCTTAAGAGGCTTGCCATGCAAATGACTATCCCGTACTAGGCTAAAACCATGGAGGAGCTGCAACAAGCAAGGACTTATTATCCTCTCCAATAAGGTAGAATAATGTAGTGTGCGCTCGTCACCAAGGTTGCTGCGGCTTTGGCGTTGAGGGTAGGCCATGTCATCCATGCGCAGGATATGTGGTGCACCACGTGTTCCATCTGGACAAGCAAAAGCCGTCCTACACCACACCCGGATAAACAGTAGCTGCACAGATAAAGGCCAAACTGCACAGCTTTTTTCATGTTGTGTACGACAGAATCCATTTTTCAAGGAGCATAGCATTTAAGCCGTGCCTTCACAGAGAAGGTAACTCCCTTGCCATCGTTTGGCATTTCATATAGGTAGTAATTACTGAGGTTGAACTTTGCCGGACCTATCAGGTTTTGAGCAACTTAAACCTATATACATAGGGGTTATACGTAGATTCGCGCAGAAAGCAAGATGGACGGTGTTCGTATGACACGTAGCAGGGCCAAGGCTCTTGGTGCAACGCGTAAGACCGTCGCGTTCGATTGTTTTCGCGCGACATGGTTGCTGATGCCCAGTTCTTTTCCGTCCGCTTTGCAGCAATCACTGGCCTGCCCGCCAAGACGCCGGATGTTAAGACAACGACTAGGAGGGGCCGTAAGGCTGCCGCTCCAGTTGTGCAGGAACCTTCACCAGAGAAGAAGCAGCTCGACTTTGGCGAAGCCGCCCCTGAACCTGAGGCGCAGGTATGTCCAAAACAATCTACACAATTGGCAGTATTAACGACATTATTTCAATTTCTGAGATTTCCCTATGGTCACTTCTGATGCTTGTAGGTGGAAACCGAGAAGCAACCAGTCGAGCCCTCCCCTGGGAAGCTTGCCCAAATAGACTCTGGTGTACAGCTGGTTCTTGAGAACTCTGACGTTCAACTTCCGGCTCAGGGCGCCGATGCTTTCCAGCCAGCAGATGAGAGGCCCCAGCAGGAGACGCATGACAACCCGTCGGTCCTCATGGCTTCACCTATAGTGACACAGCCCGCCGCTCAAGCTGCCGCCGACACCGCTGATGAGCCTCCATCTGCCTTCAACTCAAGCCACGCTGCCGCTGCTGTCGACCCCCAGCCCATCGCCGCAAGTCCTCAGCCGATCGCCATGAGCCCCCAGCCCATCGCCATGAGCCCCCAACCCATCGCCATGAGCCCCCAGCCCATCGCCATGAGCCCCCAGCCCATGGCCATGAGCCCCGCGCCCGTCTCCATGAACCCCCAGCCCATCGCTGCAAGCCCTCAACCGGTTGCCATGAGCCCTCAGCCTGTCGCGGCGAGCCCTCAGCCCATGGCAATGAGCCCCGCGCCCGTCGCCATGAGCCCTCAACCCATCGCCGCAAGCCCCCAGCCTGTCGCCGAGAGTCCGCAGCCCATGGCCATGAGCCCCGCGCCCGTCGCCATGAGCCCTCAGCCCATCGCCATGAGCCCTCAGCCCATCGCCATGAGCCCTCAGCCCATCGCCATGAGCCCTCAGCCTGTCGCCATGAGCCCGCAGCCTGTCGCCGCGACCCCTCAACCCATCGCAATGAGCCCCCAACCCATCGCCGCAAGCCCGCAGGGCTTCATTGTCGACCACGACATCCCTGCACCATCACCTGCGCCCGGAGCCGCTGTCGTTGATGCCAGTCCACGCCCGATGGGTACGCCTCTAAGCTTTACGTCTGATGCGCCTCACGGCGTACCTGCGGCCCAGCCAATGGCCGCCAGCATGCCGGCAACCCCGTTGTCGCTGACGTCGAGCCTTGCTGAGGCCGTGGAGCAGGCGCAGTTTTCGCCCATGCCTGACGACCTTGCTGATAGCCCCATTAGCCTGTCTGGCGGCACTGGTCTGTCGCCGCAGCTTACGCCGCAGCAGCCGCAACCTGTCGCGGAACAGGTTGTGGACGCTGACGACGTTACCATGGGCGATGCAACGCCGGCTGCGGCCATGCCCAGCCCGTTCCCATTCGACTCTGAGCTGCCCGCGGCAGCCGTCGCCGACCCCTCTCCGACGGCCAACTTCTTCGCGACGCCCAGCAGCGAGCCGCACGGTGCTGCTGCAGCTGGCACATCGCGCCTTTCGGATGCGGCCACAGGCTTCCAGGGCTTCAACGCCGTTGCGCTGTCGTCCGACGCTGCCGGTGGGTACCATTTGCTGTTGGTTACAATGCAATGACGCGGTCCTCGTTCGTGTATCTTCCCTTCGCCACATAGAATGGAACATGGGACATACGCTTACCTGTTATACACCATCGCCGTGTCAATCCAGTTATCTTGACCATATTGCCCCGCCGTGTACGCTTCCTTCCAGGGTCCCCGAGCCTCGGCAACCTGGCAGCCGGAGCCTCGTCGCCCACAATGTTCGGTTCGGCGGCCGATAACCTTGCGACCGACTTGGGCACGCCTGCTGTGGCTTGCAACGACACCGAGATGGACGCCATGGACGAGGATGGTCCTACTGAGGTGCTGGAGCAGGGCGAGTCCGTCGCCATGGAGGCCCCTGATGCTGGTCAGCCGGAGATTGCGAAGGCCGAGAGCTCCGACCCGTGTGATGCCGTTGTGGCAGCTCCTGTCCCTTGCAGCGGGTCAGCCGTGCCCGACGCTACCCCAGGCGCCGCCAAGACACCCAGTGCACTGAAGCCGACTCCTGGCAAGAAGTACATCCACGTCGAGTCGCGCTACAACAAGACCCCAGTCGCTTCAGCGAAGGCTTCTGCAGCTAGCAACTCGACCCCTGTCGCGCCCACCAACGCAGCGGCGGCGGGCGCAAAGTCCACGAAGCGTGTGTCCATCCACACCCCGGAGGCCTCGCGCGGAGGCGTGGCTCTGCGGCAGGTTGTACCGACGCCGTTCCGCCCTAAGTCCGCCGTGGCAGCTCCACCTGCGCAGCCTGTCGACGTTGCCACCCAGCCGCCGGCCCCTGAGGATGTCGCAGCAGCCGAGGAGCGCCGCGCGAAGGTATGATGTTATTGTGCCGTGTCGCATTTCTTGCTGTTGTTTTCGGAAGGCAGCATGCTGAGCGTTTTCATATCTCGTAGGCAGCGGAGCGGCTCAAGGCTATCCACGCAACGGAGAAGGCCCCTGCCGGGCCAGTCAACCGGGTGGTCACACACACGTTTGCCGTGAAGCCCGTGAAGGTCGCTGGCCAGGAGTAAGTGAATCTGCGGGACGCTTTCCTTTGGTCACCGTCGCTGTTGCGTCCCTGGCTTACCATGTAACGTCGTAAAATGCAGGTCGCTGCGTCAGCTCAAGCGCCAGATCAAGGAGGCGGCGATGAAGAAGGAGGCTAAGGTAAAAACCTGTGCTGTCAATTCCATCAGTTGGTAAAAGTCGCATGGAAGGCTGCCAATACTGACGCTATTAACATTCCTCTTATAGGCTGCTGGTATGTCAGAGGCCCGCGAGAGCAAGCTGACGCCCAAGGTGGCGGAGCGCAAGCTCCCCATGCCCGACGACGAGGAGGACAGCGACGAGGAGGCGGAGTACGACGAGGTAAGGTTGGAAGCTGCATGTTTAGGACCGTTCGTATTGCTACCCCTGTGGCTTCCTAATACTGCTCCTGTGACTCTCTGCGTGGTATCAACCATGGGTTCATTACCCGTGTTCCTTTAGGGGGCCATTGGAACAGTTATTTAAGTAACAACCCTCTTGCTCCTATGCAGGCCCAGGAGAACGCCCTGGTCTCCGCTATGGACAGTTTGGAGGTGGCCCCGCCCAAGGACACGGTCCCGGTTGCCCTCCGCGGCCTACCCGCACCCCAGGTACGTCTTCCCAACCTTCGTTGTGATCCATCGTTGCATGCGATGCTGTTCTACTTCTCAGTCGCTGCGTGTCGTTGGTGCATACCGGTGTTGCCATGTCCTGAGCCCACCTATTCCCTTGATGCTTGTTAGTTGGCCCGGGAACACTGCGAGCACTGACCCCTGACTGATTGTCCCTTTCCGCTTGCGTACCCTTGCAGGGCAAGCACCTTCGCTTTAACGAGGATGGCAAGGCGTCGGAGAGCCCGCAGCGCACCGTGCTGCGTGGCTTGCCGGTCGCGACTGGCAAGTACAAGCGTTTCGTCTAAGCACTGCGTACGGCTACGATAGGGGCCCGGCGTGCAGGTGGAGCAGATCCTTCGTTAATTAAGATGATGTCCTATGCAGGAGTGATTTAGGTAGATGTGGACAGCAATTCTAGAATCCGACGCACATGGCGGTGCGGTCTTCGGTGCAGGTGGTGATTAGCAGGCGGCGCTAACGGGCAGGATAGTTTGGGACAGGAGGATGCAACTATACGTTCAGGATGGTGCCGCAACTTTAGCTGACACCTTCAGCGACAATTCTTTACGGGTGGGTTTCGGCATACTTGTTGCAACGGCGCAGTTCGCCTTACGCAGGCTGTAGGGTTGGTGTGTTCTCCAATGTCTGGGCAAGGTCGGGACGAAGCAAACGCAAAGAGTCCTTGATAGGACCAAAGCTTGTAACTCGCCTTCGATTATTGTGACTTTACATGAGCATCAGGTGCAGAGGCGGTCGGATTAAATCAGGAATAAGCATGTGAACACGATTAGACAGGCCTATGCGAGCAGCTGTCCACACCCATTGCATCAAAGCTCGAAACCTGGATTTAAATTTCGTAGAAGTGGTTACACGCTAAGAGATATTCCACCTATTGCACCTGTAATGCATGTCAAATCATAATAGCTGTGGCATTTAGTCACTTGAAGACCCGTCACTGGTTGCCGTGTCGTCTGTAACGTAGTTCGGATCCAAGCGCCCATAGCCAGCGTACCTGTTTGGCAAAGCATGGATTTAGTAAACTCTCAGGAAGGTTGTTAGCCAGCGCATGTGCCCAAACGCCCCTCCCTCCTTCGCCCGAGCCTCTCCCTCCGTCGCCAGCGCCCCTCCCTCCTTCGCCGGAAGCATACCACCTACCTCTCGATCCACTGGTCCTGCTCGTACAGCGTGTGCATGACGGACTCATAAGCGCGGTACCCGTGCCCCTCATGCGGCAGGAGCACCAGGCGGCAGGTGGCGCCGTGGCCCTTGAGCGCCTGCGGGCAGGAATGTTAGTCAGCCGCAATGTCAGTCCCCACGCCCCACCCCTACCATGCATGCATGAATGCACCCAACGGCTTCTCAGGTAGGAAACGAAACCCCCGCCCCGCCAGCTCCGCACCTGGTAAAAGCGCTCGCTCTGCAGCGGGAAGGTCCCGGGGTTGTTGTCGTCCTCGCCGTGGATGAGCAGCAGCGGCTTGCTGATCTTGTCAGCCATCCTGCTAGGTCGCACGCCGTACGAAAAAGGGTTAGGTTACGCCTCCAAGACGACCATCCAATGCGGTACCAGCCAGAGGGGGCCAGACAGTCTTTACCCACCTCACCCACACAGCCCCCGGCAAGCACGATTGCACGTCACTCACATGAACGGCGACATGCGGCTGTACACCTCGGGCGCCTGCCACAACGTGCGCTCCTCGTTCTGGAAGCCGAAGGGCGTCAGGGTGCGGTTGTAGGCGCCCGTGCGAGCAATACCTGCAGCAACACAGGGACAGTCCAAGCCGGGCTTGCTAGCCACAGACTGGACCGAGAGCTGCATTGGAACGACCAACCTAGCAACCCTGCCCCGCCCTGTCCCCAAGTCAGCAACCCAGCCGCCCTAACCTCCTCCTCCTCCCGCGCCGCACCCCACCTGCTGCGAAGAGGTCGGGCGCATGCGCGATCAGGTTGGCCGTCATGAAGGCGCCGTACGAATGGCCCCCCACCGAGATCCGAGCGGGATCCGCCACACCCCGCCGTACAACCTCATTCACCGCGGCGCGGGCGCTATCTGCGACACCGTACGAGGACGGATAGGAAAGCCGGGGCAGTTAGGCACATCACTCGGCGGCAGTGACCAACAACAGTACGACATATACGGCAGTATCGGGAACAGGCAGCTGTCCTATGGCATCACCGAGCCACGGGGCCCCACGTCCCAGCCGCAAGGCCACCCACACTCGCACCCCCCTTCCTGGCGCACCTGTGAGCTGCTCCACGAAGGTATCGTTGGGCTCCGGAGCCTTCCCGCCCTCACCCTCGCCCTCCTGCCCGGGAGGAGCAGAAACGGTTGGGAAAGGAAAGGGTTGGGCAGAAGCACGGAGCGATTGCATCTGGTGCTGATGGAACCCTGAAGGGGGCTCCCGGGCCATCTCCAGCTGCCCACTAACTACCGCATCCCCCCCCACCTTGAACGGTTTGGTTCCCCTCTTCCCCGCTCCCATCCCCTGCACCTTCTCATCCGCCACGATGGGCAGCGTGGGGCCGTCCAGCACTGCAAACCCGCGCGTGAGCCACAGGGTGGGCGAGGTGGAGCCGATGGAGGTGAACTGGTGCGGCGAGCGGCGCATCTGGCCTGCAGCCTCCTGCGCGGGGGCGCGGGGGGGGGGGGAAGAAGGGAGTGGGGGGTAAAAGGCCATACCAAAACGTAGGAAACCATAGGTTAGGGCAGAGCAGTGAGGATAGGAGTGGCAGGGTGCCACAATTTAGGGTCTTCTGCCCTGCTTCCCATACCCTACGACCCAGCCCCTCCCTCCCTGCGCCCCACCTTGGTCTTGAACTCGCGAGGATAGGCCCATACAATGCAGGGCAGCGACCCATGGGTCGCTTGGTCGTATCCCGGCGGCAGGTACAGCGTGGCGGTCAGCATGACGCCGTCGGAGGCGCGCGGGTATCGCAGCACCTCCCTCCGCAGCTCCCGCAGGTGGGGGTAGGGGTGCGGGAAGGCGGTGACGAGCCGCTCCTCGCAGTCCCGCCCCGCGGCGCGGAAGGTGCGGAGGAGGGTTTGTGGCGGGTCGGAGGCGCTTTCCCGGCTCATGGAGAGCACCATGCCCTGCGGTTGGGGGGGCGGCGGAGGCGGCGGTGGAGTGAGGGAGGAGAGACAATGCAGTTGGGTGGTGAAGCAAGAGGATGGCTGTGCTGCTGATCCCCCCCTGCCCCCTGTCCGCCTCCACACGCCCCTCCTTCCACACCACTCCGCACCCCTCACCTCCACCGTCAGCGGCGCCTCTGGGTCGGTGTCGCTCATGAGGGAGCCCATGGCCTCGTAGTGCGGCGGGGCGCTCTGCCACAGGCGGTGCGTCTCACCTGCGGCGGGCCAGGCAGAAAGACAGCATGCCGGCAGGAACAGCGCTTGAACGTATACACTACCCATATGGTCAGGTGTGGCGTGAGGGGCCCAGGAACACAGCCGCCGCAAAGACTAGTCGGGCTGCTGCTCTTGTGTTGCAGACTTTTAGTTAGGAACACCAGTCAGCACAAAGCCAGTTGCGTGTTCACATGCTGTAGCTGTGACACAAGGGGCACATGGCTGAGCTACCAGGAGCGGCACCCCTCCGCCTTCCTTCCCCTCCCCATGCCTAGTTTCCCCTCCCATCCCTCCCACCTACCCCCTCCCCTTCCCTTCCCCCTCCCTTCTCCCTCCCCCTCCCTCCCTCCCGCCCCCCCCCCCACCCGACTCCAGGTGCAGCAGGTCCAGGAAGGGCTTGTTGCCCTCCGGACCCGCCCCACTGCCCGACATCAGCAGCCAGGTGCCCTCGCCCGAGGCAAGACCCGACAGCGTCACAGGCTTGCCGCTACTGCCGCTGCTGCTGCTGCTACTTGCAGGCTGGGCAGCGCTACTGTCGCTGCTGCTGCTGGAGGTGTCGGCAGCAGGAACGGAGGCGGCGGCTGCCTCCGCTGCCCCCTCCGCTCCCGCAGCCTCAGCCGCCTGCCGCAGCGCTGCCAGGGTGGTGGGGTCGGGAGTGACACGGGCGAGGGTGTAGGTGCCCCACTGGGTGCGGCGGGAGAGGGGCGACCCGGGGTCGCCGTACACGTCCTCGTAGTTCCTGAGTGGGGGGGAGGGCGGGGGAAAGGAAGCATGGGGGAGAGCAAGGCATAGTGAGAGCAGGCAAGGTAAGGGAAGGCAAGGTGAGGGCAGGCAGTGTATGGGAGCAAAGGAGCGTGTCATACAACACGCGGCGAGGCGGCGGAAGGCGGAGGGGGGTTACAGAAGGTAGCGGCAGCACGTTGTGAGAGGGGCTCCAGGCCCCTCATGACATGCTGCACCAACCCGGCCCCTCCCTCACACACACTATAAAACTGCGAATGGCTCATTAAGCCAGTTAAAGTTCAGTAGACAATACAGTGTGGGTGAGGGGGGCGAGGAGGGAGATGGGAGGCCGTGCCCTAAGCCGTGCTGCACTGTACACGGCCTGGTTAGGAGCGGAGATGGCGCAGGAGCGATAAGGGGAGCTGGGACGATAAGGGGGCGTTGAGGGGAGTGAAGAGGACACACTATTTTCCCCTCCCCACCCCCCACCCGCGCACCCCCGCACCTGTCAAAGATGACCCTCTTGGGCTCCTCCGGGCGGTCCGGTGCGAAGCCCCACCACACGCTCCGCCGGCTCTTGTACCACGACTCGAACAGGATGGCCAGCTCCCCATCACACCAGGCCACTCCGCCGCAGCGCAGGTCGGTGGCGCCAATGCGGCGGGGCGCCTCGCCGGCAGCCGCGGCGTCAGCGGTGAGTGCGAAGACCAGGTCGCGGGGGGGGACCTGCAGCTCGGGGTCCCCGCCGTCCTGGGGGGGGGGGGGGGGGAGGCGGGGAGGCAGGGAGGGATAGGGGAGGTAGCACGATGGAAGCTGCATGAGGGGATCACTCCCCTCCCCCCGAAGCCCCGTCATGTAGCTCGTCAGGCACCTCTTTTTACCAACCTGCGCCTCCATTCCCTTCCCCCCGCAACCGCCCCCACCTGCGCCTCCATCCAGTAGAGCTCAGCAGGCACATCGTCCCGCCAGCTGATCCCCCGCGGCCCCGCTCGGCAGCTGTTGAAGGCGATGGGGATGTGCTCGGCCAGGGGGAGGGCGGCCAGCTCGCGGACCTGGGGGGGCGGGATGGGGGGCGCGGGGGAGGAGCCAGCAAGCGAGGGTGGGAAGAGGAGGGGTGAGCGGCTGCGGGAAGAGGAAGGCAAGGGCCCAGGAGCAGCTGGAGGGTTTCGTCGCTCGTCCTGGGAGCCGTCCTGATGATGCGGATGCGTTCAGACGAGGCTACATGCAGCGGGAAGAGAAAGACGGAACCCGGAACCGGAGCAGTCCCAGCTATCCGCGCCTCCCGGGAACACCACCCCATCCACGCCAACCCACCAGCGATCCGTCCCGCCGCCACAGCTGCGTACGGCGGGGGAAGCGGCCGCAGGGCACCGCCGTACTGAAGGGCCGCTCCAGCCATGTGACCAGCAGGAAGCGGCCGTCGGGGGAGGGGTCCACACTGGTGGGGGGAGTGGGTGGGGGGGGACGGAGTGTGTGGTGGGGACGTTACTACACACACACTAAACAAAGAGGTGAGCGGTTGCAGGCTTGCTGGTCTTGGTGCGTGCCTTTGCTCCTTCCAAGCTCTTCCAAGGTGACTTCACCCTAGCCTGCCACCGCACACTCAACCCCCTCCCCATCCATCCCAACCCCCCCAGCTCCCCCCCAACCCCCCTCTTCTCCCCCCCTCCCTCACTCGATGTACATCCTGGGCGGCCCGATGCAGCTGCTCCGCCCGCTGCCCACCTCCAGCAGCAGCAGCTCGCAGGTGCCGTAGTGCTCGAACAGCGCCATGTCGTGCTCGTCCTGGGGTGGAGGGGGAGGGGAAAGGGGAAGAATACCCAATATGTTGTTTAAGAATGGCAAACCAGACGACAAGCAGTGGGGAAAAAGGAAATTCCAAAGTGTGGTGTGATAATGATATAAGTTGCTGACAATCCCTGGTGGAATCAACCGTGAGTCGAGCCGAAATGGTGGTTAAAGCAATGCGAGCTAAACTTACCGAACTTACCAATTATGGAGCAACCTTACCATAGTCTTGGGCATGTGTGGAGGCTGCTGAAGGTGAGCTGGAGACCCACCGCGCCGTGGGGCATACGCAAACAGCAGGAACAGCACAACACGAGCACTCATAAAAAACAAACACGGACCGACACACGATAAAACACGTACCTAGGTACACAAAGAGAGTGACAAGCAGTGGGGAGGGAGGGGCAATTGTACGGACGAGGGGGGAAAGGAAGGGTACCAGGGTAGGGGCATGTACGGCAACTACAAGAACCCGTTGCCGTATCCCACCACCTTGAGCAGGTCGGGCCAGGTGCGGTTCTGCGCCTTCTTGCCCGCGGTATTGTCGCTGATCTTCGGACCCATGGGTCCCTCCGCGGGCCGACCGGGCGGCGGCTGCAGCCCCTCCGGCAGCACCGCCGCCACCAGCGTGTCGTCGTCAAGCCAGGTGTAGTCCTCGAATACGGTGTTGAGGCCTCGGAAGCCGGGGCACAGGTTCATGAGGTGGGTGGGCGGCGAGGTGCAGGGGGCGGGCAGGGCGGGGCGGCACTCGCCGGTGGCGGGGTCGGCGAGGTAGAGCTCCAGCGGGCGGTAGGGGGCGTGCGGGTAGCGGACCTGGGGGGGGGCGGGGGGAGGAAGGGGGGTACGACATGCGGGGGTGCGGTTTGCAGGGGCAAAGGGGCTGAAGTAGGGTGTTTGGACAAGAAAGCAGTGGATGACTTCCTTGGCATGCCGTACGTGGATAGCTGTGGCGGGCGTTCACTGCAGTCGTGGAGGAGCCCGCATGTTGTGTCGACTGGCCCCACCAGCCCCCTACCCCTCCCGCATGCCGTGTCGACTGGCCCCACCAGCCCCCTACCCCTCCCGCATGCCGTGTCGACTGGCCCCACCAGCCCCCTACCCCTCCCGCATGCCGTGTCGACTGGCCCCACCAGCCCCCTACCCCTCCCGCATGCTGCGTCGACTGGCCCCACCAGCCCCCTACCCCTCCCGCATGCCGTGTCGACTGGCCCCACCAGCCCCCTACCCCTCCCGCATGCTGCGTCGACTGGCCCCACCAGCCCCCTACCCCTCCCGCATGCCGTGTCGACTGGCCCCACCAGCCCCCTACCCCTCCCGCATGCCGTGTCGACTGGCCCCACCAGCCCCCTACCCCTCCCGCATGCAGCTCCCTCCCTTCCCTCCCCCCCAACCCTCCCCGCCCCCCCCCCAGCCCCCACCGTGAAGGCGATGTGGCTCCCCCGCGGACTCCACGTCACGTAGTTGATCCAGCCGTGGGGCGGGTAGCCTGACAGCGGGCGGCACTTGTCCGGGGGCGCGGGCACCACCTCGGAGGCGGGGACCAGCGACATGCCTGCAGGGGGCGGGGGATGCGGGGTGGGGGGGCGGCTGGGGGTGAAGGGGAGGCTACAGCAGCGTGAGGTTGGGGCCTCACATGGGCCTGACTAGCTGGCGGCGCCTCCCACACTCCGCTCCCCCATCACCACCACCGCCGCCACAACACCAACAACAAAGCCCTTCCCAACCAGCATTCCGCTCCCCCCCGGCCCCCCACACACACGCACCCGTGTAGTAGCCCATCTTGCTCCGCGAGTACTGGTCGGGGTCCAGTCGCAGTCCCGCCAGCTTGAGCTCGGGGCGGGAGAGCTCGGAGATGGGCGGCAGCGAGGGCGGGCGGGACAGCTGCAGGAACTGTTGGGGGTGGGGGGGAGGGGGAGGGGAGGATGGAGGGGAAGGGAGGGAGGGTGTAAGAGGGACAGCTGCTGGGAGTATGGGGGATGGGAAGGCGGGCGAAACACAGTCTCGTACACAGCAGTGTGTCGTATACAAGCAGGTGTCGTACCATGGTCCTGTCCGGCGAGTACGACAGGGAGGGCTGTGCGGGCGCCTCCACGATGGCGGCAATCTCGGGCGGGGGCAGCTTGTATCCGCCGCCCGGGTGCACCGGGGTGCCGCCCAGTGAGGAGCTGAGGGGCAGCGGGCGGTGGGTGGTGGAGGTGGGGGTGGAGGGGGAGGGAGGGGGCTGCTGGTTGGAAACTGCGGCCGGCTGGGGTGTGGCGGGCGGGGAGGCGGAGGCGCCGGAGGCTGCAGGGCGGGTGGGAGGGGGCGGTTGGGAAGGGGCCGGGGGGCATTAGGTCAAGGAGTAGAGATTGAGATAGAGAGACGCGTTCCGAGTTTTTCTGGGTAACCAACGCGAGGGGAGAGGTATGCGGAGGGGCCCTTAAGGGGAGAGGTATGCGGAGGGTCCCCCATGAGCTAAGACGCAGGGGTGATGGGCCGACAGTGCTGCGAATGGAGGCACCATGCCACCTGCGCGCCAACTGTCGTTCACCCCCCCCCCTCTTCTCCAAGTTTCCAAATTAACCCCCCCTCTTCTCCAGGCCGTGAACCGGGGGGGCCAACCTGCGCGAGCTATCGAGGCCGCCCAGGCGCACACACCCTGCACTCAGCCGGCCCCCCTGGCACCCTCCTGCCACACCGGGCTCCCCTTGGCCGCAGCATGCAGACCCACATGCACGCAACAGGCAACCCCAGCTGCACCCCCCCTTTTCCCCCTTGCTTAGCAATTCCCCGCATGTGCCGCATGCTTGCCCGTTTGTGTGCGCTAGGTGGGTGCTTGCATGCGGGGGAACGGAAAGACCCGCTGTAGAAAGCAAAGGGGGCCTGCTGCCTATTCCCAGGAGTCACACGTTGATGACGTGCTTTCCGTCATGGTGTCGTACGCACCTGCGTCCTGTGGAACCGCGGCAAGCGGCGATGCCAAGGTCGATAGCCGCAGGTTCTGGCGCCAAGCGAGGCCCCGACCCGGGAGCGCCGGTGAGAGCCCTGATCGAAGGGGAAGCCGCAGTGATTGCGCGCGAGCGGCCATTGCCATGGTGCTGCGAGCGTGATCCAGGGCTGCCGGTCGCATGCATGTACGTGCTAATGCGAGAGTAGCCAGTGCTTGGGTAGGGCTATGGCGGACAGCGTTTGCAGGGGATGCGCGGTTAGCAACATTAACATGAAAGGGACGGGAGCGCGCCAGTCTGACGCCGAGAGCGCCCCCAGTTTTGTACGCGTGCATTTCGTGCACTGAGTTGAACAAACGCGTCGAAAGGCTACCGGTACTTTGCTATCTAAAGTAGTGTCACTAATGTCCCTAAGCGCGAACGCAGTATATTTTGTGCCTCATGTAAACGATCATGGTTGTCGCTTACGCAACAAATGGAAAGCTCAACAAGCTATTGTACAAAGGAGGATAGCTCTTGCAGGTTCGTTAGCACGTGGCGGTTGGGAGCGAGAGGCCATGATTGAGTGCTCAGCTGCTCACGAAGCAGCTGGCAGGGGCATGTACGTGAAACTTACACAGGCAGCGGGCACAGCGCATTAGGACAAGATGCCTAGCTCAGCGGTTGGTGGAGGGGTGCTCATCGAGACCGGATACCACCAAACCAGTCTGAAGGCAAAGTACTAGAACATGCAACATACCACAAATACCACGGTTTTGTAAACCACTTGGGCGCGTCATTATGCGACCCGTAGCGAAGATTACTATTGGACTACGCTTGCCGTAAATTCGGAGGGCATGGGCGTAAACCACCTGGACGGCCCCAGCACAATGGCACTTAAGTAGCGTGAGAGCTTATGTTAAACGCAGTGATATCTATACGCGGCTGTTAAGCGAGCACAGTTTATCACACAACGCTCCGACGATTGCTGCGTTTGTAAGCCGACTTGCCGACGGCGGGACAAAGGTTTTTGCTCGCTACCATAGGCGTCCACAATTTCCGTCGACATGACAGGAAAAGGTTCAGACGTCAAAGCGCTGGACGTTGAAGCGGGAGACCCCTCAACAAATGGCTACCGCAGAGAGAAAAGCTTTGCGCCGCTTGGCATGCGCATTGTGTTCAAGGTGCGTAGCCTTGAGTTCACTTACCTCGAATTAGCGACATGTATAACTGCACGCCGGGCGGGGCCATCTGCCTAATTGTGTGCAAAGTGTGCAAAGGCAATTTAGATGCAGGTTCCTCGCATATGATGTGCAACTTCGAACCTGACTGCTAGCCATGCGCTACTGCGATTGCAACTTCGTTCCAGCCTTGACGCGTGTGGTTATTGTCAAATGTTTCTTACATATCGACTTGCAAGTGGCAACACTCTGCTCCATACAGTGTATGTATCTGTCACAAAATAACTTCATCGACCGTTTGTTTCTTTTCTGCTTCCCGTCCTCCTGCCGCAGGATTTGGATTACTCAGTCCCATCAAACACGCAAAAGGGCGTCCGCGCCTACCTGCTAAAGAAGGTTTCTGGATACTTTGAGGCGCACGAGATGGCAGCGCTGGTAAGCTATAACCGGGCACACCTGGAGCCCGGGCTCGAGCTGGGCTCGGGCTGTGGTTCCGGACTCCGCAGTGCTTCAAACTCCCCTTTGCTCGCCCTCCCACAAGTCCACCTAATCACATATACACCTCAACCTCCACACTCTTTATCCTGCTGCTATCCACTGCCTTGTTGAACACCCACCTCCTCGCACACCACCTTACGCTCCCAACCCATACACCCAACCTCCCTCGTCTTGTCATCCAACCGCTCCCCCCCAGATGGGCCCAAGCGGCAGCGGCAAGACCACCCTGCTGGATGTGTTGGCGGGCCGCAAGAACGCGGGCCTCACGGAGGGCACGGTGGCCTTCGCGGGGCAGAAACCCACTCCGCAGTTCCTGCGCCGCTACACCGGCTACGTGGAACAGGTGGGAGAGGGTGTGCGTGGGGGCTTGCAGACGGCGGGGGGTCCTGGAAGAGGGAGGACGACCCAAATGGTTATGGTGGCTCCTGGAGTGGAGCTGTTGGTGTATTACGGTAGTTTGGGGCGGTGGTTGGTCGCAAGCACTTGTCGGCTTCTCCTCCTGTTTCTTCCTCTGGCCTCACCCACTTGCACTACTACGGTGTTACACACCGTGTGTACATGCCCCGCCAACCTCCATTGCTCACCCACCCCGCTCCTCCCACACACACCCTCTCCCTCCCCCCCCAGTTCGACACGCTGCTGGGCACGCTGACGGTGTACGAGATGTTGCTGTACACGGCGGAGCTGAAGCGGTCCATCAAGGAGAGCCTGGAGGACAAGAAGCAGGCGGTGGAGGAGCTGCTCGAGAAGCTGGCGCTGCAGCGGTGCAGGGATGTCAAGGTGCGGGGGGGGGGGAGAACATACCATACCATGGGAAACCACAGGTTAGGGCAAAGCAATTGTCCCCATCTTGCCACATTGTCAAGGTATGTGGGGCTCATTCGCATGCCGGGTGCATGGCGGGGGCCCCTCTGACTCGCTGGGACCCCTCCTGCTTATCCTTTGGGCTGGCTCCGTGGTTTACCGAGCACGTGCAGTCTTGGGGGGCTTAGATCTGGTATTACTGATCGTCACGTCACTGCGCCCACCCCGCTCACCCTCTTACTCATCACTCTACCCCCCACCACCCCCGACCCAGATCGGTAATGCGATGGCCAAGGGCATCAGCGGCGGGCAGGCCAAGCGCACCAACATCGGCATCGCGCTCATCACCAATCCGCGAGTGCTGTTCCTGGATGAGCCCACCAGCGGGCTGGACTCGTTCACTTCGAATGAGGTGGGGGAAGGGGGTTAACGAAAACTTCGCCGGGAGTCGTAACATAGAGAGACGAGAAGAGAGAACTGTGTGTGTGGGTGTGTTAAAATAACTGGCCGCGAAGTGTGTGGGTGTGTGGGTGGGGGCAAATCCGTTGAGAGACTCCAGAGGGGAGGAAGGAGGCATGTTGGGGGGAGTTGGGTCATGCAGGGAGGTCAGACGTGACCCCATACCGGTACACGTGATCTCGCTGTACTTTCGGATGCACACTTTTCCCTGTGTGCCCATTTTGTACCCCCATTTATTTTTGTACCATTTTGTCACCCCATCTCCACTCCAACCACCCGCCTCAACCCCCTCCAACCGCCATCCCCCCCAACCAGGTGATGACTGTTGTCAAGGCCCTGGCCAAGGAGGGGGTCACCATCTGCGCCACCATCCACTCGCCCACCAGCTACTGCTTCTCGCTCTTCGACTCGCTGATCATGCTGGTGAAGGGCAGGGTGGTCTACTTTGGGCCGAGAGGTGAGGGCGGAAGGGGAAACAAGGGAGCATGCGGGGGAGGGTGATGCCCTTGTCCCATGCCCCTTGCCCCTTCGCTTCCTTCAACATGCTCCGCCTTGTCACATGGTTGGGCTTCTTTTAATTCCCTCCCCTCCTCTCCTTCCTTCACCTCTCACCCTTGAACCGTTATCCCATCCCTCTCCCCCCCCTCCCAGGCCACTCCGCCATCGAGTTTGTGCAGTCCGCCTGCCCCAACGTGAAGGAGTACACCCCGGGGTACAACGACGCGGAGTACCTGGTGGATCTGGTGACGGAGGCGGACATTGGCGGCAAGAGCGACCTCATGGCGGACCACTACGCGAGGTGGGAGGGGGCAGGGGAGGGAGGGAGGAGGAGGACAACGGGAGCGCGACCTGCCTGTCGTCTCCATGTGGGCCTCTCCTAGTCGATTGACGCTGTTCCACTTGCCCCCTGCTCTCTCCTCCCCCCCTGTGTCCGCAGCTCCGTGCTAGCCCAGGAGAACGGCGCCACCATTGACGAGTTCCTGTCTCAGTCGGCGGATGCGCTGCCGGAGCACATCCAGAAGGAGCTGGCGGTGCGGTCGGCCACCGTGACTCCCTGGTGGTGGGGGCTCAAGACGCTGGTCAAGGTGGGGGGAAGGGAGGGGAACGGGGAGGAGATGGGCGGTGGCAGGGTGCATGTGGGTTGCTGTGGAGAGGCCGTGGGTGTGACGGGATGCCTTGAAAGTGCCGTCTTCCTCAACCTCCTTTATTGACTAGTGTATCCACTCCGCCCTTCCCCCCGCAGTACCGCACGACCAAGAACTACCGGGATCCCGAGTTCCTGGGTCCGCGCATTGGAGACAAGATCCTCATCAGGTGCGGCGACCCATGGGTCACTCGCGGGCAGTCTGTCTCAAACTCTGTGCAATCGGACGCCCACCTGCAGCTGTCTCCCCTCATGGACCCACCCCCGCACCCCGCCATGACGCCACACTCCTAACTCTCCCCCGCCCCCCCCCCAGCCTGCTCATCATGACCCTGTACCTGGGCATTGGCGACAACTTCTCCGAGTCCAACTACGTGAACATCGCCGCGGTGCTGTTCATGTGGTGCACCATGCCGGCGTTCGGGGCGGCGGCGTACGTGCCGGCACTGGTGCTAGGTGAGGCGGGAGCAGGGGGCCGGGGGGGAGGGCGGGCAGCCGAGTCGAGTTGCGAAATGGGCTGGGCTGAGAATGGAGGGCAAGACAAGCACCTCATCCCATCAAGCAGCCCAACAGAAGCGGATCAAACAGACAGTGCCTAAACCACCGTTCATCTCTGCAACCCCTCATCTCTCCTCCTCCTCCCACCCCCTCTCCCTCCTCCCCCCTCTCCCCCTGCAGAGCGCGGTCTGTTTGTCCGCGAGCGCAGTGACGGGCTGTACCTGGTGGTGACCTACCTGCTGAGCAAGATGGTGGACGAGCTGCTGCTGGCGGGGATTGCATCGCTGGGCATCTCGGCATACGTGTTTTACGGTAGGATTGGGGGGAGGGGGGGAGGACGGGGAGGGAAGGAGGAATAGCCGCCCGTCGCTGCCCCCGTTTCGTTAGCTCGCCTCTAGCCTTTTCGAATGCTACGTTACCTGCCACTTACAACCTGTAACACTCCACCCTACACACTCCCCTGCACCCCCCAGGCATCCAGCTGCAGGGCCAGTGGGTCACCTTTTGGCTGATCTATTACATCACCCTCTCCAACGGCATCGTGCTGGCATACCTGGTGGCCGCCATCTCGCCCAACCTGGACGTGGCCAACGCGCTGCTGCCCACCTACGTGGTGACGCTGCTGTTCTTTGGCGGCTTCCTGTTCCGCTTCCACGAGATGCCCCGCTGGTGGAAGTGGTACTCGTACATTGGTGAGAGGAGGCTGGGGGGGGGGGGTAAAGAGGAAACTAACGAGCTGGAGGGGGTGGGTAAACAATATAATGCGGTGGTGGGGTGGACATGGGAGGGCAGTGTGGGCACGTCGTGTGGTTTACTTCCGTCGTTAACATGGGGAAGGACAGAGAGGAGGGGTGTGCCGGTAGCCGATATAGAGGTGGGGGTTACGCGCTGCGAGAGAAAGCTATCGTGGGGGTTTCGCGCCTCTCCTCAACCGCGAGGCATCTCCCCATGCGCTGACCTCTTTTGATGCCCCTCCCTCCCTGCCTCCCGCCCTGCCTCCCTCCCTGCCTCCCCCCCTGCCGCTGCCTGCATGTAGACTTCCTGCGCTACAGCTGGGGTTCGGTGATGGTGAACCAGTTTGAGGAGGAGGACCCCGCGTGGCTCGGTGAGTAGTGGGAGCAGGAGGGGGTCGGTTCAGTTGGTTCGTTGGGTCGCTGGGTTGAATCCAGGGTTGAGAGGTCTGGCGGCGACTGCGGTAATTAACTCTCCTTCTCTCTCTCTCTCTCCTTCTCTCTCTCTCTCTCTTGGCCTGCACGTGTCCGCAACGCCATGAGCCTCATGCTCTTTCAACTCCCTCCCGTTCAACTAAATCCCTCCCAACCCCCCAACCCCCCATCCCCCATCCCTACCCGCCCAGGCGGCACGGTGCTCTCCAACTACAGCCTGCATGACGTGGACAAGTGGCGCTACATGGGCTTCGCGGCGCTCTTCTTCATCGCCTTCTTCATCATGGCCCTCCTCGCCATGCAGTACAAGAAGTATCAGCTGCGCTAAGCTAGCATGGCTGCAGCAGCAGCGACCCACGGGTCATACCTGCGCCCGCCAGGTATCTGCAGATGGGTGCACTGCACCGTTTGGTGCTTGCTGTTGCTCTTGCTGCTGGGTCGGGCAGGAACTCTCCGAAGAACGGAATGGGGGTGTTTGGGTGAGGCCGGCTCAGGTGCACCTCGTCTTTCGGCAATCACATCATGTTTCGACTCGCGGCCAGTTTTGTGAACGCTTAATATCCCTAGGTGCCATTGCTTGGCCTCTGCTCCGTGACTCCGGACACTTCGCTGTATCGTTGGTGGATTCCCATGTTATAACCATCGCAAGTTTGTGTCTCCGTATCATCTTGTTTTTTCCGGTTCTGCGTATATCGAGGGATCGGCGGGCCCGCTTCTCAAGGTATCTGGCTGGGTGGTTTAGCGCGTGCTGCTGAGAGGTTTTGAGCGGCTTCATTCTATTCTTAGCAAGTTGAGGGGTGAGATAGTGTCTCATTGAACGGAATCCTCTGAACTTTTTCAAGTAACCGTATGGGCTGTCGGTTATATTTCCGATTTTGCCTTTGGAAGACGGTTGAGAGCTAAGGGCGTTTGAGAGGCGTGATGGCTACCGTATTGACCGGTCTGTTGGTAGTGCTGGTGACGTGTGGGGGAACAGCGGGCCGCGCATCATGCATGGCTCTTGCATGGCCCAAAACTTGTGGGTTTGCATTTCCTATGACGAGTCCATTGCCCGTTTGAGGTTATACGGCACGCGACGTATGCTGTGTTCGCTGCATATTGCTGGGCAAGTGCAGATGCTAAGGCCGGGTTAAGGCGCTTACACCGCGGTTCACGGCGTGTATCGGATTGCGCTCCTGCCAGCTGCGGGATATCTCTTTGTGTTTCAGGTGCTTGGCGATGTAAGGGTAAAAATCATGTCCTCTCCTTCCTGTCACCGGTGCCGTACATGTCCTCTCCTTCATGTGGCGCTGTGATGGCTTGGTGGGCTGGCAGCTTGTGGCCTACTACGAGCAGACCCCTACACGCAGTGGTGTTGTCAATGGCGGCCTTTGCTCAAGCAAGTAGACGAGCGGTCGCTGTTCACGATGCTTAGGACAGGTGGGGCGGGAGCAAGGGGCGCCCTTCTGTGAATGGATGGCAAAAAGTACAGCAGTCGCTCCGATCACCCTTGGAATCACACTGGAGCACCGAACAACCTTCAATATTATACTAAATTATCAAAAGACGCAATCGTACGCGTGAAAGATTCAAGTGCAAGTTTTTGTTCCTCCGCATGCAACTGACATGTCCGATGTCCCATCCGCGTGCCTACAGGCAAGGCGTCTAAAAATAAATGTTGTGGTCCTGTAACAAATGACAACAATCAAGAGGTGTTCCAGGAAACCTTGGTAAAATGGAAACCTTGAGTTCACGTGCTGAGTAAAGACGCTCGTTGATCAGCGACAAGGCAAAGGACAATCCCGTCTCCATGTCTGAATGGCGCCCCATACTTTGAAGAGATGGCGCTTATTGGTTTGTGCTCTACATGTGAAGTACGGGCAACCGTAAATGCATACCGGATTGCACCGGACGTGTCGTTTGAGTCGTCGTCACAGGTCATACCCAACATTCTCGTCGCTCATTCACCCAAGTGCACTATGCAAAGGATATACTCGACGTGACGTCTGCTTACCGTAGACCTACCCTCGGGTTCCAAGCCAACTTCAACACAGTTGCAGACCGCTTTAACTCCTTCCAAGGCAATCACTCACCACTAGAATAGATACGAAGTAACGATTAAGAGCGTTAGAGCCAATCCTAGAGGCAGGCTGGACTACCGCCCTGGGGGTAGAAGGGCAACAGAAGGACCGTTTCTGTGGTTAACACGTTCGCCAACTCCAGCTACCATGGTTTCCTCACAGAATTAAAATGGAGCTCGCATTAACAGGGATGCATCACGGATTTACTGGTCAGTCTCAGCTCCAGCACAATTGGCGTTGTGTGCTATCCTCGCCATACAATGCTGCCCTCTCGGGCACGCCTTCATTATGATGGAATAGCGCCTTTGAGGACGACGACTTTCAGCCTTTTCAATGGCTTGACATTCAGTCGCGGAGCCCGAATGAGGCAGCGTAAGACATTTTGTGCAGCAACATTGCTGCACATTTTTGCAATTGTTATCCTATTGCAAGCGTTCGTACTAAAGGGGGTAGAGAGTGCCAGAAAGGTCTCCCTTGGAACGCTTTCCTTGCGGACAGCGTCCACCCCTTTTGAAGAAGACTACGGGATTAGGAATGGCGCCGAAGAAACATTCTTTGACTTTGAGAAATTGGAGTTGTACGAGGACCTTCATCGCCATGCAGAGCAGGAAGCGGCGTTAGGTCAGGATCACCTGAGCAGGCGAGCACCCGCAGACCATGCCGAAATCGATGCATGGCCTCGGCTGGGCCGCCCGCCGGGGTCGCGGACCGCTGCAAAGTCCATCCATCCAATCGGTCCAGACCCCAGACCCAGCCCCAGCCGCTCTTCAGCTGCATCCTCTAGCGATACCGGCTTCCCAGCCAAACGGCTGGACAGCGGGCTCGATAGCAGTCCTAACCGACAGCATCTTAGCAGCCGCAGTGGCAGCTCGCAGGACGGTGGACCGCAAACGGAGCTGGGGAGCATGCTGCGCGACTGGGGCATGGCGACCTCCCTTCCACCCACCCGCGGACGCAGCAGCAGCAGCCTCAGCAGCAGCCCGAGCAGCAGCCCCAGCTCCGAAGATGTGTTGCTGCTGCCTCGGGTCAGCCGGAGTCGGTTGCTGGGCGCTGCGGCCCCAGCCCAGAACTACTCCTACTGCCTCACCGCCCAGGGCAACGACTGCTACCCCTGCATGTCCGGCTACAGCGATGACCCCTGCCTGGTGAGGATGCGGCTGCGGGGGGTGGGGCGAGGGGGCGGGGCGAGGGGGGCGAGGGGGCGAGGCGAGGGGGCGAGGCGAGGGGGTGGGGCGGGGCGAGGGGGCGGGGTGAGGCGAGGGGGCGAGGCGAGGGGGTGGGGCGAGGCGAGGGGGACGGGGCGAGGGGGGCGGGGCGGGGCGAGGCGAGGGGGGCGGGGTGAGGGGGCGGGGTGAGGCGAGGGGGCGGGGCGAGGCGAGGGGGGCGGGGTGAGGGGGGCGGGGCGAGGCGAGGGGGCGGGGTGAGCGGGGCGAGGCGAGGGGGCGGGGTGAGCGGGGCGGGGCGAGGGGGGCGGCCGGCCGGGCCTCGCGGGGTGATGACGTGGTGGTGATGTGGGTCAGGCGCCAGGGTGCCCGCATGAAGGGGAGTGGGGGCAGGCTCTCCCGGGAGTGGACTGCTCTCCGGGTGGCGGGGAGGGGCCGCCCCTGCAGCTGCTCCTGACAGCGTGCGGGTGGCGGGGGGGGCAGGGCGTGGTGTGTATGCGGGGGGCATGAGGTGCCTGCAGGCGCAGGCGCGCGTGTGTGTTTGCTTATGTATGGGTGACCGTAACCCCGTCTGCTACACAGTGTTGCCATGTCGCGCTAGCGGAGTTGGGCGGGGCGTGGGTGGGTCGCAGCAGCAGCGCCCTCCACGCGGGCGGCGAGGCGCATGCAGCTCCGCTTGCAGAGCTGCTGCAGTGCCGGGATGTGTTGGCAGGGGTGCCGGGATGTGTTGACGACAGTGTGACGCAGCACAGTGGCTGGGTCTCTTCAGCCTGGGCTTGCAAAGCCCTCCCGGTCCCTCTGGGCGACCGGGGAGCTTGAATCCGGGGATTCGGCTTGAAGCCGCTGTGCTGGCTAGTGCCCTCCATGGTGCCCTCCATGGTGCCCTCCTGCTCCTATTTGTGACGTCCTTCGGCTGCTCTCCTTGCCAAGGCGCCGCGGCTCCCGCTTTACAACTCGTTTCCCCTTCCCTCCCACTCCCTTCCTGAAGTCCCGCCCCCACCTCCCGCCCCAACCCCCCGCAGACGGACGACAGCTACTACCAGGACACCGCCAAGTGCCGCTACCCGTGAGTGGTTTGGTGGCAGGTCGACGTGATGCTGTTGACCCTATTCCGTATAGTCGTGCCTTTGTCGTTGCCCCGGTGCGCCATGCTACGCTACGCTGGGGTGGTCCTATCTGGCGTCTCTTGCTGCTCCAGTAGCAGCTTATGGCGCTGGTAGACGCCCTGTGATGCGCCTCTCTCTGCGTCCTTGGTGCTGCGACAAAGGGGAGGGGATTAAAGGCCGGTGCACCCCACTGACGCGCTCCACGCCTCCACCCGCGCCCGCTTGCTCCCTGACAGGTACTACTACTTTGGAACGGTGGCCGATGCTAGCATCTGTGGAGATGCGGTGGGTGCGGCTGCTGCGGCTGCTCGGGGGGAAGGGAGGGCTGGCCGGCTGTTCCGGAGGGAGGGGGGGGCCGGACGGGCCACCCGAGCACTGGGGCCGCGGGGGGCGGTGCCTTGTTGTGTTCGCGGGCCGGCACACAGCAGAACCAGAGTGGCCACAGCGGCTGCTGCGACTGCGGTCTTGGGACTTGTCAGGGCTGTGCATGCTGCCGCTGGTGCTGAGCCACGCCCTTGATCCTCCTTGCACTGCGGCTCGCGGCTGCTGCTGCTGCCGGGTGCTGGACACGCCTCGCTGGCTCGGGTCACGAGCTGAACAAGTGCCCTTCCGCCCCGCTGCCTGATGCCCTGCTGTCCGCTGCCCCAATGCCTCCCTGCCCTGCCCTCCCCCCAGGTCCGCCCCAGCAACATCGGGCAGCTGGACCTCTACGCCAAGGTGAACTACGGCGGCTACGCGCTGGACGCACAAGTGGGGGACCTGCTGGTGTTCATGGAGGTGGGGCAGGGGATCATATCAGACCGTAGGAAACCAGAGGTTAGGGCAAAGCAATGGGGTTCGGAGAGGGCGGCAGGGAGGGTAAAAAAGGAATACCAATATGTAGGAAGGGTAGGGGGAAAGAGAGGAAGCAGACCACAAGTGAGGTGGCCAGCCAGAGGGAGGAATATGCTGGTGAGGGGTATGGGCAAACCACTGGGGTGTTGGCTGCGACCCTGGGGGAGGGATGAGCCGAGAAGAGGAGGAAACCCGGGTACTACTTGCTAATGCCCTGCGGGAAAGGCATGTACCGGCACGACAATTGGGGTGGGGCCCGCCAGCTGGGACTGCCAAATGCAGCCTGCGCCTGGGGGCTGCTATGCTTAACACTCAACACGCATTTTTCTCAATACACACCCTCTTTCCCCCCTCCTCTTCCCCCTCTCCTCTCCTCCGCACCCCCTCCTCCGCCCCCCCCCTCAGCTCGACGGCACGCTCACCCTGACGGTGCGCCTGAAGTGCCCCTGGCTGGCGGTGGTGGACACCAGCCGGGCCGGTGCGGCCGTGCTCCTGTCGCTGACCCACCCCAACGGCACCAGCTGGACGGAGCACATCACGGCAACGCCCTCAGGTGTGGGTGCTTGGCGTGTGCGGCGTTTGGTTGGTTGGTGTCCTGAGTGCGACACACGAGCGAGGGAGGGGACTCGTGCCGGGGATGTTGTTGTTGTTGTTTCCGGTGGTGGTATTGGGAGCGCCTGTACTGAACCTTGGGCAGTTCTGGCAGCTTAAACGACCGTGTTGGCATGGTTACAAAGACGCGCCACACTTCCGAGCGCTCGGATGTGTTTATTTGCGTCTGTTACACCCGGGTCCGCTGTGTTCGCCCCCCTTCCACCCGCCCACCGCTGCACAGGCTCGCTGTACCTGAGCTGCGCTTCTCTGTCCGTCAAGGCCAAGACGATTGACCCGAGCATCTGGGGCGACAACGGCTGCGATGCTATCACCTACACCGCGTCCGTCAGCTTCATGACGGAAACATACGAGGTGGGTGTTTGTGTGTGGGGGGGGGTTGGTTGCTGTATCTTACCTCAACTGTTAGCTTCTTTAGCCGATCTTGCCCTGCCTACCCGCCCTCACACTGCCATCCGGTGGTGTCTGCTGACGTCTGCAGGTCTGTTAGGTTTCGGGCACTATGTATCTCCTTGTGTATTTTCTTCTTCTCCACCCAGCTCTACCCCACCTGTTCGCCGCAACCTGTTGCCCCCCTAACCCCGCGGCTGCACCCCCCTCCCCCCCCACACTTTGGAATTTCTTTTTTCCCCCCCCTCAGGCCGACCCAGCCGACGGCGCCACCCCCGCCCAGTGCAACATCAACGACGTCGCCACGCAGGGCACCCTTCTGTCCTTCTCCACCTCCTACACGCCCATCCCGACTGCCCCAGTCATGCTGCCTCCGGGGCTGCCGCAGCCGCCCTCGCCTCCCTCCCCGCCGCGCCCCCTCACACCCTACATGCCCTTCCAACCCGCGCCCCCCAACGCACCTCCCGACCCCCCGCCCATGTCGCCGGACCCTCCGCTGCCGCCGCCGCGGCCGCCACCCCCGCCACCCTTCCCGCCGCCCCGCCCCAGTCCGCCTTCTCCGCACCCCTCCCCGCCATCTCCCAGGCCGCCGCCCAGCCCGCCGCCTTCGCCGCCGCCTTCTCCTGTGCCGCCTTCACCGCATCCTCCTTCACCTCCGCCCAGCCCGCCCTCGCCTTTCCCTCCCTCTCCGCCGCCTTCCCCAACCCCGCCGTCCCCCTCTCCACCCTCCCCGCCTCCAAAGCCACCAAGCCCTCAGCCGCCCTCTCCTCCGCCGTCGCCCAACCCGCCGTCTCCCCCACCTCCCTCGCCGCCTCCAAGCCCTCCCAGCCCACACCCGCCCTCCCCTCCACCCGTACCCAGCCCTCCCTCTCCCCTTCCTCCATCACCTTACCCCAACCCTCCCCAACCACCCTCTCCCTCACCACCGCCCTCGCCTGCCCCGCCGCTGCCACCTTCACCATCCCCGCCACCGCCCAGCCCCAGACCTCCCAGTCCATCGCCCCCCAGCCCCAGCCCTCCATCTCCGTCGCCTCCCTCACCAAAGCCCCCCTCTCCATTTCCGCCCTCGCCTCCCTCACCCTTCCCTCCGTCGCCTTCGCCGCCGCCGCCCTCTCCCGGACCACCTCCCTCCCCCGCCCCTCCCTCTCCTCCACCCCCGCTGCCGCCGTCTCCCGACCCTCCCTCGCCAGCACCCCCGCTGCCACCCTCTCCCTTTCCCCCTTCCCCTGCACCGCCCCTGCCGCCTTCACCCCATCCTCCGTCACCTTCTCCGCCGCCTCCACCTTCTCCCTTCCCCCCTTCACCTCCACCTCCTCCCAGCCCTAGGCCTCCATCGCCCTCGCCGCCTCCCAGCCCACGCCCTCCCAGCCCGCAACCTCCGATGATGCCGCTGCCGCCTTCCCCACTGCCCCCCTCCCCACCGCCGAGTCCACTTCCCCCTCAGCCTCCCTCTCCGCCTCCCTCGCCCAGCCCTCCACCACCCAGCCCCCAACCCCCCTTACCTCCCTCTCCTTTCCCTCCGGGACACCCGCCGTTCCCACCCTCGCCTTCTCCGCCGTCGCCCTCACCACCACCCTCTCCACATCCCCCCCGACCTCCCTCGCCGCCCTCGCCGCCGCCTGTGCCCGAGCCTCCCGCGCCGCCGTCACCACCACCCTCCCCAGCTCCCCCATAGTAAGTCCAAATGGGTGCCCGGAGGTAAAGGGGGGTTTCCTTGCTTGATACTGCATTCGGGTACCTGCGCATGCGGGTACCTCAGCATGCGGGTACCTCAGCATGCGGGTACCTCAGCATGCGGGTACCTCAGCATGCGGCCGCTGTTGGACGGGTGTACCGCAGCCTCTGTAATTGCTGCGTGGGGGTGGCCTGAGTTCTGAGTTCTATCTATGCATTGTGAGCGCATGTTGAGTGCATGGGTTTGCATTGGAATGCTTCGACAAACGTCTTGAATGTCGGCGTGTGGCATGCCAGACCTGACTCCACCACAAGCTTACTCCTTGCTCCTGCCCTGCTCGTGTTTCCCCTGCAGCCCTTCGCCGCCGCCACCGCCGTCGCCGTCCCCTCCCTCTCCCCTCCCGCCCTCACCGCTTCCTCCGTCGCCCAGTCCACCTTCGCCCAGCCCACCATCTCCCGACCCGCCCTCGCCGTCGCCTCCGCCGCCCCCGTCGCCTTTCCCCTCCCCGCCGTCTCCTGCACCCTCGCCTTTCCCGCCCTCACCCGCGCCCCCTCTACCGCCATCGCCTTTCCCACCTTCGCCCTTCCCGCCCCTACCGCCATTTCCTCTTCCACCTTCACCTCTCCCTCCTTCGCCAAGCCCACCTTTGCCCCCGTCGCCACTTCCCCCGCTGCCTCCATCTCCTTTCCCGCCCTCCCCTCTTCCTCCGTCACCACTGCCGCCTCTGCCGCCATCCCCGAGCCCTCCCAAGCCTCCTTCTCCTTTCCCGCCTTCGCCATTCCCTCCGTCACCGTCTCCGCCCCTGCCACCGTCACCCAAGCCCCCGCTGCCTCCTTCCCCCTTCCCGCCCTCACCCAGCCCCCCGCTACCACCCTCTCCTCCCCCGCCCTCACCCAGCCCGCCCCTGCCGCCGTCTCCTCCCCCGCCTTCTCCCAGCCCTCCTCCACCTCCGTCCCCCTTTCCGCCTTCACCCAAGCCGCCCCTGCCGCCATCTCCCTTCCCGCCGTCGCCGAAGCCTCCTTCCCCACCGCCACCATCCCCCTCCCCGCCCCTGCCACCATCCCCGCCGCCCCCCTCACCCAGCCCCCCTCTACCACCATCTCCAATGCCACCTTCACCTCGACCTCCGTCCCCACCCCCACCGTCTCCATCTCCGCCCCTGCCGCCTTCACCGCTACCTCCTTCGCCCCCCTCTCCCAGGCCTCCCCTCCCACCATCGCCGTTCCCTCCATCACCCAAACCTCCACTGCCGCCCTCTCCGCTTCCTCCTTCCCCCAAACCTCCTGCACCTCCTTCGCCCGTTCCTCCCTCCCCGCCGTCACCTACACCCTCCCCACCGCCCTCGCCGCCACCCCCACCACCTCCCCCCGACAGCCCTCCGCCACCGCTTCCACCCAGCCCCTCCCCGCCTCCATCCCCACACCCCTCCCCGCCCTCTCCCAGCCCACCCAGCCCCAAGCCACCGCTACCTCCCCCACCGCGACCCTCCCCTCCCCTCCCGCCATCTCCACTACCTCCCGTCCCATCTCCGCCCTCCCCCAGCCCTCCGGTACCCTCCCCGCCGCCCTCGCCTCCCCCACCCAGCCCCCTCCCACCCTCTCCCCCGCCTCCACCGCCACCTCTGCCCCCCATGCCTCCCAGCCCACCTCCACCGCCCCCTCCACCCTTCCCTCCTCGCCGCCCTCGGGCCCCCTTCCCGCCTCCGAAACCTCCACCGCCGCTAATCAGGTACGTGGGCACACCCTCATGGCCAGTTTTCTTAGCACACCCCACTTGCATGTCCGGTTCCTTGCCTGGCTCCACGTCTCTTTCCTAGCTTGTGTGTGCCACACGCCCTCACCTACCCTGCTGGCGAACGGGTCCGTATTTATCTTGCCATGTGCATCAACCCCTCCCGATCGCTTACCTCCCGAACTGTGGCTTACGCTCCTTACGTCCCTTTTGCCCTGATACGCCCCACCACCACCACTACCCGACCAGGTACCCCTACCCGCCCCTGGCAGCCGGCAAGCCTCCCAGCCCGCCCAGCCCCCCCGCGCACCCGCCCTTCCCGCCACCTCGGAAGCCCTACATGCCACGTAAGCAGCACCTCCCACTGGGCAGCCTTGCAGGGTGCTGCCTGTCCACCCTGGCGTCCCCTCCCCTTGTGCACTCTAGTAACGATCGCTGCAACAAGTGCTTTGCCATGCGTACTTTCAGCCAAGTCCTTGCATGCCCTTCTCCGCCCGTCAAAAAAACACCTGACACGCCCCCCCTCCTCCTCGCCTCTCCCGGCTCCCGGCCCGCAGGCCGACCCTGGCCTCCCCCCAGGCCTCCCCGACCCCCACCCAAGCCACCCCATGCAGCGGACGCCCCAGCCGACCCACCCCCGCCGCCTCCGCCGCCGCCGCCTCCCCCCAACTTCCCACCCATCGCACCCCCGCGTCCCCCTCGGCCGCCGCCCTTTCCCCGACCTCCCCCGTCGCCCCCGCCTGTACCTCCATCACCACCCCCGTTGCCGCCGCCCGCTCCACCGAAACCCGGTTGCCTGCGTGTCACCGCTCGAAACGGCAAGATGTACAGCGATTATGTGCTCACAGACTTTGGTTTTGCATCCATTAGCGTCATGAATGCCGCGACGCTTCGAGTGGATATCACCTTGACCGGCGGTCGCTTCTTCGCGCCTGGGAACAACACCATCGGCTTTGACATCAACGAGAACCCCTCAGGCACACCCGCGCCTACAGATTGCCCTGCCCCCATCAACCTGGGCTTGTCCGGCGGCAACGGCTTCCGCACCGGCGAGAACTGCACCCGGAACAGCACGACGCTCCTGATCGGCGTGTCTGAGCTCATGCCGTGTTTGTTCACGGGTGTAGCGAGCTCGGGTAGGAGTTCTGGGTTGCGATTCTGCAAGCGCAGGATTGTGTGGATAGGCGGGTTAGGCGCGCTTAGGAAGACGCAGGTTGTGTTGTGCTCTTATGCCATTTTAATTAGGTTGCTAACTACATTGCTGTGTACTATGACAGCTGAAGTTGTGTGCTCCGCACGTAAGCTGCTGCGTCACTAACCTACCGTGCCTTCCCCTGTGCCGTACACGACTGTCACGTGTCACAGTGCCGTACATCCTGTGGCTTGCAGCCGACGTGGCATCAACAGTAAGTGTGGGTTGCTTGTTGCGGAGGAGGCCTGGGATTCATTGCTGCGGCTCTGCTGGCAGCATGTGTTTCAACCGTTACCCTACTGCGTTTCCTCGCGACTTGCATGGCACCACGATAAAGGGAGTAAGCGCATGCCATCGCCAGTGCGAGGGCTGCTAACCTTGCTCCCCCGTCGCTTCATTCCTGGGCTCCCGGTGGCCCCCACACACAACAGGCCTGCCCGGCCGACAGCTCCAACATCACAACCGCGTGGGGGGGGACCACCGTGTCCAAGATCTCTTACGCCGGCTGCGCCTTCTTCCCCTTCACCCTCACCTGCGACAACAACTGCTACGTGCCGCCCTCTCCGAGACCGCCTCCGCCTCCCTCGCCGCCCCCTCCCCAGCCCCCGCCCTCACCCAAGCCCCCACCATCACCACCCCCCGGCCCCTCACCTCCACCTCCGCTGCCTCCAGCTCCCCCACCGTCACCTCCTCTACCCCCGTCCCCACCCTCTCCCCAACCCAACCCGCCCTCGCCGCCCAGCCCGCCTCCTAGCCCTCCCAGACAGCCAATCCCGCCGTCCCCCAACCCCGACCCGCCGTCACCTCCGAGTCCTCCCCACCCTCCGCCGCCGCCCTCTCCCGAACCCTCGCCTCCATTCTTCCCACCCGGCGAGCCACCAACACAGCCCGACAAGCCAGGACTCCCCTTCGAGCCCGGCCCTCCCACAATGCCGCCCGACATGCCTCCCCCTGCGCCTCCACCATCTCCTCCCTCCCCGCGACCTCCAAAGCCGCCATCTCCGGATCCCTCACCACCCTCGCCCGATCCCTCACCCCCGTCACCGCCTCCCTCCCCACCCTCACCTCCATCTCCACCACCCTCACCCCCACCTTCACCCCCGTCTCCCTTCCCACCTTCACCTGACCCGCCGGAACCCTCTCCGCCGCTCCCTCCTTCACCCGAACCTCCGTCTCCGTTCCCACCCTCACCCGATCCCCCGGAGCCGTCACCCCCACTTCCTCCTTCACCCGAACCCCCATCGCCACTCCCGCCTTCGCCTCCGCCCTCTCCTGATCCACCCTCTCCTTCTCCGCCTTCCCCACCACCATCTCCGGACCCTCCTGACCCCTCGCCTCCCTCGCCCTCACCTCCTTCGCCGCTGCCACCCTCGCCCTCACCACCCGAACCCAGCCCCCCAGCACTACCACTACCGCCAAAGCTCCCTCCGCCACCCTCACCACCCTCCCCAGCTCCTCACCCGCCGAGACTACCATCTCCGCCTCCTCCCTCACCCCGACCTCCTAAACCGCCCTCTCCCAGCCCCCCTCCACCATCTCCCGATCCCTCTCCGCCCTCACCACCCTCACCTCCCAGCCCTCCAATGCTGCCCCTCCCGCCCAGCCCCGCCCCACCTCTCCCGCCCTCTCCTCCGCCTCCAAACCCCTCTCCCAAGACGCCAGTAGTAGTGCTGTCCCCGCCTCCGCCCCCACCTCCATCCCCGGGGCCGCCCGGTTCCGTTTCCGCGCTAGAAACTGTCATCATACTCGGCGTGGCCCTTCAAGCCAACACCAGTTTGCCCTCCGTCCGGGGGGCTGTGCTGAACCTAGACTACAACACACTGACCGCGACCGCACGTTTCCAGGTGGGCCTGGGTGTGGTTACTGCCACCTGAACGCATTCCTACACTCTGGCCTGGAAGTTCCCATTTCCAGGGGGACAGTGAACATTCAGCTGTGGGCATGTACAGCTTGTCAGAAGCTTGGCTGAGTGCCTTCAGAGCCTTCACTGGTTCATGCTGTTCTATCAGAGACAGGTGCCTCATTGCCAAGTATAACCAAAACCCCAGCCGTGTTCCTGTCATCGGACGCATGATGCAGACACTTACCGTAAGACCCCCAGCTAACCCTTGTCCCCACAAACAAACGAACAACCTCCTGCTGCTGCCGGTGACCTTTCAATGAGACCTATCCATTGAAACCCTTCCTCCTGCTGCTGCAGGGCGACTCGCCCTACGCCAGCTGCGCCTCCGGCATCCAGAGCAGCCTCATCAGCGCCCTGGCCGGCATGCTCAGCTTCCCAGCTGCCAACATCAGCACCTCCTGCGCTGACGAGTCCAGCAGTGGCAGCAGCAGCAGCAGCAAGGTTGCTTCTCCGGCGTCTAGCAGCAGCAGCAGCAGCACACCGTCTTCGTCCACGTCCTACCGCCGACAGCTGATAAGTGATGATACGGTACGGCAGTTGGCCATTGGTCTCCATCTGGCAGTTGGCCGTTGGTCTCCATTGGGCCTTGGCCCTGCCTTGGCTTTGTTGTTGTGCCCTGCTGTCAGGTGGACTTGTAGTATGTCCGTACGTGGGGCTTGTGCCCTGCGGGTACAGAAACGGCATCTGTCCTTTGTTGCCTGTTGTTAACCCCTTTTGTAATTCTATTGAGTTGTGTATGTTCCCCTGCCTGCTGCTGTAGACGTGTAACATCGCCGTCCGCACCAACATCACCTTCAAGGTGAGCAACCAGCCGCTGTCTCCCGTGCGTGTGTGTGTGACGGGGCTGACACCTTTTCCCTCCTTTGTGTGTGTCGGCGAATAAATGTTTGTCCACCGTCAGTGGAGTACGGTATCCCCTGCTGAAAGACGCTGTATATGTGTGCATGTTGAAGGTCGTGCACCACCCACCATTACCGCCCGTTCCTCCATGCCCACCCCCCACTGCCGGGCCCCCCCCAGGTGGACCCCGCTGTCTCCATGGACGGTTTCAAGAGCGCGGTGTCGCAGGCGCTGTCCAACGGCGGAGTGGCGGGCACCTGCGCCCTGCTGTCGGACTGGGCGGTGCTCGGATCCACGGTGCGTGTGCGCTTTCATGTGGGGCTGCCTGGCTGGCTGGATGGGTGGGTCAAGGGAGGACGAGGAGGAGCTCTAGGCATCCAGCAGCGCAGGCGCGTCACCACCAGTTTGCTAGCTTCTTGCCTACACCCCCGCGTCATCACCTCCCCGGCTTCTCCTCGTGCATGCAGTGCCTCCTCACTTAACATGCCCTGGCGTGTTTGTGCCTGCCCCCCACCCGCAGGTGACCGCCATCTCCCTAGCCAACGGCACCTACGCGGACTGCGGCTCCTTCAGCTCTGCGGTGCTGTCGGCCGTGCAGTCCTCCAGCAGCACCACCAGCAGCGCCGCGGTGTCCAGCTGCCAAACCGTTCAGATCGCGAGTTCGAGCCTCATGGAGACCAACAGCACTGCGACGCCCAATGCGGGCCCCGTTCCGAGTCCCCCTCCTGCTGAGGAGAAGAAGAAGGGCGGAATTCCGATCATGTTCATAGCAGCGGCGATTGGGGGTGTGGTTGCGTTGCTGATTGTCGCAGGGATTATCTACTGGCGTAGGAAGAAGAAGAAGGTGAGGAAAGGAGTGTTTCCATTCCCCCCTGTGGAGAGCTAAACATAAAGACGGAGGTTTGGGGCGGGTCCAGAAATTTCAGCCCTTGCCTCTTTCCTGCCTCGTTCCATTCCTGAACCCAGCCTCACACCAATCTGCTCCCCTATTTGTCCCCTGTTTCCTTCCGACAACAGAAGCAGGAGGCATTTGACGTCTCAGCGGACGCTACACCTGGAAAGGGTGATGAGGTGACCTCCGTGGACGGTTCCCCAGACACCGCCCCAGAAAACGACACCTCAGGTGCCGCTGCGGGCGGCGGTGAAGCCGAGGGCGCACAACTCTGGGCGCAGCCAATCGCCACTCCAGGCGACGGACAAGGCACTTCCTCGCGCCCAGCCTCCGCTGCCAGTCGCACCAGCGCCCAGCTCAAGAGCGAGCACCGACCTTCCAGTGCTTCTGGCGCTGCTAGCGGCGGCAGTGGCCCTCGTGGCTCCGCCAATGGAGACGCTGCTGCGGGCGGAGCAGCAGCCGGAAGGGCCTCGGGAACCGGCGAGGCCGCCGCAACGGCAGCTGGAGCCTCTCCTGGTGTGGGGGTTGAGTTGGGTCCGGGTGCGCTTTTCCAATCGGTTGCAAAGCCGGGAGCGGGCGCTGACGGGCCGTCGGACGGCGCTGACGGTCGTGCAGACGCCGGCGCTGCGGGTGCAGGCGACACGCCTTTCGCGGGTGCTGCAGAGCTGGCAGCGGCGGCAGTAGCCGCCTTCGGGGCGGGCCGGCGTCCGGCCAAGACGCTTGTCCTGCCGCCCCTGCGCGCCAACAAGCTGCCTCTGGATCCCTCGCTCGCCCCCTTACCCCTGGGAGCCAAGCCCGTGCTCCCAACCATCGTTCCCAGCAGCCCCTCCGGTACCCCCACCAGCTCCGTGGGCGGCGCTCTCTCGCCCACATCCCCGGGCGACGCGTTATCCTCCCCCTTGCTGCCAGGCCTGCCGGGCAAGAGGGCCATAGCGCTCCCTGCCCTGAAAGCGCGCAACTCCGCACTTGTCCCGCTGGGCAGCTCACCCGTAACCATAACTGCGGATCCCTTCGCTAAGCCGCTTTTGCCCACACGGCTTGGCAGCACATCTTCGATTCCCGGTCAGGGCACGACCTCTGCAGGCGGCAGCACGTCGGAGGGCGGTGCTGCTGCTATCCCGGGCGCGGCGGTAACTGAGGGTGGCGCGGTAGACGTTACGGCTGCTGCAGCAGCGGCGGCTGCGGCTGCTGCCCCTATACCCGGCGTGCCGCGCTCACCCTCCCTGGATGCAAAGGCAACCAAGGAGCTTGCAGCGCATATGGATACAAAGGTAGGTGTGGATTGGGGTGCAGCGGGATGAACCATGAGGGGTGTGGGGTGCAAGTAGGGTATGTGGGGCTGGGACTTGTGGGGTGCACGTGCCAACAGCCAAGTGCGGCACACGTAGGGCAGAAAGGTGAAATGGCACAGAATCCCCACCCTACAAACCCATCTCTTGCTCTGCAGGATTCCAGCATACCAAAAAGCGGACCCTCTGTCTCCAACAACGGCCTATTCGTGCGGACAAGCGACGCCACCGCCCTTGCAAACAAGGTCCCAACAGTCAATGTAAGCCCGCTGGCTTCCAAGGAATGTCGTGGTCATTCAGGAAAACGTCTCTGTGCACTTGTACCGTGGTACCAACATCACTTGGGTTAAAGAGTGTGAACTGCATTACCACTCCCTGTTGTGCTAACAAAACAGGCCCTGTGTGTTCATCTGCAGGAGGCGTCATCACTGGAGTTGCCGGGTCTGCCTTCGGATGGTGCTGCCGCTGCCGCCGGCGCCGCCTCTGCTGCCGCTGCAGGCGGCCACACAGACGTCGCTGCGGCCGCCGCGGCCGGAGCCGGAGCCACTCCCACTGCCAGTCCAGCCAAGGGCCTCTTCTCCCGCCTGTTCGGCAACAGACACAGCCACACCGGCGAACCAAAAGGCGCTTCCAGCGGTCCCAACTCGGAGCTGCCCACACTTGCGCAGTTGGATGAGGAGGCTGCTGCGGCCTCCGCAGCCGCCGCAGCAGCGGGTGTTGGCGCCGGAGCGGCGGGCGGCGCAGGAGGTAGAGGCCAGGATGAACGGACGTCCTACACGAGCGGCTCCCGGAGAGCCTCCCACACAGGGGGCTCCAGACGGGCCTCCTACACGGGAGCCGGTGCCGCAGCAGCAGCGGCATCAGGCGGCAGCGGCACCTGGGGGACACCAACAGCCCGGCGGGCTAGTGGGACAGGCGGCTCAGGTGCAGATTTCGCCGCGGGGGCGGTCTCCGGCGCCGGCAGTGGACCCGCTGCTGCTGCTGCTGCTGCTGCGGCTCTGGGCGCTCGAATCTGGAAGAATGGCGCCGGCGTTGACGATGACGCCGCGGGAGGAAGAGAGGGCTTCGAGGATGGCGCAAACGCGCAGGATGGCGGTGGGAAGGGCCCACGGACGGGTGCACGGCTCTGGAAGGAAGGAGCCGGCGTCAACGGTGCAGACGGCGGTGAACTTGACTCCTCGACGCCAGCGGCCAAGGGCAGCAGCGCCGGAGTGCACAGCGGCGTCCTTATGCAGCATAATCCTGCGTATATTGCGCCTCGCGAGGGTGCGGACCTGGAGGCTGATGATTTGGATGCGGACGGATCAACCAAGCGCGACTCAGCAGGCGGGCGGCACGGAGTTAACTTCAAACGTCCTGGGGACGGGATGCACGGCGGCTTGGACGGTGACTTTGGCGCAGCCGGAGGAGCAGGTGGTGTTGCTGCTGCGGGCGCGCATAAGGGCATGCAGTTTAAGCGGCCTGGGGATGGTGTGGATGGCAGCTTTGATGGGGATTCTGCTGCAGCAGGGGCCGCAGGTGGGGCGGGTGGCAGTGGCGCACACAAGGGGTTGCACTTCAAGCGGCCAGGAGACGGAATGGAGGGCGACTTTGATGCCGAGTCGGCTGCCGCAGGAGCAGCAGGTGGTGCTGCTGCAGGCGGTGCGCATAAAGGCATGCTCTTCAAGCGACCCGGGGACGGGGTGGATGGCAGCTTTGATGGCGACTTTGCCGCAGCAGGTTCTGCTGCCGGGGGGTCTGCAGCTGGCGCGCACCGAGGCATGCACTTCAAACGTCCCGGAGACGGGCTGGAGGGCAACTTCGACGAGGATTCGGCTGCAGCTGGGGCCGCGGGTGGCGCCGCAGGGGCTGCTGGCATGCACAAAGGCATGCTGTTTAAACGTCCGGGAGACGGGGTCGACGGCAACTTTGATGGCGACGATTCCGCGGCAGGAGCTGCGGGCGGCTCCGCCGGTGCTGCTGGAATGCACAAAAGCATGCTCTTCAAGCGGCCTGGCGACGCCATGGGCGGAGGTATGGACGGCGAGTTTCCCTCAGCCGCGGGTGCTGCTGACGTGGCTGGTGCTGCTGGAGACGCACACAAGGGCATGTTGTTCAAGCGCCCAGGAGATGCCATGGGTGGCGGCATGGAGGGCGAGTTCCCATCTGGCGCTGAGGCGGCTGCCGGAGCCGCGGGTGCTGCCGGCATGCACAAGGGCATGCAATTCAAACGACCTGGGGACGCCAACAATGGCGGTCTGGAGGAGGAAGCTGCAGCCGCTGCGGCTGCCGCTGCTGCCGGGGCCGCAGCTGCCGGTGGCCGGCGCGGGGTACAGTTCAACCGGCCGGGTGATGCTTCCAATGGCGGACTGGAGGAGGATCCCGCAGCTGCGGCCGCAGCCCATGCGGCCGGACACCGACCTGCACAGAGCAAGAGCCTGGGTCCGAACTTCTTGCGGCCGGGCGGCGGGGAGCACGACGGCGACTTTGATGCGGACGCTGCAGCAGCAGCGGAGGGAGCGTCTCCGACCAAGAGGCACAGCATGCCTCCCAATCTGCGCAACTTCAACCGGTCAGTGTTGCCGTACCATGCGTCTTTCAGGGGGTACCAGGAAACATGCGTGCGTTTTATGATTATAAGAGGACTGTGAATGTACGGTAGGGTGTCTGGTTGCCACCTTTTGTGGGATTGCCTCCTTCGCAGCAGATGAGGGCATCTACACGTGCATCGGTACTCGACGCTGCCTAGGGAGCACTTAGGATGGTTTGGCACGGCCAGCTTGGAGTTTAACATTTCGCCATTGTCCCGAACCTAATGCAGGCCTGGAATGGGCGAGCACGACGGCTCGCTGGACCCAACTGCAGCAGCAGCGGCCGCAGCGGAGGCAGCCCCAGCCGCCACGGGTTTCCCTCCAATCGGCAAGAAGGCACGCAACCTGAAGTTCGCACCGGGCCTCGGAGATGTGAGTTTCGCTGTTGTTTTTGCTGACAGGTGCCTGCTGCTGCGTTTCCTGTGCAAGCTTGGTATGTTACCTTCGGATCCAGCATTGAAAGCCATCACATACCGTTGTTCTGTTGTACGGAACTACTTCCCTGAGAAGAACAACGCCATCGTCGCTTTCCTTACCAGTACACCCTATCACTGATCCTCCCTCCCGTTGCTGCCGTGAGCAGTTGCCGGAGGATATGCCGGACGACGGCTTTCCGAAAGCGCAGTCGTCGCACCACAAGCCAGTAAAGAAGACCTCCCAGGTACGTGCTACGAGCTGCGGTCAGACCAAACATAAAGCCATGTCGCCAGGCTGAGGTTATCCGATTCATAACTAGATACATGCGCTGTTATGTGCACGTACGTTAACTGCCTTCCGTTGTCTGTTACTTGCCTTTCACCTGCCGTAAACCTGCCTCTTTACGGCTGCTCTTTTATCGTCTTGATTTTTAGGTCGGCATGCGCAACATGCGGCAGTTCAAGTTCGCCGAAATCGGCGGCCGCTCGTTCGCGGGCGACGACTTGGAGGAGGACGAGCTGGTGGATATGGACGATGAAACCGCGGTTGCTGCTGCAGCGGAGGTAAGGATTCTAAGCCCGTTTCGCCTCTTTAGATTACCGCAAGCCCGACAAACAAGTAACATTATCCAGCTAATGAAGCTCGTCGTCGTCCACCTGCCTTCACCTACCTCGTTCCCTAACTTACAGCTGCCCTGCGACCCCTGCTTGACCCTGCCTTCGCAACGCACTCACAGCGACGTCGCTTACGCGCAATGCAACACGCGGGTCGCGGTCCCACGTACGGAGATGAGAAGATTGGTCCCGTCGACAACATCCAGCTTCAACGCGAGATGCGGCGCAAGGCGATGCTCGACAAGGCGAAGAACAACGCCTGGGGAGCCTCCTTCAAGCCGTCCAAGTAATGCTTGACGGACAACAATATTTGCTGGGGCTCTGGTGGGGTTCAAAGCCTGATTTTGTGGCACACTGTACAGAGGAGAGCCCGTGCTAACGGATTATCTCCAGTTGCATTTGAATCTGCGGACCTTTGGCGCACGGAGTGTTGAGTTGCGTGTTGCACTGCATGATAATGCAAGCTTTAGAAGCAGGCAGATGCCATGGGTTGGAGGAGAAGGTTCCACTACTGAACTACTACTATGAACTTACGACAAGGTAGGGAGGTAGCAAGGTGACGACCTACGGACCCACGGAATGCAGGATAGCGGATGAGGGAAAGGGAGGGATGCACCCAACTGAGGTTGGTGTCCCGAGCAGGCAGCAGCCGCCTCCTGGGGGGAGCTGTCATGCATGTTTAACCCCAGAGGCGCACCCGCCTTCTGCTTACGTGTTTTTTTCACAGCATGCGTTTAGCTGGAGGCACACACGGGGTGCATCGCAACGGGCTCGTGGCATGCGTGATGAACATGGCGCGGTTTGCGGAAATGTATGGCTGCCTGCAGTACCTGCCTGGGCTATCGGTGCAAGAATCGTCTTTGTGTGGGGATGTCAGGCGTGCATAGCCGGCGACAGGCACACGGTGATATTGCCCACTTGACTTGATGATGACTTATGTGTGCCTCTTCCCTTTCTTCATATGGCAGCCAATCAGGCGCCGAGTAGGCGGTTTTCTTTCCATAAGAGCTGTTGTTTGACCGCGTTTGACCAGGTTTGACCAACTTGACTGACTGATCCATTAATCAGATGTACGGGATTAATTGTCTCTCGCGCCGTTGGTGGGAAGCCATGTTGCGAGTTGGATCTTTTAAATATATGCGGAACTGATGAGAGCCTCTTACCGTCTTATGCTGTCCCGTCCCTACCTAATTGGCGCTAGCCAAGGGGATGTCTTGACCGATGATGTGGGCTTATTTGCCCATTCCCGTTTGGCATGCGGGGATGGTTGCATTTGTGGGCATAGGCCTTGTGTTGTTAGGCAATGGCTGAAAGCTTAAGGCGCTAGCGCTGAGTGCGGCGGGCGCCGGCTTCTTTAGGTTACATGCATTGCACGCATGCCGTGCCGTTTCTGTGCGAAGCGCTAGTAAATGGCCAGTCGTAAGAGCTCTTGGAAACAAGAGTAGAAAGCACAAGTAGCGGCTTGGTAGTGTTTAGTTGTGGGATGTCTAGTGGAACACACGCACAGACACTTAGGACCCGTAGTAGGCGGGTGTGCCGCGTAGGAGTGCCCGTTTCCACCGTTTGGGCGTGGGTTAGGTTTCTCCCTACGGGGTCGCTGGCCGTGAGCACGTGGATGTGGTTAAATCCACAGTTCACACCACGTTTTAACATAGGTATTGTTGCCGATGCTTTATTGATTAATCTGTGGCATGCATCATTGGGGTGGGTCAGCAAGAGACTTCCAATGACATGGTTAACCGCCCGGGTGGGCTGTTGGCTCACACACGTCTCAGCTGGTGTTGGTGACTTGCTTCCTTTTGATGCATGCATGCTGGGGTACGAAAGATCGTGCAGGAGATCTGTTGTCGTACAATATGCCGTATAGCTGTCTGCTGCCGTACTCCCAGCTGCGTGTCCTGTTTGTGTCCATGTAAATATCGTGCACTATTCAAGGCTTCCTTCTCCGCGGCGTTACACGAGGTTAAGGTGTCGCAAGCAGCGACACCCCCAACCAAGTCAGTCACCCAGCCCTCTCCCCCCCCACCATGCGGCCCCTCGGCGCTCCGCCTCCGCCTCCTCCTTCCGCTACCCGTACCGCTGCTGCCCTGCACCGCACGCCACACCTACGAAGACTACTCGTCCCCTTCGTACCCCTCCCTCGCCACCCCCACGTACTGCCCCCCCATCAGCTGCAACACCTCCCGCCACAGCGGCACCGGCAGCTGCAGCGCGGGCTTGAGGACCAGTGAGCGCGAACAGGCAGCGGTGAACCTGGCGGGGGGAGGGGAGGCAGGGGAGGTGGCAGGAGACGTCAGGGGAAAGGGAGGCAGCGAGAGTGAGAGCGAACCAGTGAGTTTGCAAGGCAGGGCAAAGCAGTATGGAGGAGAGGCAGCGAGGAAGGGAGCCCGCCACCCCACCATGCGCCCTGCTCTATCTGCTGCTGCAGCTGCCCCGGGCCCCAAGTCATAGCGCCCGCGAAGAACTTGAAGTCCCCCGCCGGCAGCCGGCCGCCCTGCACCGCCGCCGTGGCCTCCGCCTCCCCCGCCATGTACACACCCGGGACCACCTGCGGAGGCGGAAGGGGGTAAAGGTAAGGAAACTGACGAGCTGTATGACGAGGCTTCAGGGGGCGGTGGGCAGGGGGGGGCCGCAGAAAACACAGCGCAGTGGCTGGAGGGCCACTGGTGAGGTATGGAGGGACACGGTTTGGGTGACCCATGAGCGACCCGTGGGTCACTAATGGCGTCCAAATCGGAGAGGAGGGGAGGGACGAATGGGGCAGGCGTCTTGAAGACAGCCTGAGAGAACAACCTTTTTTACGCGGCACGCGCAATTAGAAGGTGATGCCGTATTCGTGGCTGCTAGCCTAGGGGTGCGTAGCTAGCAGGCTAGCGGGGTCCTGCCAACGCACGCGGCTGTACGACTCCGCTGTACGACTCACCTGTACGCAGCCGTTTAACCGGTGACCGTGCATGATGTGGATCACCTGGATTACGAGCCGGGCGATAGTAAGGGGTGTGGGCGCGTGGTAAGGCAGCGGTACGGTACATTCACAGTACGTTTCGCCTCGCGGCCAGTTATTTTAACACAGCGAGGGGAGAACTCGAGAACAGTATGGTACGACAGGAAGCAGGAACAGCGAAACACGCCCGGGGGGTCACAATCATCAGGGCGGCCCACGACTGATACGATTCATACCGGTACGCACCCCACAACACGCTGTCCCTACACACCAAGTCGACCCGCACTCCAAACCCAATCCCACCTGCTGCGCCGTGAAGCCGCCGCAGTAGAGCTGGTTATCCTGGAACACCCGCTGTACGGGAACTGGACCCTGTACGGCAACAGTACGACAGCAGTACGACACGGCAACAGGGGAAGGACCGGGCGTCGTACGAGCTCCTGTGTACGGAACTTGCTGCTGAGCATGAGACCGTACGCAGCATGCACATGCCCACCCTATAGCAGGATTCTCCCTCCCTAAGGGGTATATCGGTATATCGGTATAGACTCTGCGCCCCGCCTGCCCCACTGCTACTGCTGCAAGCTGCAGCTGCCGTACCCAGCCGTCCCCGCCCCGCCCCGCAGAAACCCCCCAACCCCCGCTCCCCTCACCCCCAGCTCCAGGGGCAGCCCCCCCGGCTTGCGACCCAGCACCATGCCAGTGGGGCGGTTGAGGATAAGGCCCACGGAGCCCTCCGACCCGTGGGACGTCAGGAACGCCACGATCTGGTACGGCGGTTGGGATAACGACATGCGGCACATGGTACGACAGGGGGGCATGTGGACGAGGTAGTGGATGAGAGATGCCGTACTTTGCCGTTGGTACAGTGTGTCAGGAAGGCTGTGTGACGCACACATGGTGTAAGTATGTACCGGTACGCATGGAACGGAAAGAGCGAAACACAGACATTCGTAAACGGTGCACGGTTAGTGCAGTTGGTTTTTAGAGGATTGCCGTACACCGCACCAACCTGCCACATCCGGTCGTCATTGAGGATGGCTGGGCCCTGCAGGCTGGCAATGAGCAACCCGCCGGTTTCGGGGCTGGGTGTCGCATGAGCCCACAAGCCCTCGGCGGCGAGTGATGGATTCTGGATTTCAAGAAGTTTGCGATTGTCCTCGCTACGTCGAGCTCCGGCTGGTATCCCGTCTGGTAAGTGGCGGGTGAGATAGGGTGGAGGGACGACGCGAGATGGCGGACGGGTTGCGGGCTTACGGCAACGGGATGCGTAGCAGGGTCAAACGGAGCTGTCGTGCTGTGCACGTTATGTGTTTATTTTGTGCATGAGTTAGGATTTACCTTGTTGCATAATAAGTTTAGCCCTAAACTCCCTCCAGTCGCCGGCTACCGAAGGTGGCACGTCATCGCTAGGGCCAATTGCTCTGAGTCGCGACGGTGCACGGCGAGCTGGCCTAAGTGCAATTTGTCTAGTTAATCTTCCGCGAACACAACGTAATTGAGAATATGCGAGTGATGACTGCTCAACCGAGGAAAATGACCTCCCAGAAGTTGAGGCCATGGTGGCTTGTAACGTAGAATGTTAAAGAAGAACTGTCTGTTAATCACTTGCTGCTCAAAACAAACCTCCTAATAGCTGGGGTTTGTACGCAAAGCGTAACCTGGCATCCTGGCTTCATGTATCTCGGCTTCGGAGCACGCGTTGACGGGTAAGCAAGCTATCAAGCCTCAAGCCGGCCCTTCCGGCACCGCCTGAAAATATGTAAACGGGGGCAACTATCTGAATCACACATTTGGGTTCCAATATCACCTCTTATGAGTAATTGTTCGTCAAAGCTACGCAAGAAGGACAACTGGGAAAGCAACTGCTTAGCGGATTTCATTGACAGGAGCTTATGAAAAGTCCGTAATGCTCCGCTCCATAGCTTTTCGATTGAGAAAGGATAAATATGGCGAAGTGCAACAGTCGACAACTTACCTTTCGACCTTTGTCCTGAAACCGTTGTATTACTCATTTCACAAGCTATTCTCCACAACTATCTCTTATCACCGTCTGGTTTACTTCACGGCCAAAGTTCCAATCGCAGCGCTCCGAAGCCTACAGGAAGCCCAACTCCCAGCAACTATGGAAGTGTGAATGTGTTGAAAGCCTGCCATTCTATGTATTCCTTACATTTTCAACTGACAATAGTGTATACCTTGAGGCTTTGCAGATGCTATTATATGCGCAAAGTTGGTCTTAAGCTACTAGCGTATACTTCCTAACAATAATTATCTTCCTCTGTAAGAAGTACGATTGCTGTTATGAACCTCATAGCGCTAGCCCCATCCAATTTGCACCGAGGGTCCATCGAAAGGTTCCCTGTCCAGGGCCTCTTTCTATCAGCATATGCGCTGTAGTGCCTTCTGATCATAGTCAACTAGTTACAGCAACGCCAGCGGGGCGCAGTAGTCAAAAGACGACGTCATGCAGAGCCACGCAAGCCGGCATGTTGTCTCCGACTTCCTAAAAGACCTCCACCCAGACCTAAGCCAGCCGTTTCCCAAGGTACTGCTGAAGGAAAATGATCAGCCCGTGATGCGCGGATCGTCCCTAGTCGGTCACCCTTGTCGCAATCCGCTGCTGCACAGGGCGTCATCGCAGATGAGGTCGCGGAGGCGCATGGACGACGAGCAATTCCAAAGGTATAGGCCATTCCGGGAGTCAAAGGGCTGCCTATGTCATCATCACACGCGGCAGTTGCTGCTAACCCACATCAGTTCGGGGCTCTCTCCTTCCTCCTGTATGTCTTCATTCCTCCTCTACTCCCCGTCCACTTCCTCCCACCCGCACTCCTCTCCCCATCCCCCCTCTTCTCCGCCCCGCTCTCCCCCCCATCACCAGCTGATTGCCGTTCTGGCGCTCCCAGACCTTCCCGACGACCAGCGCGCCCATGCGCTGCGGATATTCAACAGCCTGCTCAGCACACAGGTGCGCCTCCAACTGCGCGCCTCCCACCCCCCTCCATCCGCGTCGTACATGTGTGCGTGCTCGCTCACCGTGTTGCGCAAGAGCACAGGCTCCTGTGCTTATGAATGCTCACCCCATGTCATCCCCATCCCGTCCTTCCCTGTTTTTTTCTCCCCTCCCGCCACTCCACCTCCCCCCCACCCCCCCCACCCGCAGGAGCACAAGACCAATGCGGTGGCCGAGGGCGCCGCCGCGCCGCTGTGCCGCCTGGTGAACGAGTGCCGCGATGCGGAGGTGCGCCGACTCAGCTGTACGGCACTGGCCAGCCTGGCGCAGGTGGGAGGGCGGGGGGCGGGGGCAGGGGGGGCGACGGGGGCAAGGAGGTGAGGAGGCGAGGGAGGGAGAAGAGAGGTCTGTGGGTTGATGTGGGTGGGGAGGACATGTGCTGTGCACCCTCGCGACACCACCCTTCCCTGCCCCCCCTCCACCCACCCCTCCTCTTCCCCCTCCCCCAAGGTTATGGCTGGCCGGCAGTCCATTGTGTCGGTGGGCGGTCTGGCGGTGCTGACGGAGGCGCTGCAGACCACCCCCGAGCAGGCGGCGGGGGCGCTCAGGGTGGGGTTCAGGGCAGGGGGGGCAGGGGCGGGTTGGGAGGGAACGGGAAGTGAGAAGAAGAGGGGCCAGGGGGGTGGGGGCGGCCATCCTTAAAGCCCAACTCCAAACCGGCCTACCCGTGTTGCACAACCGTGTCCTCCTTGTCCCCTCTCAACCTCCCTCTCCCTTCTCAACCTGCCCCCCATCCCCACCTCCCCCAGTCCTTTGCCCTCTCCAACGACGGCAATTCGCTGCTCAACGCGGTTCGCTCGCTGGTGGTGCCGGCGCTGGTGCAGCTGCTGCTGCAGCCCGCAGACCCCGCATTCACACTGGCGGCGTGCGAGAACGCGGCGGCCACACTGGAGGGTGGGTGGAGGGGGCGGGTGGAGGACGGGCGGGTCAAAGACCAGAGCAGACAGGGTGGGGGGAAGGGGGAAAAAATTAAATAAGTGAAACAACGAGTCCCAATCCCATATCCCGACTCATGCAGTGAGCGCATTCGGAAGGGGAAGGGGAGGGTATGGAGGAGCGATGCAAAGGCCACGCAGCCAATGCGACGAAGGATGAGACCCCCAGATGTGCTGCCCCTATCCCAATCCCATTGCACGCATGCACGCACGCCTTCACACCTTACCTCCTGCCCCCTCCCCCCCCCCCCCCCCACCCCATTGTTTTTAGCTGTCATTTCACTGGCACCGCACGTTTTGCACCTTCTGCATACCTAGATCACTATACCCATACTGCGCTTGCGCTCAATTAAGTATGCTCGTCCCATGCCGTACTTCGCATCGCCGCCTTTCGCATAAATACTAACTCTCGGGATAGTCCCGTCTCTTTCAGCCATCTTCATCGTCATACAGCCTGCGTCGATATACAGCGCAGCTCGCAGCACCAGCACAGCACAGGGACGCATGCCTGCATTATGTTCGCTCGTCGCGCCGCCTTCTTGTGTCTCTGGACGCTTTTCGCTCGCTATTAACGAAATTTGGTACGTCTTCGTTGCACAATTTTCCCTTGCTACGCAGGTCAGTCGGGTTCGGTCGTGGGTGGGCTGGGCTAAAGTTCGACCCAGGGGTCACTTGCGCGGGAGGGCGGGTGGGATGTTTAGGTGCACACAGCCGCATACCAGCCACAGCTTACAGCGCATTTGCGCACAGCAATGCAGTGGAGCTCAGACGCCAGCTTATAGCTCGTCAGGGATTCGTCCAATGATATGACCTCAGCACAGCCACCAGCTTATGGAGCTTTATCACGGTTTGTACTTTGTGTGCTGCTACTAACCCAACGAATATGATTATGCGCAATCCTTAATTCCAGCTTAATGCGGAATCTTCAACCATATTAACCCCCACCCCACCCCCCTCCAGGCATGACCCGCACCGACGAGGGTGTGTTGGCGGCCCTAGCTGCGGGGGTGCCTCGCTGCCTGGTGGCGCTGACCCGGAGGGGGCTGGAGGGGGACCTCAGGTGGGGGGCTGGAGGGGGGTAGGGGGCTGGAGGGGGTAGGGGGACCTCAGGTGGGGGGCTGGATGGGGACCTCAGGTACGCATGTTCACGCAAGCATGCTGCCTTCCTGTTGCTGACTCCCACCTCCCCGCCCTACCCCGTCTCATGCCGTGGGACGGGGGACTCGACAAATGTCTTTGGGCGCCCTGCCGCCTCTCCCTATTGCCTTGCCCCCCCGTCTCCTCCACCTCCCACCTCCACCTCCTCTCCCCCCCCTCTCCCACCTCTCTCCCCCCCCCCAGGTTCGAGGGGCGGCTGATGGACCTGTTGCAGCGAGTGGCCACCTGCTTTGAGCAGATCTGCCACCACCCGGAGGGAAAGGCGGCGGCGCGGGAGGCGGACGCGCACAAGGGTAGGGGCTAGGGTATGGGTAGGGTGTGGGTAGGGTGTGGGCCGGGGTGGGTGGGTGGCGGGGCGGAGGGGTGGACGCAGACGGGGGCACATGGGGTGCACGAGGACCCGGGTCGGGCGGGGTCTGGAAGGGAACTTCAGGGCCTTCAGGGGAGTGCCAAGCAGGGCACGAACCCCTACCCTTCCCTACCCGCCTTAACCCGTCATCATCACGCGACCTCCCCCACCTTCCCCACTCTGGGACTTCAGTTGCTTCACGTTTTATTCATCCTTCCCGCCCCCCCCCTACCCCACCCCCACCCCCCACAGCCCTGGCCGACCTGCTGTCCCTGCAGCACCGCGAGACCATCAAGCACTCCGCCGCCGCGCTGATGGGTCTGGCGGTGGAGAAGGAGAGCAAGGTGAACATCATGCTGTTCGCGGGGGTGCAGCTGGTGCGGCTGATGCGGGGGCAGGACGGCGAGCTGGCGGCCAACGCGAGGGACACGGTGGCGGCTGCGTGCGAGCACCTGGAGGCGAGGAGGACGGCAGAGATGCTGCTCAGTCTGGTGAGGGGGGTAAAACTAGATTTAACCATGGGAGGGGGTGGGGGAGGCGAGGGAGGAGGGAGGGGAGCAGGAAGAGACTATCGTACCGTGGGGGCGAGGGGAGGAGCAGGGGAAACGAGGGTGGGATGGGTGCCGTGAAGCGGGTACAGCTGTCCTTTCTGACCTCCTTTCCCCGCCTCCGCTGCCCCCTCCCCTGCCTCCCCCGCAGGAGGAGCGGGAGCTGCTGCTGTGGAAGGGCCCCCCGCCCGAGACGCCGCCCGACTACCGATACCACATCGATATACCCAAGTGGCACCCGCCGCTGAAATAGGGGAGGCGGAGAAAGGGGGAGAGAGAAGGGGGAGAAATGAAGTGAGGGAGTTGCGGGGAGGAGAAGGAGAAAGCCGAGACAGGACGGGTGAAGCGAGGAGGGCTGCAGTATGAGGAGGGTTAATTCCCGTGGCCTTTTAGGCGGCAGAGGGCTTGATGCATGTACATACGGGTATACGATATTGCACAAGGGGTTTTATGGACGAGGGAGGGCGGAGACGGAGGAATGGGGTGGAATTAGGAGTCACAGGGCGTGCGGTGCGGGACTGCGGGTGGTGTGGCGGCGACCTGCCCTTCCGTTATGTATGCGTGGGCTGCAAGGAGGGGGGGGTGAAGAAGCTCCCAGCTGGAAACACCACGCAACCATGTTGCTCTGGATCAATCGCTGTGTCCTCATCAGCTGGACGATTACGATTTCCCCCCTTAAGGACTGTAAAGTCCACGGTATCTCGTACACATCTACCGCTAAGCGGTTGAACATGACAAATAGCTACCTGCAAGAGCTCATGGCCCTTCTTTCGCATATGCTTGGACGTAAAAACGTATACTACCACTTAGGATAGCCACATGTTGTCAACATCCACAAGAGAGGCCGCGCGAGGCCATATCTGTTTCGTCGCGCTAGGCACGCGCGGAGATGTGCAACCCCTCGCTTGCATCGCCCTGCACCTGCAACAAACCAGGCCGGGTGTTGTTGTTTCATTTATCACACATTCAGCTCATGCGGTGAGGGGACTGCTGCGTTGCGGTGCTCAGCGCGTTACCCGCTCGATCGCGCTATCTAGCCGGTGCCTAGCTCGCGGTCCTTTGTTAGCAGCCCATACCTAAGCACAAGTAATGCTGTTTTATGGAGTGCTGTTCACGTGTTCTTCGCGTTATGTAGCGTAACAAATGGAGCATATGCTTGCCACCCAGTTGCGTACCCAAGATAGGAAGCCTTCCTTGCATCCCCTTTTACCGCCCACCCATTGCACCCCAATACCCCACACTTCACCACACACCCTTGTCCCAACACATCCACACAGTCCTGGCTGTCTGGCGGAGTCTTCTCGCGGCTCAATCGGCCCGTGTACCTGGACAGTCCGCCCGCCGGGGGCAGCTGGGGGCCGCCGGGGGTGGGGGGTGGCCCCCAGCAGGGACCTCAGGACGCAGCAGCAGCAGCTGGGGCAGCTGCAGCGGGAGCTGTAGGTACATTGACTTCCACATCACCATCATCAGCGGCAGCAGCGGCAGGAACAGCAGGAACAGCAGCAACACCAGCGGCTGGGGCAGCTGCTGCTAGTCGGGTCACCCCCACCCCCAGCCCCACCGCGCTGCTGTCCGCGCAACCGGATAGCCAGGTGGTGGGCGCCATTCGCCGCTGCATGAGCGCTGCTGACGCTGCTGCTGCTGCTGCAGAAGCCGCGGTGGTTGCTGCCCCGCCTGCTGCACTGCCCACAGCCGCTTCATCCAGCTCCCCGCAAACAACACCACAGCCCGAGCAGCAGCACCACCACCCACCGTCGCCGCCTCCGCAACAGCAGCAGCAGCAGCCTCCTAGCAATCAACTGTCTCACCAGCAGCAGCAGCAGCACCACCGCACCCGCTTGCCGCACCTCCTCTGCTTCAACCTCTTCGCCCAGGAGGCCTACCACGCAGCGGAGGCACTGCAGGTCCGTTGTGCGGTCGCCGCGCCCTACATGATCCCCTACACCTGCCCGCCCGCCTTCACGCGCATGTTCGCACGGGAGCTGCCGGAACTGTACGAAAGCCTGGTCGTACGGCAGCAGCGGGAGGGTGTACGACAGCAAGAGGAGCCGGAGCAGGAGGAGGCAGCAGGGGGGCTGCCTGACGTGATGGCGAGGGTGACGTACGCCGAGGTAGGCGTGTAGTTGAGTAGGACATGAGCAAACAATTGGGAGAGGTTAGCATGTGAACCGCGAGTACAGGCAAAACAGAGGTGATCAAACCTGAACCATAAACCTTCACGTGTGTGGAGGGGAGGGATGTCAGGCAGTGATACCGGTATTCCCGCTGTCCCATTTTCCCCGCTGCTCCACCTCCCTCCGCACCTCACCTCGCCTCATCAGGTTTCCCACTGGATGTGGCCCCTCTTCACGGAACGGTGGGGCGAGTGGCGCTGCGAAACCCTGGGGCTGCCCCCACTGCCGCTGCACCGCCCTCACCACCCCCACCCCCACCAGCCCCACCCCGGGGAGCCACAAGAGGAGCCACTGACAGGGTCTGAGCTGCCGCCCGCACCGCCCCTGCTGTACGGTAAGACACAGCCAGGTACCCGAAGGTCGGCAACTAACGAGCTCCTCAAGCGCATTGCCCGCGGGTGTCATGCATGCACATGCTGCCTTGTGTGAACTATACCTCACGACGGAAGGCGGGCAACACACACGTGCAGCCAATGGCATGTGTAACACAAGTAACCCAAACACACCCATCCGGCTGAGTGTTGTTGTTGTTGTCGCAGGTTTCAGCGAGATGCTGGTGCCCCGGCCGCCCCACTGGCCTCGCAGCGTGGCGGCATGCGGCTTCTGGCAGCCACACTGGGAGTGGTGGGTGGGGCTGCGGGTGGGGGCCTGCGAGGGCCGAAGACTGGCTGTTGTTTTACCACGAAATGTATGAGCACCCGCAGAAGTAGTTGAACAATTAGAGGATCGATCGTCATGGCACCCTCCCACCGTGCCTCCCTGCCTCCGTGCCCTGGTGCCCTCAGATTGCTCCGGCACCGTTATAAGGAGTCATTTACCGGCCCAAGCTCTTCCCCTCGGGCAGGTTTGCGGATCACGACCTGCCTGCGGAGCTCGAAGACTTCCTCACTACCGGCTCGACACCAACGACCGCCCCCGCGACTGATACTGCGACTGCCACTGCCACGGTGGCCGGTGACGACGGCGGCAACAGGCTTGACGACGACGTCAGTGCAGGGGCGGTTGAAGCGAAGGCACATGGAGAAGGCACGACACCGCCCGCTCCCGTACCGCACCCTGTCAGCAGCGATGACTCAGTGGGGCCGCAGTTGGGTTGCGTCGTCGTGGATTTCGGCAGCAGTGGGCGACTGGGCCTCATTCCTGACCCGTGGTTCACTCTGGCGGTGCTTCAGGCCGCGTTGGACAGCCTAGGACTGTGAGTGGGGTCGGCCGCTCAGGTGCTGAGCGGGCGGAGCGGCTTTGCGCGTCTGCGGTTTGTCGGGCTGTAATTATCGCCAGTCTTCTTTTGCTTTCCTTTCCTTTTCGTCCTTCTCTAAACAAGTCATGCGGCATACCGGAACCCGACACCTGTCCTCCACGTGCGCTCGTTCTCATCCTGTTGTGTTGTTTCGGGGCCTGCGTCCTGCTCGGGTGCTTCTTCCTTCTCCTCCTTCCCCCCGCAGCACGGCAATTGTGCTGACCTCGGGTTGGGAGCCGCTGCACGCGGCGGCTTCGGAACTGCAGGCTGATGCTGCGGGGTTCTGCGGCCAGCGGGGGGCGGCAGCGGCAGCAGCAACGGGGGCCGGCAGCAGTGACTGCGGGAACGCGGAAGAGAAGAAGAAGAAGAAGACAGAGGAGAAGGAAGCACAGGGGCTGGGCGAGCACGCGGGGGTTCATCAGCGGCCTGCTAAGCGCCAAGCGCGACCAGCAGCGGAAGCACCCGCCGCCGGTAGTGCTGGAAGATCCATTCTGCCACCTCCGCCATTACCACCACCACCACCACCATCAGCAGCAGCAGCAGCAGCAGCACCACCACCTCCTCCTCCTCAGCGGCGGCTGGTAATGACGCTGTTCGGGGGCGATGTGGCGCACGCGGCGCTGCTGCCCCGCTGCCGACTGGTGCTCCACCATGGGGGCTCCGGAACCACTGCGGCGGCGCTGCTGTGCGGGGTACCGCAGGTGGGGGGTGAAGAGGAAGAGGAGGGCGACGAAGAAGGATGCAGCATTAAGGGGTGGAGGTGGCGGGTTGGAGAGTTTCACGGCTTCATGCCCTATACTTCAGGCGTTGGGTACCTGCGCCGTAATATGCCGTGTCTTGCAGCCACGCGCTTACAATCCTGTTAATGGGCTGAACTGACTTGTGACCAACTGAGCTGATTTTAGACTGCCGCCTAATGCTGGGTGCGCTGTACGTGCAGGTGGTTTGTCCGCTGCACTTCGACCAGCACTATTGGGTGAGTTGACTTTGGGGTTCGTAACCATCGCCTAGTTATCCTTCCGCTGTTTCCCAACTTTTCCTCATTTGTTCATTTTTGTTGATATGTTTCCAATTGTCCTCAACCAACTGCAGGCGGAACGTCTCGCCTACCTGGACCTCAGTCCTCCGCCGCTCCCCCGCGACGTGCTGTTTGGGAGTCGCGCCGGCAGGGCCACGCAGGGACAAAGCAGGTGAGGCCTGGCGCCCCCGGAGCCACTGCCACCTGTCGTTTGACGCGCATGCTGCACTCTCATAACCAGCATCATTTCACAACTTTGTGGAGGACAAAAATGACGAGCAGTATTGTATGTACATACATGCTTGCAAAGAGGTGGTGGAAGAATCATGAAGTACCACAGCCACGCCCTCATACCCGTCCGTATACACGTCAGCATCTTTCCCTGCCGCCTACTTTGCAGTGTAACCACAGCAGCAGCAGCAGCAGCAGCAGCAGGGGCACCGAATGACATCCGCAGCAGCATGGAGGCCCCAGCAGGTTTCAGTGACCCACGGGTCATCGCGGCCGCTTCACGCGCCCTGGCCGCCGCCTTAAAGGACGCCTTGGGGCCGGACAAGCTGAGGGCCGCCCGCCGCATGGCTCAGGTGCGCGGGGAGGGGTAACGAACCAAACCAACCCACACCATGACTGCAGACGGTGCGCTCGGGGTTGTGTTTGGGTTTACGGTTAAGTGTGTCGTCTAAAGCTGCACGCACGCATGCATGCATGCCTGTTGTCGCAGCAGGTCTGGGCAGGTCTACCCGAAGAAGGCATGGCCACGTGCGTGTTGTGTTGGCGATTTGCCATGTTCCTGGATACGCTAGGTCGCCATGTGCAGGCTTGGCGTGCTGCGCTTCCTTCATTCCTCCCCATCCGCCATACCGCCGCTGTGCCCTCCCTCCCCGTGAGCCCGCAGGAGCTAGCCCAGGAGGATGGGCTGGAAGCGGCTTCACGCGCCCTCATGCGCTGTTTGGCTGCATAGAGCAACAGCAGCAGCAGGTGCTGCTGCAGGCTGCTGAGACCTGCCGCTAACCTGGTGTGTATGATGAGGCAGCTGAGGAGGCGGGGCGGGGCTGCTTGGCCACACCGGCAGGTGTTGGAGACACCAACAGTTGTTAAAGCCGTTCGCGACAACACAAACCGGTAGAAGTTGCGCTGTAGACTGTGGCGCATCTGAGCGGATACACTCCTCATGCAGAGCTGAATACGCAACCTACTCCCTCCGCATGAAACGAATGGAGCATATTCCTGTCACTGCCAGCAAGGTTCACAACTGAAGTACTTTCTTACCCACAATGAACTACTTTCTTACCCACGAAGACCCCCACCCCCCGTCCCAAACACCCGCACATGTAGCCGCTGTCCTGAGCGCACGCGACTGGCTAGAACTGCCCTGCAAATCACACTTAGGCCCATCTCCCAGAGACGAGAGAGATCGCCAGTACGACAATGTTCCTCTGTACGGCATCGATATTAGTTCCCCGTACGACCACCACCGGACAAGTTCTCAATGCCGTCGACAAGCGGCTCACGACACATCCATGCGCCCCAGGCAAGTGAAGCCCACAGCACACGCAAAGCACGGCAAACGGGAGTCGGGAGTCCGAGGCTTTGTATAGTTTACCGTACCCAACGCAATAACAATCAGCGCTTACGTCAAGAGGACTAGTTCCTTCCTCTCAACACTTCCACTCTCGCCATCACTCTAGGTGGACTCATTGAGGAGCCGATACGGTGCCCCGTACAACAGCAATGTCGATCAACTCTCGTACAGCAATTTACGTCGTACAAGCCGCCATGGCTGGCTCAATTTAGCAATCATCAACGATAGTCGAGGGATATCAAAGTACTTGGCGACACCCATCAACTGCGAAACCAAGAAAAAGCCAAGCAGGACGGGCCATTGAAATGACGGAGACGAAGTGGCTTAAGCCTTTCTGCATTTTTTTCACGCTCAGCATTTTCAAATTTTTATTTCCTTAACACAGATGAAGACCTAAGAAGGCGGAGCAGTACAGCGATAGCCAACATGTGTTAACATTCGTACAACCGCCATTCCCAACCACCACAACCGCCATCGCGATATAACAAACCTCCGCTATCACATTAACCTTCCGACAGTGCTGTCCCTGCTCCCCGCCTCCTGCCCTCATATACCCAGCACGACACAACTACGCAAGCAAAGCAGCATGCGTTCCAAACTTCCCTACGAAACGTATCTGAGCTGAGACCGTTGCAGCTGAGGGTATTAGACGTATCTTCTATTACCCTCAGCTGCGACGGTCTCAGCGACACAGACCTCGAAGGCAACATGAGTACGGCACTTTAACGCCCGCTATTGATATCAAGCTCCGCTACAGCTGTCGTACGAGTAGGAGTATCCCAATCGTACTTGCAGATCGTACGTTGTGGTCACGCACTCGGGGGGTAAAGAACGGCAGTTCCTCACCGCCTAGGATAGCGTATCCTTCAGACCTTTGTGGTGGTGATCGCAACCACTCCGGGCTGACCGGATGCGTCCTCAAACTCCTGACCAATCTTGACCGACGACTCGCAGCCGCTGTAAAAGAGGGAGGACGTAAATGTGAACATGAGGCGTCTTGACGCAATTGTGAGAGTAATCCCAATCAAGGCGCGGCAAGGGGCAACGGGACACGTCGGGGAAAATCGTGAAGTATTGTCGTGAAGTATTTTCATTTCCGCAGCTCAGCTTACCTCTTGTTGTCCTTCCGCTGCGCAGCAAAGATTCCGTACACAGTGTACAAGGCCGTTACTCCCAACGTCCACCAACCGAACCTGCAACCGACAACCACCTATAGGTAACTAACCGTGAAGTGAACGTTGCAGTTGGTTATCATCATCAGTCAAAGACTTGGTGCCGGCAAGTAAGCTTCCCCGTATATCCTTCCATGCAGCATCTTTGTGCCGGCAAAAAGGCAACGCGTGTAAGGCAAAACGTCCTTTCTTGCTGCATACCAGGATTGGAAACGCATCCGCCATCGTCAACACATCATGCGTGAGAAAGCCCGCAGAGACCGCAAGAGGGAGCAGCAGGGCACGCAGCTGATGACCCATGGGTCATCACACGCGCGATCTCACCGTTCGTACGACTCCTGGCTCAGCTGGCCGAGCAGGAAGGTGTTCACGAACACGGAGGCGCAGGGCACGAAGGGGTAGAGGGGTACCTTGTAGCCAGCGGGGATGTAGGCCTGTGGAGGGGAGGGAAGAGGAGCGGGGCAGGCAGCAGGTTAGGCAGCTGCTGCAAAAGCAGCAGCAGCGGTAGGAGGTAATAATATGCCATTTTGAGGAAAGGCACGCTAAATCTTTAACCTGGGACAGCAACGGCAACGCCAGTTCTGGAAACCGACTTTGATGTCATCAATCCATTCATTCCAGGTAATGGTCCTACCCAATGCAACCAGCAGCCCTGGAACGAAGAGGGCATGTCCTGACAGGATTGCCCTGGTTCGGTCGTTCTGGTACCGCAATCCCAAACCCAAACCCAAGGAGGCATCACACGCACGCACCGGCTTGCAGAAGAAGTGCATGGAAATGGGCGTAAGCAGGCAGCAAATGGCCAAAGCGAGCAGCCATGCGTTCTGCTGTCCCTTCCACTTGCCGACCACGCTGTCGATCTCATTGTAGATGGGTAGCTTCCAGACCAGGATGAAGCCCAGCGAGAAGCCAATGATGGCGAAAATGTGCAGGAGCTGGTTGGCAAGGCGGAGGGGCTTGGTCTGGCCTGTTGGGGGGAGGAGAGGAAAGGTTGGCGAAAGGAGCGGACTAGCTCTAGCTCTAGATGTAGCTCTATACATACACTCTATATGTATACCGCGCATAGAAGTGTGCACAAACCTTGATACGGGAAAGAGAGAGAAACCAGGCGCATCAAACCAACACGCGCGCATTCCAGTGACCATAACCCTGATGGCGGGTCTCTTGGCACCCTCCCGCAGCACCCACCTGGCACGTGCATGCGGCGCCAGAGCAGCGCAATCGCCACGAACCAAAACACGACAAGTGTGCCGATTGAGACCATGTCACCCAGCTTCGCAAAGTCCGTGAGGAGTGCGATCACGGCCACTGTGATGCCGATGAGCCTGAGGGGGGGGCCATGGGGAGGGAGGCGAAGGGAGGGGCACGTGAAGGGAGGGAAGGGAGGGGACGGGTAAGGGAAACCAAACAGTGGTGGGCAGCTGCTGTCTTCTCCTGCTTGTGTGGCTATTGTTGGAGCCAGCAGACAGGATAATTAACAACACCCGCCACTGTTGTTGCCCAACCCGCCAGGTCCTGCGTTGTCATCTCGTCACAACACCCACACAGCACCACCCACATACCCGCCCCCCCCTCACCATGTGGCCACCCAGGGAGTTTGCTTGGGTCCGACCCACGACATGAGCGGCGGCAACATGCCCTCACGGGTGCAGCCGGTGAGGATGCGGGCGGGTGTGTAGATGCCGGTTAGAATGCCCGTGAGGATACCTGCAGCAGCAGCGGGCAGCGGCAGCGGGAGGTGTCGGCCAGCGTAGCGTGCGTGCAGCTGAAAGGCCTCATGTTCGAGTACAGTTACAACGCTGATGAAGAAACAAAAACACAAGCAGCACAATCCGCTCCAGAACGTTCCGACTCGCGGCTATTTCCGCTACAGAAAAACCAGAACGCCACAAACACACATCAACACACACGCGGCGGTGTTTTCCGCTCAACTACACACGCAAGCCTACCCAGGATGGCGCCCAGGGCGACGATGTGCTTGGCCCAGCCCAGGCCCACATACTCGAACGCGGAGGCGAAGGAGGCGCCGGTGTCAATCATGCCGACGGGCACCATCAGCACCAACACAATGCACATAAGGAAGTAGATCACCGTCACGATCGTCATGGAGCCCAGAATGCCGATTGGCATGTTCCTGAGGGTGGAGGGACACGTGGTTGGTAAGGTTCGAGGAAGGAAAAGGAGCGGGAGTTGCAGGGGCTTTGGGTGGTCGGGAAGTGGTGGTGGGCAGAGCCGCATGCACATGGGGACGGGACGCGGTTTGGGTGTTTGGGAAGGGTTTGGGTCTGGGGAAGTGTCCCGGGAAACACGGACCGAAGGCGCCGAAATCTGGTTTGCACCGGTGTTGGGTTTGCGCCGCCTCCCTCATTCACCCCAGCCTCCTCCCCCACACTCACCTGTGGGGATCAATGACCTCCTCGCCCGCCGCTGCGACACCGTCGAACCCCACGAATGAAAAGAACGCGATACTCGCCCCGTTGAAGATCTGCAAGGGATGCAAGGGACACGGCAGGAACGAACGCTCATGGGGATTTACGAATCGAGGGAGAGAGGCCCGAGAGAGGTATGCACACCCCTGACATGGCTGGACCGCAGGAGGGGGGTAACTCGTCGCAAAAATGCAAGCAGGAAGCAGGAGGGACCATGCACGCTTGCACAAGGCCTAAATGTGGCGTACGTACGGGATCGCAGATTGTACGGCAGACGTTCGTACCGCCAATGTTGATACATCGTACTGCCCCCACACCTGTTTCCAAGCTTCCGGTTGTCCCGGCTGGTTGGGGAAGAAGAAGGGCTTGATGCTGAAGGGTAGCCGAGGGTTGTCCGAGCGTTACAAGGAACAAGTCAGGTTTGGAGACATCGTGGTCAGAAAATGGAAAGGCGTTCATACAACGGCCAAGACAAGTGGCACATTTATAAAATTACCGGCTAGGAGTGGCAGGCCTTTCCAAATCCCCTAAAAGGCGTTGCATGTGCATCCGGCACGTCATGCATGCATGCCTCCCTGTACATCTCCATCCATCTCCCTCCGCAGTCCGCACCCACTTTGCCGAGTCGGCCTTGCAGAACCCCGCGATGATGATGAACACCATGACCAGCACGTGGATGATGGTGATGATGGTGTTGGCCGTGGTGGACTCCTTGGCCCCGTACGCCAGGAAGGCCGTGACCAGCAGCGTGAGGGCAAAGGCCCACCTGCAGAGGCGCACACACCGTACGCTCCTACTCGCGGCCAGTTTTCTAACGCACCAGGAGAAAGGAAACTTGCTCTCTCGCCACAAAAAGGAGGGCGAGAGAGAAGGTTTACAGTTGTGGTTCACAGTTTCTCCGCTCACGCCCCATCCCCTCATCCCCCTCATTCTCCCATCCCCCATCTTCCCACCCCCCCCTCCCGCACCCCCCCCTCCGCATCCCCCCCCACGCACCAGTCCATGGTGTACCACTCCCCCAGCATGTAGTGGTCGTACAGGAAGTAGGAGCTGTCCTGCAGTGCGCCAACAGCAGTGCATGGCAACGGAAGAATGGGCGCCGTCAGGTCGCTGTTGCGCGGGAAGCCGAGGACTGCCGGAATCGGAACAGCAGTAATTGCCTCTTCTACCGTACCTTTCCAATGAGTACGGCAAAGTACGGGGCGAAGCCTCGAATGACCGCCGCATCCGCCAGAATATACTCGAACAGCAAGTTGGACGTCACGACCCTGGATGGAAGCAACGACACAGCCACACGCGAATGCGTCATGATACTCCCATCTTACGACTGAAGGGATTCGGCATCATCGGCAACGCAGTACAAATAGCCTTGCAAAAGCATCAGCAGAAAGTACAAATTGTACGAAAGCATCAGCCTAACAAAAAGACAGCATATCCCTTCGTGACCTACCACGCCGTAAACTCTCCGAGCGTGCTCGCGATGTAGTTATATCTGCGCAGCGAAGCACACCAGCAGCAGCAGCAGTAGCGGCGGCGGCGGCAAAATCAGCAAAACCAAGGCCGCTAAGCAACAATGAAAGCATCAGCAGATTGGAACACGTGTGGCTGCTGCTTGGGCGAGAGCGGGTGAGGGCCAGCTGCATACAGGCATGCATGCGACGTCATCCCACCCCACAACCCCCGGCAAGGGCAGCCCCCCAAGCCCCAACTAACTCACGCAGCGCCCGCAAGCGGCATGTCCACAGCAAATTCCGAGTAGCAGAAGGAGGAGAGGAAAGCGCTCACGGACTGGGGGCGTTGCAGGGCAAGGAGTATAGGGGCGAGATTAGAGGGGCACAGGAAAGGGTGGGAAAGAGTGTAATTTTCGTTTCAGCATGCGGAGCAGGTTTTGAAGCCGACCCATGGGTCCACGGAATCGGAATCAACATGCCGAGCTGTCGTGAAACAAGCAAGCAACCCACAGGTATGTGGATATACAATCCATCCACCATGCACGAAACCCATCAGGCCATGTGCCTTTCAATGGAAAATGCAGCCTTGTTGCCGCTCGGCGGGGTTCGCCACAGTGTACGAACAAAAGTGCCGTACACCCATACTGTGCGGCACCGCTCTTACTACTGCACAGCAGAGTAACGCACCGCAACAAGGTAGGCGATGCAGAGCGCAGGTCCTGTGAAGTTGACGGCGATGGTGCCGGGAGCGATGAAGATACCTTGTGGTGAGGAAGCGCGAAGTGGGAGGAGGAGGAGGAGGAGGAGGAGAGGCATGAGGCGCAAGGGAATACGTCTAGCAGCAAGCTAAGCAGCGTCAGGGCACAAGAGAACATCGCTTGATGGGAGAACAACTTGGCATTTTAAGAAGTAACTAGGCTTTTGGAAGGGACTGGGCCATGATATGTAAATACTACGCCGAAGACTGAGAGCTGCCGTACAAGACCAGGGAAAACAGCGGAGAGATCGCGACAGCAAGTACAAGTCTTACCGGCGCCCAACATGAGACCGACGCCCACGCATGTCAGGCCAACTTTACCCAACGTCCGTTTTAGTGGACCCTACAAAGAGTGTTGGGAACGTTTTTAGCAAAAGGTAGGCGACTCCAAAAGCCAACAACATCAGTAGAACGTTAGTAAGGACTTAGTCACATGCGCCTGCAGCTCTACAAAGATCCACATCTTACATCATAAGGGGTTGGTTCACACGAGCCCAGCATGATTACTGACTAGAGGGAAACTGTGTGTTTTATCAGACACACAGTAGGTCCCACTAGCCGTTTGGCGCGTGTCGGGCGGTACCGTACCATGCCATGACCCTACCTTATGTTCCGCTTCCATCTCCATTTGCTCGGCGGTCTTCGTCTTAAAGATTCGATTCCGCACCAGTTGCGGGTACTGGAATACAACCGAAAGGGACGGGATATTGTGTTACTGTATGACTAAACGTTGAATGTGGTGATAAAGGCAGTGCAAATGGGTATCTTAAAGCTGAAGCGTTTGTAACCTAATGTTCGTATGTGAATGCAAGGTGGGCTTTGCGCAAGATGAGTTTAGCATGGGGGGCAAACGTATGTCGACAAAGAGGCGCAGGGCTTGGAAGTGAGAAATTACGGTAGCTCCTTACCCGAAGCAGCATGTCGAGGTACTCTGTCGGGGAGAACCCCCATGCGTCGGGTGATGCCAGAGCCCGGACATCGCGTGCGCAGGACGCAATGAAGCCCGACATTCTAGGCAGTGGTGATAGACTGTTTTATTGCAGCCTGTGAGAGGGCTTCACCAGTCTCTTCGTCTGGTGCGGCGCAGGGGCTTTCCGGTAGAAAGGAATCACGTGTCGCCTATGGTGAATAAGCCACCCAACCGACTTTCAGCAAGCGCGGGTCTGTGTAGACCACAATGAAGCTATGTGGAATTGCACCGCGGGTTGGCGCTTCGCTTAGGATTGGACTGATTTCCCGTCGTCGGTCGCTTCCGGAAATCATGCAACGCGGTCAGCGTCCATAGTATACAAGAACGCTGGGTTCAGGCTAACACATGTAAGAGTACGAAGGTAACTGCCAGCTCATGACCACTGCTAAGCGACTAAGGCGACGTACACGTTTATACGGAAAGCAGGGCTTGCATCCGAAGGCGGCCCAGTACCGATAGCTGGGCATGAATGTTTTCGTTAAACAGGTTTCTGAATTTGACTCGCAGCTAACAGGTCTGCTTACAGAGTGCGGCCATTGCGGGCTGCGCTGCCTAATGCCGTTTCTTCACCTATGCCATTGGCTGTCTGCGGCCATCCATTCCAGGAAACATTTGCTGTGCATGTCGCATAGGACACCGAGGTGCTATTAGGGTTCAGCACCTGGACCGACAGAACTTGTATATTTGTTAGCGTGCCCCGAATTAGACTAGCTTGCATGACTGTGAAATTCCGTTTCCTAAGGTGTTGCAGTAGCTGCGGTGGCCTTGTTGAGCGACATTTCGTAAAAGCGTGGGTTGCATGGGGTGAAGGGGCGAGTAAAGCGGGGGTGCTTGCATGCGTGAGAAGGATGCAGGTTATGATGCGGAGAGTAATGTGGGGGTGATTCCATGCGTGCGTGTGTGGGTTGCATGGGGCGAGGGGGCGCTTGAAGCGGGAGTGCGTGCATGCGTGTGTGGGTTGCACGGGACGAGGGGGCGAGTACTGTGGGAGTGCTTGCATGCGTGCGGGTCTGAGTTGCATGGGAAGATGGGGCGAGTAAAGTGGGGGTGCCTAAAACAGCGTTCCTGAAGCTTGGGATGGCCAAAAGCGTCGCTTTCAACGCCATGAAACTCTTAAGCGGCTGCTCATGTCGCGATCTAATCTACGATGCTACTTGGAAGACTGGTGGAAGCTACCGCAAAGCAGCATGATTTCAGTTACAGGCTAACAGGCGGCATCCCACCTCTGGCCCGGCATCTGGCCCTCCAAAACGCGCCTGTCATGTTTTGCATGCAAGCATCCTTCCCCATTGCCAAGTCTCCCTCATCTTCGCGCCACGGCCGCTCGCACATCCGCCAACCCCTGTACTGCAGCGGCGTACGAGGGGTCCAATTGTAAGGCCCCTTGAAAGGCCGCCTCTGCCTCTCGCAGCTGCCCCTGACCCAGCAAAGCAACCTGTCGGATGGGGGCCCATAAGAGGGAAGGATTGGAATCAGGCTGGAACGCAAACCTGTAAGTCACCGCTACCCCCTTCCAAGCCCATGCGTCCGTACTTGCCCCATCCTTTCCAGGAACTCCACAACCCCACCTCTTCCTCCCCCCAACCCTCTTCCGCATCTTACCCCCAGCCGACATCGGTACTTGGGTTGCCGCGGGTCCAACCGAGCCGCCTCCTCAGCGTCCGCCTGAGCCTTGCCGTAGTACGACATGCCACTATACGCCGCGGAGCGGTTGCTGTACAGTACGGCATTGGGTGCCGTACAGAGACGCAGCGCCATGGTATAGTGCGACACCGCTTTGCTGAAGTCCCCGCGAGCAAAGGCCTCATTACCGCGCTGTTTGGCTGCGTCCACAGCGGCGGCGGCGGCGTCCGGGTTGTGATCCGCTGCTGCCGCTGCGGTGACTCCAGACGCATCCCCAGCGCTGTCGCCTCCGCCGCCCGGTCGTGGGCCCCCAGCTGCTCCACCGCCTCCCTCCGCAGACGTGCCATAGCTAGCGGCTGCCGCAGCACCCCCAGCGGCAGCGGCAGAGGTGGAGGATCCCGCCGGTGCTGCTGCTGCCGCTGGCGATGTGGGGGAGGCAGCAGTGCCCGCGGCCGCAGTGCTGGCAGCAGCGGTGGCGTTACTGGTCCCCGCCGCCGCCACTGTCGCCGCCTGTGTTCCTGCCGTGACTGCGATCCTGGCCGGGTGCCTGGCAATCACCTCGCGACAGGCCGCCACCAGCTCCCGCCGCTCTAGCAGACCGCTTGTGGACACACCTGTGGGGAGGGCGGGTGGGGGAGAGGGAGGGCGGGTGGGGGAGAGGGAGGGCGGGTGGGCAGGAGGTACACGAGCAGGGGCTAGCATGAGGAGCATGTGAGCGTCTCCCGCCTCGGTCGCCTCACAGGCGGCACCCCATGCTAAACTACCCCCTCCCCCCTCCCCCGCCACCAGGGATTGTCAGCAACTTGTATCATTATCACACCACGCATTGGAATTTCTTTTTTCCTCCCCCGCCCCCACCACGCACCCGCCGCCGCCAGCAGCCCCCGCATGCCCCTCGGTGCCCACTCCGCCTCCCCGCCCGTCGCGTCCCTCAGCGCCGCCACCCGCGCCAGCAGCTCCAGCTCCGAAACCAGCCCCCTTGCCCCCCCGCCATTGCTGCTGCTGCTGGATGCCGCTGCTTCCGCGTCTCTCCGCATCAGGATGTCCCGCACCGTCTCCCCCAGCGCATCCGCCACGCCCAGCTGCGCCCCCGCCTGCCCCACCAGCAGCCGCGCGCACTCCTCCGCCCCCTGGCTGGCTGCCGCATGCAGCGGAGTGGCGCCCGCGGCGTTGAGCAGGTGCGGGTCGGCACCCTGGGACGGTTGGGAAGGGAGGCGGGGGAAAGCGAGGGATGAAGGGAGAGGGAGAAGCGCATTAGGTTACCACTCCCTCCTTTTCCCTTCTTTTCGTGTCCCTCCTATCTGTGTCCCCTCCGTAACCCTTCCCCTTCCCCCTCCCCCCTCCTCCCCCCCGCGCCTCCCGCACCTGCTGCAGCAGCCACCTGGCGGCCCCCGCGTGCCCCTTGGCGGCCGCCCAGTGCAGCGCGCTGTGGGAGGTGAAGGACAGGCTGGTGCCCTGGCCCTGCGTGAGGGAGGGGGGGAGGAAGGGGTAGTGCTTATCGCCGAAGACCGCGGAAGGAAGGAAGGAGGGGTGCAGAATGGGAGCTCCTGGTCCAGCATGGCGAGCAGCCTTGTCACACGGTTCGTCAGTCTCTCCCTCATTACCCCACCCCTCCACCCCACCTGGTACCCCTCCACCCCCACCCCTCCACCCCACCTGGTACCCCAGCAGCCGCGGGTTGTCCGCCAGCATGCGCTGCAGGGCGGCCAGGTCGCCCCGCCGAGCCGCATCCAGCCAGGCGCGACCCTCGCCGCGACTGCGCAGCCCAGCAGCCAGCGCAGCAGCCTCGGCAGCAGCAGCCCTGGGGGTGGGGTGGGGGAAGGAAAGAAGACGAGGTCAAAGTGTTGGGGCAAGGAGGGATTACGGTAGGTGAACTGAGCGGCGGGAAGTACTGGCCCTGACAAGGAGGGAGGGGGTAGGGTTGAGGCGAGTAGTCCATCAAGCCCGGTTCGAACACGAGACAGGGGGGCAAGGGAAGGGGAGGAGCAGTAGAGGGGCAACAAGACGGGCAGCTACCGGTAGGTAGGTAGGCAAGCACCCGCCCCTCCCACACACCTCTCTGCCTCCCGCCGCTCCTCCTCGCATTCCGCCGCCGCATCCGCCGCCAACAGCGCCGCTCGCCGGGCCGCCTTCTCCTCCGCAGAGAGACCCGTGGGTCGCCTGCTCGGCTGCTGCTGAGGCCCCGGGACCTGCTCCTGCGCCTTATGCTGCTGCTCCGGCTGCTGCTGCTGCTGCAACACCTGTTCGGGCAGAACCACAGGAGAGGGCGGCGCGGGCTGCTGCTGCGTCGAAGCAGGCTCCATCTGGTCTTGGAGGTGTTGTGGTTTCGGAGGCGGCGCCTCTGGGAGGACTACGAGGGAACCAGGTACCGCATCAGCAGCAGTGGTGGCGGCAGCGGCACGGGCGCCGCTCGCCTCCCCTTCCGGAGGCCCCAAGCCCTCGTACTGCTCCCCAGATCCAACAGCCGCAGCCAGCGATGCTCCCACCGAGGTGCTCTGCAGTACCTGCACCCCCCCGGGGGCGGCTGCTTCACGCGCCGCGGGAGCCGCCAGAGCTGCACCCTCCGCTGCGCCACCAGTAGCAGCGGTGGCTGCGGTCGCGGTTGCAGTTTCCGTAGGAACGGTTTGGTATCCCTCCGCCCCACCGCCTGAGCCTGTCGACGGCAACGCCCTGTTTGTGTCAGCCTCTTCCCTCTCAACTCGCGCTTTTCCGGCACTCGGCGGCTGGCAGGGCTCCTGTGGGTGCTGCTGAGGCGCCTGCACCTGCCCTGGGACTTGCTGGGCCTGCTGCGCCTGCTGCTGAGGCGCCTGCTCCCCCCGATGCTGCTGCTGCGAGGCCGCCTGCTGCCGCAGCAGCTCCGCCACCTGGCCGTGCCCGAACTGCAGTGCCAGCTGCAGCGCCGTACGACCCTCCCCGTCCACCGCACGCAAGTCGCATGCGCCAGGCGGGCAGGCAGCAGCAGCCACAGGCGCAGCAGCAGGGGCGGCGGTGCCATTGGGGGTGGGGGGGTTGGGCGGCTCGGACGCGGACGTGGGTGCATGGGGGGTAGCCGCCCCCGCCCCCGCTTCGGCGACCCCAGAGGAGGAGAAGGTGGAGGAGGTGCTGTTGCTGCTGTTGCTGCCGCAGCTGCGGGCGGGGGGTCTCCAGGACAAGAGCGCCTCAACTGCCTGCGGAGACGTCAGGAATGTTCGCAGCCCGGCAGCACGGAAGCCAGCTTACATGGGGAGGTGGGAGTTGCAGTAATCAGCACCGCAAAGCAACAGTCGTGATGCCGCAACAACCGCAACACATGCAGTACGCCTGAAGGGTTGCATACTGCCCCATAGCTCCCGGCGGCTGCCCCCGCACGCCCTCTTCCTCGTACCTCCAGTCGCCCGTTGCGTGCGGCTGCATGCAGCGGTGTCGCCCCGTCGTCGTTGCGCACGTTGATGTCCATACCTGTGCGGATGGCGGGATGGATGGACGGGGGGTAAGATGGAAGAGGGGCAAAATGGATGGGGGGGGTAAAGAAACAGGAAACCAGGGCAGCCGTTGTGGGATGAGGGGCGCTCCCCAGACCGTGCGTGTGCAAGAGCTATAGTAAATTAGAATGCCTCACCCTCTTCCCTACCGCAGCCCCGTCTCCTCCTTCCCCCGCTTACCCCTTCCTCTCCCCTTCCCTCCCAACCCCTGCCCCCCCCTCCCCACCTTGCTGCAGCAGCCAGGCCACCCCCTCCACACTGCCCTTGGCCGCGCACCAGTGCAGCGCCGTGTGCCCCAGTCCGCCGCCCCGGCAGCCCAGCAGCCCCGGCTCGGCGGACAGCAGCGCAGCCAGCGCTCCCACGTCGCAGCAGCGGGCGGCAGTCAGCCAGTCGCGAACCAGGTGGGGATGCGGCTGAGGCCGGGGCTGCGGGGGAGGAGGCTGGGAGGGAGGAGGACCGTGTGGGACGTGGGAGGCAGGCTGAGGCGGCTGGCAGGGGTGTTGCTGGGCCTGCGGGCGGGTCTGCGGGTGAGGCAGGTGTTGGTTTGGGACAGACGGCTGCGACGGAAGCTGTGGCGGCGAGTTGGGTTTCGGGCTTTTCTGCTCCTGCGGCAGATCCTCCGCATACCGTACCTCCTCGCCTTGTGGCGCCCGCTGCGGCTGCTCTCCCCCTTCATGCTGCTGCTGCTGCCGTGGCTGCTGCCCCTGTTCCTGCTGCCCCCGCCGCCCCTGGTCCCCCCCTCCCTGCTGCCGCAGCTGCTCGCTGCTCCAGAGCGCCTCCAGCTCGCTCTCAGACACATCCGTCCACTCGCTGCTGCCGTCGCTGCCACTATCGCTCTCGCTGCCGCCTCCACTGGCAGAGCCTTCGGTCCGAGGCCCAGCCCGCCGCCGGCCTGCATCAGGGCCGCCGCGGTAGCGGTGGTGTGAGCTGCTGCCGCCACCAGCGCTGCCGTACGGAAAGGAGGAGCCGGATTCAAATCCGAACCCGGATCCAGACATGGCCGCGAACATGGCGTGCAGGTCGCCGCTTTGGATGAGCTCCTCAACCTGATGTGGGTCGGTTGGGAGAGTTGGTTGGGGAAGTTGGTTGGTTGGTTGTCTGTTTAAGAGCAATAGGCGTAGCGAGATCGGAAGGTCAGAGGTGGTATAAGGAGGCACAAGGGCGTAAGGATTGTGGGAAGAAGTGGAGAGTGCGACAGCACTTCCACGCTGTAATCGCACCTGGGGTGGCATTCCCTTTAGGCCTTTGCTGCTGAAGCGTAGCCCAGGGGGAAAGGTTCCTGAGGCAGCAGAGGCGAGGAAGGGCGCGGCTCATAAAACGACAGCTAACATGACGGTGGTGGAAACCGGTGTGCACCGTACCTGGGGGGAAAAGCTCTTTGGGAAATGGGAATGGCGGTAGGCGAGCCAGCTCCCGAGGTGTGAAGCATGACAACATGTCCTGTTGAAAGGAAGTTAGTCGGAGTAAAGCAGCAAGCTAGGCCGGGGCTGGAGGTGCATCAGAATGGGAGAGAGCGCCTTACCCGAATCATGTCCGCTCCGCCAACAATTTCCAGTAGCAGAGACTGGAACATATCCATGAAGTCATCTGGGCTGATGTCCAAGCCCTCTGTTGTGCCTGTCTGGTCATAGTACCGACGCTTTTGCTCATCGGAAAGCACGCTGTATGCTAGGCTGATCTTCTGGAATCGTTCATGCGCGGACTCGTCTCCCGGACACTTGTCAGGGTGGCATTGCAGCGCAAGACGCCTGTACGCGCGCTTGATATCTGAATCGCTTGCATCGCGCGCCAAACCCAGTTCCGCATACAGGTCCGGGCCGGCTTCCACGGAAGCCAATGCAGCTTTTTTCTTCTGCTTCTTAGGTGCCATTTATATATCTACCCCTCGCAAGGGCCCTCGCCCCTCGGCAATATGTCAATAAAATTGTTTTATGCCAATACGATCCAGCTTATACCGGTACCATACAGGCACAGATCTGCATAATGTTGCAAGTCAATACAACTACGAGTCTTTTACTGAGTTGCTTTCCACACAACATTTCCCGCCTCTGGGTGTGGTCTTTGTTCAAATGCGCTGGTTGGCGAAGGTAAATACAAGGTATGCGGCAAGGCTAAGCTAAGATATCAGACAGCAGGCGCCCATGCAAGCGAGCGCTTCTTCTGTGTACGTCCATCAGCACGTACGGCAGCTGGTTAAGTCAACATCTCAACAATCCCTGATGTCATTTTAGTTTAATACTGTTCAAGTGCGGATGGTTTGCTTGACGCCTTGATACCAGCGAAGGAACAGCGAAGGAACATAGCTTCCCCATGTACCCTTTTGCAACGGGACCTTTACGTCTTTCTCTCGTATGCTACTTGTCGCCACCTCGCCCAGCACTGTACAATGCTGCTGCCGTACCCCTTCCTGCACTATACGTGCGTAGGCATATGGAATGCATGATCCCTTGTTGTTACATCCCCGCATTCCCTCGAATGTTTCCTCCAACCGCAACGCCTCACAACAATCTCCGAAACCGCAATACGCCTCATTCCATACTAGGCTGCCATATGGAAGCCGCAGCCGCAACAACGCCAACTGCAAGAAGCGCTTGCTAGCACTTTACACTCAACCCTCATGCATCCGAGGCGAGAAGGTGAGAGCTAACCAAGAGCCAACGGGGCATGCAAAGACATGCGCATTGAGGTACACCCCCACAACACTCCCCGCGTGGAAGCCTCTCACTCGGACGACTTCTCGTCATCTTGCATGGTGCGCTGCTTCTCGCCCGTCGAGTGGTCGATGTTACGAGAACCGCCGATGTGACCTCCGACCTGCAAGAGGAGAGGCAGGGCATGCGGAGTGACCCGTGGGTCGTTCAACGCAGCCAAGGACGGAAATGAAGCATTGAGACGGGGTAAACACATGTGCAGGTTGCAGAGGACAATGTTTGGCTTCCTGTGCCGCTGGCTGACAGTGCCTTCAGAGATCAGCGGAGCCGAGCTCTAGGCGCCCAAACGCAAATGCAAGCAAGCAGTCACTATTCAAGCTGCGTCATACTCCCACTCTAGCCAGCATCAGCGACAGCGCTACGCAACAGAGGCAACTAGCCCGTGTACGCATTCTGACACTGTCATTGCAAAGGATGTCATCAGCACGAGGAGGGCCATCGTCCAGCCGCACGGCACCGCACCTTGATTCGCTCCATGCTGTCGCACTCGTCAAAGTTCTTCCCAAACAGCTGCTGCGCTGCGGCGTTGCGCTCCTCCATATCGGATCCAGACTTGCCAGTCATGGCGACGAGTTGCAGGCTTTTGTTAGGGCAGAGATTGCTTGGGAGCTTGGGGCGCGGTGCTTAGCGCTAGGATGCGTGCAAGAGGAGGTTAAGGCCGCAGAGCTTCAGGCAAGATTATGAGCGAAGAATATATGCTCTTACTTCTGAATGCCGCTGGTTGATTGGCGAATCGAATACATGGGTTGCGCGGTGAAGGGGGCCCGATGCGCAGTGGAAGCGCGCCACGTCAATCCCCAGGGTAGTAGATGACAAAGCTTGACGTACCGGCATGCGGCGTAGCGTCGCGGCTTATTCGCTGTATCTGAATGCTCCAGTCCTATCTAGTCTTTTATAGTTGGTTTAGGTGATTGGAAAGTGCTATTGTTCTTGAAGGTCGTGCTGGAAGAGGCTTTAACATCTATGCATCCCCTCGTTTCCATCGTCACAGCGGCAACGCACGTCTTAGGCATATAGTATGCTGCTTCCACGGCGTCATCACCCTCATCAGCGAAGTGCATTATAAGTTACTAAGTAGTTCGGCCTGACGAGATTGTCCATGGGGGTGCAAATCTGTTCACATCCACATGCTGTATCCTTGATACTTTTACTCGCAACCCAACCTGAACGACGTATAAAAGACGTGGTTGGAAGCATAAGGAGCCTCCCCAATTTGCCATTGCCTCCCAGAGACAAGGTCCCCAAAATGCCGCCTGTCGCCGTACTCACGTTGATGCCCTGTCTCGTCTTATAACTCCATAGTTGGGCTGGCCCCGAAGCTCCTGTCATCACCTTTCCTTACGGCAGTCGCACACCGGTAAGTCTCCTGATGCCGCCTGGCCACGGGAGCCGTTGGTTCAGGGCAACTTTGTGTGGTTATGTCCGAGAAGACTGGTTCTAGGTCTAACCCAGTTCCGGGTAGGATGACAAATAGCCCAATTGCTGGCGCATGCGGCTAAAGCCAATGGTCCACCTGCGCGTCAGCACATTCCAAGATGGCCACATCTGCGCCGACAGATACTCGGTAAGTGCATAGGAACTGAGCGGCTTGATTCATGGATGATGTCGCGCCTGCTGTTTGTCACAATTCGTACTGTACCCTGGGAGAAACGCGGTTGGAAGTGCCCCACGGGTCCCTCGTGTTTCGATGAGTACGTTAATATTGTCAGTTAGGCGGCGTATTATGCATTGTTGAAACTTGCGTGAAACGTTGCAATGCCGCGCCCTCCTGTCATTCAGCTAGGCCGAACTGAAGGGGCACTTGTAGATAATCATGTACGTACATATACAACTTGCAGAGCTTTATCTTATGCGACGTACTGGCTGTAAAGGGCGCTACAATATTTCCCTGACGATTACGCCAGCATGCAAGCAGTTAGCCAAAATCCATGCGAGCTAACTTTATCTGGCATATATGCAGCCGTAGTATTTAATGAGGCACTTCAACACATTTTTAATGTCCACAACAATAAGGAGTTAACCGAGTTTACGTGTTGCGACTGACTTACGCCCAGCTCTTAGCGTCGACACGGTCGAATAGTTTCCCTGTCAGTGCACTTTAATGTGCTCCTTAACTTAACGGGACGGTGCTGTCATTATGCCACTGTTTCTCTCGGTTGACGCTTACAATTTTACGTGAGGCCATTACCGGCAGCGAAATATGGCAGTCGCTTCGGATGACGCGTTCTCACTGCTGCGCAGCCTTAAGGTATGGTGGAGTGAGCATACTGGAACCGCACAACATTCGTATTGGAATGCCGGTCACGTTGGACGTTACCTTGTAACCGCGTTTAACTTGGACACTACAGGCTGCTGGTGAAAGAACTGGTGCAGTTGAAGCCGAAGGCGCGCTGCATCTGAGGTAGGCTCGTGGTATACATGTGGCTGTTCGTTAATGGGCGGCGAGAACTTGCACATGGGCAGACAACTCCATTAAGAACATGCGCAGTATTGTTCGTAGTCATGCGCTAACGGGTTTCATGAAGGCGCAACCTGCCAAGTGGCTAGGTCACTACCACTGTGTAGGCTGCGCGAAGCGCACGCTGGCACTGTAGCCACTGCGTTCAGAGGTGCCAAACATAGTCCTATCACAATTCCACATGAAGATTATTTGCCTGCTTATGAAATTCTAGCTAGGGACAAGCTAGCTGGGGTGCCATGGCTGACGGTTACTGCCCAGTTTCACCGACTTATTTGAGTCATATCCCGACACACTCTCACCCCAGCTTGGCCCTGCCGCCCCTTCCCCTCTTGTCCTGCCACCCCCCAGACGAACCTCCCGGCGAACCCTCGATGGCCTCCACGATATTCCCGCTCTCCTTCCCCAACCCTCCCTGCCCTTTTCCAAGTTCCCAGCCCCAAGCCACTCATCCGGCGCGCTGCTCACCACCGCTGCCTCCAATCCCTCACCATCCCTTTCAAGCAGCGGCGGCTTCGTTACCGCCGCCGCCAACAACCTAAACAATGCCACCACAACAACTAACAATAGCCTAACCCTAACCGCGACCCATATCAACCTCGGCTTTTCCACTAGCACCAGTTTCACCCTTCCAAGCGGTGTCAACCTCGCCTCTCTAAGCAGCGCTCCCCTGCCCCTCATCCCCTCCGCCGGCTCCTCCCCAGCCGCCTCGCCCTCCCGCCTCTCTATCCGGGCGCCACCTCCGCTGGGATCCCTCCCCAGCCCTACTTCAACCTCCCCTGGAGCAGCTACCGGATCCACTACCAGCGGCGGCGGCGGCGCCGCCGCTGGCCTCTTGGGCTCCCCCTCCTCCCCGCCCCTGCACCACCTGCAACTCGCCCCAGGCATCAGCCGACGCATCTCCCACTCGCACCCGCACCCTGCCTGTCATGACCCAGCCATGCCGCACAGTCACGGCAGCCCGCTACCGCTGCTGTTCGACCCGCCAGTGGCGCTGTCCGCATCGCCCCCGAGCGCCTCCGCCTCCTGCGTCGCCATGCACGTCGCACTGCATGGCGGGATGTCCCTGTCCGCCAGTGTGCCGCCCGCGGGCAGCCCGCCGCTGCGACACCTCTCCGCGCCATTCTTCGCGCTGCCCTCCGGAGGCGCCGGCGGCGGCGCTGGCGGTGGTTCCTCCTCGCCTTCCTCACCCTCCTACCTGCCCACCATCAACGTCAACCTCAGCGGCGGCGGCGGGGACGGCGGCGGCTCCTCCCCGCCCTACGCGGCGACACAGCAGGTCGTGGCAGGGGCAGCCGGCCATCCCTTCATGCGGCCGCAGAGCAGCCGGAGCAGTGGCGGAGGCGGAGCCGTCGTCGCATCCGCCGCCGTCAGCATTCCCGGCGCCGGTGCTGGCAGCGGCGGCGGCGGCGGCGGTAAGCTCTCGCTGGCGGCGGCTTCCTCTCCCGCTGCAGGGCCCACCACGCCCAGCTGCATGGGAAGCACATGCGGGTTGATGATCCGCTCTCCGCGGCTGTCCGGTCCCTCCTGCCCCGCATCTCCCACCAGCAGCGGCGGCGGAGGACACCCTGCTGCCGTACACTTGGGTGCCGTACCCTCACTGGGCCCGCTACCCGCCGCCGCCGCACACCCGTCACACGCCGGGTCAAGCCTCGCCCTCGCCTTAAGCCCGCGGGGCTTGGCGCTTGACCCTTTGACCAGCTGCCCAAGCGTCAGCGGTGGCGGCAGCAGCAGCAGCGGCGGCGGCGCGCCGCCGTTAAGTACCGTACAAGAAATACGGCATCAGGCCCAACAGCAGCTACAGCAGCAGCGGCGGCCCTCGTCTGCTAGGACGGGACCAGCGGCGGCGGCGATGGCGGCGGCGACGTCGGCACCGGGGTCCGAGGGCGGCTTGCCGTCAGCGCCGTCGTACGTACGGCGGGCCAGTACGAGCGGCGCCATCGCGGAGATGTCGCTGGCGGCCGCCGCCGCCGCCGCCGGCTCTCAGAGGCTGGTGCTGGCGGCGGCGGCGGAGCTGAGCGCCATCCAACACGTCCACCACCACCCGCTACACCACATGGGCTCCGTCCCTCATCATCAGCCTAGCTTCGGCCAGATGTCGGCTGCTGCGCAAGCGCAGCCTTCGTCCGTACAATCACAGCAGCAGCAGCAGCAATCACATGAGCAGCAGCAGCAGCAGCAGCAGGAGCCCCAGAGGAAAACCACGGCCACGCTAGGAAGACCACCCATATCGCCATCTCGCAGACAGTCCGGGGCGGGAGCTGGTGCTGGTGCTGGTGCTTCTACCACTCCGAGTGCGGGTACTGCCGCCGCTCAAGCCCTGGCCGCCGCCGCAGCTGGGGCCTGCCTGACCCAGATGGGAGCTGCTGCAGCCGCGATGACAACTAGCAGCCATGCAAAACAGGCAAACAACGCGTCTTCCGCCTCCTTTGCCGACGTGTCAAGCGATGTGTCAAGTGGCGCTTCAACCCCCAGCGCAGCTATCCATGCAATCAGCAATACCTCGGGGGATCCGACGTGCTCAGAAGAGGGCGATGCGGCCACCCGCGCAAGCGCTGCTGCTGCCAGCATCACACCCATGACCGCGGTGTTGCCGTCAGCTGGCACCACCTCTGCCACCTCCATGAACGTTGACGCAACTGCTGCTCCCAACGGCACAACCAACCCTCAAGCTGAACCCCAACAACAACATCAACCACTACCACTCGGACAGCGGCCCAGCCTCCTTCCTTTGCCCAGCTTTGCCGTACAAGCCACCGCACCAATCGCAGCCCGGCCGCCACTGTCTCCGGCTCCGTCACAGCCCGTGCCAGTGCCCATGCCGTCTCAGTCTTCCCTGCTACTGTCCCCAGCAGCAGCCCTCAGCCCTCTCCCTCCGCACACTCCACATGCGCCTCCCAGCCCACCTCTGCATGCACGGTCCCCGAGACCGGACCCACTGCTCCGCCGCCCCTCCACCGCCAGCGGCTGCGGCGGCGGCGGGGGATCCCCTGTCGTACATCCCGCCTCCGCCAAGCACTTGCCGCCACCGCCACTCGGCCACCGAGCGGGTGCGCTGCCGTCGATGACGGGCTTCGGAGCCCATGCGGATTCGTCACCGGGTACGGCAGGTGGGGCTGGATCGAGACCTGGATCTGCTCGAGCTTCTGGGACTGGCTGCAGATCCAGATCTGGCTCCGGAACCGGTCAAGGCGGATTCGATTTTGCAGTACGGTTCGGCGGCGCGCCGTCGTACAGCGGCAGCGGCGATGCGGCCAACGGTGTACGACACGCAGATCCGCAAGCGAGCGGCATTCTGACGGGCGGCCGTCGTCAGACGCGCGACGGCTCGGCGGCGACTCTCGCGACGGAGGATGCTGACGCGTTAGGTGCGGCGGCGCCGCTCCGGCGGCTGTCGGGCGGCGCGTCGCCGCCGCCAATGCTCAACACTACCGCCAGCGGCGGTAACGGCGTTGGCGTCAGGGTGCCGTCTCCTTCGGGAGAGAGTCACACCTCTTCAGTCGCTGAGGGGCTCTGGGCGCCTGATCAAGACATCATGCCGCATCTGGCTAGTCGCATCGGCAGCGTCGGCGGTCGCCGCTCGCCGTCAGGCTTGCTCCAAACGCCGCTGCCGCCGCCCGCAAGTGCTGTTCCGCCGCCGGCCGCCGGGTCCGCCGTCGTCGCCGCCGGAGCTAGCGGCAGCAGCAGCAACAACAGCAGCGGCGGCGGTGCCGCTAGTGGCAACCTCGCTGGCGGCGGCGCCAGCGCCAGCGGGGCCGCTATGGAGCTGACGGCGCCGAGGTTTCGCTCCGCCGGGAGCTTCACAGCTGGCGCCGGCGCCTGCTACGGCGGCGGCGCCGCCAACGCACGTCTTCGACCTGCGCCGCCACAGCAGCCGCGTCTACGTTCGGCGAACAGCGGCCGAGCGGGTGGCTTCCTTCAAGCGCTGGCGGCGGCAGCCGGCCTCAAGCCAGACGGCGCCGGCGGTGGCGGCGGCGGCGGCGGCTCCGTCCGAGATGGCAGCAGCGACGGTGACAGTGGCGGCGGCGGCGGCGGGCGTCCTCGATCCATCAGTGACAGCGGCTACGCGATTGATGGGGCCGCCGTGGGGTTACACATGGAGGGCTCTCTGGCGGTGTTGGGGGACATGTGGTCCCGGGTACGACAGGGGACGAACCACAACAAGAGGTACGCCGTCAGGTCGGCGACGGCGGGCGGCGGCGTTGCTGCTGGTGCTGGCGGCGGCGGCGGCGGCGGTGCCAGTGCCAACGGCGACCTGAGCGGAGCCTCGGAGGAGGAGGGCCTGGTGAGTGGTTTCGGTACACGCGCATGGCGATGCTTGGGAGTTGAGAAAGGGAAGGTATTAGCGTTCGGCTCATGGTCGAACATGTCTGTATGCGGAGGATACCGGCGCGTATGGTATAGTGCAGATGAATGTAACACCCCCAACGTTCTCTGCCGCTGCCTTTCCTCCTTCCCACCAGACACCGAAGGCAGCAGCTGACAAGGCAGCAGCCGCAAGCAAGGCCCAAACCTCCTCCGCCATGCAACCGTCTCCCGAGCCCACCCTCGCGCCCCGGCCAGCAACCGCCCCTACCAATACACCCGGCTCTCGATCACACTCACCGACACCTGCCGCCACGCCCTTCTCCCAATTCGCGGTTGCGGCCGCCGCCGCTGCCGGCGTGACAGCTCCCGCCGCCACTACCGCAGCTGCCGCAGCCGTGGGGCCCTCTGCCAGCCCCGGCGGCCGCGGCAGGGGCAGCGGCGGCGGCGCTGGGCCGCTGAGCCTGGGAATGGTTCGATTGGACGCGAGCGTTACAAGCCTCCCGCTCAAGATCCTTGCGTCTCCTGGTGGCCCCTGCAGCCCTTCGGCTGCTGCTGCTGCGGCGGCGGCGTCGGCGCTTTCGGCGAATGGCTCTGGCGGCAGTGCCAGCAGCGGTGGCAGCGGTGGCATTCGGCTGGGATGAAGGGGCGTGGGCATGCAGGATGTGGCTGCAGGATGACGCATCGCAGTGAAACATTAGACCGCAGCTGGATGCAAGTGTGTGGCTGGTTGTGTGTGGCAGTTGGCTGTGTGGGTGTGGGTGTATTGGTTGGGCTGTTGGGGTGGGGCGATGAACCGTGACTTGTGACTGGCATGGAGGGGGAACGGAGGCACTTGCATTGCAGGGGGCCGCATGTCTACGAAAAACGATAAAGGCCATCTGTAAAGCATGTCCCCTAGGAAAGCGTGCGCTGGCGTGCGTGTTAAGTGTCGCCTCCTCCTCCTGAGAGGCTGAGGGAAATGATCTTTAGTCGAAGTCTTGTGTGCAAACTGTCGGAATGTACTGTGATTGCCGGTGTCTTGTGTGGAACATGGAGATTGGCGGGCTGCGCGGACCTGGGAAGCATGTACGACCCATTTGATGGCAACAGCCCTGTCTGTACACTTTTGTTTGAATTGAGAGCCGTATCCCCTGCATGGGGGTGCCGTGCGGCTGCATGTGTGGCAGCACGAGCCGCAATTAGCGGTTGCTCAGCCGTTGGTACGGGGGGCTGTTGAACTGGCAAAATGCCGGTGAAGGACGATCGTCAGTTTGTTTATTAACGATACAACCGTTGCATGCTGAACGATGCGGCTGGCCGTGGCAAGTGTTTCGTCGTAATGGTTGTTGCATACATGGATGTGGGCGAGGGGCGAGGGCTGCACGTCAACGGCTCTGCTGTTGCTGCTGTCAGAGTTGCGCTGCTGCGGAGGCGGCGGCTCTTAACAGTACTCACAGGGCGTGGAGCTTGAGCGTCGTTACCGACTTGCTGACCTAGTATAAGTAGTATGGCATATATATACCACTATTACAATTTACGAGCAGCAGCATGGACTACGCTGCATTTGCGCGCGTGGGAATGCGCCTGTGGTGTGCGACCCCCCCTTTCATGTGCTGCTATACGACACCGCTTCGTTCATTCAACCCCTGGATTTAAGGGACAAATGGAGAGGCATAACTTACCCCTGAAGGCGTGCTTTTATGGCGGCGCTTTTATTAAAGCACCTGCGTGCGTGTCATGTTGTATCTTTGTGTGTTGTGGTGCCAACCTTTTGAGCATTCCGGCTGATGACGTCGGAAAGCTGGCGTCTGAGATTTGTGGCTATGTGTGGGTTTCATGCGTGGACTTAGCTGGCGCACCTGCATTCGCAGTTGACGTTTCAGCAGCACGGTCTGTTTCGCGCGATATGTCGTATTGGCACATACGCGTATTGGCACATACGCCGGCACAGAAGTGGAATTACCGTATCCGAGGCGTCTCAAGCGTGTAAGCGCGATACCTTGTTACTAAGGTCACCCCGCCCGCCTAGTAAGTAGGGCTGTGCGGTGTGCTTCGCATTCCGGCCCCTACCTTGCGAACATGGTCCCAACTCGCCTGCTGAGGGAGCGCATGCGGCCGCCTTGTACGGTGCGCAGCGGTGCTTGCAGCCGCTCGCTTAATTGTTCACACGCTGGGTTTAATAGCATTCATGGCACTGCGTACTTCTCGTGTTCGATGTGTAAAGCGGGGGTTGTCCTTTTGTGTTCTGATATGGGGCCTTGGTATCCAAGGATGCACATTGGTTTGTTGGCGCGCATACCTTTCATAGCCGTTCGTTTCTGGCGGCCCCCTCATACTTGCGCAGTAGCAGTGCCCCTTGCCTGATCCATCGTACAGTTTGGTTGATAACGAACTAGGGCTGGCAATTGGGGCGGCGTTTGCGACATACATGCATTCCATTCTGTGCTGTGAGTCTGTGGCGTTTGGACTTCAGGTGTGTTTGTCGGTTCGCGCTGTGACGCCACGAACACCGCTTGGCATTGACTTTGACCGTTACCTACCACCATCATCATACCCTGACACCACCTGCATGCTGGCATGTTGGTTTGACGTTTCATCGTAGTTTGTGCCGGCGCGGTGGCTTCCTGCTGTGGCCTAGCATGGCTGGCCGAGGTGTGAGTGTGTTGAGCGTGTCACTCAAGCGACCCCCAATGACCCGTTTCACGTGTATATGCGGTATACCTTTAAACGGACAAGTGCCATGGTAACGTGATGCAAGGTGTGCACGCCTTGCCTCGACCTCCATCTGATTCCGGTGGTGCAACACACGCCGCTACATGAGCCCTGAAGGCCCGCTGCGTGACGAACATGTGCTTGGGAAGCTGCCATGGTCATGAAACTGACCGCAATTACCGTAAATGAACGACCATTGCTGTAACAGTAACTAGTTCTTGGTTGGGGCCCCGTCAGGATTGACGAAACTGCCGCACCTGACATGCATGTGACCGTGCTAAGGAGCACCCAGCCTGTAACCCGCTTTTGCTTGCAGCACCATCTTTCCATCGGTCCGGTAACCAGTAGCCCGCGGCAACACCAGAAACACACGACCTCCACCTCAATCCGACATGACCGTATCAGCCACTGTACCTCCTCCCCTCTCCGCCGCCGCCACTGCAGCAGGAGACGCAGCCGTCACCGCTTCAGAAACCGCAGCTGCTGCCGCCGCCGCCGGCTCGCGCGGGCCTTCCTCCATGCAGACATCCCCCGCTGCGTCCGAAGGCTGGGCCGCTGATACCTGTACCAGCGAGGACGGCCCTACCGCCCCAACCGTGTCAGCACCGCCGCTCGCACCCTCAACCGCTCGTACCCCCTCGGACGCCTCCAACCTTTCAGCGCCTCCAACCTCCTCCACTGCAGCAGCAGGAGCTGCTGCAGCAGCTGTGGATGCTGCCCCCGCTTCTGCCGCCGCTTGCAACCCCGCCTCAGGCGCACCTCCGGCTCCCTCCGCCACTCCACCAACCGGAGCAGCATTACTGCTGGCCGGTGCATCAACCTCCATGCCCCCACCTTCCTCCACACCCTTCCCATCCTTCCCTCCCCCAGCTGCACCATCCGCCGTTGCTGCTGCTGCTCCTCCAACTGCGCCACCCGCCACCGCCCCAGCAGGGGCCTCCACGGGTGCCGGCGCAGCCGATGCCGCATGTGGCAGCGGCTCCTGCTGCTGCTGCTGCCGCCCGCGCCGTCGCCTCCGCGCAGCCGCTGGCCCAGACTCCGCGCCACTGCCCCCCTCCCCATCCTCCTCCTCCTCAACATCCGTGGCATCAGGCCCCTCGTCCAGGTCCGTATCCACCTCACAGTCAAGCGCCTGCATGAGCAGCGTCAGCTCGGATCGGACAGGCCAGGGGCCCGCAGCAGGCGCAGGCAGATGCCCCATGCCTCCGCCGCCTCCGACACCGCGCGCCGAGCCCAGCGGACCTCGTACGGCGCTGCCCGGCGCTGCGTAGAAGTCCAAAAAGGGCGACGGCAATTGCTGACCGTTGTGGGGTTGCAAGGCGTGCATGGGGTGCAGCATGGGGTGCGGCTGAGCGGCTGCAGCTGCTGCGGAGGTGGCGGCGGCGGATGAGAGATAGGCGTTGTATTCCTCGTCTCCGGGAGCTGCTCCTGCTGTGGTGGCGGTGGCGGTGGTGGCGGCGGAGCGCATGGGGCCTCCGTAGGGGTCTGGTCGAGGGGTCTAGGAGAGAGAGGAAGAGGGTGGAGGGAGGGGATGTAAATGGCATTGGGCGGGAGGCAGACGCGAGGTGAGAGACTGCGGCTCATTGGTACGGTAAGCACGAGTGGAGTGGAAAAGGATGTGGGGAGCGACGGGTATGTACCGTACATGGCCGGTGTACGGCACCCTTGAGGAGGTGTGCTGCTACAGATGGACGAACAGCTGACCGCCACGGTGTGCTTTTGAGGTGCAACCGAAAGGATAGAATTAAATGGAATCAGATAGGCTAACACGTGTTAAAGGGGACAGAGGATCCATGGGTGTAAATGCCACCGGAAAGTCTTTCAAAGTTCACACCTGTCCTCCACCAAACTCGGCGCCCATGTAGCCAGCTTGCCCCGGGAGTGCGCTGCCGGGTCCCGGGGTGGTTGCGGGCGAGGGAGCGGTTCCGCCTGCCGCCATCCACACCCGGATGCCCTCCGCCATCTCCGCCCACAGCACCTGCAGACAGGCGGGGTTGTTGCCGCCTGCGGGACGGAGCGGGAGCAGCAGCAGCAGCAGTCAGCAGGGCCGGGGGATGGCGGCGGCGGAGGCGTCAATCGGCATCACATGGTGTAGAGCGAGAAGCCTTCAAGCGAAGCCAGGTAGAGAGGGATACATGCACCAGAGGGAAGACATGCAGGGATACGGCTTTCCCGGATACGATGCGAAAGTCGCACTCAAGGCAGAGTGCCTTATGCTTTTGCCACAACCGCCAGGGCCCCCTCCTCCCCCCCGGCAGCAACCCACCGTCCGCCAGTTCTCGCAGTCGCGTCTCCCAGCCGCCCCGCCTCGCGAACAACCCCTGCGTCTTATCCGTCGTCAGTGCGTCATGCAGCTCCAACATGCTCGCAGCCGTCGCGCCCACCAGCGCTGACACGGCGGCGGAAGCAGCCGCGGCAGCGGCGCCTTCGGCGCCGCCGGCTGTTGACGGCGCCGAAGGCGCCGGCGGCGGCGGCGCAGCCGCCGCTGCCGCCGCCGCAGGCGGCGTTGCGGCGCCTGCCCCTCCCGCCCCCGCCGCCGCCGCTGCTGCGTCCACGTTTCGCTGCAGCGCCCGCCGCCATCCGGGTCGTGTGTTCTTCCAGGCGGGGGTCACGCTGTTCCAGGGCACGGACTCCTCCATGGCGAGCAGGTCCCGACGGATGGCCCGAATGAGCTCCTTCACACGGGCAGCGCTGCCGCGACTGGGTGTGGAGGCGACTGCGGAGGCGGGGGGGTATAGAGGAAGGAGCGCTATAGGCACGCGATTGGCATGCAGGGATGTGCATGCGGAGAAGAGGAGGCTTCACCTATGCCGAACCTGTGTTTTCTGTGTTTGCTGTTCTCTAAAAGCCATACTTGTGTTCTAAACCGCTGCAGTTACCTCGAGCAGGCGGTAGGGCCTCCAGCTGCAACGCAGGCCGCAGAGAGGGATCCAACAGCGGAGGCGGCACCGCCGCAGGCCGCTTGTACGGCCGCCCGTGCTCGTCCACAACCGTACTGTACGGCATGCCACCACCCGCCGCAGCGGCACTCGGCGGCGGTCCCATGGCGCCTCCCCCACTCGGTTCGGAAGGCGGCCGGCGACCTGCGGCAGCTGACGGTGGCGGCGGAAGACCGCCTCCGCCGCCGCCTAGAGAGGCGGTGGAGGAGGTGGGCGGCAGGGGCGGTGGCGGTAGCGGCTGGCTTGCGGGCTGCAGACCCATGGGTCCGAGGGGCATCTGCGGTTGCTGCTGCATGGGCCCCATCATGACGCCCAGCGGGTGCTGCGGTTGGATGAGTTGAAGGTAGCGCTGCTGCAGCTTCACAGTGCGGCCTGGTGGGGGGGGTTGGAGGTGGGGGGAGGGCGTGGTGGAGGTGGGGGGAGGGCGTGGTGGGGATGGGGGTGTGACTGGGCGGGATGACATGTCACATGTCGCATGGTTTGGTCCTTGCTGTTTACAACCCGTTCCCCCCCCTCACCTAGCTTGGGCACCTGCAGCTCTACCCAGCCGTTGTGCTCCACCCGCGCCACCCAGGCGTCCTGACCCAGCAGCTCCGGGTCGGTGCTCTTGTTGGCGCTGCGGATGACAACCCTGGGGGGGCAGGGAGGCAGGAGAGCAGTGGGCAAGGCAGGGAGGGAGGGGCGGCGGGAAGCTTAGGGCAGGAAAGAGGAGGAGGCGGGCGGCAGAACGGGTGCGGCAGTTTCCAACATCGATCCCACCAGTCCCCGCCAGCTCCCCAACCCAGTCCCCGCCAGCTCCCCAACCCAGTCCCCACCAGTCCCCACGCCGTAGCTCCCGCACGCGCCCCGCTCCGCCCGGTCCGTCCCCGGGTTCGCAGCTGGTGCCGCGTTTGAATCGCCCGTCTGGATCCGACAGCCGCCGCTCCGCCCCTGGAGCACTAGGACCCATGAGCGGTCCGCCTGGACCCATGACAGGCAGGCCGGGCAGCGGCACGCCGCCACCACCACCGCCGCCGCCGACCCCCGGGTGCTGGGAGTGGGAGTGGTGGGAGTGAGGGTGTGGGTTGCTGCCGGAGAGGAGGCTGGCCATGGCCATGTTTTGCTGCGGCTTGATGCGTGCAATGATGGCATGCAGGTTGAGCTGCGGATGGGGGTGATGAGGAGCGGGAGGAAAGGGGAGGGAGATGGCGGCGGTCAGTTGGTGAGGGTAATTGGATGGGAATGTGGGATTTGAAAGGACGAAAGGGCTAGGCAGGGCTGCTGGCGCCGCTGGTTGCCGTACTGTGGAATGGCTTTTGATTGGGCCAAGGGTGCACGGTCGATGACGTCCTGTGCACTTACCTTGATGGTTTTGGCGGCTGCTTGAGCTGCCTGTCCCACGTCCTGCCGCTTGACCGCTGAGACGAAGGCAGCGTCTTGGAGGAGGTACCCGCAGATGGGGTCCTGATTGGTCAGTGACACGGGCGAAGAATTGTTAGCTCCTCCCCAGGACAGACCGGCACGAGTACTTAGGTACCGTCGAGATTAGGGTAGAGTTCATTATGCTTTCGGGTCACAGGTCATTGCACCTTCATTTCCGGTAATGAGCCAACCATCTAACCGCCCTACGTTCGGCAAGCGCAGTCTTTATAACCTGCTGACTCACTGGCTGCGATGCTGAAGGTCCAGAGCCCTGAGTAGTCGACGTGGGCTGCGGATTTGGGGGCGGCATCGACGTCGACGTCGCTATCGGGGTTGTACCAGCATCCACAGGCGCCGTCGCCGCGGTGTTGCTCGTAGCACCTGCTGCCTGAGCTTCCACACCGACCGACGCTGCAGCGGGTGTGGCATCTGCCGGAGGAGGCATGGGAGCCTCGATAGCTGCATTCGCCCCAGCCTCTTGCATTCTTAGCGACCTATACCAGTAAGAACGACCTACATAACTGTTATTGTAAAGTAGTTTGTAATTCCTTTTGTATTATTGTGCGCGCTAAAGTGATAGTGCTGACAAAATGATGGGGCTGTGTCTGGGAAGCCTGCCGAGATAATATGATACGCGGAATAAAGATTACTTCCAACTACAGTCAGTAAAAGTGACACCAGCTCGTAAAGCGGACCGACGGACATTGACCGACGCACGTACGGCGACAGTACACCTCCTACCTCAGGCAGCCAAGTCACATATCCAAGTCGTCTTGACCTCAGTTGACGGCATGTTGCATTATCCTTTCCGTCCTTGGCAGCTGGGCTTGCATGGCACTGCCAATACGCCCAATTCCTGTACTTAGGGGCGAGGTGCAATGGCATGGTGCCCTATCGAACCTGCCTGGCGGACGTTGCTAGAGGCCAGCCTGGCTGACACACCTCCCAGAGGTCTGTCGCAAAAGCAAAGCCTCTCCCTTTGCGCAAGCCGATTCTTCATGTACATGACAGGGCGCAGCCCATGCATGCTGTCGCCAAGGCTGCCTCATCCCATCAAGGCCATCATAGAAGCAATGCAAGAGAGAACTGCCGCAATAGCAGCCCTAAGCAAGTATGCATGGCGGGGTTTGTGGGGCACAAAGTTGCACGCTACAATTGAAGGAACAAAGGGACACGGGCGTGAGTCCCTGCAATTGGGGCCGCCCGACAAGTCACACAGCACCGGTGGTCATTCTTCGACATGGTCGCAGGTAGCCATGTCTGTGGTCGGCTTTTGTCGCAGTCGAAAGTGAACGCACCCATTGCAGCTAGTTGTCATTGTTTTGGGGCAGCATCTGCGCCGGTACCACAGGGAGGACACCCACATGCAACATGCCCGGCAGACCCACGGGTCAGCTGCATGAGGAACCCACGTCGCCCCATGCAGCCGTGCTCAGATGCAATTTGAGAGAGCTGTGCAGTCGTCATGTGCCGGGCTGAGGTGTAACAGCGCGTGTCTCGAGCGCCCCCGGGTGTAACCGACTGCCGCCTCAACCGCCGCCGCCGCAGCAGCACACGTAGTAGTGCATGCATGCAAGCGGAGGAGGAGGAGTTGCTTTTGGCCCACCAATCTGCCCCGAACCAATTGCTTCGGTTCGGGGTCGCCGGGAGGTATGTGGCCGTTGAGGTATGTGTCCACTCAAGTGTGCTGCAAGAGACCGGCACAATGGCAACAAGCCGTGTGCAGTGCCAAGGCGTAACGTGGGTTGAAAAGCGGATATACACGAGAAAAAACTGGAGCCGTCGAGCTGAAATCGACTCCAGGCTCTGGAGGGAATTACACCAACATGCCAGTAAAGGAAAGGAACGATGGTCCTGCAGTACAAAGTATTCGGTAACCACCCACCAAATGACTCGTGTGTCGTGTCCAATCAGCAGCATTTGTGTGTCACCACATTGGGTTGCTGCCAATGCTAACCAGGTGCGTCGTGTTTGCAAGTGCACGGTCGTCACTGAACCGCCTATCTCCCCACGCAGGGTACAACACGCTATGGTCCGAATGATTCGTGACTCGTTTTGGATTCCTCCTGCACAGTCCATAAAGCAATGCCCTTTTTATGAGCCCAACACCCCACCACTGCAGGTTTGGCACACGATCGTAAGTTCGTAACTTCACCATTCACCCCCTCCGCAACCCGGCCCAACATGGTTGGCCCACTGCGCCCTACAACCCTTGCACCGCTTGCCACACACACCCCTCGCCACTACCCCCGTGACCCATCAACACGACACAACACTACATGAGCACATGACAGCCTTCACCGCCTTCACAGCTCGGGCGTGTTGATCCGCGAGGACCCGCCCACCACCTCCTCCATCGCTGCGAACCAGGGCCCCAGCCGGCTGTTCTCCATCAAATCCCGGAACGCACCCGTCTTCCGAACCGCGCGAATCACGCCAAACGCCGCCACATCCGCCAGGTTGGGCTGCTCGCCGCCCGCAAACCGCCGGCCGCGCAGCGCATTGTCCACAAAGTCGTTGGCAGTGTCGTACAGGGCCACACGGAGATCTCCCTCGATGCCGTACTTTGCGGGCATGCGCTTGCCCACCTGCCACATCATGACGGCGCCGGTCCAGCGCGCCAGCTCGCGGGTGCCCCAGCTCCAGCTGGTCTGCTCGGTGATGTACTTGAAGGTCTCCTTGGACTCGCTGCGGAAGGGGTGGGGTGAGGGCGAGGGAGACGTTGTGTGTTGAGGAAACTGTGCGTATAGGGTAAAGCGCGCCGTCACACGTATCCTATGCTACCCGTTCCTGTTTGCCCGTTACCAACAATGAACGCACAACGCCACACACGTACCACCCCCCAACCCAACCCACGCTTATAAGCATCCTGACATGTGACATCCTATGCCTCCAGGCCCAGCAGCTCCTCCCAAACTTCCACTCCCAACACTCCCAAGCCCCCCAGCACCAGCACCCCCCGAGCAGCTCCCCCCCCACCACCAGCCACTCCCTCCCCCTACTCACTCCCAGTTGCGGTAGATGTTGGCGGTGAGCACCTTGACCAGCTTCTCATCCACCCACTTGCGCCACCGAACCTCCTCCTCCAGCGCAGCAGCAGCCGACTCGGCAGACAACACAGCAGCAGCGGGAGCGGGAGCAGCAGCTGCCGGGGCCTGGTCCTTCACGGCCGCTGCGTCAGACTCGTCGCTGCCCTTGCTGCTCCAGAACCACCAACCGCCGCTGCTCTTCTTAGCGGGCGCTGCTGAGGACTCGGGGGCGGCGGCGGGCGCGGCAGCCGCGGCGGGTGGGGCGGCCGCGGCCGCGGCAGCGGCCCGGGCAGCGGCGATGTCGGTTGCGAGGCGGGACATGATGGCTGAGCTGTCAGCGACTATTTCGTCATCTAGCTGAACCACTGGAACCTTCTTATAGCTGCTCCAGGACAGCTCGCCTTTGGTCAACGGGTTGACCTCGATCGAGGTGTACGGCAGCTGGGAGAGGGAGGGCAGAAAGGTTGAAGAAAGAGGGTGGGGGTGGGGGGAGGAAGAGTCAGGGGGGAGGGGTCTGGGTGCGTTTGGTGGTGATGGAAGGAGGGTTTGATAGCTGCAGTGGTTCGGGTAGGAGATGGCAGGTCAGCGTGGAGGACACCTGCCAGTTAGGACAGCAAGTTTTGGTGGCTTTACCTTGTAGAAGTCCAGGAGGGCCCGGACCTTGCAGCAGTAGGGGCAGACCTCGTATTGGTACAGCGTGATGCGCGAGGGCAGCGGGCGGGCCTCCGTTGGCCGGGCGTACGGGTCAGCTGCTACCTGCAGCCCGGAACAATGTACGTATGGTACCCGCGCGGATCGAATATCGTAAATCCGATGATGCGATAATTAACGGGCTTGTGCAGCTTCGCACCTCGACTTGCGCCGGCGCATCGGCCGCGCTAGCGCATAGGAAGCCACCAGCTGTGGCCGCCGCGCCCATACCCAAGGCAGCTGCCGCAGCTGCTATGATGCCATGTCGGCTACCGCTGCCAGCCTGCTGCTGGTCAGGGAACCTGCGTAGTTGCCCGATTGCAGTGTCGGTGAAACCATCAGTTCTGTAACAGCATGCCGCTTGACAAGTCGCAACCTACCCAGTGGATAAAAGCCGAGCTGCAGCCAGTGGCTGCATACCAGAGGCTACCCTCTGGCCATGCTGAGCTAGCAGCAGGTTTGGCAACCTACGGAGGGCTCCCGCGGAGCTCATCCTCGCAAGATATTGCAGCTTAGATTCACTTCAAGCGAAGTGACAAACTGCCTAAGTTACTTTTCTTTGTGTACGTTGACGGGAGGTGGTATGCCGTGCAGTTGAGCAATTTGCAAACCCCCTGGATTGGCGTTATACACATAGTTGCATCTAATTTTGGGTATACCAATTACAGGGATTGCATATAGTTACTCCAAGGGAACGCAATACGCCAGCGACGTGTAAGCACCAACTCTCCTCCTCTTGAGGCTTGCCTGACATGTGAATTCCTGAGATCATATCACATCGCAAACAATATTATCTTTTTGCCAATACTTGCTTTCTCCTGCTGCCCTATCGTTGCGCTAGTCGGGCAGCCTCCTCGTCTGAGACTCGCTCTCTGGTGCTTACCCGGCGTGCTTCAGTTCAGCTCTACTATGACTTAATGGAGCATCGCGCGGGGAGCATTGACTAGGATTCCTTTAGTCGCCGAAGGGTGTCAGCCGTGAGCAGGCAGCGTAATGTTGGCGAGGGAGGCGCATTTGAGCGATACGGACGCTGATCGAGGCAAGTGTGGATGGCCACCGTGATCTGACCTTACGCGGCGCATATAAAGCCGTTGTGCATGTCAATGCTCCATTACGACGGTTGTACTACGAGCTAGTTGTTTGCCCCCCAGTTTGCCGCCTTCCCTTCCTGTAGTTCCGCATGTCCCTGAGCACGCACCCTGTCAGCAGCAAGCCCCTTCCTGGAAGGGGATTCGGTGACCAGCTGCCGTCCCCTCCACTCCCCACCCTTCCCACGCACTCCCCCCATGCATCACCCTGCCGTACAGGCTGGTACCGGGTGCAGCCGGAGTCGCTACTGAGTGGCGAGCAGCAACCCAAACAGCACCAGCAGCAACCGCACATGCATCCGGAAAGGGCCCACCACGACCACCACAGCCACCACCACCATCACAAAAACCACAGCACGGACCATGCGGGCCAGGTGGAGGGGCACATCAGCGACCACGCAGCAACGCGCGGACCCTCCGACAGCGGCGGCACCGGCGCCGGCAGTCCGCCCGCCGTCCCCTCGGTGCTCACCAAGCTGCAAAAGTGGGGTGACTATGCGTCTGTGGGCTCGCAGGTGCTGCCCTCCAAGTTCATCCCCATGAAGGCGAGTGAATGGGAATGCTGGAGGGAGCCTGGGACCTGACCGGCTCAAACAGGCCCTCGCCCTTTCCGGGTGGCTCCAGGGGCGACGGCTGCGTGAGGCATGCCTCCCCTTGCAGCTCTAGCAGTTGTGGATGTGGGCAGCGTCACACCCATGCAAGCCGGGCTCTCAAGCCAGGTCCCGTCCTGTCCTGCCACTCCCCTTTCCCGCCGGCAACCCACCTCTCCCATCCGTGCCCTCGCCCTCCTCCCACCCTTCCCCCGTCCCCCCACCGCAGACCCCCCTCAGCGCGGAAATCCTGGACAGCTGGTCGCTGCCCTCGCAGCCCAAGCACCGCCTCACCGTGCCCGAGATGCTGGCCCAGCAGGCCGCCCTGGGCCGCCGGGTGGGGCTGCTGCTGGACCTCTCCAACCACGACTGCCTCTACACCGCCGACATCCCGCCGCACCTACGCTACCTGCACATCCAGCTGGTGGCCAAGGAGCTGCCGCCGCAGGACTACGTGGACGCGGTGGTGGCGGCGGCGAGCGGCTTCTGGGCGGCACACCCGGAGGAGTACATTGCGGTGCACTGCGCGTATGGTGGGTGCCGGTAGCACGGGATGTGGGTCGGGCCGGGATGTGGGTCGGGATCTGGGACAGAGGATTTAGGTTGGGTTGCGATCTGGGTCGAGTTGGTGGAATCGCTGGCATGCATTCATGCGGGTTCACTGTAAATTCAACAATGTTGTTCACGGCCACACATGCGATCTGCGCCCCGGGGCCGCCCGCCTTGCGCACGCAGGTTTCAACCGCACGGGTTTCGTGGTATGCTGCTACCTGATCGAGGTGCACGGCCTGAGCGTAGAGGAGGCACTCGCGGCCTTCTCGGACAGTCGCCCGCCGGGAGTCAAACACGAGCAGTTTCGCAATGAGCTGTACAGACGGTACGGCAGCATCTCGCCACGCGCAACGCACTTGTACGGCACTGCGTTTGGCAGCCCCGACGATAACTCCAGCTTTGGTTGCTCGCCCAGCTGCGCTAGTTTGGACTTGCGGGATCTGTGCGGCGGGACTCCGCTGCCGCTATCCTGCGGCGGCTCTGGAATAGAGCTGTTTGGAGGAATTGGCAGTCCGGCGGGCGGGTTAAGTCGACGGTCGTTGGACGGCGCGTGTAGCGTTGGCGGCGCCGTCGGTGGTGCGGGGATTTACCGGCATCAGACGCTCACGTTTACTTCCTCAACATCCGCATCTGCAGCGACGATGCTTTCTGAGCTTCGGCGCGGTAGCAGCGGCGGGATGTGGATGCAGCAGCAGCAGCGGTACGGGCACCAGCAGCAGCTGCTGCTGCAGCAGCTACAGCTGCGGAGCTCGCATGAGGAGCACGAGGAGGCGGGGCGGGAGGGGCGGCTGGCTGGGGAACGCGGGCAGCAGGGGGAAGAGGAGGAGCAGGAGCATCGCGCGCAGGGGCGACAGCAGCAGCACGTGCATGGCGATGGCGATGGAGGAAATGGAGGAGGGGGGGCCGCATACCGGGAAGGGCAGCGTTGCGAGGAGCATCATGTGGTGGCTGGGGGTGGGAGGGATGATGGGCCGTTGTCTCCCGTGTCGTTGGCGCGATTAGGCCCGCCAGGCGATGGTTGGGCAGGCGGGCTGCGGCATGGGCAGGGGCAGCAGCAGTGGGGGGAGCAGCAGGGGCAGCAGCAGGAGCAGGGGCAGGGGCATCGAGCGCAGGAGGAGGAGCAGGCGGGCGCGGACACGGAGGGGGCTGCGGCGGACAGCGATGAAGACGATGGAGACAGTCTGCAGCTGCAGCCGCCGGGATGTGAGAATGAGAGCCTGGGCGTGAACGACCGGTACATCTTGCAAAAAATGAGGTGGGTCAGGCGCGGGCGGGTGGTGAAGATATGTGGTCTGTCCTGCTGCGTACTGGGTATGGGTTGGGCAAGCATAGGGTGTCGGGCTTGGCTTGGTAGGTACGATTGCAACACGCTAGGACAGGGAGGAATGACGATATGAGTGACGACGGCATGAGTGACGACGGCATGAGTGACGACATTTAGCATGCGTTTAGCATGCGTTCGAGGGTCGAGCCCTTCATCCTTTGTGCCTGACAATCATAGGACAGCCTTCTTGCACCCCTGCTATACCGGTAGTGGCGGCCACTTAATGCGCTGTGTGCAGGCAACACGCACTGGCGCAGCAGAATGGCACCATCCCGGAGGAGAGCGGCTCGTACCACAGCACTCCCCACAGGGGCTGCTCATCGAGCTCGCTTGCGGACTCAGCTGGCCAACGGACGCCGCCGGGGCTGCCTGCCGCGCGATACAGTCACAGAAGCCTTGAAGGGATCGATTGGGCCGCAGCTGCAGGCAGCGAAGACAAAGGGGCGGACTCGGAAACGAGGGCTGGTTCGGGTGCTGATGTAGATAGTTCTCCTAGGGGGGCATAGCGGCTCTTAAGCTTGCTTGAGATTGATAGGTCGTTGGGAGGATGAGTTGGTGGGCTGAATTTGGCTGGGTATTCCTATTGGCAATGTCTGCAGTTTTGTTAACAGTTTTGTGAACCGGTCTATTTCAGCTAAAAGCTGAATTGTATGGAAACAATACGTACTAAGTGGTGATTGCACAATTGCATCATTCTCTGCTGTACGGCCGCCACCTCGGATACATTCAACTAAACGGTTCCACAAGCCCAGCTCATTGCAGACGTTGTGATACCCAGTGGATAGTAATCGATTAGTATCTTCCTGATCACATTAAACCTACCTTTAGGATTTCTTAATGATTCTTGACGGTGTCAAGCTGCGGCCTGGCGCTCCGTGTCTAGAAGGATACGGCCGTCCGGTCCCACATGTTGGGTAAGAAATTGACACGAAATCTTAGATAGACGCTGCAACATCTGTAAGGAACGCTGGCTTTTCTGTAGGCTTCATCGCCGGGGACTAACCCACGTCTCTTCGAGAGGCGTCTCAGCAGGATGGTCTTCAACACGAGGGCCTAGTCCGTCGTCGTGGATTGGTAAGGTTTCAAAGGTAACAGGCTAACGGTCCCTATCCCATGTTGGTCAAGAATCGGGCCGCAACGTTTTGCAGGCCAACGAGTCGTGCGTTTTGAACGTGGGGTAACGACCTACGCTGTGGCAACGTCGCCTTCCTTTGTTACCCAAAAGGATCTTGCGCTTCGGAACGGTGCCCGCGTGAAGGTGCGGAGCTCACATGGGACAACGCCAGTGAAACCCGGGCCTAGCAACTAATCCTCCCGTTAAATGTGCAGGTGACCGTCGAGCAGACAGAAACCAATGATCAGATTGTCAGCATTGAGACGGACGTCCAGGCTGGCCGCCTGCTGCTGCATTGGGGTGTTGAGGGTGGCAAGGATTACAAGGGCGGATGGCGTCTGCCAGGCCAAAGAGCCAGGCCAGAGGGAACCGTCCAATACAAAGACCGAGCTTTACAGACGCCCTTCAGGTCTGTCGGCAGTGGTCATGTGACGTAATACAACCCTAAAGCAAAGCTGAAATGTCAACATGATGAAAACGGCTACCAAAGAGCTAATACATTGACCTGTGGCATGGTCAAAGCTGAAATAGGCGTCGATAACTGCTCGAGTAACTGACATCTATGTCGATCCCTCGGCTATGACGGTCCACCTTTCAACTTTGACGGGTCTGGTATTCACACCTTATATCGCTATCGCCTCCTGCTTACACAGGCTGGATACAAACGGGCGGTCCCGCGTGGTGCTTCACCTCGATGGCGAGGAGGCGTCCGACTACCTGAACTTTGTCCTGAAGGTAACCATAACTGGGACACGCGGCACCGTTCAACTAGTAGAACGTATGCAGCTACTAATGCGTGTGGGCATGCTGTCCACCCTAAAGTCCCTCTCCTTCCCGCTCTGATTTGCATCGCAGCCCCATTTCACCCCATACCACCAACCTCCCCAACCACCCCTCTTTTTCCCTTTCCCCCACTTCCTGTCTCCGACCCAACATTGCCGCCCGACCCACATCCCCGCCTGACTCCGACCCACATCAGGATGACGCCACAAACACCTGGTACGACAACAACGGATCCAACTTCAAAGTCCCCCTCCGCGCCGACCCCTCCGCCTCGGCCTCCGCCGCCGCCGCCGCCTCCGACCCACTTCCCAAGGAGCTGTGTGACAAGTGGGCGTGGGTAAGGTGGGACCACTCGGGCCGCCCGGAGCGCTCGGATGGCGCAGCGGCTGCCGAGTACAACAAGGGGGTGGCCGAGATGAGGGAGCTGCTGGCCAGGGGGCGGACGCTGGACGAGCTGTGGCGCGTAGCGGAGTGAGTGGTGGGGTGGGGTGGGCTGCGGTGGGGTTGGGGTTGCGGCGGGGCATGGGGTGCGGGGCAAGATGGGAGTGACCCGCCAATAGGGTCAGTGGAGGGTGAGGCATAGCATGGCATGTGTCCCCACCTACACCTACGTAGCACCGGTATATGCGTACATGAGCACCCCGCACCCCTGCTGCTCCTCCTCCTGCCAGGGGCAAGTGGAAGTACTCAGACTACAGCAAAAAGGTCATCATCCCCGCCCTCGGCGACACCACAGCACCCGCTACCTCCAACGGTAACAACGGTAGCAACAACGGCAGCAGCAGCAGCAACACCACCACCACGCCAGCCCCAGCCGCATCCGCCGCTGCGCCCATCCCCACCATCCCCGACGACCTACTCGGGGTGCAGGCCTACGTCCTCTGGGAGCGTGCCGGCAAGCCAGGCGGCGCGGACTTCTCCCAGGACGCACGCCGCGTCATTACCGAGCAGCTGCAGCGGGGAGCATCCCTGGAGGACATTGCCCGCGGCCTTAACTACACCCTGAAGAGCCCCAGCGGCTCCCCAGCCGCCTCTGCGGCGCCCTCACCCGCCGCCTCAATGGACGCCGGGTCTGGATCCAGATCCGGATCTGGGTCGGCAGCGCCGCCGCCGCAACAGCGCAAGGCGCCGCCTCCGCCGGGCCCCCCGGCACAGGTCGGCTCACCTCTGGGCACCCCCCGTAGGAACCCGCTAGACATGATCAAGCGCCCCGCGGCGGGAGCTGCGGGAGCAGGGGTGAAACCCGCTCCGGATCTGTCGGCGGAGCGCAGCACTCGGGCGCGACCGTTGGACTTCCTGGTGCAGCGCTTTGCGGTGGATCCCGCGACTCGTTGGCGCCGTACGTACCCGCTTGGGGGTAAGGCGGAGTTGCTGGCGGTGGTACGACAGGTGGGTTTGATGTCGTGTGGTTCCGGATGTGCGGTTAGGTGCGGTGGACACCCCCGTAACCCACTGAACCCTCCCCCCTCACAGCAAGGGGAGGGGTGTGGGAATCTGGGAAACATATATGAAAAGTGAAGCAACTGGAGTCCCAATCCGGGAGGTTGGGCTTATGAGACATTAGGCAGCCCCGCAACCCCCCAGCGGCCCCGAAGAGGGACATCACCCCTCTTCTTTAGGGTCGTTACCCACCCCACCCCAACCCCACGCGCCCACCGCTCCCTCCCTCCCAGGCTGACGAGCACTCGCCCATCCAGCTGGACCTCATCACCGACACGGCATCCGAGCTGGTGCTGCACTGGGGGGTGTGTCCGCAGGGTGAGTGGAGGGGTGGTGGCAGGCAGGCAGGGAGGGAAGGGGATAGAGACATAGAGAGGCAGGAACCACCCCCTCCCACTGGTGGAAGAGGGCAGGGAGTAGTCCCGCTGCTCATCTCACATCGCCTCTAGCAAAGTTGTGCTCCACTGCTCCTGCCTACATGCCCTCCCCTCCCTCCTCACCCCCCGCCCTCCCCTCTCTCCTCACCCCCCGCCCTCCCCTCCCTCCTCACCCCCCGCCCTCCCCTCTCTCCCTGTCATCTGTCACGCCCTCCTCTTGTTGCCCTGCGACAGTCTCCCGCGAGTGGGTGATTGCCCCTGACGAGCTGCACCCGCCCGGCAGCGCGGTGATGCACAAGGCGGTGGAGACGCCCTTCCACAGCTGCAGCGGGGACAGCGGGGAGGCGGAGTGCGATGTGGGGATGGCGGGGGCGCAGGTGCCGCTGCAGCGGCTGAGCATCACACTGCCGCCGGGTAGGTGGGGTGGGGGGTGAGGATGGGGGAGGAGGGGTGGTGAAGCGGGAGGCGAAGGGAAGGGCGGCGGAGTGAGGGAGCGGGAGTGATTCCCGTGGCAAGAGCAGTGGGGTGTGTGGGGATGATGCCTAACGGCCAGCGACCACAGCAGTCGCGCACATTAGCGCTGGCTTCCTATGTGATCTGTGACCCCCCTGCCCCTCCCGCCTTCCTGCCCCCAGACCATCACTTGGGTGCCGTCACGTTCGTGCTGCGCTCCTCCGACAGCACCATGTGGTTCAAGGACGCGGGGGGCAACTGGGTGGTGCCGCTGCCGTCGACGTGAGGCGGGGGTGGTGGGAGAGGGAACGACAGGGGGCCAGGGGGGAAAGGGAGGAAAGATGGAGGGACTCCCGCTGCCTGGTTGCAGGGTATGCGGGCAGCTGGGTTTGGCAGTCCTTCGTGCTATGGCCGTAGCTGTTAAAAGGTATGCTGTGCTACACCTATAGTCTTACCCGCATATGCCTATCATCATGTGCCTACGTCCGCTGCTGCCCCACCCCACCCGCCCCCCAGTGACGCCCCCCGCGACGACGGCCGCTCCTCCGATGCCGCCGCTGACGAGCTGAGTCGGGCCGTCATCGAAGCGGAGAGCAGCAGCCAGTGGACACTCATGCACAGGTGGGGGTGGGTTTGGGAAGTCAGTGAAGAGCATCCCGCAGCTGACGGCACTAGTAGTGAGGCGGGGAGGCTGCCGGCCTTGACGGACGCCGGCTGCCGTTAACAATGCCTGCTAGACGGCTGCCCCCTTTCCTCGTCCCTCCCCCTCCATGTCCAGCATAACGTGTATTCTCCATTCTCTATTTAACCCCCCCATCTTCCACTCCTCCCCCCCTCCATGTTGACGCCTTACCACACAGTCAGTAAGTTGTTTCCGCTTTACCCCCCTCCAAAGGTTCAACAAGGCTGCCGACCTGCTGTCAGAGGTGCTCAACGGCTACTACGAGCAGCTGGACGTGGCGGCCGCCCTCAGCCGCATCTACGTGTGGCTGCGCTACTCCGCGACCCGCCACCTCACCTGGCAGCGTAACTACAACACCCAGCCGCGCATCCTGTCAGCAGCGCAGGAGCGGCTCACCAATGCCATTGCCAGCGCGCACGGGCGCACCAGCGGTGGGGAGATGGGGTGTGGGTGAGGGGAGGGAGGGTGCTTGGGTGCTGTTGAAGGCTGTAATGGTCTATCCAGAAAGACCTTATTGGGCTGGCTTCTTGGGCTAGGAGGCCTTTACTGCGCAACACTTGAGGGCAGGTTGCTGCCGGGGTGTCCGATGTCGGCCATGCAAGGATATACACATGCTCATCCCTCCCTTCCTTCCCCTCCTCTTTTCCCCCCCTCCCCTCCTCCTCCCCTGCTGCTCTGCAGGCGAGGCCCAGGAGTGGGTCCGCCTCATGCTCACCACGGTGGGGCGCGGCGGCGACGGACAGAAGATCCGCGACGAGATCCTGCACATCATGCACCGAAACCACATCCCCGAGCGCAAGGGCCTGTGGATGGAGGAGTGGCACCAGAAGCTGCACAACAATACCACACCCGACGATGTGCACATCTGCGAGGCCTACCTGGCGTTCCTGGAGAGCGGCGGCAACAGGGGGGCGTACTGGCGCGTGCTGTCGGATGCAGGTAGGTGGGTGTACGGGGTGCGGGCGAAATCGAGGGAGGGAATGGGGGGCGTAGTAATCATACTGGCACCCTACCAACCCTTTACGCTACATGCTGCAACCATCCGGGCATTTTCGCCACCACTATGATTCGCATATCGGCATAGTGTTGTTAGGACGCCAATACCGGTATCTTTTGACATAGTTTCCTATGGATCGCCCCGGTTTGGAAAGGTCCCAAAGATACCATTGCGGCTCCCCTTCATACCCCTCCAACACCTCGCTTCCCTCCCCCCTCCCCCCCTCCCAGGCATCACCCGTCAGCGGTTGGAGTCTTTCGACCGCCCCATCACGCTGGAGCCCGAGTACTACCCCGAGAAGCGCGAGGCGCTGCTGCGCGACTTCCGCGCCTACCTGGGCATCCTGAAGGCGGTGCACTCGGGGGCAGACCTGTCCGCGTCGGCGGGGGCGGCGGGGAACAGGTGGGAGCGGCGGGGGGGGGCGCGGCAAGGATCCGTGCTTAGCCTTCCCAGTCTCCTCACCCTTCCCTCACGCCTACGCACCCATCGTTCTACACTCCTGGTGCAACCCTCGCTCCCCACCCTACACCCCTCGCCACCCCGCCCCCACAGGATCCCCGGCGGTGCGCGCGGCTACCTGGCCTACGTGCTGTCCCACGTGGGGGACTCGCAGGTGCTGCCGCTGCTGGAGGCGTGCGTGGAGGCGCGCACGGAGCTGGCGCCCGCGCTGACCGGCTGCCGGGAGCTGCTGTACCTGGACCTGGCGCTGGAGGACCAGGCTAGGCAGGCGGCGGAGAGGGGCGTGGCGGCGGCAGGTGAGAGGGGAGGGGAAGGGGGTAAACAGGGAAGAGGCAGGGGAGGAGAAACCTCCCCAAGGAAGGAGGGGAGGCAGGAGTTTTGTGTGAATGGGCAGGGGATGCACAGGGGTGTCAGGGCTGGGCCTGTTTGCTGGTGTCAACACCGCTGCATGTTGCTGCGCTTCATGCATGCGTCCCATTCCTCCCATGCTTCCCCTCTCTCATTCCATGCCCACCAGGTTTCGGCGCCGCTGCCTTCATGCGGCCCCTGCTCCAGAACCTGTGCCTGAGCCTGGGTAACAACGAGGAGATCTGCTACTGCCTGAAGGTAGGTCCGAGGAGGGGGGCGGGGCTGTGTGGGGCAGGGGCTGCGCTTGTGCAGGGCCTGACTGTGCGGCGGGTGCCGCTCTCGCTCCGTTTCCTGGCTCTCCCGACTCTGCATGCGTCGCGTACCCCTTGGAGGTCCCTTGAAGGCCTCAACACACCAGCCTGCCCCCTCCCCCTGCCCCCTGCCCCCTGCCCCTACAGGCCTGGAACGAGCTGCCCTCCTCCGTCCGCAGCGGCGGGCGGCCCAACAAGGAGGAGGCGCTGCTAGCGGTGGCGGTGGTGAACCGCATCAGGAGGGCGCTGGCGGAGGTGCGGGGCTACGGGGGTGGGGGTGGGGGTGGGATTGTATTGAAGAGCGAAGAGTTCTAATGCGGGGGGGGCGGGGTTTTAATGGGGGGTTTGCAAGGGGTTTGCTGTTGGGGAATGTGGTCACGAAGGCTTAGTGCTGCATCATGAGCTGCGGGGCGTGGAGAACGGGGAATGGGCCACAACAAGGTGAAGGAGCATAAGGGGCTCTACTCACCTTGTTCCAAAATTCCACTCCAAACCCACCATCCCACCCGTACCCCAACGACCACCCCACCCGCAGATCTCGGACCGCGTGATCAACCGGCTGGGAGACGTGTCCGTGGCGTACGGCAGGGCCTTCGGAGTGGAGCGCTGGGCGTACGAGGTGTTTGCGGAGGAGGTCATCCGGGGCGGGGCGGCGTTCGCGGTGTCGCTGGTGATCAGCGCCATCGAGCCCAGTCTGAGGAACGCGGCGGCACTGGGGGCGTGGCAGGTGGGGGGGAGGGGAATGGGTAGGGTGAGGTGCGGTGCGGTATGCATTGCCCCTGTGACGTCACTCCCATATCTCTGGCCAGCCCTTCCTCCTAATCCTGCGTCCTAGTACCTGCGCTCTTGTGCCTCCCTCGTCCTGTCTCCCGACGTACCTAAGCGGCGCCACTGCCCCTCCCCCTTCCCCGCGCGCCCCCCCCGCAGGTGATCAGCCCTATAGCCGCCACGGGTGTGATCGATGTGGTTTCGGGGCTGCACGAGGTGCAGGAGAAGGTGTACGAGCAGCCCACCGTGCTGGTGGCTGAGCAGGTGGGGGGGCGGGGGGAGGGGGGAAAAAGCAACTGCACGCCCAATACCATACTCCGACTCATGCGGGGAGAGGGGGGCAGCGGGGAGGGGGGGGGGCGTAAAAGGAGAGCAGGTTCCGAGATGGCTTGAATAATGCCTGGCAGCAAGCCTTCATCACTACTTGCATAACCCTCGACGCCACCCTCCGCTTCCCCACCCAGCCCACCACCCTGCCCCTCTCCCTCCCTTTCCCTTCCTCCCTCCCCCCCAGGTCACGGGTGAGGAGGAGATCCCCGAGGGGGTGGTTGCCGTCATCACGCCCGACGCCCCCGACGTGCTGTCCCACGTGTCGGTCCGCGCTCGCAACATGCGCGTGCTGTTCGCCACCTGCCACGATGAGGCGCCGCTGGAGCAGCTGAAACAGGTGGGGGGGGAGTGGGGAGATAAATGAGAAGTGGAAGTGAGATAGGTGACGTCGCTTGGTCATTCCCCCTCCGCCGCCGTTTACCTGCTTGCCTGTCTGCCCACACCCAGCATGTGCCTGCCCACTCGCACACCCGCCGGAGGACTTCATCTTTCGGCAATCACAGTACGTTTCGCCTCGCGGCCAGTTATTTTAACACCCGCCGCTGCCCCCACCTGCTCGCCCCAACCCCCACCTGCTCCCCCCCCAGGCTAAGGGCCGCTGGCTGCACTTCACTCCCAGCGCCAGCGGGGCTGTCACTTGGACCGCCGCGCAGCCGCCTAGCGCAGCAGGGGGAGCAGGAGGGGAGGGTGCAGGGGCGCATGGAGCCGGAGCCGCAAGGCCAACAAAGGGTAGGCGGCCGCGCGTGACGATGAGTGCAGTTGGTGACATTGTGGTTCGTTTTGCCGGCAAGTATAGGCGACCTTACACTTTTGACGTGGATGTGCTGTCTGGCGCCTCTCCTTCCCCCTTCCACCTTCTCCCCTCTTCACTCGCACTTATTTAATATTTTCCCGCCCTCCTGCCCCACAGGTCTAAAGATCGAGGTGCCGGTCTGGTGCGGTCGCTGGGTGGTGGGCATGGACGAGTACAGCGACGGGGTGGTGGGCGCCAAGTCCAAGAACCTGGCGCGGCTGAGGGGCCGACTGCCCCCCAGCATCAACCTGCCCGCGTCCGTCACCCTGCCCTTTGGGTGCTTCGAGCAGGTGGGTGTGTGTGTGTGGGAGGGGTGGTGGTGGGAGCGGCGTGTGGAGGAGGATGGGTTTGCATAGTTAGGGTTTCAGCGTTAACCAGCCAGGCCGCTCTAGTTAGGGTATCGCATCCTCATGCACTTCATAACTCCCCTCCTGGCCCCCGACCCTTACCTACCCCTCCCACCCCACCCCACCCCGCCCTAGATCCTGGAGCTGCCGGAGAATCAGGACATCAAGCGCCGCCTGGCGGACAGGGTGGCCCGCATAGCTGGCCGCACCCCCGCCTCCTCCTCCTCCTCCTCTTCGGGGGTGGTGGGCGGGCTGCTGAGCGGGCTGGGATCGCTGGTGGGTCGGTCCTCCTCCTCCTCCTCCGCCACCCAGCAGCAGCAGCAGTCCCCGGCCGCGCCCAGTCACGCGGAGCTGCTGGCGGAGTGCCGGCAGCTGGCGATGCAGGTGCAGGTGCCGCGGCACGTGCGGGAGGAGCTGGAGGGGGCCATGCGGGCGGCAGGTGGGGGGTTGGGGGCTGGGGGGGGGAGTAGAGGGAGGGGTGAAGGGTAAAAGAGGAGAAGAACCATGTGTCAAGAAGGCTGTCAGGAATATATGCTTGAGGGGCTGACGTAATGCCGGTTACCGCACCTGTGTTTTGTTCGTTGTCCTCCGCCCCTCTCTTCTCCTCCTCCACCATCACCCCTCCCCCTGCTCTCCCCTCCCGGCCGGCCCCCCAGGCATCCCGCCCCCGGAGAACGAGGAGCGCTGGTCGCTGGCCCTGCAGGCACTGCGTGGCGTGTGGGCGTCCAAGTACAACGACCGGGCCTTCTACTCGCTAAGGAAGGCGGGACTGGACTTTGACTCGGTGCGTGCGTAGGGAAAAAGAAGATCAAGGCATAGGAAACCAGATTTTGAGGGCAAATTAATGGGGGAATGAGGCGGCATGGGGGGCCGCATGCAGTCGCCGCGTCGACTGTCCTGAGTTCCTCTTTGCCTTTCTTACTTTGTGTGGGGGGTTGCCCCCTGCCCTTGTTGGCTTGTCCTGATCCTGTTGACTTTTCTTGTCGTATCTTGTGGCCACTGCTTTGCTGCTGCTGCTGCCGCTGCAGGTGCGCATGGCTGTGTTGGTCCAGCGGGTGGTGCCGGCGCAGTACGCCTTCGTCATCCACACCCGCAACCCCTCCAACAACGACGAGAAGGAGGTGTTCTGCGAGCTGGTCAAGGGACTAGGTGGGCCGAGGGGAGCGAGGGGAGCGAGTGAAGGAAGCCAGCTGGCGGGGGCTGGTTGCGGACCGTTGCGGTGTTGTTGGTGATTGCTTGTCGTGGAACGTCTACTGCATTGCGTGACGAGCTCCTGTGTTGCATTGCTTTCCAATCCCACCTCCCGCCTCCTTCCCTTCCCTCCCCTTCCAACCCCACCCGCTTCCGCTGTGCCCCCATCCGCCCCTCCCAGGCGAGTCCTTGGTCAGTGGCATGGTCCCCGGCAGCGCAGTCGCCTTCAAGGCACTCAAGGAGCCGCGCAGCGGACTGGATAGCCCCGAGGTGCTGTGCTACGCGAGCAAGAGCGAGGCGATGTACGTGCGGGATACGCTGATCTTCCGGTCCGACAGCAATGGAGAGGACCTGGAGGGGTATGCAGGTGAGAGGAGGGGGAGGCGCGGGGGAGAGCGTGTGTGTTTTGGGGGAGCGTGAGCTTGCATGGGTTGTTGCGGCCCCGTGGCCCATACGATCCACACACGAGGGGCCTGTGACTGAACTGCCTGCCTCTGTCGCTGCCAGTCTCTTGACCACCTACCGCCCCCTGCCGTACCCCCCCCCCCCCTGCAAGGTGCGGGGCTGTACGACAGCATCACCATGGACCCCTCGCTGCTCTCCCGCGTGGACTACATGGAGGACCGGGTGGTGCAGGACCCGGGGTTCAGGTGGGCCGGGGGTGAGGGGAAAGGGGGGGGGGCCAGGAGGGCGAGAGGGTGTGTGTGGTGACGTTCTGTCCCCAGGGAATAAGGGATAAGGGATAGGTTGTGGGAGTGGGTTTGCATACACAGGCGTATACAAGGGCAACGCTTGACGACCTTTTGGACCCCCGAGACCCCTCTGCTCCCCACACGCATGGCCCTCTGCCTTGGCATTCCGTACCTGCCCGCACCCCGCCCACCTCACATCACCCCACCTCACCTCCACCTCGTGTTCACCCCCCCCTTCGTGTTCACCAGGGATTGTCAGCCACTTGTATCAATATCACACCACACTTTGGAATTTCTTTTTTCCCCCCGTTCCCCTACAGGCGCCACCTGCTGTCCCGCATCTGCCACCTGGGAGCGGACATCGAGACGGCGCTGGGCAGTGCGCAGGACATCGAGGGGGTGGTGGCGCCGGATGGGGCTATCACGGTGGTCCAGACGAGGCCGCAGGTGTGAGGAGGGGAAAAAAGGATACCCGAGGAGGGGAGGGCAGGACAGACGGAGGAGGAGGAGGAAGGGGAAGCAGATGGTGGAGGCGCATGGGAGGTAGGGGGTGAGAGACGCGGCCGCGTTTCTGTAATGGTTGGTTTGAAACCAGGATGGGAAATCGCGTGGAGGTAGCGGAAGTAGGCCACGAGCGAGAGCGTTGTGGTAGAGTGGTAAAAGTGAAGTCGTGAAAAGTGCAAGTAGGGTTGACGGCGGCGGAAGGGCACTGCATGGAATCATGAGCAGCAGTCGCAGCAACAGCAGCAGCATGCTATCCTCCGCGGCGGTGCTGCTTGCCTGTCACATCCATCCATCCATCCGACATTCCGGTCACCGTGACGCTAGGGGTGATGACGGCTGTAATGAGTGCGTGAATGGGTGTGACATGGAATGACCCACGGGTCGGCCGCGAGTCTCGATCTGGCGGCTTTGACGAGCGGCGTTTATGAGCGATGTTTTGAGGCTTGTGTGGCGTGTTGGCGGGGCGTCGGCTAACGCACGGGAGAAGTCAAGTGTGCAGTGGTCTGTGTGCGGGTCTGACAATGCAAGTGTGTGTTGTGTGGTCGTGAATGAGTTCATGTGTGGTTTCAAGCCACTGCTGTCGGACAAAGTCGCTGGGCAGTAGAGGCTGTTGGAGTTTAGAGCTAGCTCTGGTTCTTGTGTGCCGTAGATGCAGACGATGCCTTACCAAACACGTACATACGAACCGACATCTGGGTTAAGGTTCCCTCGTATTAGTGTGTGCCGTTTTGTGCGTATGATGTGGTCTCGGAATGTGGCGGCAGTGTTGCTGTTAAGTGGCTTCATCGGGGGATACCTGCAATATACAAACACGAAAGTTTGAAGGCTATTGCGCGGATGTTGCATCTAGCGGCCGTACCAATCTAGGTGTCTGTTTAGGCAAAGTCCACCGTCCATTTGTTCGGGCGGCATCAACCATCCACTTCTTTTGGAAAGGAACGCGAGCTGTGCGATTACCCGGGATTCGTGGACAGTGCTATTTGCTGCCGCGTGTCGATTGAGGCGATTGTACGAACAACATTATGAACTGCTGCAACCAACCGGGAGGGAGTGCGACTAGCGATGTCGTATGTTTAGCGAGAGAGGGGGTGTATGGTGCGTACTTTCGCTCGTGTGCTGAGTGCTGTTGCAGAGCGCATGCATGCGTGTTGCAACGTAGCAGTTGCATGTTTGCTGCGGGGAAGGCAAATTCCTCCTTTCACGAGCGCAGAAGTTGCCATACCTAGCAAACTACCCCGTTTGTTTGCGGGGGTGGCGAGGAATTGTGCACATGCTGTAATTCTTTTTACTGGGCCGCATGCGCATTTGCTTGCATGTGGAGCGGTGGCATCAAGGGGCTTACTTTGTGCCTGTGCGCACGTCTGCACGGAAGCTTTATGAAAATCAAGCACCGTGCAACGTAATGTAAGTGGTGTCCCGGGCATGCCAGTAGGGATGTTGGTTGCCTGTAGCACACACTTTGTAATCCCTCAATACCGAAGCTTCCGAAGGCGCCACAACATCGCCCTACCAGCTTGACCCGGCATGTCATTGCGTATACGTCAGCGATTTCCTTTTCGTTTTTAAGGGTTTTTTTTATCGCTGCTAAAGCGATGGAAACCGGGCCTGGACAATCGCTTATCGCTTTCCCAACCAGCCAAGCCGTTGGGTTTCGGGGCTTATTGCTTCCTAAGGCGGCCTCCTGGAATCACACGTGCACAAATTCCCGTAAACCCCAACGCGCTTCTCACTAATCCCAATGCCCTGGGCGGGTGCTAGGTCGATGGGTGCTAGGTCGGCGGGTGCTAGGTCGGCGGGTGCCAGGTCGGCGGGGGCCAGGTCGGCGGGAGCTAGGTCGGTGGGTGCCAGGAAGGTGGGTGCCAGGTCGGTGGGTGCCAGGTCGGCGGGTGCTAGGTCGGCGGGTGCTAGGTCGGCGGGTGCTAGGTCGGCGGGTGCTAGGTCGCTGGATGCTAGGTCGCTGGGTGCTAGGTCGGTGGGTGCTAGGTCGGTGGGTGCTAGGTCGGCGGGTGCTAGGTCGGCGGGTGCCAGGTCGGCGGGTGCCAGGTCGGTGGGTGCCAGGACGGTGGGTGCCAGGTCGGTGGGTGCCAGGTCGGTGGGTGCCAGGTCGGCGGGTGCCAGGTCGGCGGGTGCTAGGTCGGCGGGTGCTAGGTCGGCGGGTGCTAGGTCGGTGGGTGCTAGGTCGCTGGATGCTAGGTCGGCGGTTGCTAGGTCGGTGGGTGCTAGGTCGGCGGGTGCTAGGTCGGCGGGTGCTAGGTCGGCGGGCGCTAGGTCGGTGGGTGCTAGGTCGGCGGGTGCTAGGTCGGCGGGCGCTAGGTCCGTGGGTGCCAGGTCCCCGGGTGCTAGGTCGCTGAGTGCCAGGTCGCCGGGTGCTAGGTCGCCGGGTGCTAGGTCGGCGGGCGCTAGGTCGCCGGGTGCCAGGTCGGTGGGTGCCAGGACGGTGGGTGCCAGGTCGGTGGGTGCCAGGTCGGTGGGTGCCAGGTCGGCGGGTGCCAGGTCGGCGGGTGCTAGGTCGGCGGGTGCTAGGTCGGCGGGTGCTAGGTCGGTGGGTGCTAGGTCGCTGGATGCTAGGTCGGCGGGCGATAGGTCGGCGGGTGCTAGGTCGGCGGGTGCTAGGTCGGCGGGCGCTAGGTCGGTGGGTGCTAGCTCGCCGGGTGCTAGGTCGGCGGGCGCTAGGTCGCCGGGTGCTAGGTCGGCGGGCGCTAGGTCGCTGGGTGCTAGGTCGGCGGGTGCTAGGTCGGCGGATGATAGGACGGCGGGCGCTAGGTCGGCGGGTGCCAGGTCGGTGGGTGCTAGGTCGGCGGGTGCTAGGTCGGCGGGTGCTAGGTCGGCGGGCGCTAGGTCGGCGGGTGCTAGGTCGGCGGGTGCTAGGTCGGCGGGCGCTAGGTCGGTGGGTGCTAGGTCGGCGGGTGCTAGGTCGGCGGGTGCTAGGCCGGTGGGTGCCAGGTCGCCGGGTGCTAGGTCGGTGGGTGCCAGGTCGCCGGGTGCCAGGTCGGTGGGTGCCAGGACGGTGGGTGCCAGGTCGGTGGGTGCCAGGTCGGTGGGTGCCAGGTCGGCGGGTGCTAGGTCGGCGGGTGCTAGGTCGCTAGGTGCTAGGTCGGTGGGTGCTAGGTCGCTGGATGCTAGGTCGGCGGGCGCTAGGTCGGTGGGTGCTAGGTCGGCGGGTGCTAGGTCGGCGGGTGCTAGGTCGGCGGGCGCTAGGTCGGTGGGTGCTAGGTCGGCGGGTGCTAGGTCGGCGGGCGCTAGGTCCGTGGGTGCCAGGTCTCCGGGTGCTAGGTCGCTGAGTGCCAGGTCGCCGGGTGCTAGGTCGGCGGGCGCTAGGTCGGTGGGTGCTAGGTCGCCGGGTGCTAGGTCGGCGGGCGCTAGGTCGCCGGGTGCCAGGTCGGTGGGTGCCAGGACGGTGGGTGCCAGGTCGGTGGGTGCCAGGTCGGTGGGTGCCAGGTCGGCGGGTGCCAGGTCGGCGGGTGCTAGGTCGGCGGGTGCTAGGTCGGCGGGTGCTAGGTCGGTGGGTGCTAGGTCGCTGGATGCTAGGTCGGCGGGCGCTAGGTCGGTGGGTGCTAGGTCGGCGGGTGCTAGGTCGGCGGGTGCTAGGTCGGCGGGCGCTAGGTCGGTGGGTGCTAGGTCGGCGGGTGCTAGGTCGGCGGGCGCTAGGTCGGTGGGTGCCAGGTCTCCGGGTGCTAGGTCGCTGAGTGCCAGGTCGCCGGGTGCTAGGTCGGCGGGCGCTAGGTCGCCGGGTGCTAGGTCGGCGGGCGCTAGGTCGCTGGGTGCTAGGTCGGCGGGTGCTAGGTCGGCGGGTGCTAGGTCGGCGGGCGCTAGGTCGGCGGGTGCCAGGTCGGTGGGTGCTAGGTCGGCGGGTGCTAGGTCGGCGGGTGCTAGGTCGGCGGGCGCTAGGTCGGCGGGTGCTAGGTCGGCGGGTGCTAGGTCGGCGGGCGCTAGGTCGGTGGGTGCTAGGTCGGCGGGTGCTAGGTCGGCGGGTGCTAGGTCGGTGGGTGCCAGGTCGCCGGGTGCTAGGTCGCTGGGTGCCAGGTCGCCGGGTGCTAGGTCGGCGGGCGCTAGGTCGGTGGGTGCTAGGTCGCCGGGTGCTAGGTCGGCGGGCGCTAGGTCGGTGGGTGCTAGGTCGGCGGGTGCTAGGTCGGTGGGTGCCAGGTCGGTGGGTGCCAGGTCGGTGGGTGCCAGGTCGGCGGGTGCCAGGTCGCTGAGTGCCAGGTCGCCGGGTGCTAGGTCGGCGGGCGCTAGGTCGGTGGGTGCCAGGTCGGCGGGTGCTAGGTCGGCGGGCGCTAGGTCGGCGGGTGCTAGGTCGGCGGGCGCTTGGTCGCTGGGTGCTAGGTCGCTGGGTGCTAGGTCGGCGGGTGCTAGGTCGGCGGGTGCTAGGTCGGCGGGCGCTAGGTCGGCGGGTGCTAGGTCGGCGGGTGCTAGGTCGGTGGGTGCTAGGTCGGCGGGTGCTAGGTCGGCGGGTGCTAGGTCGGCGGGTGCTAGGTCGGCGGGTGCTAGGTCGGCGGGTGCTAGGTCGGTGGGTGCTAGGTCGGCGGGTGCGAGGTCGGCGGGTGCTAGGTCGGCGGGCGCTAGGTCGGTGGGTGCCAGGTCTCCGGGTGCTAGGTCGCTGAGTGCCAGGTCGCCGGGTGCTAGGTCGGCGGGCGCTAGGTCGGTGGGTGCCAGGTCGGCGGGTGCTAGGTCGGCGGGCGCTAGGTCGCCGGGTGCTAGGTCGGCGGGCGCTTGGTCGCTGGGTGCTAGGTCGGTGGGTGCTAGGTCGGCGGGTGCTAGGTCGCTGGGTGCTAGGTCGGCGGGTGCTAGGTCGGCGGGTGCTAGGTCGGCGGGCGCTAGGTCGGCGGGTGCCAGGTCGGTGGGTACGAGGTCGGCGGGTGCTAGGTCGGCGGGTGCTAGGTCGGCGGGTGCTAGGTCGGCGGGTGCTAGGTCGGTGGGTGCTAGGTCGGCGGGTGCGAGGTCGGCGGGTGCTAGGTCGGTGGGTGCTAGGTCGGCGGGTGCTAGGTCGGCGAATACCAGGTCGGCGGGCGCTAGGTCGCTGGGTGCTAGGTCGGCGGGCGCTAGGTCGCTGGGTGCTAGGTCGGCGGGTGCTAGGTCGACGGGTGCTAGGACGGCGGGCGCTAGGTCGGCGGGTGCCAGGTCGGTGGGTGCTAGGTCGGCGTGGTGGGTGCTAGGTCGGCGGGTGCTAGGTCGCTGGGTGCTAGGTCGGCGGGTGCTAGGTCGGCGGGTGCTAGGACGGCGGGCGCGAGGTCGGCGGGCGCTAGGTCGGCGGGTGCTAGGTCGGCGGGTGCTAGGTCGGTGGGTGCTAGGTCGGCGGGTGCTAGGTCGGTGGGTGCTAGGTCGGCGGGTGCTAGGTCGGCGGGTGCCAGGTCGGCGGGTGCCAGGTCGGTGGGTGCCAGGACGGTGGGTGCCAGGTCGGTGGGTGCCAGGTCGGTGGGTGCCAGGTCGGCGGGTGCTAGGTCGGCGGGTGCTAGGTCGCTAGGTGCTAGGTCGGTGGGTGCTAGGTCGCTGGATGCTAGGTCGGCGGGCGCTAGGTCGGTGGGTGCTAGGTCGGCGGGTGCTAGGTCGGCGGGTGCTAGGTCGGCGGGCGCTAGGTCGGTGGGTGCTAGGTCGGCGGGTGCTAGGTCGGCGGGCGCTAGGTCCGTGGGTGCCAGGTCTCCGGGTGCTAGGTCGCTGAGTGCCAGGTCGCCGGGTGCTAGGTCGGCGGGCGCTAGGTCGGTGGGTGCTAGGTCGCCGGGTGCTAGGTCGGCGGGCGCTAGGTCGCCGGGTGCCAGGTCGGTGGGTGCCAGGACGGTGGGTGCCAGGTCGGTGGGTGCCAGGTCGGTGGGTGCCAGGTCGGCGGGTGCCAGGTCGGCGGGTGCTAGGTCGGCGGGTGCTAGGTCGGCGGGTGCTAGGTCGGTGGGTGCTAGGTCGCTGGATGCTAGGTCGGCGGGTGCTAGGTCGGTGGGTGCTAGGTCGGCGGGTGCTAGGTCGGCGGGTGCTAGGTCGGCGGGCGCTAGGTCGGTGGGTGCTAGGTCGGCTGGTGCTAGGTCGGCGGGCGCTAGGTCCGTGGGTGCCAGGTCTCCGGGTGCTAGGTCGCTGAGTGCCAGGTCGCCGGGTGCTAGGTCGGCGGGCGCTAGGTCGGTGGGTGCTAGGTCGGCGGGTGCTAGGTCGGCGGGCGCTAGGTCGCCGGGTGCCAGGTCGGTGGGTGCCAGGACGGTGGGTGCCAGGTCGGTGGGTGCCAGGTCGGTGGGTGCCAGGTCGGCGGGTGCCAGGTCGGCGGGTGCTAGGTCGGCGGGTGCTAGGTCGGCGGGTGCTAGGTCGGTGGGTGCTAGGTCGCTGGATGCTAGGTCGGCGGGCGCTAGGTCGCCGGGTGCCAGGTCGGTGGGTGCCAGGACG